CTAAATTTTTTTGGTTAATAAATTTAGTTTTTTCGATGTATGTTGCATATAAATTTAAATTTTATCAGTAAATAGCGTAGTTTTGAAACTTTGCAAATTTTGAGTTCAATGATGATTTTGAGTCTTTTGATAGAAAATGATAAGAAATTTAATAATTCCTTTTGAAGAAGATAAGAAGATAAAAAGATAAATTTTTGATTTTTTTGTTTTAGAATCTTAAAAGACAAATTTTGTAGTCTTTATTTTTAAGGCTTATAGGATTTCTTTTTTTGCATTCAATAAAAAATGTAAAAGCTAAATTCGGGATAAAATCTAAAATCTATTGCAGTGTTTGGTCATTTTTTACGTTTAAAAGCGCTCATCATTTTTGGCTAGGCTCGCTGCATCGTTTAGGCTCACTCCAGCTGGCTTATCGGATCAGATTTTTACCAAAGAATCACTTAGCAATAGAACGGTTATAGATGGCTCGTTAGTACCATTCGCACACTTTAATTAATAATTTATTAAATTTAAGAAATTACGGAATGAATTTCGCTATGTTTGATCATTAATACTTCGATTTTCGATTTTCAACGGTTCAATGATAGAAATATTATTTTTTAATTTTTTTTTTAGAAAACATTTTTTATGACAAGCGTGTCATTTATTTCTTAACATATTTCATCATTCTTCAAGTTTTACATTTGTAATAGTTTTTTTTTTTTTTAATGGATAAAAACTGAAGTTAATATTCACTTAATACAAGTTTTTATATAAAATTGAGAGATTGATGAATCGTTAGAAAATTTAGATATTTGATATGATATTGTTCAATGATTACTGCAGATAAACAATACTATCGGACAGAAAAACGAACGAGGAATAAAAGAAGACAGACACAGACGGATAAGCGAACTGATAAGAGGACGGATAAGCGGACGGATAAGCGAGCGAATAATGATTCGATTTAATCCAATCGCCTTTTCTATCACATTTTCTTTTCCTTTCGGAATTGTTTATCATCGAATAAAAGCTGCTCGAGGCTAATGCAATTCAATTAATTTGCTCTTCTATGCACTTTAAATAAAGGATGGCAAAAAGGAAAAACACTGAGGGCATCAATGAAAATCAATGGTCCGAGAAAATGCTATAATATATGGTCAGCTTATATGTATGTCTATTTGTCCCTATATGTGTACATACACGTGTACGTGCATGTATACGTACATGTAAGTATGTACAGGTGCGTGGTGCGTCGTATGTGTGCATGTGTATTTGGTATATGTAGATGAATATATGGGTAAATGTTAATGAGTGTTAAGCCTAAAGGCATGCAACCATCGCTTATATTGATTATGCTGATGATAATTTCATCAGCACACACACACACATACACACACACACAACTATGCTTTTCATATATTTTTGCATTATTTTTCACTCACTGTTAATACTTTATCGTTAAAAGAATAAAAAAAAACTTTTTAAAATTATCGATGTGAATTTTCCACCTTTGTTTTCTTTAAAAAAAAAGATAAAAAATTCGTGAATTTAATTTTAATTTTATTTAAATTCTTCATTCTTTTATTCATTCAAAATTTTTTTTACTTTTCATTTTATTCATTTTTTTTTCATTTTATTCATTTTTTTTTTACTTTTCTTTTTTTCTTTTTCTTTTTTTTATTTTAATTGTTATTTAAATTTAGATTTTTAAAACTTATTTTTTATTTATTTTTTTTATATGATATTTACTAATATTTAAAATAATTCGACGAAAGAAAAAAAGGAAAAAAAGGAATGATCGTTGATTTTTATGCGAAACAATTCATTCGAATGCCTTCAAATTTTTCTTTATGTTCGCTTTTTTGTCGTATAAAGAAGGGATAAAGCGAATCCAAAGTAAAAGCCCAATAAAGCCAATATTATGAGCCTAAATAAGCCAAATAAGCCTAAAACAAAAAAATTTTTGTTCATTTTTTTCTCCAACAATCTTTTTACCATTATTGCTTTTTTTAAAAGCCAAAAATCTTTTATAAATAATATTTGATGTCCATTAAGCAATAAGTGAACCCACGCGAAAATCAATTCCCATTTGGGGATCTATCGCAACAAATATTTTCATCGATCTATGGAATATGCGATTTTTATTCCTTTTGGCAATTACTATTGTTTTTTTTTTTCATCGTGAAAAATGTGAATATTTTCTTCATAAATATTTTTAAAATATTATTAAATTTTTAATTAAAAAATAAATTATTAAAGAAATTTTCAAACAAAATTCAAAATTAAAAACAAAATTCCTTCAACTTTTTTTCATCGCCTTAACAGTATTTATCATTTTTATTTTGTTTTATTAGTCATTAATTGTAAATAACGAATCCCGAGTGGGAGAAGGTGCATTTGAGGTGAATGCCCTCAGCAATTGTTTGGCACGAAAAAAGAATTTACAAAAGATTCAATTGGCCAATTATGATTGGCAAATGTTTACTTTGAAGCAAAGTCTAACTAACTCGTTAAGTTTTATACACAAAGAAATTGATTCTTCAAGCGAAAATAAAAAATTTGAGGGGGCTATTATGGTACAAAAAAAGGAAAAACAATCGAGAACATTGAATTGAAGAAGGCAAAAAATATTTCTATTGAAGAAATGAAATTAGCGAAATATATGCAATGTTAATTCATTTGTTTATCGCTACGGGCAGTTCAGCTTTATTATCTTATTACTCATCGTATTTTAGTGAAATTTCATCATTTTATGATTTTATATATCAAAAATTCCAATCTTATTTTTGCGTCATGGAACCATCTGGCAGTTCTTGGAAGTCCTAAGGATCCTTTCGAACTGGAAAATTCATTTGCTATGAAAATATCTGCCATCAGTAAGGATGAACAAAAATGCTACTGCGGTTTGTTACTTGCATTCATCACTGGACGAAATGTTTCGTTAAGACATTAAATAAAGATATAAACTTCTGTCCGTATACAAAATCATAGAGTCTCTAATCTGTGAGCGCCAATTCAGTAACTCCTATTTTAATTATTTATCTTCTTTTAGAAGAACTTAGTTTCATATTAATAATTGATAATCTGTGATAATCTTTCAGCTTTATGATAAAAGTAAACTTTCAAAGCCAACGGAACAAATTATATAAACAAAATGATCATAAGCAATTTTGAATTTGCTAATACATTCAATAAATACTTCTCCAGTATATTTGTGAATAATTTAGTATAAAAAATGTAACAATATTTTAAAAAATGTGCAATCTCTTTAGCATTTCCTTTGTTTTCAATAATGGCATTCATCGGAAAATTTGAAATATAACTCCCATTTTTAAGAGAGAGAATACGTATAACTCTTCAAATTATTGGCCTATAAGTAAATTCAGTTAGTTCAACGTGTCACAGTGTTGGAAACACTGATTTGTATCGTATTGGCTATTTGATATCATCTTATCAACATGGTCTATGCAAAAAATTACGACACTTATGATTGGTCTAAGTCCGTCAACTGTGGCAAAATGGTGACGCTTATCTATGTCGATTTAGGGAAGGTATTTCATATTGTTTCGCATGGATAAGTTGCTGATAAGCGTCGTTAATAACGGCAAAATGGGAAATTTATATGAGCGGATATCATCGACGAAAGATTCCAAGCTTAATATTTAATCGAACCTGTCCGATCTTGCTTCTGCTATTCTTGCCACTGCATGATGCTGTAAATTCAAATTTCATGCCATATTCGATTTTTCCTTAAACACTATAAATAAATAATCGTAGAACATCATAATCATGTCTATGGAGCAATTTCACAGTTGGTTAATGGTGCAAGCAGTTGGAAAATTAATTAATATTTGCATTTGATAAACATTTCTTTATGTTTCATTTCACTGTTTACTAAAAGTTTGAACTTTTGCGCCAAAACTCATATCTTCAAGCTAAAAGAAGCCTTTTTTACCAAAAAAATTTCTACAATGGCAAGTGAAAAAAAAAGATGGTGAAAAATCGTCGAAATCGCTAATTTTGTTCATTATTTATTATAATTTTGCTAAAAATTTCAGCCTTTTAAGATTCCTATGCATAACTAGGCGGATTATAACGGCGCACTGGACTGTGACATGGATAAGATTCCTAATGCCTACTGCTATACAAATTATGGAGCGTTTAAACTCTTCACTCGACATTCTATTGTCTGTTATTAGCGGTTTGTATTCTTTTTTCATGTTCAATTGATAATTTTTCCTGAAAAACTTTTGCATTGAATATATTTAGGAATTTCACGTTTCGCGTCTACTGAAATATTTTTTTCGAGGTTAATCAATTAATCTTAATTAGGACTATAGGATTTCTTAGTTCCTTTTAGTTTTTCTTCAAACAACACCCACCATTTCCGAATTGGCTTTGCTAATAATTGCTATTAGAATGAGACTCTTCTACCAGAGCATCACATCGCGGTAGAAGTATTAGCATCGAATTGTGGGTTCTCAGGACTATTAGAATTTTTTTAAATTTAATGTTTCATATTCTTCTATTTGCGATCAGATTGAAATGAAATGGCATTCAACATTTCGCGGATATAAGCTTCAATTCGCGCTATCCGATAAGTATATATTTTATTTGCGCTCGTTGCCTTGCATTTTCATTTTTTGCTGAATAAAATTATCAAATTAGAATTTATTGAAATATACTTTTTCTTATTTTCAATCATAAATTAACCATTTTTAAATTTAATTGATAAATTTAATTGAAATTGTAAAGGAAAAATTTTTTTAGGAAATAGTAGTGAAGGAATTGCACCTTCACCTCAAAGTTCTGAAAAAAAACGCACTTCGGCGGACAATGCGATTTCGCAAAATATTTTAGAGAATATGGCAACTGTTGCATCAGGTTTTACTTTTTTTCAAGATTTATGATAGTAACGCAATGAAAATTGTATAAAATTAATTTTTTTCTAAAGATCACCTTTGAAAATATTTGTGTATTTCGATATTTCGTTTTACATTTTCTAAATTATATTCTTTTTTTTTTCGAAAAAAAATTTAGTTTCTTCACAAATTCCTTTCACGCCAACATCAGTTGGAACTAGCACAATGACTTTTCAAGTATCAGCCGATCAGCATTCCTCATATTACGAAAGCGAAAGTTCTACGCAGAATGCTCAGGATCGAATTATGTCAATAGTTTTTCACTTATAAATTATTCATTTGATATTAAAATTGGTCATTTTCCTCCCTCTTTACTTATTATTACGATGATAGGTAAACAAGCAATCGTCAGGTAGTTGTCGCTTGAGGTTAAAAGTGCAAATAGATCTCCAATAGCTGTGATGGGCTGATTGAACTACTCCACCATCCTATCTCCAGTCATTATTCAAATTTAGAACTGATTTATGAACCATTTGCATATGAGCTATGAATAGAAATAGTTTTAAATTTCAGTAATTACGTTTGCTGCAAACAACAACGATTAGAGATCTCTCATAATGACCATTCAATAGAAATATATGCTATGGGGCCATAAACTTTTTTTCGTAGATCACTTTGAAAGTCTGGTAAAACTTAGAGGCACATTCCTGAAATCTATGAATTTTCTCCTTCGAGCAAGCTTTTAACCTCTAAAATGTATAATAATAGAGTGAAAAAATAGAGTAATGCAGAAAATACTTGTGGTTTTTATCGGTGAATGCTATATTCGTAATTGAATGACATACTAAAATTAAGTTAAAGCATAGGTAAAGTAAGGAAATAGATATAAATTTTTCCCTATCTCAGTTCTTCTAAATCCTTTGAAGGGTTCCAGGCCAAGAGCCTTGATATGCATTTATGGAAAGATTAAAAGGAGAATAGAATACCTGAGTTGGTTCTTACTCAATCAATTCAGAGCGCCGATGCTAAGGTTCTATTTCCCAGAGGTACTATTCAAACGTATTTCTATCGCCAATAGATTCTCTTTGTTTAGTGTGACCAACTTAAGAAGTGAGTCTAACCAATAATGGTGAGGGCTCTTAAAAAAGTTCAAGCAATGTTCATAGTAGTCTGTTTTTAGTGATTGGCGTCCAACTCATCCACGATTATGTGCATTTCATGATTGTGTAAGTCTAGCGTCCGCATGGGGTTTAGGACCACCTACAACATCGCTTGAACCAAGGCCTACAGGTGCTTCACAGGCCCACAGTCCATCTGAAGATGATAATGGCGATGGAAAAAGTAACGATCTTCTCTCGAGTTGTCCAGCATTTAGGTTATTTTTCTTTTCAAGATTAAAGCGATGAATTTTATTTCGAAGTACGGAGGCAAAATTCTGTATTAAATGCCCTTTTGTTTATTTTATCATAATGTCATCAAATTCTGGCACAAAAATTTTTATTGTTTCTTTTTTATAAAGTAATTTAGAAATGAACTTGGTGATGAACCAATTCGTTATGTTGCTTTGACACGTTCCGCTGTTGAAACCAGTCACCATCTTTCCATTATAAATATTCCTGAACATGAAACATGGTTGTGTGAGCAAACAGCAGCAGAGGCCGGCATTTTAGAGGACGTCAGTAATGTTTATCTTGGTGGCAGGTAAAAATCTTTTTATTTTATTAAATTCTTTCTAATTCTTCTTTTATATTTTCTTTTTAATTTTCCTTTCCTTTATAAAATCGATAGAGATCTTCAGCAAATTTTTTGGTTTTTTTTGTGATTAGCTATCAATTCATAGGATATTTATAGTTGTCGGAAGCGAGGTACTTCCTTTTTTAGAGACATCAGAACAGGTTGGTCATATAATGAGATAGTTTAGTTATTGAAAACAATAACAGATAAGTTCCTTTAAAAGGTCCATAAATTTACTAATGATTAAGCTGTTGGGTGGACGCAATATTGTCGGTGAAGATATGAATGAGAAATGTTCCTTGGTGTTTTCAATGCTCTGTTTAACTGCATAAAGTACTTTAAGATTGTGTGCAGCGCGTCAGCCAAAAATCGTTATTGAACCTCAAGATATTGGATCTTATTACTACAGGCACTGTTTCGTCGGCAGACGTTAGTTGCTCAAAATCAAGTCTTATATAGGAATTATTAAAATATTTCTCCTTTTTTTTCAGTATTTTGCCAATGTATTGATATTGATATATTGATATATGCAGTAACCACGTTTAAAATTTTGAATTAAATTACTTAATTACTTTAAATTCACTTTAAGTTTATTATTTTGATTCTGCCTAAATGGTGGGCGGTTTCACTTACCATATTATTTGCAGAGCATCACAATTTCTTTGGTGTTGACGAGAACTATGGTCCGATAGCAGTTTCAATGGTTCGAGAAACAGCTGAACGCGTAGAAGATGGTGTGATTCAACCATTAAGCATTTATAGAATGATCATTCGTATAAGCGATGTAAGGAGATCTTATATATTTCTTACAACCTTTCGAGCTTCGGTCATTTAGGTGGGTAAATAAAATAACATGCACCAACTTTAATCGCAGCATACAAAGGTGACATTGCAGAAGTAACTCATTTCTGGGGTTTGCCTTATATAGTGAAGCATTGACTGCAACGTGGAAGACCATGCCACAGATTTTAATAGATCTGTTCGTTTATTGTAATTTGAACACTTAGTGATTAGAGTAAATCGTTTTTCTGTGGTACCGAAAGTAGTATTTATTTATTGATATTGATCACAGAATTGCCAGAAAAAATTTGCTTTTATTTTTAGCTTCGAATTTTTCGTGTTGCTGTGCCAGAAGAAGTTGTTACAGATGGCGTGGAGCAGAAAAGTATTCGAGCATTAATGCGTGACCTTCTTGAAATTGTTTGTCCGCAAATTCAATTCAGCTGCCTTCGACCAGCTACTTCGAATCGAATTGAAGAGCTCCTGACTAAGATCGACGAACAAGTCCGTAACATTCTAATATATTCAGTAAAAGCCGAATTTTTTCATTTTGCACAAGTCTAGTATAATAGAAGGATTAATGAATTTTGATTCTTTAAGCAACTGTGATCATGGAAATTCAGGTTGAGCCTACTCGGATTACATGCAGTATATGACATAGTGTTTGAATATTTATCGTACTTTCATAGTTTTATCTATTTAGCCAATTTACACGAGATATAAAGTTGGCGTTATGTACTGTGGTGAAGGCCAGTCAACTGAAGAAGAAATGTATAATAATGGTAAGCGAGCAAATTAGTTTTACTAATTTTCGTGTCTTAGGGCGAGAATTAAAACTCACTGAGCAAGCAACTTGGTTAAGAACCATGAATTGATAAAATGAAGGATTATAAAAGTTATGTGGTGATAAGTTGCAGAACATGGTTCGCCATTATTTGAAGAATTTCTTGATTTCTTGGGCCAACGAATCCGGCTAAAATGCTTTGATCAATATAAAGGAGGCTTAGATGTCCGAGGCGACACTACTGGCACACATTCAATTTATGCCGAGTATCAGGCTCACGAAATTATGTTCCATGTATCAACCATGTTGCCTTTCACTCCAAGCAATAAACAACAAGTTAGTTAGGAAATTGAAAATTTTTTTATTTTTTCAATTTTAAATATTTTTTTTCAACAATGATGCATCAATTTTTGATGGTGATGTTATTTATGTACTTCTGTCGCCAAGTGACTCCCTAGCAAAATTTATCTGGTCTAACAAATCAGCGGAATGAATCTGACTGGAAACACTCGTTGAAAAAAATTCTGCATTATCATATCTCCACACCAATTACATTTTCTTATTAAGATTACAAATTCGATTTAGAATCTTCGATGATTCTGTTCATGATTCTGTTTCTGATGATTCAGTATTTTATACATTTTCTTTTTTCGTGTGAATAACTTAGGTCAGTATTTTACTTTGACTGAGTTCAAGCGTAGGCTCGATCGCCGTTTGAAAATCTGCTGCGAAATTAAGGTGGTTGTAGACGATCAACGGTGCATTTCTATCCTCGAGTAATCCTGATATATGAGGGTAAACGATGTTATTAGAAGTGGCCCATTTTCAATATGTGCTTTAATTTTTTTATTATAGTTGGCTCGTAAGCGTCATATTGGAAATGATATGGTTACCATTATTTTTCAAGAGCCTGGCGCTCAACCATTCACTCCAATCACTGTACGCTCGCATTTCCAACATGTTTTTATAATCGTTCGAGCCAATCCACGTAATTCCGGAGAAGATGCTACTTATACGTTAGTCTAAGTTTTTTCAGTTGAACTTGCTTGAAATTTTAATATAATTTTAATATTACTAGAAATTTTAATATATTATTTGAAATTCGAATTTTAATTTTAAAATTTTTATATTCCGGCTTCTATAAAATATTCAAATATTTTAAAACATTTAATTTACCATATTTTTAAAGATATTTATATTAATATTAATTTATATTATTTGTACTATGATATGTGTGTTAATTTTTTCGGCTTTTTATGCTTGTATTTACTTTTAGTGTTGCGGTGTCTCGAGCGAAAGATGTTCCTTCCTTTGGACCTCCAATACCACGAGGGGCCACATTTCAAAAATGCACTGAATTTCATGATTTTTTGCTCACAAAGAGTAATTTTTTAAAAATTTCTTCTATCTAAAATATTAAATATTCGAAAAAGTTATTCGTTTGTAAAGCGATTATATAGATAACAACAAATACCTTAGTTTGTACCGCTCTAATAGTGAATGCATATTTAAATAATAGTAACTTGTCGAACTAAAAGTCTGGCAGAATAGGAATGCATAAGACTTGAATGTGAATTTGAGTCTGAATTAAAAAAAAAGGAAATCAAGATATAACAAATTTCGCCAAATTGCTAATATTTATTTGAAGTAATAAATGCGGAAAATGCGGTACATCGCTCGAAAAAGTTCGCAACAATGGCAGCTCGAGCCAGGCGAGAAGCCTTGAAAGAGCTTGCTGAAAACTTCGTTGCAGCGCATCCAAACGAAGGACCTTCAAGAATCGCTAGTAAGTTTTGGAATTTTTTACATATTTTGGTTTAATTTTTTTTATAGAGATATTCATTTGTCGAGATAATGTTCATTATCTCTGTAATTCTTTTGTTTTCTTCTTTACCTAGTTTATTATATTTTTAAAATTATTTTTTCTATCTCAAATAAGACCAAATAAAAACTAAATCGAATTTATTAGTAGTGTAAGTTGCATCCATGGATCTCTGGAACTTTTTAATTTGGCATATCCCTATTATGAATGCCGTGGCTTTAACCAAATGAATATGGCTTTGCAATAATAAACTATAAATGTTGAATACCCAAGAAAAATGAGCACTTATGATAGTCCTTAACAATTCGTGTAATTTTTTTTTTTCCATTGTAACAAGAGAAGCCTTTAACGCAAAGCCTGATTCGTTAGCTTCTCCACAATGCTACGGGCAAAACAAAATTGAATAAATATTAAGTAACAATGCAAAGGTACTAAAATATTATCGACTCAACCTGCCTAGTTACAAAGATCAATCACCTTCAGTTGTTCCAAAAATTCGATTATTCGATTCGAGTTTTTCGATTATATTATCTAATTTTGGTTTATGATAAAGATACTTGGTCAGGTCGATTTCTTGGTGGCTCAATGAAAAGAAAAGAACGTATTCAACCAAAGCCACAACTTGGAGAATGCCTACGAGGTGCCCTTTCTTGGCTGGTTGACGTACATGAATATACAATGAACCAGCGTATCACTTGTATTCTAGGAGTATCTGCTGAAACTCTTGTCCTCCTTGAAATACCTACTGGTATAGTGATATTCACGACCTCCACTCATTCAATCATTGGATGGGCAAATACTGATATGGGGTATGATTTTGCAAATGTAATAATTTGCTATGTTGAGCAAAACAGAATTCATATTTCTTTTGACCAAATTTTTCTATAATTTTTCTCATTCTCCCTTAAATATGTTTCATCATCTGTCCTCCTAATGTAATTGTTTCTCCCTGTCCGCATCCAAAGTACCAGTTTTATTTAAAACATTGTTAATATCTTAAATCTCCAATTTAACCCTTTCGCATTCAGTTGCAGCCCACTCATTTATCGTTGCAATATTGTAGAAATTTATTGTAAAATACATTTGTTTCATTAATCAAAAGAAATAAGGCGCAATTTTTTGGGATGGATTTTCGAAATTTTTAGCTTGAAGATCTATTACGACCATGGACAAATGCTTTTACTTCGTTGTTGTACCACTGATGGCTCAGACACTGAATTGACGACGCTCTTAAGGAGGCTTGAATGCGTGACGAAAGGTATACTTTTATCGAAAAATTCCTGTAAAATTCCTGTAAAATTTCCTGTAAAATCAAAAATTGATATAGAAAATAAAATAAAGTAACTTAATCACTAATTCAAATTTTAAAAAAAAATTTAAATTTAAAAATTTTTAAATTAAAAATTTTTAAAAATTAAAAATTTTAAACTCATCAAATTTTTGAATTGATGGAATCCCCTTAATATTGCAGGTGTTGAAGCAAAAGAAATCGTTCACCACAAAGGGAAAAAAACTAATGATCTCGGCTTCCATTTGCAAGAAGAAGGTGTTGTAACTGATGTTGAAATGTATCAAACAGCTTGGAAGTCAGGCCTAAGACAAGGATCACGATTAGTTGAAGTATTTCGAAAATACTCTTTAAAATTTTTGTTGATTATATAAATTTTCAATTTGTGAGAGAATAGAAAGTTGATAGAGCAAATTAATTTTTCCTTTTTTTTTTTTTAGCAAAGCTCACTATTTCTTGTTAGACTCATCTCGTTGGCCAGGTAAATTTTGCCAGCGAATCCTTGGTTTGGCGATAGAAGTACAATTGAGTCACCGTTTTTTTGAAAAACTGCTGCTTCCAGGAGTGGAGCCCCAGTTCCCAGATAAAAGCAACAAGCCATTGAGCTATTTTACTATAATAGAAACAAATATGCTTTATCTTTGGTTAATTAACTGCTTTTAGATTGAAGGCAAACCCGTAATAACGCTCTGCTATGAAGAAATATGTGAAATTCTTGCCAATAATATAACATTACGCTTAGTAATGATTCCACCAGCTTTGGACGGATCACCAAGGCGAGGATGCGAGGATCCAAACTGTCCAGCAATTAAAGGCGATGGAAATATTATGCTAACGCCAGATACTTTTGCGAAGCAACCAGTAAGGTGTGTTAACTGTGTTATAATCAAATATTCAAACATTGCTGAGTGGTATTCGACTAATGTTGAAATACCATAGGTTCGATTTCTCTAGTGGCTTTTGAGGGTTGTTTGTCTTTTGCTTGCTTTTGTCTAGAGCGTCCTAATAACCAGTAGAACCAGTCAAGCTAAAAGAAATTGGCTGCTTGAGTCCTTCAAAGTGGTTGAATCCATTTTGTTTTTTTTGTTTTTTCAGTTATTATGACATGTTGAATAGAAATAAGCGTAAACAAGAAGAGGATCGATTATTTGCTTGTGGCACTGAAACCAAAGCAGCTAATAAACGACCGCTGGTAAGACGGGTACCCTTTTTGCCAACTTTTATGAAATCAAATTATTTTATTCGCAAGAGATTGAACAAAAAGGACTCGTAGGACTCGTTGAAACTTAAAAACCAAATTAATGTGAAAATCTCCTTCCATGAAACAGTTAACTGAGTTATTTTAATAGCCGAATAAGTCTCTAATATAATTTATAATTTAAAAAAAATTAGAAAAATTTCTACCTATTTCACTTTTCAGGATTTGAATAAATCGCCTTCGTCAGTTAAACAGAATAATCGAATTATTCAAGCCATTTATGCTGATTGCAGGTAATATTAACCTCATGAAAATGGTAATCGATGGATTTAATTTAGGTGGATGCAGAATATGTAGTAGGACACCTGATTGTTGTAGCCTTCCTATGGCAAAGTTAGTTGATTATTAGAATAATGACGCCTTAAGTCAAAGGTTATCGATCACAATGATTAATCTTAGCACTTTTGAGCCAACAAACAACAAGGTGAAGCGGCAAATAAAAATGACCTGAATACTCTAATCTAGGACAAAATTCAACATATGATCGGCCTGCAGATCTTTTGTTCGATTTGAGGTCCATGATTGAACCTTATATATAAAATATTTCAGCTAGTGATTTGCGGTAATAAATTAAATTAAAGCGAACATATTTGAATTTTAGTGAGAATATATCAGCTGATTTCACAGATGATTGTTGCCTCAAAAGTTTCGACTCGCAAATAAAGGTAGAAATATAATTTAATATAATCGAAATTTCATTTCATAACGATTATTTAATTTTGCAATGGCAGTATTTCTTCCAGAATTTATTATTCTAGTTTATTTTTTATCATATTAAGGCCACTATATATGAAAAAATCCCTTTCTCACCGACTGTGGATGGTATGGGCCATCCTCAAACTCGGATCCTCTGCTAGAGGCTGGGGAGATTGTGGGTTCTACGCAATATCTTAACTTTTTCTAGCAATGCGCTCTTCTGGGTAGAGATTTTGTTTCTGGAATCTATTAAGGTCAATTTTTCAATCTGGGGTCACAACTCCTACCACACTGGGGCTATATATATATATATATATATATACTTTTTTGTTGGTGCTTTATAAATCTGTGTCGAGTATTTCTGAAAGTGATATAATTTTCACTGCCTTCAAAAAAAGTTTGACCATCGAAACACAACAATGATTTTCGCGTTGTGTTCAATCATTTTCATCAGGTTTTTCTAGAAGCTTTTCGTTACTTCTTCTTCTAACAGCTCTCACCATTACTGGTTAGGCTGACTCCAACGGCTACAAGGGTAAGACGCTTCCAAACGGCGCGGTCTGATGCTATCGTCGACATTAATAGAAGTCATTCCTTTTTCTATCATCTAAATCCATATATTTCTGGTCCACCTATACGTTCAAAATCTTTTCTAATCGTATCTAGTCCAGATCTTGATTGGCCCACCTTGTTTTCGACGCCACCCATCAGACAGCTTAGCAAGTTTTCATTACCTTGTGCTACATTTACAAAATTTGCCTTTTACGAAACTTATGCTATACTGAATTATATATTATATATTTTGTAATTATATATTATATACTGTATATACTTTGGATCGTTTAGTAATGTGTAAAAAGCAAAATAAAGCGAGTGATCTAGTATTTGATAAATTTCACCTTATAAATTTTCAGGAGGATCACTTAGTAGATTCAGATGAAATTCCGTCAACGAAAGATTTATGTGAGCTGAAAGAACTGCCAAATGTAATGAAGCATTAACACTTAGTTCTTTTATTTCTTTTTTTGTCTTTTTGATCTATAAGGCATCCATTAGTGGAAGTGGAAAATAGCAGTCCTTTAGTACTGAAACAAGGAGAATTGATTTTCGTTATATTGTAACTGATCGTGGATCGCAAATGAACTAAAATTTTATCGTTTATCCATTATCCTACTTTTCCAACTTTTGATGAGTGGTGGTGAGATTTTCAGATATCATGCGTTGTATGATATCTGAGGTTTGAATCGATTTATTCAGTTCCATAAAAGCCCGAATTTAAATAGTTACTGAAAGGATCGGCATATTTTCTCATATATGCACGCTATTTTGCCGAATGAATTTACATTTTAGGCCAATTTGCCTTGTGATGTGATTAAGCAGAATGAAAAGGATGAAGGAAGTCAGTCTTGTACAAATGCGAATAGCATAAAGCTTGGCAAATATCATCTAAGGCTTCAAAAGCTGATGCAAGAGAAGAAAAATCTTGAACTCATTGTCGAACAGTTGAGGGCCGAATTAGCAGAGGTAAATTCGATAAATTTTTTGAATTCGACCAATTCATGCAACAAATTATGTATTCACTGAGTAGCTTTATATGAATTTGTTATAATTATATCACAGTCACAAATATGGAATTAGTAAAACCTGGGCTGAAGTGACTGCTAATCGATACATTTTCGGGAAATCTTCGATGGATATTTTACCAAATTGCTAGTTATTTCCGTATGAGTTAATGATTTTTAAGTGATATATACTGAAAAAGATCTGCACTTCGTATAAGATAAATCGTCACATCGATGCACCACTCAGTCTCCTCACGAAAATTATTTGCCTCAAACTTGTTGAAAAGAGTGATTCGAGGTGAATGACATTGATTCAGATGATGAATAGGAAAGTTATATTTCCATCCTGGTTCTATATATTTTCATTTTTTAGGAACGTAAATCGCATGAAATGACGAAACGGGATTTGGACATGTTGAAGAACAGGCTGGCGTCATCTTCACTTGGCGCAGTATAATTTATATATCTTCTGTCTATATAGATCATTTGAAAGTGAAACGAAAATCAAACGATTTTCAATATCAAATTTTACATTTTCATACTCTCAAATTAGTTGTATTCTATGATGCATATCGATAAATTAGTAAAAATATTTATATGATATGGTTTTCTTTATGCCTCAAAATGTGGTGAATTCAATGCGATCCGCAACTTTTAAAAATTATTAACTTTTATTTTGAGGAATAAGGAAACCAATAATTCTCTTATAAGTAATATTTACTTATTTTTATTTTTTCCATACAATTTGGTGCAATATTTTGATTTAAAAATTCAGTTTATTGCAATAGATTTCAACGAGTAGTTTCGCTCATTTTTGTTAGATTCTTCGAAGAAACCAAATTATAAAAATTTGGATTTTGTATTTTAAGAAATAAATAAAAAGTTGTTGGGAAATAATTTTTGTTAACAATTTCAATATTTTAAAATGAAACTGACTTACGATGAAAATTTCAAAAAAAATGTTCGAAATCATTTTATTTGAATGGAACATCGTTTGAGTATTTTGAAAAAAATACGTCGTTGGGAATTCGAAAAATGAAGAAAATGCGCAAACAAATGTGAAAAAAAATTTACCCACTATTATGCGAGAACAAACATATGAGCAATTTGTTATGAATTTTTGGTTTCTGCTAATAATGCGAGGATGTTTTTTCACAGAAACTTGAAACCTCATAGAGTGCCCACAGTTAATTTCTTCAACGAAAGCTTATTTTTCACTGTCGATGCGAAGAATGATTGGCTCAGCGTGTTGTTACTTCAATTCTAAGCGCCAATGTTACTTCTCGCAGGAGTAAGCCTGTCCAAAAATCTGGTGCTGGCGAAGCACATATACTTTTATGGTCAAGGGGCTCCTTAGCATATTTGTCTCGTGCAACAAACCAGCGAATCAAGTTTAACCAGTAATATTGCTCTTATGTTGGAGCATTGATGCTGAGATTCCTACTCCTGGTAAATCAAGTGATATGCAAGGAATACCCTGTCATTTTGTTTAGTCCGACAAGTTAAGGGAGTGAACAGAACCAGGAATGATGAGGGCTCTTAGGAAAAATTCTGGAAGTGAAAAACGCATTTAGTTTAAGCATCCATGAAATTTTATATCAATATAAAGCTCATAAAATTAAAATTATTTATCAGACCACTAAATTCTTAACTGAATTTGAACTTTTAAAACCACATCTTTTGGAAGAGAGAAAGTTAACTGCAAAAAATTGAAAGCTTTCGATGTATATATATAAGTTTAGTTGACTGAAATGAAGCAGAGAATTCAAACGAAAAAACAAGTCAATATAAATTTTATAGCAAATTTTCCGTGATATAACCGTGAATGATTACTCGGTGTCAAATATGACAATTGTGGAACTAACAATTTTGTTAAGCAAATATATGAGATTTATGACAGTTTTGGACTAAACAAATTTTAATTAGGAGGTGCGCCTGGTTCGTATTTGTGAGTTTACTTTTATAAAAGTTCTATGCTATTTATAGAATTTTCTAAAATATGTTTGTAATATATCGGAGAATATTTAATTCCCTCATTCCTACAGGCTTTTATCTATTATGCACTGACATTTAAGAATGAAATCTGTTCTTTTCGAAGGATAAGTAAAAATTCTTTCAAAAATTCTTTGCAGTAAGCCAAATTTTCGATTTCACTAAGTTGTTTGGGGAATTGAAATTTGAAATTTTCTACTAGCTAATACCACGAATTCTGGTCGAAAATATGGTTATTTTTCCAGCATTTCGAAACCCTTCACAATAACCCTTTAATATCATTCAATATTATCAAAAATACACAGAATTTGCTTCATTTTTCACGGTACAATAGCTAATTAAACAATATTTGTTGAGATTGCGTTATAGGCATTTCGGTCTTTGCCTTTCATTTTATTCATATATACATTTATTGTATCAGCGTTACATATTACTCAGCGTATTTTATTGGCACAAATGAACATTCAACAAATCATTTTCATTTTTTCTTCGGTTTTGTAAGGTAAAATTTTTAGTCATATTTAGTCAAGGCGGATTATTTAGTTGAATTAAAAACAATAATTAATAATAATAATAGACTAGACTATTTATTTCGAATATTGCAATAATAATGATAATAACATTAAAAATGATATTAATAATGATTAAATAATAAATAATTGTAATAAAAATAATAATGAAAGATGAAATGAATAAAAATGTTGAAAAATGCCAATTTCTTGAGATCGAAATGTTTTAAAAAAAGATTCAACTGAGTCTCGAGTTTCGCTAATTTGTCTTTTCGCAATTTTCGCTGTATTAGCTTAATTGAACGTTTGGCAAAATTCGGAAAATTCACGGGTGATGAGTAACCAAAAAGAATATATGATTTATATAACACACATCTATTTGTATTATCAAACGATAAAATAATATTTATTCATAAAAATCCATTCAATATAATTGTCCTAATTTTGTTGAAAAAAAGGCACTGTAAGAATCGTAGAATGATCATTTAGGTACAACACATATACAGTGCCTACACAAAACATAAAAAGTTGGCGCCACAAAAAATTTATCAGTTGGAGTTTTTTGGTTATCAATTTCTAACTGGCTACTGCCAAGTTTAAAAAAAACTAGGAAAATAACAGAGAAATCAAAGCATTTTACATCGTAAGTCAAATAATAGTTCAGTCAAATAGATCAGTCAAATAATTATAAATTCATGAAAGCATTAAGCACGAACTTAAAATATAACCCTTAGGCAATAAAATTTAAATGAAATACGTTTAAAAATTAAATAGCAATTTAATAACAAAAGTGCTAATGATTGCAATTTTGACTGTAGTAAAATTATCCGTTTTAATACGTTCCTTCTTAGTTCATTATCAGCCCCATTCAACAACCCCTTAGACTATTTATTTCGAATATTGCAATACGGTCTTATAGGTCGAAGTAAATCTATCACTAAAAAATCCTGGTGACCACTTACCCGGAAATCTTGTCGTGTTTTTACTAACAAGCTAGTGGATTAGTTTACCAGAAATGGGCAAAAGTGAACGCTAACTACTCATTTAAAATCTCCTTTTTTGGGGTCAGTTATATCCACTGACTATTGGAAATAGAGTCATCTTGAGAATGAAATAAAGGTGTGTTTCCTACCACCATCTAAATTATATTTTAAATAGTTTAGTCATATTAAAAGAGCGGAATCGGAACTTATATATTTAATTGAAGCAGAGTAACACTGGAGCGTTCATACTTTCCATACTTTATTTATAATTTTTTTGCGATTTAATCGAATTAGGCGTCATGGACGAGGTAACTAATATCAACAGACAATAAAATTTAATTTTGTCATATAAATTAGTCTGCAATTGAAGAAGTTCGAAAATTATGCTGGGCACAAAAAGTGAGAAATACGCAAGTGTAGATTGGTAAAAAAGAAGTTATTGTAGGAAAATTTATTGTGTGGTACCAAAGAAGAATGAGGCAGCTATACTAGCAAAGATTCGAATCTGTACTCATCGAATCAATAGCCATGGATTATAATTTTAGTACTTTATAAACATTTATCATTTGATCAGTCCATGTCTAAATGAAATTGATTTATTGATAAAGTTTTTAAATTTTAAATTATTTGTAGAAATATTATTATTGTTAATCAATACTACTCAAAATTCATCAATAAAAATAATTCGATAGGGTGGATGTTTCGCGAAAAGAAAAATTCTACTTTTTCATTTCGTAATTGCCAAATGTATTTAGATTGCCATCTCGAGTCGACCTGGTTGATAAATTGAGTTAAGGCGGCAGAAGTAAAAAAGAAATCTTTCTTTCATTTCATTTTTGCAACTTCGAGTCGAGCTCAATGCTTTTGTGTCATTTTTCTAGATGATACGATAAGGTGAAAGATGACTTTCTTTGCAAAAATTTCGGAAAATTTTCATATTACTTTATTTTTTAATGATATTTGTACAGCTTCAGCTTCACTCATTCAGATCGTTTTTTCTTTCTCAATTTTTTTGAATTGCAAATGTGTCCAGTAAATCTGCTTTGACACCGAATTTATCTCGCTTTATTCATTCAACATTTTTTTTTCTAACCAACTTTTCAACTTTTTTTAGATCTTTAAACTTTTATCATTTTTTTCATTCATTTTTTGTCGAAATTATTCGGGAAAATTGATAAGATTGATAAAATTGATACCAAATAATTTTAATCACCCGAATTTTGTTCATTCGAATTCGAAGTTAATGTAAGGTTTAGAATATTGGTAATGCAAATGGTCGATGATAAAAAGACGGATGGATTTGCTGTCGATTAGATCATTCGATTCAGTTGAACTGGCAAACAGATCAAATTATTTTCGAAAATTTTATTATTTTCTTTGATCTATTTTTTAATTTGAAAGAAACTTTTTGATTCATTTTTCATTTTATGAAAAAAATCAATCTTTTTTTCCAAATTATTAAGCTTTTGAACGAAATCACTAGTTATTCGATATTTCGGTTCTAAAATTTTACAGATTTTTTTTAGTTAATTAGCACTTTCTGATTGTTGCCAATAGTGGTTGGTGCGCATGATTCTTTCATGTGCAAAACAACTTTTTTGAACTATTCTAGTTTTCACATATTTTCGAACGAATACGCGTTTTAAAGATGAACACGAAGTTCCATAAATGTCCAGTTTGATATGATCGGTTTAGGATTTTATTCACATTGAAGTTGCTTGCTTTTTTTTGTTTAATTTGTCATCCATATGTTATATTACTATCAAAGCATTTACATTCATATTTTATTTATTTATTTATTTATTCTTTCTAAGATTGCTCATCATTTCTGATAAGGCTCGCTGCGTTGGCTTGTCGGTCCTGACAAATTTTGCTAGACAGTCACTGCGCGATAAAAGTACAGGTGAACTGCCAGCATTATTTGGATTTTTGAAAAACAGATTCCCTTCTGATAGGAGTAGAACCACAGTATCGGCGGTTCGAAATTAGACTGATGACTCATTTAGTAATCATTATTCTATCTTCTCCTCACACCCGCCACTACGGATTTATATACGATATTGAAGTTTTTTAAGTTAGTATCACCGATACACAATCTTTACTAAAGAGTGAGTTTTTTTTTATCTTTAAAATTTATCTATTTTGCTTATCTTAAATTATATTTAAAATTTGTTAATTATTATTCATAAATCCAGCAATGTATTTCAAAAAATAAATAAAAATTGTGGAAAAATCGAAAAGAAATACTTTAATTATATTCGTATGAATATTAATGAAGGTTAAATTTTTACAATAATTTTATGTAAAATGATGGAAAATATAAGTGTATATGAAGTGATTATGATAATATGATAATTTGAAAAAAAGAATTAAAACAAAATATATATCAATAATCAATTTTTTCTAGAGAACGAAAAAAAAAATTTTTGGGTTCATAGAAAACAAACAGACAAACGTTGATTGAGAAGTGCAGTCTATATTAACGGTAAAAAACTGATTTCAGAATGACTGTTTCATACAATTTAAATTTATCAACATCAAAACCATGGGCACAATTTCGTTTATTGCTTCGATGGAGAGGAAGTATTTGGAAGCTCGTACTTACTGAGTGCCTTATATTCTATTTTACTTATACGATCATCAATATTTTTTGTACATTCGTATTAGCACCTCACACTAAAGAGTGAGTTTTTTTTATCTTTAAAATTTCATATTCTCTGCTTTGATTCATTTTTTGCAGATTTTTTTTTTTTGATCAGTATTAGGGTAATTAATTTTGAGCGAATGCATATTATTAAAAACATTTATCTTCTTGCATTCTTTTATTAATCAAATCCAAGTTGTTGGGTTTGATAAAAGCTTAGTTTTATCTACGAATTCTAAATCCTTAATTGAATCTCTGACAAAAAAATTTTACGCTATTAGTCAGCTAACAAATCCAGGAATTATAAAAGATATTGGAGAGAAAAAAATCATTATTGCTACTTTTTTTTATAACGAAAAGGCTATTTAAAGCACAGTGAACGGAAGAACTGCAAAGATTTGACGAAGCAATAATCCTTCGGAATAAATTTATTGGAATTTTACTCGAACAACTAGGTTTACTGTTTGTTTTATATGTTCACTATAGAAATTATTTAGACGACTGATCGAATTTATAAAATGGTTAAATCCATCGAATAAATATTCATTCTTCATCCCATTAGAATTTATGTTAGGCTTTTTCGTCACAGCTATACTTCAGCGATGGTCAACTGCGTTGAACAATCTGGCGTTCATTGACCGGTATGACTATACGATATTTTTATCATTTATCTAATTCCTTATAGCTAATTACGCGATTTTTATCATTCCCACTATCGTTTTGAAAGTATATCGTAACATTTAAATTTTGCCTTCGCGACGTTGTCTTTCTTTAACCATTTGCTTACTACTAAAGTAATCCAGATTTGATTCTTGAAAGACCGTATATCTTCTTTTTTGAAACGGAGTGATTTTTAGTATAGCTGTAGCGATTGCCGGTTATATTCACGGTACATCAGAAAAATGTAGAATTATCCGTCGAAATATTATTCGCTATATGTGTTTATGCGAGGTACTCGTTTTTCGAGATATAAGTCTGCCTGTACGAAAAAGATTTCCAACCATTGATACAATCGTAGCCGCAGGTGATTTATTGTTTTTTTGATTCTATAATAGTTCTGATAATTCTATAATTTTGATAATGATAATCGCCTAAATGATGTATTTCATTTGCAATATGAAAGAAATTTGATATTATTCACATTTGTTAATTATGAAATGGTATTAATGTGCTTCATTTAGGTTTTATGCTACCCCATGAGAAAGAAATTTTCGACTCGTTTGAAACCACCTACCCAAAATATTGGGTACCACTACAATGGGCAAATTTACTTGTTTACAAGGCAAGAACAGAAAATTTAATAATTAGTGATATTTTCTGTGAACAAATCTTTGAGGTAATAATCATTTTGAATATTTGACGAATTTCTAAATCTTGTAAATATATATTTTAACAATATTTTCTACAAAATTAGACATAATTTATCTGCTTTTTTGGATAATCGCTTTGCTTAGGAAGTTTTACTTTTTTTAAAAAGGGAATGCTAAGTTGAATTCAGGAAATTAGGAGTTTTCGAGCAAATCTTGGAGAAGTACTTAAAGTGGATTGGGTGCCATTACCGTTGGCTTATCCACAACTGATCTATTTAGCTGTACATGTACATTTTATATTAAGTTTGATATCCAAACAGGAGCTAGATGCGGAATGGTGGGTATGCTTTTTTAGATTTCATTGTTTGATCACATAAGGATTTTCGAAAAATTTCATATCATGCAGAATTTCTACTTGATTTTTACCGTTTGATTAACTTTGCTTGAGATACAAGGATTTTCAAAAGAAAGCCAGAAATTAGAGATTTTTAGAAATTTTATGGTTGCATTCTGAATCCAAATATATCCATAATCACTCGTTTACGCAAATATTTTGAATTTCAGTTCCCGAAATGGATACCTCTGATAACTCTGGTTCAATTTTTTTTTTATATGGCTTGGACAAAAGTAGCAATGGTTTTGATAAATCCATTTGGTGAAGATGACGATGATTTTGAAACAAATTTTTTAATTGACAGGAACATCAAAGTAATTAAAGTTCGATTGAGTAGAAAATGTCAAGTTGTGGTCTTTTCATGTGATATTAAACTGGTGATAAACTTTATGTGAAATTTTATTAAATATCATGGAAATATCATGGATAAAATTATAGATTGGAATTTTAATAGTAGATGAAGGTTATGGAGTTGTACCTGAACAAAAACGCGATATTTTCTGGGGCAATAGGGTCGATCCATTATACAGCGAAGAATCTGCCAAAACAACTGCTAATCAAGCAAATACTCTAGTCGGATCCGCAACGGGTTTAACGTAAATTTTTGGATACTATTACCACTTCAATTCTACTTTAAAAAATCAATTTTGAAATTAGAAATTCTGAAATTTATTCTGAAATTTACAGTTTGCCAGAAAATGTAAGCAAAATACTTATGATGCCTTTGAACAATAATGATGATGACGATGAATTAATGGAAGCGAATAAATTTACGAAACGTTATAGTATTGTACAAATTCCACGGTCAGTAATCAGTAAATTACTTATTGTCTAATGAACTTATCCATCAGATCGAATAGCTTGGAAACGTCTTATCCTTGTAGCTAGTGCAGCCAGCTTAACCAGTAATGGCAATAGTTGTTAGAAGAAAAACTTATCCATTTTCAATACTTATCCATACTCTATCTAAATAATTGCTCTTATAGAAGTGAAAGGAAACAATCATGTCACCATTCACCATTGATCGGACAATTCCGTCGTAGAAGATCAAGTAAAAAAATGTACGTTAATTGAAAGCCTAAAATATTTTTCAATATGAATTTATCATCAAATTCTCAATTTTGTCCACAAAAATAATTGGATCACTATAACAGTACTGCTTAAGGGAGAAAATAAACGAAGGGATTCCATCTATTGTGACCAATTCGGTTGGTGATCGTGAAACTGGCTGCCTTAATACGATATTTCTCATTGAGGAACCAAGTATGATAACTATAAATTGTACAGACTTCGGTCAAAGAAAAGTTGATTTTAAACACTAAACCTTACAACAAAGGCTCTGAAAAATATTTATACTTTCATATTTCAAATAAAGAAATTAGTGAAACAATAGCTTGAAGTGAATTGAGATAAAATGAAAAAAATTGTATCTGCTATACAACGGACCAACTTTCAGATGAGCTCGACGTACCATCCTTAGACCAAGCAAAAAAATTGCAAGGTCCAGAATCCACATGAAAATCAACTATATAAAATCAACTATCCCAACCGTCATCGATATGTGAAAGGAGAACCAGTAGTGTTTGCAGCCACTATCAATTTATATTAAAATTTTTTTCATATTTTTAATAAATTCATTAAATATGCATTCTAACACTTAGATAACCGAACTTGTGCAGATATCACGAATCATCAAATTTGCTTTCAGTGATAAGTTTCAAGATTCAAGCCATTGTAAAATTAATTCGTATCATTTGACAGGGTATATGTCATTGAAAATGAATAGTTATACTAGCAACTCATTTTAATATTTCTATTCCTAAGTCTTATAGATAGCGGAACCAAATTAGGGGCAAGCCAATTAAACCAGAAATGGTGATTCTCATATATTCATCAAACCTTAGTGCAAAGAGTTAAAATCACTGACGTCTCTAGTTTATTAACTTTTCCAAAATTAGTCAACACAGTCCTCCGGTGAGCGCTGGAGAAATCTGAAGAGAGATGATATTGCTGGTCCGGTGTTTCTAAGAAGATTTTATAAACTTCACCTAAAAGCAAGCAAACTAAAACCAAGCAAAATTCAAAATTACAGACAAAACATAAAAAATTTTGAACGAAATATGGATATGTCAAAAATTTGCAAAAAAATAACCTTAATTTGTCATAATTGAGCTATTTAATCTATGAAAATAAAAGTAAAACAAAAAATAAAAGTAAAACAAACAAAATCCACAAAATCACTGAGAATGGCTTTTTAAAAAATTATCAACTTTACGAAACAAAGAAGCAATATCACTGAACACAACAAGCTCGATAGCTCTGTCGATATTTGCCCACTCCATATTTTGATGCTCAGAGGATAATTTAACTGAACTATCATCAATCAGTCGTGCCAACCAGTATTTCACAGTTTTCTAAATAAATCTAATTTTATTAAGTAAAAAAATAGAAAATCTAACAATATTTTAAAGAAAACCTTGAAAATACCTCCTAGATAATCACCGGATTGATAAGACTAAATAAATAAAATAGAAAGTCTTTTTCTTCGAACGGCTCACATCACTGCTGGTTATTTTGGTTGGCTCAAATGTAGGCCAGCATAAGAAGTTTCAAAGCCTCTCGAGCTTCTCGAGATATTAATCGATTGAAGATGCTCCCTTTTTCACTGGCCTAAGCTCGTATATCGCTGGACCGCATAACCGTTCAAAATCTTTCCTGATCTTGGTAGCCTTGATAAGTTACTAGTTTTTGCATGTAATGAAATATATGTAAGTTTTTGAGTTGGAGCACATGACCTAACTAACGCAAGGAGTTCTGTACAGTTGGCACAATCTCACTACTTCTCGTAGTGCCTTACTGCCATTCACCTGGTATTTGTTCTTTTTTCCATACCACTGAATACATCTTGTAACCTTTGCAAATGGGTTGCGAATTAAGCATATTTTTATAAAACCATTAAATTCAAGTTATCAATATATATATAATAAATCAGCCAAAGAGGAAAATAGAACAAAATAATTTCGGCCAACAAATTCTGGAGAATCCTTGAAAATTTCTTTTGATAAGCAACTAAAGAAAACTATCAACGTCACAATAATCATGCTTACTTGCATAGTAATTTCCTTTTCATATCTACTTTTTACGATTTCATATTTTAAAGTTTCGGTAAAATCTTTGTGAACTTTTATTTGATGAGGTAATATTCCAGATTCCTCTTGCGTTTCTCGCAATGCAGTAGTCCATTCGTCCTCACCCTGATCTACATGACCTATAAAAATATTTATGCACCGCTCTATTTGGCTCTATTTGTTCGAAAATAAGCCAAACCTCAAAAATTTAGGCATTAAAACTCTGATATATTTATAGCTAAATTTTCAAGCTATTAAGTTGTTAGAAAAAATAAATGTGGAATCAACCTTTTGGTGGTGTCCAATGATATGGAGGATATGAGGCTTGGAGCAATAAGTATTCATAGCTGCCATTGATAATTCGATAAATAACTATACCTGCAGCAGTGATAAGCGACATCAACCTAAATTTACGATTCATTGCCTTGCTTTCAACAGCGCTTACAAATGCTTAGGTGGCTGCACTAACTATTTCATCAGTGAACTTCACCTATTATGATAAATTTGCTAAAATTTGCTAGCAGACACAAATCGGACTCATCCACAATATGGAATCCAGTGGCACGATGACCAGCCGGCATGTTGTTTCGAATGTGATAAAGGGACCACGATTTTCACCTCTGCCTTTTGAAGAGAAGGAACCTATCATTAAAAGTGAAATCTAGGTGGTGCTACAAAACCTGTATTTCTATCCCGAATAATCCTCTGGCAAAGCAGTCTTATTTCTGGTAATCAGGGGCGAAAGTCAAAGCAGAAATGGTAAATGGAAATTGGAGGTATATGAAAAAAATTGCTAAATGGTAAAAATGCCAGTTATCCACTTTAACCTCACTTCAGAATTACTTTATATATCGGGTTCGAATCCCGGTAGCTCTAATTACTACATTTCTTTCTTTTTGTTACCGCACAACGGACTTCAGGTTAAAGCTTAGGCTTAGCCTAAGACTTATTTACCGTAAGCTTGTGAAATGCAAATTTTTTGCGACAAAACAGCGAACTGAATTCCGAATAATCGCACAATCTTACACTTTTCGAAATTTGCCTTAATATAATAAACTTTTTTTAAAATATGTGAAGTAGTTAGTGTTATCACTTTAAATTGTTATCATTTCTTGGCGAATGCTGGAAAATAACTGAGAGTACCACTGTGACCTGCACAAAGAGGATCTAATTATATCCACTAAATACAACACCGCAAAAAGAAAATGCAAATCGGAAGGAATAAATAAGAATTATGAAATTAGACTATCCATCCTAAAAGTCAGATGCCCACTTCTCTACACGTTAACAGTTATTGCACGTAAATCTCCGACTTTCTTCTCCTCATCATTTTTTCAATTTAATACATTCGATATTTATCGATGATAGCTCGACCAAAAAAATTTATGAAAGGATTATGCGTGAACCGACTTTTAGTGATTTCTAAAATATATATTTTTATAAAAAGGAACATAATTAATTTTTAGATGTTTTCGAAGAAATTTTCCGTTTTTTGCAAATTGATAGCATTAATTTTTATAAATCATCGAAAAGTTATTAAATATTATTATTTCGCTCATTTGTCGGGAAATTTTTTGCGCGCATTTGTCGATTTCTTATCAATGGAAAAGTATGATTATTTTCTTTTTTCGCATTGTCAACCAAAATCTGACGGTGGTATTTTTTTTGTAATTTCACCTTAAATTGATGTTTTTGCATTTTTTTTGTTAGTAATGGATAGTTCAAATGGGTGTTTTTTGGTGCACTGGTGGAGTTTTATGTTGTTTCAACTAGCGATTATTGTTCCTTAACAAGGATAAACCTGTTATTAAAGGTGCCACCTCGGTGAGTACTGAAGGCTAGTGACTATCTCTCGCTTTTTCGAAATAACTATTTGGTTGATAGGGTTTCACTTTAAAGGTCAGTGGAGCCAGTCAAACTAGAAGTGATGCGTAATATTGGATGCCAATTCTGGTTTGGCTCACTTCCTTGGCTATGAGTTAAATGAGATGATTTGGCAGTAGGATGAAAATAGAATTTCAATTGACCCCCCCCCAAGAGACATTCGAATTTTTTGCATGTTACTTTTTCCATGTTCAGAACGACTGGCAGCATCTGTGATAATATCACCGCAATATTTGTCCTGTTTTATCCATCATTTTCTATTCTTTATGAATAAAAATTCACCAAAAAAATCCAAATATTATTATCGAATGAACGAGCAATCCATTTTGATTTGTTTTGATTGATTAGATTGTTTAGAACAGATGCCACTGATAATTTCATTTGTTCGCATTTTTTAAAGTAAAAAATTTCTCGGTTAGGTTGTTTGTGATATACTTGTGATAATATCAGTCAATCTCTTCTAGTATAACACCATTTTTGGCTTGTTTGGCTTTATTAGGTTGATTACCAGGCTGAAATCCTTTTATTAGAGGAAGACTTGAAGACTGATAAAATGATTAGCGCGTAGTATTGCGTGCATTTCATTTGTAATGATCAGTCTAGGCACAGCACTTTGTTGCTTATGCTTGGGCAAAATAGCATAGATAGGCCCAATGGCGATAGTGGCGATATTTCTTAAATAGATCGTTAATTTTCCTTCTACAATTTTTCATTTATTATTTCAGATATGATGGAAACTAAATTATTTGCATCGGAAAATGAACTCGATGTTTTTACTCATACGAATATTCCGACGATTCCCATAACACTTAATTCAGTTTCGATTCGAATTATTTTTAGTAACGCTATTCATTTATCCGAGGAATGCTATTCGACGAATTCAGCCATTTATTTTCAACTTGTCGAATTTCGGAAATTTCTTATTTTGTTACATGATGATATTATAAGTGTTGAGGAAATCACTAATAATGGTAAAAATTTTTTTTATATTAGGAAAATTTAAATATTTTCTTTTTTGGTTATTTTAATCTTCGTCCTAACAACTCTCAAAGTTTCTTGCTTGGCTGATCGCATTAAATGCCGTACTAGCGCAGAACCAGTTTTACTCAGAATTCGCTTGTAATAACTGGTTTAATTATTAAGAGAAAGCAGAAGTCGAATCTTCCGACAATTTCTGGTTAAACTCGTTGCATTAGCTTACGTGAAATTTTAAAGTGCTGCTGAGTCGCTAGTACCATCTTCTGGCTTAAAAAGTCCTATTATTAAAATTATTTGAACTAAATTCTCGATATTTGGCTTGCTATTTGCTTGCAGATTTCACTGAGAGTGAAAAACTTCCTAATATATATCTCGAAATAATAGCATACCCGATAATTAGTGGTAAACGCCAGCGTCTACAAATAAGGTTCAATTTTAGTGACAAATCTCTCGCAGAATGTTGGAAAACTTACATCAGTAAGAAAATTGATCCACCTTTACCTCGTTAGTTAATTTTTTTAAATTTTTTTATGCCTATTTTTTAAGCATAAATTATAGATGTTTAAAAAATTATAATGCAAGAATTGTTTATAAAAGTCTTATCTTCTTAATCAAAATTGAAAAAAGATATTTTTTATTTTGAACTACAACATTAGCAAAGGAGAGAAAAAAATTAGGAGTGTGATTTCAATAAAATCTATTCTAATTTTTTTGTTGAAAATGTTTAAGCTCATTTTCAACGAAAGATTAGTCGAAAACGTAAAATCCTTGTTTTGGTCAATCCCTTTGGTGGTCAAAAGAATGCAAAGAAAATATGGCAAAATTACATTGCTAGAATTTTCCAGGAAAGCCATATAGATTATGATTTGATTGTAACAGGTATAATTTTTTATTCCCAAGCATTTTAAATTTATATTTTTATAATTAAAATGCTTCTGGTGACAGCATAGTCATTTGGCTGGCTTTATATATAACTAGGATGGAACCAGTTCTTTAGGGAATCAATTAGAAGTAGAGGTGAGGTACTCTTAATAGCTGGTAATACAATCGTCAATGTACTGGAATCAAACCTATGATATTCATTGTTAGTCAAAACAGAATTTCATCATTGATGTTAAATTTTAAGCTTTTTTCTGCTATTCTTTCTTCTTCTAGTAATACCCACCTTTCTCCTTTACACCTCTAGTAGCTATTAGAGCGAGAACCTTTCATCATAAAGTCATTTTGAAATGGAACAGATTTCAATGCCAAGTTTAATCTGTTAAGGAACAAGAGCTATTCCTTGACGTTTGACCTCAGTCGAAGTAACATACCACTCGGCCATCGTATCTCCCTCTGTGTTATTTAGCTAAGATTAAATTTTCTTCCATAAATTTATTTTAATATCAATGAAAGTTTTTTAAGAATGCAGCTACATTTTTTTTACAATTTATGAATAATTTTTATCATTAATCATGATTTTTTCGTTGTTAGAGCGCGAAAAACACGCAATAGAAATAGCAAGATGTATGGATTTGGATGAGTACGATGCTGTGGCTGTGATTAGTGGTGATGGTCTCATCAATGAAATCATCTCTGGTTTATTACTACGACCTGACCGTATCAGGGCAATGAAATTTCCAATCGCTCATATTCCAGGTGGCACTAGTAACGCACTTGCTGCTTCTATTTGCTTTCAATGCAAGTGAGTAATGTTGAACTAATTGGAGGAAAATATTTTAAGAAAATGAAATTAAATTTTTTCCAATTTAAAATTGATTATTTTTACTGTCTGAAATCAAATAATCAAGCAGTGGTAAGAAACATAAAATTACTAGAAGCATAAAATTTTTTGTAATTTCCAAATGAAGTGAAAAATATTTTAAGTGAACCATTTTCACCTCGCAAGCCATTTTTTTTGGAAGCAGCACTGATGATTTGTAGACCTCGATATCTTCCCTTGCGCATTTGCTCTGTGCAGACGGAAAAGGATGGTGATAGACCAATGTTTCTGAGCGTTACATGGGGTTTGTTGGCTGATATAGGTTTGTTTTGCAATATTTATTAGAAATTTTTATCCAAGCGCCTTATTTTTTAAGCGCCTTAAGTTAAAAAAATGATGATAATTTTCAAAAGGCTAAAGCGAATATTCATACTCATGAATTCGGTGTTTTCCTATTGATGAAATATTCATTCAGTCTATTTTTAGCATGCTTAAGTGAAACTTAATTTTTTTATAAAAGCAGAGTTTTTGAAACTTAATTTTTTTTATAAAAACAAAGTTTAAGTTTCTGCTTTTTTCTTTTTGTTCTTATAGCTCATAATATTGTTGGTTTAGCTCCATTGGTTAAAGTAAGGTCTTTTAAAGCTTTCCGATGTAATCCCATACCATCGATTGGTTGGTTTTTGGCGTCATCCACTATTATTTAGGACATAATGAAGTATGGATTAATTTTTGAAATGGACAATAATGATCATTAATCAGCGATTTGTGATGATTCCATCGATGCTTATGGTTCCAGAATGCATTTAATCATATAAAATTTTATCCCCACGGTGAGCTCATAAGATGTGCCTTGAAACCTTTTCACCATATTTCATCATAGCCAGATAGATATGAGCTTTCATTCTGAAGCTAAATGCTCCACAAAGGAAATTGATCTCAAAATATTTTTTAAAAATTTTTTCGGTTCATATTTTGGTAGGTTTTTTCTCACGCGCGCTTCTTCACTTCACTTCACTTCTTAATATATATTAAGATAGCCATTTAATGTTTCGAATTATTCACATAAATTTATTAGATCAGACTAAATTCTAGGTGGTGTTGATATTATAACTGCTATCTTCATACTGATGAGATGAGTTTTATCCCCTTTCCATTTCGACTTTCTGGCATAATTTTGTTACAGATATAGGAAGTGAACGATTTCGATGGGCCGGTTTAGCGAGATTGCATATTGAAGCATTTTTAAGAATTATGCGTTGGTTTTATTTCGTACTTTTTTTTACTTTTAATAAATTTCTCTTTATTCAATAAAGTGATAAAATGCCCCTTTTTAGGATTACCATCTGTCGCCCGTTATAAAGCTCGATTATCATTTGTACCGGTACATGATGATAGTTTGAAGCTTTCTTCTAGATTGAGGTAAGCACTAAAGGTTTTTTTCTAGAAGATTGATAGAAAAGTAAATGGTCATTTCTCATCATTTTTGATTAAGCTTCTCTGGCTATTAGTTTGGTGAGAAGTACCATGGATCCATGGATCATTTGGCGATAGATGATACGGATGTTTTAATAACAGGTTTATTTCCTGGCTTCAGAATTCCCAACTTTGAGTATAATAATTTGAGCAAATTATCTGGCCATATCGCCTAGATCTAATGAGATAACTAATTTTTATATAGATAAATATGTTTAAAAATCGAAAGCTTTTATGCAAAAATATTTTTGTAGGCATCATATCGCTCGCAAAGCTTTTGGAAAGGATCATTTCAGATATGATGAAATATCACACTTTTCATCTGAAAATGATATTAATGTTAATAACAGTCACGTTAATGACGAAAAAGTCTCTGGTGCTTTATGAATCATTTTTCTCATGGTTTTTATTGCGAATTTCCTAATTGAATGTTATTAAATGGAATGCATTTTAGATTCCCCTTCTGAACGAACAAATTCCTGAACATTGGACTTCAGTCGAAGGCGAATATGTTTTTGTTTGCATCACAAATTTATCTCATTTAGGTAAGAATTTCTGACATGTAAAAATTTTTTCTACTTTATTTTTTTTTCTAGAAATATAATTTCTTTTTTGGAGGAAGTGATGTTCCTTACATTCCTTCGTCACGACTTGATGATGATTATTTTTTCTTGTCTTATGTGGATTGGAAGTTGGTGAAATCTCGCTTCCAAATTATGCAAATGATGTTAGAAATGTGTAACTCAGGCCATCTGGATTATTCTTGCTTTCAGGTAGGAGTTAGTTAGTTTGTTTTATTTTTCATTTCTTTAATATTTAGGCTGAATGTATAAGGCGCCAAATAAATGTCAATTTGAATTTCACAATTTCTTCACAATTTTAAATTTTTCATAAAAATGTGATTTGCTTATCTCTCATTCATCGAACGAAAATTTAAATTGTCTTTATCTTCCACAGGTAATACCTGTAAAAGCCTGTCGGGTCGAACCAAAAGATGGTTGTGGTGGTTATCTTTCCATCGATGGTGAACCAATTAGTCCAGGAACGACTTTTCAAGTGGTGCCATTTGGCTGCGTCACTATTGTTGGTAGAAATGAAGTGAAATCTGCACATAGCACATAATTTTTTGCTTATAGTTCTTTTTGTTAATATACTCAAGAATTTTTTGATTATATTTTTTATTAATATATTTTTTATATTAAGATTTGTATCTGCCATTACTAATTCGTTTTTCTTTCCAAATATCATATTAAATGCCTTTTTTTTAAATGCCTGATTTTGCCTTATCTTTTTATCGTTTTAAAAAGATTTTTCATTCTTTGCAATTATAGGATTGTTATTTGTGATATTGTGATATTTATTGTTTTTAATGCGTATGTTTTAGTTTTTTTTTTTCCATAATTTTGATTATTGTTTTCATGATTAATGCTTTCTTTATGATTATGAGAATTTAGGAAACATTATTTTATTATTAAAATTTCCATATATTAGGTCATTTCAAAAATATTTATCGTGGTCGAAAAAACCACAAAACAACATTCGTTATTCAGCATCATTTTCTAAAATTCTTTCCCGTCAAGAAATAATTACCAGTAATCTTCATATACTTAATATTTCATTTATATGTTTTAATTTATCTGTCCAAATTTTTATTCTTTTGTTAGATAAATTCATTAATAGACAGTTATTAGTTTTTATAAAACGTTGGATTTTATTAATATTTTATTAACAATTTTCGATTCTGGAAATAGAATAGTTTGGCGGGTTGTCGCTCTTATGTTGAAGGACTGATGCTGGGATTTTAGTTCTAGTAAACTTGTCCTTTAAAAGTTCTAGTTATACGCAAGGGACTCCCTGGTATAATTTATCTAGTACCGACAACTCAAGGCAAGGAGCATAACCAGAAATGATGAAGGCTCTCAGGAGAAAATTCTGGAAATGAAAAAATGCACTTTTAGAGGTTTGGTTTTTTTGTTGATGCAATTTTAAGTGGAATTTTTCGAAAACAAATGGCATCCCAAGATCACTAACGTCTTTGGACAGAGACAGAAATGCAAATGACTTCAAACGAAATCTTTCTATGACTGATTTTCTCCTGTTGGATTGTATTGCCGATCGAGACAAACATCTGAACAATAACCACACAAGCCCGTACTAAATTACCTCTCCAAGGCATTATTACTAGTCTTTTTAGGATTTTCTTCGGGACCTTTTCCAATTCTTTCTGCGCCCAGTTCCCCTTATTCACCTTTAAAACTTTTCTTTCGCCAAAACTTGGCGTTAACATCTTAAAGTTTCTTACATTAGCTCTGTCAAATCTCGCTGTGGTTCTCTAATATAATGCCAGACGTTGTCTATCTCTACCTTTTTGTTGTAATCCTCTGCTATTCCTTAGCTGCCTTAAAATCCTTACTCTAAATATATTTTCTCGTTTTAACTGATCAAAGAAACCATTTTTTTTCAAAGAAGAATGAGAAAATGGAGTATAATTTAAGCATTATTAGACTATTTGTATAAATCTTTTCATTGCTTTTCATTTCCTTAAATTTTCTTGCAAAGCAATAAAGTAATATATTCAAAAAGAAATCAAAAAATGGTTAAGGAAACAGCTGATTGTGGGACAAGTAAATATGAGATTGTCCAACAACCGTATAAATCCACCGAATCGCGATCAAGTTGATCATCCTCAAGAACATAATGAAACTCCACTAAAGGAAGTAAAAGATCGAATTTCAAAAAGTAAAAACTTCCACTTCAACAAGCACTTTGATTTAATTAACGATGGCTAATCATCATCCTATTAAAGGTGCCTCCTCACCATTTTGTTAAAAATATTTAGACACCCTAGTTACCTTAATTTAATGCTTAGTTACTCGTTAATCACCACATATGGTCCTCTATATAAATAGAGGTAATAGAGGTATTAAACACTTTAAATATATTTTCATCTATGCGGGATTGTGGACAATATTACCGGAATGCTTAAGATCCGCACGCATAGTTCATGGCAAGACGAAAGTATGAGAAAGTACGGAAATAGAATTCGAACTTAGTTCCAGTTAGAAATATTTTCTTTCGTCTGGCTAAACCTCTTTATAACTGTCGTGAAATATAATGGCCCATCTGCGTCAATTGGATTTTAATGGAGCATCGCTTACTCTGGCTATATCATACTGTCATATCACAGAAAGTGATGGAGGGTGAGTCTTGTTATAGACGGTGGCAAAGGCGCAAATGCCCAGTCAAAACCTGGATAAACACAGTCAGTGGTTTTCAGTGCATATGCGCAGGAGCTATATATGGGCTAAAGGGACAGAAGAAATGAGCAGCACTGGCTCGTTGCCTTCAGATATGACATGGTTTCGAAACGTTTTCTTTTTTGTAAAATTTTTTAGAAATATTTGAGCAACTTATTCATTTGAAATTTTAAATGAAAGTAGCAAATTGTCAAAGTATTATGATGGACCAGCAGTGATTTTTAAAGTAGCGTCCAACGATCTTTGAGGATCCCCGAAGCCAAATTCTGTAATAATAGAAATATTTAGTAACATAATATATTTAAAAATTTCTTAAATAAATATCAAAGGACATAAATAACCAACATGAATGAAAGCTCCTGCAGATTCCTTCATAGGCTACCTGAAGTCCACTTTTCAAATCCCTTCGTTATTCTTTTATAAATGATACAGTTGTATGATATGATAATGGGACATGGTGAGGGGAGTTCACATTGCTATCGTTGTCACGTAAGAATGTTACGGCGTATTTCCTGTCGAATTCGCTCGCTCGCTTGAAGATAACATCAGCTGTTTTATACTGAATCGTTTTTTGGTAATGGGTAGGGCAAATTTCAATTTTTCACTCTGATATTCTTCAGGAGAATGCCAGGACGATTCTACTTAAATTTGCCATCTAAATTTCACTTTTCATGCTATAGCAGAGCTTAATCCATGCGAAATTTTGCGCATTCTATAAATAATATATAAGGCAGATCTGTTGGCAGAGGCGATTTACACCTAGATGATACCAGTCTCAGTTATAATGCACAACTTTAGCTACGCTAGACACAAGACTAGACCTAGATTCCCTCTCAATCCGTTGAATTAAATAAGATTTGATTTATGCAATATAAAATTTAAATTTAAATTTTAAAATTTTGTCAAATTAGATTATTCAAAATATATAATTTTAGGTTAAATTTTGGACCCAACAAGGTCTAATGGGCTAAAATTATTAAAGCTTTAATGTAATACCAAATTGAGAACGCATGACTTTTTTATTCGTACCATGAATTATGATATGAATTATGCCGAACGACATAATTTGTGCACCATCCTTACCTATTTTTAAAAACGATTAAATAATATCATCCATGATATTATTTGAAAGCTTTATGTTATGCAGAAAGTTCGAAATCTTGATCGTTTATCATCAGATTATCTGTCGATAACGCATTTTTAGTTTTAATAAACTTGGTTTACTTTCTAATTCCCCCTTATTATTTCTCTTTACGTTATTAGCCTTCGGTTATATTTCTTTTGTCATTTATATCGCAATCACTAATTCTTCTCATTTGATACTTTATTTTGGTATTATTAATGCGAGCACATGGCGTTTATCGCCTAATATTGATTGATAAGAATTGGTAGGTTGATAAGATAAATAAATAGACCGTTGCAACTTATGAATATCCAAACATCCTTACCTTATAGCGAAATTATGATTGCGATAATGATTTTAAAAATTATCAGTACGGTTAAGATGGTTTTGGACTCATTATACGTTTTTTTACAAAATAAGGTTAGGTTTTTGTTCAATGTGTATTTTTTTTGAAAAAAATTGTATGCTACGGGAACAATTTTATGGGACTCGTCGTCTTCTTGTGGTGCCATTGGTGATTTGGCTCGTTCCATTGGCGACTTGGGTAAGGCCAATCGATTTTCAAGCCAATCGATCTGATCTGATGTTAAATAACTGGACTTGAAATTCATTTCGCCCTCTATCATTTATCATTTAACTAACCATATTGATTTTCCTTAATTTTTTATACTTTTTAATGCTAAATATAAATGTTCTATGATATGATAATCAATCTTTCTAGAAAATTTTTATGTGATGGCGAAAGGGATAACGCAATTAAAAGATTATTGTGATGCAATTTATGAAGATACAATACAGAGGTTAAATCAATGCTTGTTGATCGCTAAGGATTGCCTCCATTCATATGTAATTTCTTCTTATCAATTCTTATCAGCCAATATCACGCTGCTTCTACTTAGCAAAAATAGTGGGAAAGATTTTTTATTTTTTGTTTAAACGCTTTTTTTAAAATAGTATAATCGATTGAATGAATGTATTTATAATATTCGTAAATCATATTGTGGGATTCGCGCAATTTTAGGCTGATCTTAGGCCAATTCTCGTTGGATATTTCAGACTAATGGTACTAAAAACGAAGAAGAATTTCAATCACATTGTTTATTCTTTTACTTTTGCATGTGTTAAATTATCGTATTAATGCACGAATTATCTCATTTAAATTTTTTTTATTGCTACATTAACGAAATTAACAATTATTTTTTGTTTAATCTACAAATATATCAGTATATCGCAAATATTACAAATATTATTTCACTATTCACTATTTCTTTGGTTGGCTTTGCTGATTGACCATTAGGTCGAAACCGTTTTGCCAGAGTGTCACATGACAGAAATGCTGATAGATCTTTAGCAAGCGCCTTAATTTAATTTTTAATGACAGTTTTATTATTGTGTGATAGGAATCAAAATCATGATACTTCTATATAGCAAAATTAGCGGGAAAGATTTTTATCGCTCATAACTCAGTTATTTTTTTCGTCTTAGCTTGAGGTTAAAACAAAATATTATTGGTATTTGTCTGTTTTCTGGCAATTTTTAAATGATTTCTTCTATTGTAATACTTTAAATTTTCAGATATTTCTTGCACAATGAGTCGAAAAAAAATTGCAGTTAGGTAACTAATTAATTCAATTTTTAGGAGAATGCTGGTACAAGTTTGAAATTAGAAAATTCTTTATGCAATTTATTACAATCAACAAGCAATGATAATCATCGAGTAAAAAGCGGATATGAAGAAAAAAATTCGGCTACAAATTATAATGATTTATCAAATAGAAATGATGAAAATAATGTGCAAATCGTTGGATACGAAAATGAAAATCAAATGGCCGATATTATGGGATTAATTACGAAGGAATTAAGCGAACCTTATTCTATATATACTTTTCGATATTTTATACATGATTGGCCTCGATTATGTTTATTAGTTAGTTGGTTTTTTATCTTTATGGCTTTGTAATGATGATTGAGTTATTGCAAAATTAAATATGGAAGGACTGAGCTATACTTGTACTGAATACCTCCTGTAAAATCAGTTCTTACGACTTTTTCAGAAAATATTTTCAACTTCGTTTCATTGAAACTTTCGTTTCATTGATGAAGTTAATATAACAATTAATTTTCTGATTAAATTAGGTGGTATTACTAATTAATTTTGTTATAAGAGAATAAAGGCAAGAAAATTTTCATAGCAGTAAGATTTATTTTGAGGAAAGGCTAAAAGTTTGCATATTTACTTGCATTTTTGCGAATATATTTAATGAAAATTTCTTCGGAAAGGCTCTGGATATACGCAAAAATGAGTACGTTGGCGCCATTGTATGTAAATTGGAAAAAAATAGGGAAAATCGTCGCAAGGGTTATATCGCAATGCTAGCAGTGAATGAATCTCATAGGCAACTTGGAATAGGTAAGAAAATTTTCGTATAGTTTTTTCATTTGATTTTGATCTTATAGTAAATTTTCGCTTTTTTTTTATTTTAAGTTACATTCACGAATTTAATTCGTTCAAATTCATTTTTCTTTTGTTGTACTAAATCTTATTAGAAGTTTGGATTATCATGTTGGGAGTCATTGGAGCGCCTACTTTTCCTTAGGAAAAAGATTCTCATAAAAAAACACGTTCTGGTAACCTTCTTTCGTCAAGTGCCCCCTGGCAAAAAATTTCTGAGCGCTTTATGTTAAATCCCATTAATTGCAGGTACACGACTTGTGCAGAATGCTATTTCCAATATGCGGGAAATTGGCTGTGATGAAGTAAGTCGAAATTTTAAAGATTTTTGTAATTGTCTCAGAAATATGGAAACTGCTAATTTACAGGATTTATTGGCATCATTTTTTCTAAAAAATTTGAGCTTCGCTTTATTCCATTCATATTCCAGGTGATTCTGGAGACAGAAGTAACAAATACGAAGGCAATCCGATTATATACAAATCTTGGCTTTATTCGCGAAAAACGCCTTTTTCGCTATTATTTGAATGGTGGTGACGCATTTCGCTTGAAACTTTTTTTCACATCACCAGCAACAATTGTCGACCCTACCTTTCATATGTCGAACCGCGAATCATAAAATAGCTTTTTCCGCTTTTATCATTTTTTGCTGAATATTTGCATAAAAATATAAAACTCGAAAACAGTCGGTGGTTTCCATTCACTCTAATTTGGCTTGTTCGAGATTTAGAAATAACAATTCCCTACAAATGCTTTTCTCTCTTGTTTTGTAATTTTTCATTGGTTGATGTTATTTCGGTTGGAGTGGTCTTCTCATTAAAAGTAATTTAGGTGGTGCTGGGTATTCACCTACATACACATTCTAAAAACCTAATGACGGCGTTTCCAATGTAAACTCAGTGAGCTGAAAGAATATTAAATACAATTTGTAAGATATGTGTTAAACTAAACCTTCAATATTTTTCGTCTTTGTTTTTTTTCTTTTTTTAGTGTTCGAAATGTTCTCGGCTTTTAACTAGAAGAAGAAAGCAATTTTTCTTAGCATTCTAAGACAATCAACTGCACAATATCGAGGTAAATTAAAACAATATCATTTTATAATGAAACTTGGAAGCGAATTTAATAATGAATCATTTGTATGCATGGATAATGGCTGAAGGAGAATCAATGCATTGTGTAAACATTTTCCTCAACTACATCGCAAACTTCCCCATGAAAATTCACCGAAATTTTGAAATCCAAATCCCGTTCGTTACGAGCATTAGGCGTAACTGAGAAACATCCAGTTATTTCTTCATCTTTTTTGCACGTCAGTGCTTCCTGAAAAAGATTAAAAAATGAGTAAAAGAATGTGGTTTTAGCTTTCGAAATAAGATAAATAAGAAATAAGAAAAACTATAACATGCATTATTACGATAGGGTTCCTAAAATTTTCATGAAAATTTAAACTTATCGACGAAAATAGCGATCTTAATTCAAACAAAAAATTACTCTGAATTAATAATAGATGAATTTATTCGACTAAAGAAAGATGCCAAAAACGGCCTATCTTTTAATGGAAAGAACTATACCTGAAGGTAAAATACGGTTTGCTTCCAATGAGTGTATTGTGACTCTGGGCTTGTTGAAAAACCTGTTCGTTTATGGCATTTCGTGAATTCCACAGTGAAGAAAGTCACAAGAGCCTGTACATAGTCGTTACGTACGATACGCAAAGAATACTCTTGTGACCACGAAAGATCCTCCACCTTGACTGTATATAAGTCTATATCCTGTATAACAAGAAGTTTTAATTTTTCTAGAATGGATATAACTAAAATGCAACATATTTCACTATGCCACAAGAATTAACGGTCTTTAAACCTAAATAACAATTTGGAACTACATTTTTATAAAATATCAAATCAGCCACCATTCACGAAACAGGAAAATTATAAACTACTCACACGGATGAGACAATTGTTGGTGACCACCTGTCCTTGATCAACAACATCTACCAATGGCTCAGTTATGGCAACTCTTCTGATACTTGACATATTGAAACCATATACATTATCCCACCTAAACTAATTCAAAAATAATGCAAAGTCAATAACTCGTACAGAATTTTAAAAAAATTCATTTCTACCCACCAGTTGATTTTGTCATCTTTATATTGGCGATCTTCAATAGCACAGAGATACAGTCTAGCCCTGTCCGGGAACATCGCTCCGCACGATTTCAACCATTTGTCTCTGGCGAAGATCACGGTATTCAACATTGATTCATAGAATAAGCAGTAACCCATCCATTCGGAAATAATCACATCCACCTTAAAAATTCCATGCTATCTCAATCAAAATTATCACTTCAGACTTTACAGGAAATAAGTGCAAATTGGTTTTAAACAATCTAAGCAAAAAAATGAAAAAAGTAACATACTCTTCGTACAACGTCATTTTAGTGGCACTGGTATAACGTTGCAACTTTCAAAAACTTCATTTTGACATTATATGAAGATTTACTGCAAAATATGCACTATTTATGCTAACTTTGATTTATAAATAAAATGTCTAGATCAAAAACCTGTTCTATTCCATCAGGTAATTCAGTGATATCTTCCACTTTGCAATGGACAACTTCAATTATGTGGTCCAAATTGTTATCTTTGACAATTTGCTTCGACTGAGTTGCCATATTTGAAAATTCAACCTAAAATGTAAATAATGAGAGCCTCAAAAGGAAATTTTCCTATAAGGATGAACAGCTTTTGAATTTCACATAGTAAAATAATTTAAAATTTTCAAGCAAACAATGGAAATTTGCAACAACCGAAAGGGAAAAATAAAAAATAAATTTTACACTTACTGCAATCACTTTTTTAGCACCTGCTCTAGCAGCGAACATCGAAAGAATGCCAGTACCAGATCCAACATCCATCACAATTTTATCTTTGAACAAATGCTTGTTATGATAAATGGCATTTCTATAGGTAACTGTCCTCACTTCATCTTTCAGCATTTCCTAAATTTTTCCTACAGCTAAGAGCTTTGATTAACTTCCTATTCAATCAAAAACATAATACTATTATAATACTAATAAAATACATGAAATCTTAAAATTCATAAAGAAATAAAATTAACCTCGTGAATACCAAAATGAGCATAAGAATCGAAGTAATAATCTTTGCTCGTCATTTCGTTGTAAGCAGGTCGAATATATTTTTGTTCCGAAGAACCATTTTGTGACTCTTGATTCATTTTGCAGCTCTGAAAGCCATATAATAAGGCATAGGTGGCTTAGCGGCAAGACGATTACTATCAGAAATGTCTCTGATTCGAGTCCAGCCGATGCATCACGCTTCGTCGAACTTCTTCGCAAAAAATAAAAGGAGTTAGAATTATCATTCTGTTACTGAGTACTTCTGTTGCTCTCAATTCGAAATGCCTGGTCCAGCAGGCCAATTGGACCAGCAAAGGTGTGCTCTCTTAGAAATGAAAAAATATGATGGTCGAGTTGAATGCTGAGGTGGAGCAACATGACTTCAGTTCTTGTTTGACAGTCCATCAGTCATTAAACATAAAAGGAACACATTATTGAATAAGAAATGCCAAAAATGAGCCTGGCAAAGGTAACAAACAAAAATTACAAAGATTTCAACGACATACACCTGGAAACCACAGTAGATTCAACAGAGAACTTCTAAGGATCGATGGATAAATCAGATACTTTATACTTTTTTTTTTAAAATTTCACTTAAATTACAAATAATAAGAAGCAAAAAAATAATCATAGAGGAATCCCTTCCAGGAAACTCCAATTTTCTTCAATCTTTTCTAAGAAAAAATCCAATCAATTTTTATAATTAATAATTAACATTTAAAAAAAAAATTTATTCGGTTCCCATTTTAAGTTTCCTAAGCTTTTCATAATAATTCACGTAATATAATGTCAGAATTTCGGAAAACAACAAAAATTCTAAGAGGGTTCGACTGAAAAAAATATTTTATGCTTCATGAATTCGATGTATGAAAAATGTCGTGGAATCCCCTGCTAACATTAATATGGGAAATTTATTCAGCCAATAAAACAGTTCCTAGTTCACCGAAAACTCGATATCTTCGTCCTGAATTATCATCCATTCCAGAAAAACTTGATGAAAAACTAACCTCACCCCACCCCAACCGACCATCCTCCCCTTCTCCCACCATTCCTCTCCTACTTTGTTTCAATAAGACTCCGATTTGAAGGCATAAACAAGTGTATATTATGGCCAACTTCGTCCTAAAGGATTCGACATTTAAAAAAATCGGATCGGACGCTCGATACAAGCACAGCAAGTTGCAGTAAGGAAGAGGGGATAAGTAAGGGTACTTTCCGGTGTACTTTCCGGTTTGTTTAATGAACTGTTGTGGTGAAACATGGTTCATTTCGGAGTAAAAGAAAGCACCTGTGTCCGCAGCAAAATCCAGAATCACGCTAATAGCTGCTTTTTTCTGATTTTTCGTATCACGATTACATTTCTAGGTCAATAAGTAAGGAATTCTTACGACATTATACGCTGTAGTTAATGGATATAAGTTTGGTACTACTTCATGGAATTCCTTTCATGCGGTTTGGCAAAATATTTAATCATCATTTACAACATCAATTCTAGCTAATTAATCGATTTGGCATTAAATCATGGAATAATTGAAGAAATAGTCGATCATTTTTTTCTTTATTTGAACAATAATCGATGAATATTTGATGAATGAGACACGCTTCCACAGCTCATTGCCCGAACTTTACCCATGAAATATAATAGGGCGGCTTAGCTGAGTTTAGAAATAGTACAACGGGGTTCTGAGGGGACAACGAAGCATAAAGCATGCACTCATTTAGATAAATATTAAAAAAATATATCAAGGTTTAATTGGATGCTAAAGAAGCATGAGGATTGGATAAATCATGAAGGGTTGATAGAGTACCAAACGATGTGAAGGGTGCTTACGGTGACTATAAGGGTTACTTTAAGGGTAAGTGGTAAAACAGGGTTTCAAGACAATGTAAAAAAATATACTATGGCGGTTAGGAATATATCGAATAAGTACAACGGGGTTTTATTAAAACTTTAAACTCCCCAACTTGTGCACCACTCTCCATTCTCAATTTACCACCTTCAACAGATATCAAGTCGTAGACTTAAAAAAAAATGATTTTAACTATCGAAAAAAGCGAAAATATCCTGAAATCTTATTATTAAATAAAATAAGGATTCAAAAGCATCATTTTTTGATCTCCTTTCTTTTAGTTCTAAAAGAAAAGCCAATATCAAAATTGAGAAAATTTATCAAAAGATTATCAAAATTTTTTATCATCCAAAAGATAAAAAAAAATTAATATCGAAATTTAATAACTGAAAGCTTTTAGCCAAAAAAGTATTATTGAAAAATGTAAAAAATTGTCAATTTCGATTCCATGCATTAAGTTTTTATTCAACTTTTATAGCCAATTTAATTGCAAAAAATTATGTAATATCCAAAAAGTCGATATTCTTATTGAAATACCAGTGGGCTGATTCCTCGACAATTTCGCAGTACGTCCTGTCGCCTTTTTTTGTGAATTGGGAACAGAATTGCTTTGCTCATTTGGTAATGTTTCTTTTTTCCATACTAGAGAGTATATTTGTTGAAAGTGCGTTATGATAGACGATGGATGACATTTTGAAGAGTTTAGCCCGAAGACCATCTTCTCCCGGAGTCTTATTGGCCTTAAACTTATGGATTACAGAGACTGTTTCTTCTTCTTTTGGATGCTCGCAATTGCAGTCGTATGGTTCAGAGAACGTATCAGAGAACGTTCAGAGAACGCTATATCATGGGGAATAGATGGCGCTTCATGGTTAAGTTTGGCTTCAAAGAATTCCTGTCATCTTATGAGGCGATCCTTAATACTTTTAACCGGTACGCCATCGCTGTCATTTATCATTTCACTGATCGTTCTCCGAGTTATAGTTGCTTTATGAAGAAGGCGGAATAGTTTTTTCTTATCGCCTAATCGAGTCGCCGTCTCCATTCTCAAGGTCATATCACTCCAATAGTGATTTCTGTCCCGCCATGCTTCTTTCGTTGCAAATTTCGAAGCATCCGTAGTCAGGATTACATTCTTGCTTCGGCAGCTTTTTCAGACAGTTGGACAGTTGCTTCCAATATCCAACTAGTACTTCCTACTAGTATGCCCTAGCATGGAAGTGGCTGACTTTCAGAGACATTTCTTTAGTTTGGACCAGTATTCATTTGCCATTCCAGAAAAGTCATTGATATTTACCATTGAGATGCTTCAATATTTCGGTTTGAAACGCGCTCACTCGAATTTTTTAATTTGAGATAGGTGAAGAATCTTGTGGGATGCTGTTTTCTGCAAGTTGTCAATTTTATGCGGACCTTTACTCGAACCATAACATATAGTCAGATGCATGAAGATTGCCCGTTTCAGTGCCGCATAGAAACGACTATCTAGTACGGAACTGACGGCGACTGACCAAGATATAATCAATCTAGTTGAAATATTGGTTATCTTGGGAGTTCCACGTGGGTGTTTTCTACGATGCCAGTACGATACTAAGCAAGTATTAATTAAAAGCAAGTCAACGCAGCAACATTACGCGCCTCATTCCGGTCTCCCCCAATTATGACCATGTCATGTTTCGGTAGAGACTTTATCCAGTTGAAGTTCCGCATAAACTTATCTTTATCGTGGTCATCTGCTGACAAATTCGGATCATAGACATTGATGACCGAGATATTGCAGAATTTACCTTTAAATCAGGCATAAGCCATATGTCGCTTACAGATTTCCACTCAATCAAAGCGGAATGGGCCTTTTCAGGCATAATTATCGCTACGCCATTTCGCCCCGAGTTATTCGAAGCACCACAGTGATATAGCCAATACCTCTGCTCCAAACCAGGATTTTAGTAATTCCTCAAAACTCTAAATGATCCTCATTTAGAGATGGACCTCCGACAAGCGGGCGATATCCGTACGATATTTAGAAAGAGTGTGGTTGCAAGGTTGCATGGCTCACAACATACAAGTATTCCACGCTGATTCGGCTAACACCTCTCCCTACTTGCAAAGAGCTCTACTCCTTGATAGGTTTCGAACACTTTCCCTGGCTTGAGAGCGCATTTTATTTGTCAGCCTTGGGATGGCTTTCGCTCGGATTGTATACTTATCACATGAATAACCGGGCTGGGAGTATTATGCGCATCAGAGGACGCGGAGGCGGTCAAGAATATCTGACCCTTTCACCATAGAATCATTTTGGGATAGAGTCAGAGTTATAGGTATGTCTCCAGCATCCAATCAGTTGAATCTATTTTTAAAAGAATTCAAATAAAAAAATTTCCATATTTTCAAATTTCCTGGATTTTTTTCAACCTATCTGGTTTGGCCTACTTCATTGAACTGATTGAAATACGGGTGAATTCCTAAATGGCGTTAAAGAGCACAGACTGGATCATCGTATTAAATTAAGCCAGTGATGATCAAACTTTGCACCATACCTCTTGGTGATCCATGATGATTTTCAGGTAGTGTATGGAACCTAATTCGAATTATATTCTATATTCTTGTTTTGTTTAAATATTAACAAAAAAAAATTTTATTCACATTTTCACGCAGTTTTCTGTTCATTCACTTCATTCTCTTAGATAAAAAATTTAAATCATATTAAAGACCTTAAAATTTGAAGTTGTGGGTTCATGGATTTTCACGGCATTATCTACTGAACTCGTGAAAAAAGTGTTGATTGCCACTAGCTTAATCTACGTTGCATCTCTTATCCATATGGTACCTAATTTTTCAGTAAATTAATATAATATATATATATATATATCTAAAAGTAAAAATATTATAATAATAGAAATTTTTCAGTAAAATTGGTGTTTTCTGGCATTTTTGTTTTCATTTTCTTACACTGGTAAGCGAAAAGATTTGAATTTAACTGCATAACTTTACACATTTATAAAATTTTTATCGAATACAATTACATAATTCCTATAGAAATTAAATTGAATTATTTTTTTTCGTAAAAGCATTTAATATTTGTTTTAAGCAAAAAGCTGTGAAAGAGAAAGTGCGATTAGTTGTCGAATTTTTAGCATCCGTTCATTCTGATTCTATAATTCTAGATGTCCATAATTTTTTAATGATTTTTCTTACTTTTTTACCAAATTTGCTGATTATAATTGAGAATATAGTTACAGCAAATGAACAACGCTAACTCGACGAGATTTGCTTTAGCATTAAGGCATTGGTTTCTCTAATGTGGTAGCGATTTGCTTACCATTACCCAACCTATGATCCAAAAGTGAGTCCCTAGGAACCTTTCAATTTAGAGATATGATCGCTATTCTTGGAAATGCCTAGAATTTTTGAGCTTTTCTAACCGATTGCCGTATAATATGACAAATAGCTGCATAAGCCACCGGTCATTGCTTAATTGTAAGATTTGTTATAGAATCGTGAATCGCCAATTCAAGAAGGAATGCTGGAAATTTCCATTTAAGTACATAAAATAAAAATAATTTCTTATTCATATCATAGAGAAATACCCACAAAGATACCCATAAGAAAGGAAAGCCTACTAGTATCGATACAATTTTCGAAACCGAAAAATTGAAAAATTGTAGGAGATATTTTTAAGCCGATTTTGAAATGTATGCAGACTTTTTTTCACAATTTCGTATTTTTATATTTTTGTTACCGAATCAAAAGCCTTGTGATTTTTTGGTTTTCCCTAAGAGGATGAAACTGCTTTATTCATTGGAAGACAAAAGTACAGGCAGTTTTTAGCATCGCCCAAGTTTCACTTTTAATTCCAACGACCAAATCATGGTGCTTGACCTCAGTCAAAGCAACTTACCACTTGGCCATCGCGCCGTCAAACATGTTTTACTGCACCATTAAAGTAATTTTTTCTTTAGCTAAATCATTGTATCGCATTTGGCGTAGATTTTTCAGTCCAAAATTATAAAACGAATTTTCTGTATTCCGACTTTACCTGAATGCAAATGGTCTAACTTGAGATTTTCGGATGCAAAGATACTTTGGTTTTATTTGATCGACCTTTCGACTATAATTCTCAAGAAAATTTCTGCAAAATTTTTTTAAATGTTTTCTGAAAACTTTGGATGCCAGCATTTGCGACCCTTGATTCGCCAAACCAAGACGTTACAAAAATATGCGAGCAGATCTATCCGATTTTTCGCTATTTTTGTGCGTCAAGAAATTGAATGAAAAATTTAACAAAAATTTAGATTATGCTTGTGAAACGGATCATTTTCGCAACTTACGTGTTTGAAGGGACTATTGTTTTTACCACCATAATCGTCTTTATTATCGCAATTTTAAGAACATCTGGTTTAAAGTATAAATATGCAATTGTCTTGAACGAGGTAAATATAACTTTAGTAACAACCATTCGCGAAATTTTACTCGTTTTCACTTCATTTATTCATTAATCCCTGCTTAAATCATAGAAAATCGTATAAATTATCATTCATTATCATTAGAAAGCTGTATTCTGCAATTTCACTTAATTTAACTTTCATCCTATCCCAAAATTTTTCTGCAGTTCATTTAATTCACGATAGGTAAAGATTTTTTTTTTTTTAAATATTGTATACTATTGAAAATAAATATTATAAATTGGATTTTTTAATTACTGATGAGCAAAAGTTATGATTTAGATGAAATCTGTTGTATGGACTTAGGGATTACTCTCATAGAGCGAGCCAAGCCAATAATAGTACGGTGCGGGCCATTAGAAGAAGATGGCAATAGACATAGGATTTTGAAAGATTTATTGTTCATTTTCATAAACCGCTAAAAAAAGAAAGAGGAGTTGCGAAAATTTCAGCTCGTTGCGCAAGCAGGTTCATGTTTGTCTATTCTAGTGGCTGGTGCTGGAAGACTTTTTCTTTTAGCAAACTCTGGAAATAATCTGCTTTCTCAACTTCAGTGTGCTTTAAAGCCTTGGAATCTACTCTATTCATGGCATGTTGAATTTTTCATGAGATCAACATCTTTCTGTTGTATTTTCGTTTATCCCATAAACTGTGGATTAAATTTTAAATTTTAGTTCAGTCACGGGTTTTTTGAACTATAGAACTTTGGTTATTCATATGAACTTGTTTTCATTTCATTCCTTTAATTCATTTGATATTCATTCATTCATTTGATTTGATTCATTAATTCATTCATTTGATAAGTGATATAATATAATCGCTGACAATTATCAGTTCCAGTCAATATATGTTATCCTGAAAAATGAAAAAAACTTTTTAGGTCAGAATTACTAACAGCCATGACGATGATGATGACTGCAATTGATCGCTTAATATCCTTAAAATTTCCAATTTATTATTACAAGAACAGTAATCGTCTTCAATTTGTTGAGGTTAATTATATAAAAATGAAATTCTTTTATTATTTTTATTATTTATTATTTTCAATAAAATTTTACAAATATATTGAACAATACTTTTATACGTTTAATATCGAAGAATTGTTTTTAAAAAAAAACTGATAGAAATTTTGTTGAAATTTTTTTTTCAGTATTATTTGACAAGAAATAAACTTTCAGATATTAATTCCGAATGTACTTTCCGCAACAAATTTAGCGTATTCACTCATCGACAGTTTCTCGAGCATCGAAAAACAATATAATGAACTATGTTGGTAGGAGAATTTTCTTGAAAATTAATTTCTTTCTCAACAGATTTAACTGCCTTACAATCATGCAAAATTTCTACTTTGGTCAGCTAATTCTTTCCGAATAGAGAATTGCAAAGTACAAATGATAAATTTTCTTGCCATTCCCGCTCGATCACAATTATTGAAAAAAGTTTTAGTCAAATGCACGAACTGAAGCTTTTTAAAAGGTAACATGGCCAAGGCACTCAAATCATAAAAAAGCGAGACGAGTTTATGGCTTTATGCATAGTAAAACAAAAGCGGTAAAGTAGGCTTCTCTGCCTCAAATTTTAAATCTACTCTAAATATAGGTCTATTTTAATAAAATAGGGGATGGTTTTTATGGTAAGCACGCTAAAAATCTATCTAGTAAATATAAAAGTCAAAAATTCAAAAAAATCATAAAATCCTCAATATTTATTTACTCATAAGAATAGACCTCCGAACAGGTTTCATAACAGTGCTGGCGAAATCGAGAAATTGATATTCTTTTATGCGAAATTGCTAACTGGATGTATTTTAACTATAATTTTATATCTTCTGGTCGGTCTATTAGCAAGTAGACATATGAATCGCATAAATCGGAACACTGCGGTAATTTTTCGATAGATTTTTAAAAATTGATGATAAGTGTGAGTCGGTTGATCAAAATTTGCCGAAAAATTTCAATAAACTTATATTAAAGAAAATCCAAATTTGAAGACTCAGTCAAACCCATTTCCTGGGAGATTGAGGGTAGGTCAGTCAGAATTGGGGCGTCTTTATCTGAGGGCTCCATTTCGAAGAGCAGGTGCTGCCCGGAATTGGAACCTTTCAGTGCATATTAAAAGGCATGAGTAAACGCCCTTTCTGAGCTAATGGTAAATACCATAATACTTTGCAATTTTCAAGAGAAATCTTTCCAAATTCGATGAAACTTAATCGTTTGTTGTCAGTCGGTGGCCTTTATGAGGAGCGATTTTATTTTATTTTTTTTCTTTTCTTTCTACCAGGATACATAACAAATTAAATTTTTTAGAACGAAAAAGCGTTAGCACTATTTGAAAAAAGACAACTAAGATTCACGCGAACAATGTGTATTTCATGTTTCTTCACTGGCGTCCTTTATGCATTCCCGATATGCATTGATTTTGCCATTATAAAAAATCCAGATGATACAGTTTTTCAATCAGTCTTAGCTACATATGTTAGACTCAGTATGAATTTGAACTCATTGGTCTTCATTATTACTATCTATTTGCGTCAATCTGATATTGCAGATGCTGTTCGACGATTATTTTGTAAATCTAATACGTCTAAAATTATTACGATGGGTAGTAGTATCTCAACAAATGTTGTTCAAAATCAAAGTTATATGGCTTGGCAGAAATCGCCAAATTCATTCACTAAATAAACCCCAAGAATCTAGAGTTAAACCCTAAAATTTCTAGAAATGAAGCAATATCGCTGAAATGAATATTCGCGAAAGTAATACGCGAAAATAGCTGAAACGATGATCGAGGCTTTATGGTGGATTAGCTAGAATAATCATATGAAAGCGACTAAACTACAGGCTTATTTCTCCAGTATTCATTTATTCTACAGTTTTTTCTCTGCTTTAACTCTGAAATTAAATCCAGAATCTTAGCAATGATTGTAAAACCATAACAAGAAATTTGTTTCAAATTTGAGCTCTAATTTCATAATGTGAGCTCTGCAATAGTTTTCCTCACCACTCACTAGACATAAATCTGTTTTACTTTTTGCTACCGCTCACCATAGATAATCTGTTTTACAACTCTCAAATGTCTTAGATAATGGTACTTTAAGTGAGTTTTTTTCTATTCATGCATATTTTTGATTTATCATATTTAATTTAACATTTCTTTAATTAAATTTAATTAAATTTCTTACATTTAGAAATAAATGCACAAATTCTTAATTTTTTTTTCTCAACATCATGAAATAAAATTAAAGTAAATGAAATTCTTTCGTTTTCATCGTGTGCGATTATTTGATTCGAACTCATTTCTCCTTTATTTATTAATTCATCTGTAACAAATGAAATCTCATTAAAATAATTTTTTAAAAATTTGAGCAAAAAATGAACATTTTTTTTAGTTTCTTACTTTTTTGCGTTAAAAAAATCAATTAAATCAGTTTCTCAACATTATCAATGTGAATGAAAACTTGGAAAATTGAGATCTTGCATGATACAAGAATTAAACTCAGACTACCAAAAAGATGAAATTTAAACTTCGACAAGATTTTTTCGCTAATATTCGAGCCAAACTAATAATGGCCAATTTGTGAAACAGCGAAGAAATCGAATTGCTTGCCAGTTCTTGAATTGTAATTACTTTTATTTGTCAGTTATATCCAATTAATAAACTTTTTATTCGATCCACGTCCGACGACCTGCTTTTTATTCTTTCTATTAGATTACTATCAATGAAATCAAACTGCCTTTAAAACTGGTTATTAAAGAAGTTTATCAATCGAAATCCGAGATTTCGAGAGCTTTGATTATAGGTATAAACTTCCGTAGTACTTTCAGTTTTAAAGCTTTCAATCTAAAAAAAAAATGAAATAATTCCCGACCAACCATCGAAAATTACATCTTCTAACAAGCATCACATTTTAAATGACCAGATTAGCCAAAATTTTTTTATAAAGAAATGACCGAATTTTCAGTAACCTTCACTCATTAGGTAAGCATTGTTATATTACTTATGTAGATTTAGTAATTATAACAAAATTATATCCTGGCTTAGATTATTTTTTAGGTATTTTGAGTAGTTTATGCTATCCTTTTTTTGGTTAAACTTCTCCCATTTGAATTTGTCTTCTCCGAAATCTATGAAATGCATTAAAAATTTGATGCATTAGAGTTTTATTATAAATCCTATAAAACAACTGGAAAAAAAGTGGCTTCTAAAATAACGATTTAAATTATTGGTTAATTAATTCGCTTTGGCAATTTTTTCTGATATTATTGAGCAATGTTATAAAATTAGAGCCACCAGTGCCCAAGGCCAAACTTCTTTCTTCCATTTGTTTAATTATGTAGTCCGTAACCTAAAAAAAATATTTTTCATCACCTGTTATTGATAATAAATATAACGGCCTTAAATGCTATACTTTATAGAAAATATTATTACAGCATTTCGCCGTACCGCATTTGACATCCAAATTATCATCCAAATTCAGTTAAACAACAATAATCCTATAGTCAATAATAAGACGATCTCTTTGAAATGTAAAATACTCCTTCAGAATCAACAAAATTTCGTAGGGGTAAAAAAAGAATTATTTTTTTTTCTGAAATTTCAATTTATTCTGCTAATTATAAACTAACCAATGCGAAATGTTGACTTCGAATGAGTTTTAAAGCATCAATAGCTTCATTATAATATTTATCATGACGAAAATCCATAATTTGTGCTCGACGTAAACGAACCCATTCTATAAAGTCACAGTGTTCCTTTGGCATATAAGCACACTGCTCAGCCAGAAATATAGCTTCACTGCCAGAATGTTTTATGCCAAGAAAAGCATCAATTAAGTGTAGTGATGAGCTCTGCGCTGCAGATGCACCACTAAGCTGTTGCGGTTCTAATTCAACGCCTTCAAAAAAAAAGTATAATAGTTAATTTTTGATAGTTTATAACTATTCAGCAGAAAAGGAACAAAACATATTTTGGTGCAGCAAGGATAAAACTTTTTACTATTCCAAAACTAATCTGAAATTTAAAAAATTGGTTTCAAAATTTCCATGCTACATTAAATAATTGTTAATGCTGAATAATCAGTATTTGCTTCAAATTATTACACTTAATTTACCGAACGTTTAAGTTATTCTTCATAGATGATTTATATATTTTTTAAATCCTGAAAATTTAATCTTAAAAAACTTGATTGTTCTCTGGTGAAATTTCTAAACATTCACCACAAGGTTTAAAAAAACGAAAGTTCATGTGGCTAGAAAAAATAGCCAGTAAGAGTGAAAGATGTGAAAAAGATACCTTTGATTATGCCTAAGGTACATTTTAAGTCACCGCCCAGGGCAGAAAATATTTTTGACAGCGGTGATATATGAAATATATGAATTTAAAAGTGGAAAAAATATCTTCTGCTTGTTATACATGGCATCAACCGAAAGGCTTGGAAATATCTCACCCTTATAGCCAACCAGTCAGATAGTCTTCAGTATTGAGCAAACTGTTAGAAGAATTGCTTATTTAACCTTCAAATATGATCCCACCACAAGAAGCGATATGCCCATAGTTATAACCAGAAAGAAAAACTCGAAGATCACGATAAAATACCTCGGGTGGCAAGTTTTCATTCATTCGCTGAAAAAAAGATAGCTCTTTATATTTTTTGATTTGGTTGGAACTGCATTTGAGGATTTATTATTTTCAAAAATTAAAAAACTGAAAAATTAAAACTGAAATAATCCTTTTTTCGGTGGCAATGACATTTAATTTATAGACTGAAGAAATTTACTATAGGTTTATTGGAACCAAATTAATTCTCAATAAATGTTCAAATAATAGAAGTTAAAGAAATTTGACAAAGCGAACATAGAGTTAAAATTACAGAAACTGTAACCTTCATAGTATCACTTGCATTGAGAAGTGAATTGCGAATCGTTATGAGTGTATTTTCGGAAAGTTTAAGATGGTGACAAGCAATAAGAATCGCTATATGAGCTGGTGCTAATTCATATTCCACCTATATAAACCAATATAAAACCGCAAATATTAGAATCGAGTAAATAAAGACTTTTTAAAATATAAAAAGAAAAAAATATGATTTTAATCACTAAATATATATAGCAAACCTGAGCAGCAACTAAAAAGAACCATTCATTTCCTCTGTGTTTGATGAATCGAGCAGCAATTAATTTCATATCATCAGCCTTGAACCGCTGATGGCCGCTGATTTGATTGACTGTTTGATAATTAGCGAGACAAGCAGAAGCATGGCAAATGATTGGTTTTAGACCAACAGCTTGACTGACTTCATAAAGTGGGATTGCGATTTGTTTCGGTAACAATAATTTAGGCTAAATTCTCGTTGATTGATACCGTTTGTCTCTATCTTTATCTTTATATTCACTCATAATAAACTAGTGACAACCATAACTTGTGTTACTTGCAGGTTAATGCAGCAGGATAGCGCCAAATGGAGAGCATATTCTGCTCTCCATATTCTGCATCCTGTCTCTTTCTCTTTTTTCCTCTTCTTCTTTAACTTAAAAATATTCTTAAACGAATAAATAAAGACAACTTTTTGTGGTCCATCGGCCCAAATGTAGCCAGAAGCAATCGTAGAAAGCAAGAGATGTGCCAGTCGAAGCTCTCGATAAGTACGAATTTGATTTGTGTCAATTAATGGCAGATTTTTGATTTTTTGATCGAAATTTTTACATTGAATCAATTGTGGAAGATCATCTGGAAATGATTAAAAAACTTGTAAAAATTCAGAAAACCGCTGATTCTATCACAAGAAAGTTATACAACTTTTCCTCTACTAGGAAGAATACAAAACAGGTTTTCTACCTGAGGGTTCTCACATGTGGGAAAATTTATTTATTTTCATATTTTATATTTATATATATTTTGTAAAAATTTATATCTTCATTTTCACTAATCGTTAACATTAATTCCTTCATTCATGAATATTTGTGATTGTATTTGCCGTATCAATAATTTCGGCACCAAAAAATGACATTTTTATGATTACTGCATTCATATATATTTTACTTTATGAATTCACCGTAGGCTTACCACAATATCACAAAATAGTTCCATAAATCAAAAAAAAAAATTTGAGAACCGCTGAACTAACAAAGCACAAAATAGTTTCTCAGATAAAAGCTAGCATCTAAGAACTAATAATTTTAAATAAAATAAACCAACCGACAAGTTCATGCCATAAATGATACTTCTCGGACAATTTGATTAATGGATCTTTGAGCAAAAAGCCAAATTCATGATCAATTCCAAAACGATCTAATAGATTTTTAATTTCAGGATCAACCATATCGTTTTCACTCATCGTTTATTATAATTATTATCGGAGCCAAATAAAGCCAAAGCCAAAAAATAAATTGTATACCATATAATTATAAAAAATCAAAAGAGAAATATTTAAAAAAATTTCTTTAAAATCAACCTTATTAAATCGCAAACTGAAGATTTCTAGTTTTGAACTCAAATATATGTTTTCCTTCCATTTTCCTTAAGAAATTTAAAAATTTCACTTTAAATTTCCTTTTTATAATGGCACTCACCATTTTTGACTTGCTTGGTTCCACTAACTGCCAGGTTGAACTTCTCGCATGTGAGTAATTTGGGTATAAAGATAAAGATGAGTACCAACTCGGATTGCGATTTTAAAGATGGACTCGTTAAGGGATAGGAATTGAGTCCATTTCCTTGTCGTATAATGCAACATATGGCTCAAATTACTTTAACTATCAAATTTACAAGAAACATCTAAGCCGACTAAATTATAACCTTAAATTGTGAAAATTAGACGTGATTTCGAATCGTCATGGTCAGTATCGGTAAATAATACCTAAGCATCGGGCGATGCTAGCCATTCACTTCACTTCTATCGCCAAGAGACTCCCTGGCCTATTTCAACAATCCAGCCGAGCGACTGCGTATCCAGCAATGGTGAGTGCTCTTCAAGAAAAGTACCTTTGCATAATGATTAACAATCTTAAACTATCTTCCACGAATAATACGGTATCCAAACTGATCCAAACTGATCTCTGCATTTATGAAAACTTTTGTGGTATTCTATGCTCCATTTAAAAAAACTCCTAAACTTAATTCATTTTATTAGTTATCAGCTTTAGTTAATCGCGCCAAACTGCTGATAATCATGATTATCAGCGAAATACACTCATATTTGACTCTTTCACTTGCGATTATTTAATGAATCGATTTAATGAAATAAATCACTTATAATAATAAAACTTATGAAATAAAACTTATAAGAGGTTAAATATTAAAGCAAATACTACTTTTTTTAGAAAAATTTAATTCCAAGAATTCGAAATCATTTATTAAAAATTAGAATGGAAATGCAATAGGACAATTTGAAGACTTATAAATAATAAGTAAAATATTCAAAAAATGAAATTTTAAAATTTAAATTGTTAAGATAAAAGAAAAGAATCTATTATTTGCCAAGCTTCTAGTCGCGTTTTAGATATGTTTAACAATTTTGAAAGATTAGCAATGATGAACAATTATTATACAAAAAATTGATGAAAAATACAAGTGACTGACGGCAATAAGTAACAAAACCAATCAAGTCGAACAACGCCAACAGCGTTATTTATAGAAGTATGATCAGCCGAAAACTAATCCTATCAGAGTGTCAACGCCAGATTTTCATCAAAAGATCTTTTTTCCAAATGTTAAAATCGATGTCTACGATGGCCCCAGAAAGTTAATAATGCATCATTATAAATCTCAAAAGTCACTAAGAGTCACTAATACCCAAACAATGGTGCATTAGTTTCACAAGATCAAATATCTCATTAGTTCTATGTTGCCGTATTTTCTTTTAATTTTATTATAATAAAAAATATAAAAAATAAATTTTCGAATTTTTCAAATTTTTTTAATGTGTTTTATACGCGGCCAAGACAACTTTTCACGCAATGTGGCCCACATAAGCCAAGAGGTTGGATATCTTTTGGTTTATATGAATGGAAAATGGAATCACTTTCGTTCCTTTTCATCTTATAATATGACCGAAAACAAGGCAAAAAATTCCGCTCTCTGGTGCTAAGTAATAAAACAAATTATGGCACAAAAGCACGGAAAAATGAAATGAGAAAACAATAGTTGGCTAGCAATAAAAAATATCCAAATGACAAATCATAACAAAATAGTAAAAACAGAAAATATTGAAGAGAAAAATTATTACTCTTTTTATTACTCTTTATTTACTCTTTTTTATCTCATTAAACATAGAAACATCACCAAATAACAACTTTGCACGCTCCACATCAACTATTTCTACTCGAAGCCTTGGTAAAAATAGGTAAAAATGCCTGAAAAAATCTTGTTATCAAAAATTTCATGAAACGTTCGAGTATTGCCAAATATCACCTAATGTTATTCGACTTTAACAAATTCAATATGCAAGCAAAGATATATAAGTAATGTAAAAACGATGTGCAGTAATTTCTCTGCCACCGGCTTATTACATAATTTGTAATAAAAAGCAAACTAACGATGAATATTGACGCAATTTCAGCACAGCATCTTCACAATTCAAATTCGCTTCACGAATCGGCATAATATCATCGAGTTCCATAATTTTATTACGTCGAGATCCCCAAAAAGACAAATAACCAATACGAATGAATTTATTGGATTCAGTCATAGAAATCACGCCAATAAGTCGATTAAAGTATCTGAAAAAATTACAAAATTATAAAGTTAATTATAATTATAAAGTTAATAAGAGAAAATTACTATGAGCTACGATAGAAAAAAATTAACAACATAAGAACCACTTAATAAACAGGAAGATTAACATAAAATTAAATATGGCAAAATAGAGGAAAATTTTTTTCAGAAGATCGAACGTAGTAAAATATGGCACAAGATATCCCTCCTAGGAAGCCATCCGTATCCCTTAAAAGTTAATCTAAAAGTCTCATCTTTCAGCCATTGCAATCAATCAAACCATATTTGCTGAGAGCTATAAGATAACTAGGGAAAAAAGATTAGATGATCTAGTGAATAATTTCTTTTTCTTCTAACAGCTCTCACCATTACTGGTTAGGCTGGCTCCAACGGCTACAAGTGCTTCTAAACGGCGCGGTCTGATGCCATCGTCGACAGTAATAGAAGCCATTCCTTTTTCAATCGTCTAAGTCCATATATTGCTGGTCTATCTATAAGTTTAAAATCTTTTCTCACCGTATCAGTCCAGGTCTTGATTGGCCAACCTCGCTTTTGACGCCATCCATCACACGGTTTAGCAAGTAACGAAATATGCGACAACTCTTGTGGTGGACGACGGAGAATGTGCCCTAACCACCGAAAGCGACTCTCTATGATAAAATTATTAATATAGATGGTGTCTGAACGAAGGTGGATGCGATCATAGAGATAAGTGATATCTACGCTCGACGGATCCGTAAAATATAACTTAGACAATAGTGGCCAAAGGTAAATAGCTTCTTAATATTCTCCATTGGCCATGTCACAGAACCATATAGCAAGATCGAACGAATCACGGCTATATAGATGCGAACTTTTATTTTAATGGTAATTTCACGACGGCTCCATAAATTTTTCGTTAACGCATTTCTAGCTGCCGTGATCCGGACTATAATATCGTCATTTGCCTGGCGCTGGCTATTAGAGTGGATCCAAGATATTTAAAATCGGGCACTTCCTCGATCGATAATAATAATTCGGTGAATAATTTCACAAAAGTATCAAAATCTAGGAGAACTAAAAAATTTAAAGAATCTGGATATTTTTTCCACAAAAAATTCTAAGATTCTGAGACTTTTTACGCATTATGCAGGAAAATTTCGCATAATCTCTTCGAAAATCTCTTCTTTATCAAAATGCTCATCAACATTTGAAAATACTCGTTATTTAATATAAATAAGAGGCGAATTATTCTATCTATTCCCTAAAGACGATATGTAAATTTTTGAAACCCTCAATTTTAAAGTCATATGAAGAGAATTGAGAAAAATTGAAAAAAATCATACTGGCTATATAAGATAAGCAAAACTGTTGCAGAGAATGCTAATACTGATACACCCAAAAAACTTTCCAAAGATATAGCTTCATTATTATATTGCCAAAATATATATGGCATTAAACATATGCTACCCAAAGTCTGGATTAGTTTGGTTCTAGCGAGAAGGGCACCGAATCTTATACCAGAGAATCGATAAACAGGATGCCTGAAATACAAATAGAATATACAAAATAATCATGACACATGATACAACTTTAGTCAACTCTCATGAAAAACTTAATTTCTATATAGTTTCTATATAATCGAATTGATATAAAATAGTCTATATAGTTTCTATATAATCGAATTGATATAAAATAGTCTATCTCCACCGCAGGAGGACCTCAACAGAATAGCCAACTGGCTATATAACAGGCAAATTGCCCTTTTCTTTTCAAAAACGTAGCGTTCTTCATATTAATTCTAAGGGTTTCGATTTTTCTAATATTTTTATTAATGGTGATATAATCAATAAAGTCTCATACATTTCCGATCTTGGGATAATCATGGATGAAAATCTCGATTTCGAGCTTCACTGCAGAACCATGGTTTAAAAAATTCGCAAAGATACTAAATTTTATTTTTCGTTCGTTTAAAAACAAAACTGAAGACTTTCTTATCAAAATGAACAAAGCGTTCGTCCGACCACTTCTTTACTACAGTACTACATGTTAATCCCCGAAATATCGTAAATCAAGTAAAATAATTGATGGACTTTAAAAATATTTTATACGACGCCTCTCCCATGATTGCAATTTTAATTATAAAAGAAAACTTCTACAATATAACCTGGATTCTCTGTCAGTTCGTCGTATTAAACAAGATTTAATACTTATAAGATTCTGTATGGCTATGTTAAACTAGATTGTTCAAAAAATTATAATTTTAGGCTAAATTTGAATCCAACAGCAACTAATGGGCTAAAATTACTAAAGCCTATGTGCAAAACTGAACTAAGGACTCATGAATTCTTTATTCGTCCTATTAATTACTGGAATAAATTACCGAACGATATAGCTTGTGCGTCATCCTTAGCTATTGTTAAAAAAAGAATAGATAATATCATTTATGATATTATTTCAAAAGTTCAGATCATGCAGGAAGAGTGAAATCTCGATTTTTACTATCCGATTTTATAACGCAGTTACTTCGAATTGTACTGTATTATATTATTCTATAATTTCCAATTCATTTCTTCTTTAAACTGTTAATTTTTGTCATATTTTTTATTTTTATTATCACTAAATTATTATTATTATAAATTATAAATTATTATTATTATTTGTTTTTTTTTTTTTTTTTTAAACGGTTGTTATTAATATAAACACATGGCGTTATCACTCTGCTTGGCTGGTTTTCAATAAATAAATATAAATAAAAAAGACAGAAAAAAAAACACTAGTCGATAATCACTTAATAAAGTTATCTTACAGGGTTTATACCAGTTTGACAGCATTAAGCAATTGTTCGAAGTCACCTTTTTTTAACACTTTTAATCGGTATTTTTAATTATATAAAGTTTAATTAAATTTAGTCGAATTAAATTTTAATTAAAATTTAGAAATTTAGAAATTTACAAACTTATAAAAATCAAAAATAAACCATTTTTTTGATATCAAAGATATCACTGTCCAATTACAAGTATAAATCTAAGTATTCTAACAAATACTTTCATTAAAAGCAGCATTTTAAAAAATAGAAATTAAAGGAATGACATAAAAATTATCAAAAAATATCATACCACGTCTCTTCATCATTTACCAAATGTTGAAGCGAATGGACATTTTTTTCGCTCAAATTCCGTATAGAAGTACCACCAATTCTATTCAAGAATTCTTCTTGTTCATATGGATTCGATTGCACATTCCGAACATTTCGAACTAGTCTTCTGGCCTTTTGTCGCTTTTGTGATACTCTTGATAAAGATGGTATAGAAGAAGTAATCACCACATTTCTACCCTCTTGCCGATTCATTACATTCAACAAAACTCGGCCAAGCAATAAGCCTTGCACCAACACCATCCAGCTTAAAGATTAAATTTCTGATGCTATTTTAACAAAGAAAATTTTCATCTTTCCAAATAATATAGTTAAATCATGAAATCCAAACTAGTTTTGTGACTGTCAATAAACATCACTTTGAAACACATACAACAGAAAGGTTTTTCTAACGCCACGCACTCTCCCATCTTTAGCTGGCTCCATTGGCTTACAGAATGATAATTTAGTTTTTACCTTGATGACAGTTAAAGTTGGAATCTCACCACCACTTAGATTTCGTTTTTAAAATCTGGGAAATTTTACCAAGAAATAGAAAGTAAATTTATTTTGCCCAACCCTAAAACACCATTTTACCAATCACCTCGAAAAATTTAACACTAAAACAGTACGAAAAACAACCACCAGCATTAAACGATGCAATCATTAAACATCGACTGTTTTCTGTTAAAATTTCTTTCATATGCACAGGTATAAAACGGCATTAAACCATGAAAGCGAAGAAACTATTTTATCTTCTCAAGGATTTTTCATATATTTCATAATATTTCATATTTCATAAATATATAAAAAAATATAAAACAAGAAGTAAAACAAATTCTCGACTGAAAAACTCACAGGGATATGCTTCGTCTAAAACAATAAGATTAACACGACGACATAATATATTAGCAAAATTAAATTATCCTTAACACTTTAGCATGCTTTAAAATGCGAATAAGAGACAGATCTGAGCGAATATGAACTGATCCCATTAACGCACCGGCAATAAATCCATTTTACATAAAATACAAAGCAAGAAATCAGATTAACCATTGTTGAATAAATCTCAAACTAAACTCAAATTGTTTGGAAACTAAAAAAAATTCCTAATAAATCGAGAAACAAATCTGATCCACAGAGGAACGTTATGGTCAGCACGCAAGAAAATTGATGGTTCAACTCGTATTGAATATTCCATATATTGATTGCGCTCCTGCAAATTAAACCCACCAATTCACTAATTAATAAGAAATAGACGTCAATTAAGCAGTCAATTAATCAATTTCTTCCAATGAATGGAAGACCGATCTAAATAAAAACATTCAAAGAAAATTGGCCATATGCTAAGATGATTTGAAAACGAACCAGTAGGGCGCATCTTACGTGCCAGCCAAGCAGATGCAATCTTATTGCATCTAGCTTTGCTCTGATACCACAAGCAACAATTATATCGTTATAAAGTTGGTTAAAAAATGTACACTTTTTTTTTTTGAATTGACACATATATAATTATTTGCTAAACTCTAATGGATGATATCATAACGGAAAAATTGATCAAGACCTGGATTGATAACAGCAATATATGCCCTCAGATGGTGAACAAATGAGCTACTTCCATATATGGCATTGAATCGACAGTTTTGGTATTAGTAATTAGTAATGATGCTAGTTTTTAGAATGAAAAATAAAATGAATAAGGAACAATGAATGGAAAAAGAATGAAGGCATAATAAAAAAAACACACACCTTTATTAGGCGTTTCTTCAAATCATTATTGTTAGTTACAATTAATAACTGAGCTTCTAAATCGCGATGAACGGAACGGTATCCTTAAAAAGTGATGAAAAACTCCCAACAATGAAAGACTTAAAACATTTTGAAAAACGGTTGCTTTTATAAAAAATTTGGAAAATGAACGAAAGAATTTTACTGCGAAAAAACTTACCATAATTAGATGATCCAACTAATGTGGAAAAAAATGTTGAGGAATTAATCCATAAACCTTTTGCATGATAAGACCATCCCGATCGCGAATATTCATGAAGTACTACACGGGAAGGACATTTTCCCAAAAAATTACGCGAAATATCGACATAAAGCGCTGGAATATAACCTGATATCCCTTGCCCCTGATAGAAACCATTAGCCTGGATTACACTGTATATAATAGGTGTTTAAATCAATAAATGTCGAAGTTAAGAAGCAAGACAAGACACATTACATGTCAAGGAATAAAACATTAAAATTCGATAATAAGAAAAAATTTTAAGACTTACCTGAGGAGATGCGAAAATAATATCCATATTAAATCGCCCCCTTCTTGAAATGAGATATTCATACTTATCAATTAAATTAAAATAACCAGATGACATTGTTAATTGAAAAGATTCATCCTAAAAGTATTTTCTTAATGAAAACAAAATCAAAAAACTTCAATCATAATAGAAAATCCACTTACTGAATTAACAAGAACGATTAAAAATGCTTACCTGACATGAAAATAATTTTTCCAAAAATTGATATTCTTGATTGATAGAAAAAATTCCCATTTGTATAATCGGATAAAGAAAAGTATCAAATTTTGCATGAGAAACTGATGGCTTGCTATGAGAAAAATCGTTTATGAGTGAACCAATTTTTTTGCACACACTTCCTATATATTCATCAATTTTGCCTAAAAAAAAACTCAGAAAAAAAATTTTGAATGAACTCTAAAGAATGAAAAAAAAACATGAACATTATGAACCGTTATAAGGATGTTCCACAGAGTCGCTATCGTAATGGATTGATCCATCTGACTTCACTGCGAAAGAACAAGAACTGATGGCGCCAACGAGCCTATCAAAAAAATCAGCTAATGAATCACAGTCTTCCACTAAAATATAACGGTCCTGTCGATTTGTGAAATAAGATTCAGATAGATTAGCTCTGAAAAACGATAAAAATTCAATGTATGATAAAAATAAGCCATGTGTTGTTGTGTCTGATGACATGGACTATACCTTCGATTATAGCTAAATTAGAATAAACATACTTTTAAAAGTAATGTATCAGTATATCAGTGCATAAGTAAAATATCAAATCTTTAATACACGGTATTCTCTCAAACACATAAGGATTTACTTTAAAAAATCGAATTATTTGGAAAGCATGAAAAATGATTTATAGAATATTTCATAAGGAATATTTCATATTTTTTGAGCAAAATTAATCGAAAAAATTTAAAAAAATTTAACGAACCCGCTAATAATAATATTATTATCAAATATATAAAGCTTCATATGTTGAAGACCAATAATTTCATTTGATCGTTCCGGCAGATACTTTTTAAGCAAACCTCGCAAATATGGCGTATGAAAAAGATGAACTGATGCTCGAGGTGTAAGCCTAGAAAGTTAAATTATTATTTATTCCTTCCTATATCATTAAAATCTATTTTTTTCACTAAATACCACTTAAATTAATTTTTATTCTTCTTTTTGCCTTAAATAATAGGACTATTCCAAAAATATTCAAATCTTTCAAAAGTTTATCCGTCAAATATTTTCTTTTCTTCATAACAATTCGCACCACAAGCCTTAAGATTAAGACTAGCTCAGCTTGCCATAAGGATGCTGACATTCGTCCCACTTTTATCTCGAATCTTTTCATCAACCAAATAATCTCAATATAGAACCATAAGAAGAAATAACATTCTAAAAAGAATAAATATCAGGATAATCAACATACTTACGAGGAAAACCATGTAAACCAGCAAAATGCAAAGGAAAAAAAGTCAAATTAGCACCCACAAAAATTACAAAAAATACCACACTCATAAAAATCTTATTACCATAAACATAACCAGTTAAAAAAGTCCACCAAAGACTAATACCACAAAAAATACCAAAAACAGCCCCTATCCTTAAAACATAATGAAAATGACTAACAACATAATAAGTATCATGTAAAACAACGTCCAAACTAGAATTAGACAAAATAACACCAGTAAAACCACCTATAGTAAACAAAAAAATAAAACCTAAAACCCACAACAACACAGGCTGAAAAACCACCCGCATCCCATACAAAGTAGCTAACTAAAAACCTTAACACCAGTAGGAACAGCAATAACCATAGTAGCAGCAGAAAAATAAGCACGAGAATCCAAATCCATACCAACAGTATACATATGATGAGCTCAAACCACACAACCAATTATTCAATCCTTAAAATAGCATAAATTATATCTAAAGAACCAAATACCTCCTTTTTACCAGTCAAATACAAACTACTCTGACTTACAATACCAAAAGCAGGCAAGATCAAAATATAAACCTCAGGATGACCAAAAAACCAAAACAAATACTGGTAAGTTAAAGGATTACCACCACTACTGGAATCAAAAAAGGAAGTATTAAATCTACGATCCATCAATACAACATTACAACATATTACAACATAATAATAGCCCCAGCCAAAACAGATAAAGTCAAAATCAAAAGAAAAACAGTAACAAACACAGTTCAAACAAACAAAGACAAATGTTCTAAAGAAAGAGAAACCCTAAGTATATTTTTAACAGTAGTTATAAAATTAATACCCCCTAAAATAGAACTTACACCAGAACAATGCAAACTAAAAATAGCCAAATCAACTCTATTACCAGGATGACCACTAGTACTTAAAGGATAAAAAGTTCACCTAGTTCCACAAGACCTATCCACCAAACAAGCAGACAAAATCAACATTAAAGATACAGGTGTATCAACCAATAACTCACATTATTCAAACGAGGAAAACTCATATCAGGAGCCCCCAACATTAAAGGTACCATCCAATTACCAAAACCTCCAATCAAACTAGGCATTACCATAAAAAAAATTATCATAATAGCATGAGAAGTAATAACAGCATTATATAACTGACCCCTACCAAAAAAAAAACCAGGTTTACACAACTCAGCACGAATCAAAATAGACAAACCAGCACCAACTATACCAGACCAAAAACCAAAAATCAAATATATAGAACCAATATCCTTATGATTAGTCCTTTCAAACCAAACTCTATATCAATTATTATAACTAAACAAAAGAACTTTCAAACCTAACCAACGAAAATAGTCTATGCAAATACACCAAAGTTCCAACAACTATCCACACAATAATAAGGGTATAATAAACCCAACACCTCATACAATAAAATCACAAAAATAAAACTTTGCAATACTAACACCATTATCTCATAAAAAAAAAACAAAAAATAACTAAAACCAAATAATAAAAAACTTCTACCAAAACCTATTACCAATAAAGCCCATTTACCACCTTGACCAATCAAAAAATTTATATAAACACGTAACAATATAACCACAGGAGTTCTAACATGATGATAAACTCCTCTAAGAAAACCCCATCAAGACAAACCAACCACCTCTAAACTAGAACTAACATAATTCCAATGAACACGAACACGTATCAACCAAACTAAAAAAGAAACTAAAAGACCAACCATAGACAATCTACCCCTAAAAACAACATTACACCAAACATCCTCAGTATAACTTAAATAATGATAAAAACTAAAAGACATAACCAACATAATAAAAAACAAAAACTTAACAAAATACCCATCAGCACCACCACCAAAAAGGTAATTACAAAAACCAATACCTAAACTATTAAAAAATTCACAAAAACCACCAAATTCCTGAATAAAATACAATCTTACAAAAAAAAACAACAAAAAATATAAAGAAAAAACACTAACAAACGATAATTAAATCAAGAAAAGTTTAGAAAACCTCTCAAAATCTGTTAATCATCCTCAATTCTTTTACTCTTAAAATAAACACATTACCAATATGCTAAAATGATAAAGTGTGAAAACCATCAAAAGATCAAAAATCTCTTACTTTAAAATTAAGCTAACACCTCACAACCAATAAAAAACACTAAAAACCAAAAAAACCAAAGGCATAAGACAAAATCAAAAAAAAACCCATTATCTTATCATAATGAAAACGAGGAAAAGATCTACGAACAAAAATTACAAGAAAAAAAAATAAAAAAACAGCCAACATACTAAAATTAAAAAATCCTACAGAAAACAAAACCCTAAAAAACAATAAACTACCATATTCCCTCAAAAACAATAAAACAAAAGGAACACTAGAATATTCAACAAGTAATGGTTAGATTGAATTTTTACAAAGGCGTAGTAATTTGTCTACTGGAGTAGTTGCCTCCATATTCAGGGCCATGTTTGTCCAATAACAATCTTCGTTCTCTTCATGCCAGTGAATGCCTCCCATGTTGGCCCTGATAGTTTTTTAGGACAGCTGGACCCTTTCTTACGAGATCCAGTCAAGTAGGATATTCTAAAATTGAAAGAATCCGCAGTCAGTTTAGATTTGGATGTGGTCTGCATTAGGCCATTTATATCAACCGTATGAGTACAGTGCGCACAAGAATAAGCGGACGCCATTCGACCCTTTTATCGTGATGTCAAATAGCAGACGTACAGATGTGTGACCGGGCACTCGAATTTTAGATTTTTCATCAACTTCATTAAAATAACTTCTTCAACAAGGAGATTGAGCTATTCTTCAATCCACCACGAGTTCCTCTTAAATAGTCCAGTAAAATATCGACACGAAGAGCAGGATGGTTATCCAAAGCCTTCTCCACTTCGTCAACCTAAAATAACAGTTACACTTAAATTGATTACAACTGATTATTAATATAAAAAGTATTAATATAAATATAATTACTGATATAAAAAGTTATCTTTTCTTCAAAGTTTCAGTTTTTTGCTAATATCAGATGAGCATTGAGTGTCCTCAAATGAACTCAAATAACAGACAGACTTTTTTTCGTCATTAAAACTGAGAATATGCAAAACTTTATGTAAAAGATGATCACCTAAAAAAAAAGCTACTATTATATAATACTGAAGTAATAATAAACTAATAGTAATAAACCAATAGTAACCAAATTTTTCTCGAGAGATCCATTTCCGAGATATAAACTGCACAGAACTATACGTTTCTCAGCGCAATTCGTTAGCTTCTGAAGAAAAGAAATAAATGGAAGAAAAGATAAATAAATGTATCAAGAAAGATGGATATCTGTCGTATAGTGACTATTTAAAACCAAATTTTTACCATTTTTATTTATCAATCATTTTATTTTAAAAATTTCAGGAGTGATAACTTTACTGACTATTAGAAGCGATGAGATCCTTTCGCCAGTGAGCTATTTGAGGATAAAAATACGCATATATCTATCTCTACCATTTCAATTTTGATATGAGAGGACCGACTTTAGGTGAGCATTAGGTGAGCAGACCAGATGCCCGATTAGGCACCAATAGATCAGATAGCAGCAGACCACTACGTGCCAGCAGACCACCACGTGCCAGCAGACCACCATGTGCCAGCAGACCACCATGTGCCAGCAGACCACCACGTGCCAGCAGACCACCACGTGCCAGCAGACCACCACGTGCCAGCAGACCACCACGTGCCAGCAGACCACCATGTGCCAGCAGACTACCAGGTGCCAGACAAATACAAGCCAAATAGGCCAAACAGCGAGTTACAATATAATGAATTAATTCGTAAGAAAAAAAAGTATGTGGTAAAATGAAAAAATCCGCACAATAAGCGAATCGTAAAATTGTTGCGGCGTTTCAAGAATTTTAACATTCGAAGCGTTGACAGCGAAACAAGGACGACTGCTTCTTAAAAAATATTCCTCAATCACATTCATAAAATTGTTTTCTGAATTAAATATAAAATAATCGAACGATAGAAATTATTTATGCGTTGAAACGACGAAAAACAATGAAAGTATTGCATTCTGAAAAACTCGGAACTTTGAAAGCGAAACGGCACACGATGTATGACTCCTATACGACTCCGAAAATCCTTGGCCAGCCAAGCCACAAACACTATAAGCTAGGGAAGGAAGCACGAAATACCCCTCAAAAGTGAAGCAAGCAAATTTTTAGCCAAATTTTCTAACGAAATCATTTTTAGAAAAATTGAATGGCCTGGTCTACTCGTTTTACGGCCAGCGAACACGGCCAATAATCATGCAATATGATTTTAGATTAAAATTAAAAAAATCTTCGATATTGTAGAAAAAGGAAGAAAAAAGAAACAAAAATAAGAAATATTATGAATTTTTCATCCGAAAATTATATGATGAAGACAACTCTATTGGAATGAGTTAGATAATGGGTTCGGCCGTGGCCGCAATTTTTAGCCTTGCTTTTGATTCTCTTGTTAGTTGTCTTCACTAACGTGGTCGTGTCATGAGTAGTGAAAAATTTGACAGTTTGTGGAAGAGTGAAGGGATTGGATTGAAGAGTATGCGAGTTGTGCAGCTGTCCAGGAGATGGTGTAGGCCGCAGGTGGTGCCCTAAGCTTCTGCACCCAAATCATGAATGCCCAGAAGGAGTTGAACGGCAAATGGAACGAGAAATCAGAGATCAGAGGCGATGAATGCCTAGAAGAATAGGAAAATTGGTATGAAGAGGAGAGAGGTTTTTTAGGAAAATTTTGTTGGTTTATTATCGTTAAAGTACATAAAAATTGTTCAAAATTTTTTTTCATTTTTTTAAAGAACGAAATTTTCAATGGAAGTCCTTAAAATTTTTCATTTTCATTTTACCATTTTGTCAGATTTTAAAGCTTATAAAGCTTTTTCCAGAGAATTACTTGAGAATAGAAGTGCAGATGGATTTTTAATAGTCATTCGGGTTTTTTGCTATTTAATAGGATTTTCTAGGGTTCCTTCATTAGTTCCCCTAGGATTTACTTCTGTTAAGAGACAATAATCTAAATTTCTTGTCTGAAATATTATTAGGCTAAATTTGATAATTGTTAATAGTCGTATTATTTTTATAGTTATTATTAGTTCAGCAAAAAATGAGCTATCGCCGTTACAATCCATTACTCGATGAATGGATCCTTATTTCACCAAATCGAATAAAACGACCTTGGGACGGCGAAATTACTAACAGCGATAGTGAAACAGCCAACACAAAAGTTTCTAATTCATCTTCAACAAAAAATCCTTTGGCGCCAGGTGGTATTCGATCAAATGGAGAAATTACACCAAATTATACTCACACATTTGTCTTTCCTAATGATTTCCCTGCTTTAAATGAAGGTAATTTTGTTGAAGATGACGATGAAATTATTCGTGAATGCAGTTCATCAGTGCTTTACCAGTCGGTTAGGGCCAAAGGAGTGTGCAGGTTTGTTTTCGTTTTGTTTTTTTAAAGATTTTTTTTTGTATTTTTATCGCTTTTGAACATTTCAGAGTGATATGTTATCATCCATGTAGTAGTATGTCCATGGCAAAAATGAAACTGAATGCAATCGAACGAATCATCGATCTGTGGATTGAACAATTTAATGAACTGGAAAACAGATATGATTGGATACAGGCCTGCATGTTGCTATTTTTTCGAGAATTTTTATTGTCAGCTCTAACAATTATAGTTTTTCAGCAAATGCAAACATTGTTGGGAGTAAATCTATCATTGTGAAACCCAAAAATGAAATCCAAATCCAGGAACCCAGTTGCATCTCTATCCGCAGTTTTTGTCGACGAATAAATTCTTTTATTTCCTAGCTTCTACTAACATCTCGCACCATTGGTTAGATGAATCCTCTTATACCATATCTGAGAATGACAGTGGCAGCTTCTTTTTTTCCACCGTTTAAGTCCATTGGGCCATTTATAATCTCTCTTAATTAAATCAGAAATAATTGTTCGAGATCTGAGATGAGGAAAATGGATTTCTGACCAGCAAGACATGTCCACGCGTTACTTGGATAGAGTGTGGATGATTATCGCCTAACTGTCAACGTTCCATGTTACGTTCCATACTATGAGCGAGACCTCGCGGCATGTGCATAAAGCCAATGGACAATATTCGTTGCTCTTAACAGAATTTGAGGAATGACTATGGTTCGAGAATTCATTCTGTTCTGGGTCCTTAGAATCGTTTTTCTACTCTCGATCGCCATATTATTTATCATCTATACCACCGGACAGGGGGTATTACGTATATCACGTGCATCAAAGGATGCGGTCGGCTTGTCAGTATAACCAGATCCTTTCACTATGGAGTTATTTAGGGATTTAGTTATTTAGAAAAAAGATGAGTTCCAAATAGCCACTCGGATCTGGCATAAAATTATGCTTGAATATTTAAGATTTTCGAAAACAAGGGATATATGGTTGGTTGCTCAAATGCACATCCTCACGGTCAGTTATGGGCAAGTGATTTTTTACCCAGTCAGCAGTCTAAAATGCTTTCAAGTCAGAAGGTATATTATTTTCCCTAGAGAAAAATTAATTTTGTTTTTCTAAATCTGGCATATTAGGACTTGTTTTTATGTCTGATTTCTATATATCTGTCTTCCGATGCTTGCCTTTAATAACCCCATTGCATGAATTTAAGTTTGCTGAATTCTGTAATTTAGCCGTTTAGCAGTATAAAGAACGCACTGGTCGTATAATGCTAATGGACGTTGTTCAACATGAATTAGAGTATCAAAAACGTATTGTAGTAGAAAATGACGAGTGGCTTGTGATCGTTCCATTTTGGGCAATCTGGCCCTATGAAACCATGATTTTACCCAAAAAACATATAGCATCCTTAAATCATATCAACAAGGTTAATTTGTATTCATGGATCATTTTTTCTATAAAATATTTGTTCCAAATTTATATTTTGCACTTAAATTTCAAAATTTAAGGAGCAGAAGTGCCTCTTAGCTATTTTGTTGAAAAAGTTACTAGTCAAATACGACAATCTTTTTAAAGTTTGTTTAAAATTTTTATGAAATATATTGTTTTCTGTTCTAAATCTTATCAAAAAGAGATATATTTAAATGGTTGTTCAAAATTTAATTGCACTGACAAAAACCTTTGTTCTTTGTTCTTTTCTTCAATAAAGAGAATCATTTAAGTCATTCACATTTTAATGAAATAAAAAATTTCAGTGCTGTTTCCCGTTTAGCATGGGATGGCAAAGCTCTCCAACCGGGCACTATCTTAATGAAGATTGTTCTTTTTGGACGTTGCATGCAGTTTACCTACCGCCTTTACTCCGATCAGCAAAAATTAAAAAATTCATTGCCGGTTACGAACTACTCTGTGAACCACAGCGAGACCTAACTCCTGAAATGGTTAGAGGAATCCTTTTTTGTATGAATAATATAATACGATAAACAATAAATATTACGAACAGATACATAAATAATATAAGCATGAGTTCCAAAGCATTCTAAATTCAAAGGTAAGTTGAATGAAAATTACAAGGTGTACATTGTTAAATCCGTGGCAAATTTTGAACTTATTTAATTCATTTTTATTTAATTCATTTAAAGATTCTGTTGAAGTTTTTTTTTTAATAGGAACTTTTAATATGCACTTCAAAGCGAAAAGTGTGACATTTTCATTAAAAATTAGGCAGCGGAATCGCTTCGAAAGCAAAGTGAGCAGCATTATGAGAATGATCAATCCAGGTCGATGCCAATTTGATCCTAAAAATTGGCTTTCCATCAACAAACGATGAATAAAGAAAAAACGATTTGAGATCATATTCAAAAATCCGATATTTAGATCATATTCAGAATAAATTATATTCGTTTAAAAGTGCCAGTAGTCTGAAACTGCACCATTAATTTTTTTTTATCGTAAGGACAGTTTTCAAGAATAGTATCCAACATCCGCTCTGCAATACGTTTACGTTTCATCTGCTCCGTTCTTAGGAACTGACACTTTTTTTCTAATATTTCTTTTTCTCGTAAAATTGTTTTATAGTCCTGTTTTTCTAATTCAGCGAGCATTTCGCGCATGGTAATGGCCTGAATAAAACACATTTATAGTTTAATTATAATCCAATATAAGAAATCTTTCCAAATTTTCATGTTTTGCCATCAGAAAGTTTGCTTTTTTGTTTTGATACAGACAAAAAATTGTTAAGAATGCAAAAAGTCGAAAAAAAAGTAAACTTTATTCTCCAGTTCAGCGATCATATCAGGCAAAACACTGGTTACTGGCAAAGATTCCATGCAATTTAGTTCTACAAATTTAACGTTTAGCGATTGTGATCATCACTATCCTTTAAAATGTGGAAGTTGTAACAATATTTTGCTTAGAAGTATGTATTTTTCATCGTTAGAAATATTATCTGGTTGCTTCAATTCGCTGGATTTAAGTGAAACTCTCGTAACCCTATTTTAACTCTAAAATCCTGCAAATAGATGAATAATACCAAGTGTAAGTGATTTTTTTTGATTAGATAATTCGTTGAAGTAAGAGGTTTTTTTAACGATTTGTTCATCCATCGCTTTCAGTTCTTCATCATTGCAGGATTCGATTTTACTCTGAAATCACTTCTGATCAGAAATAGTGAGGAAACTCTGCTTAATAAAATTTTCATTAGTATGGTGTTATGTACGGAAAAAAGAAGCAACAGGGGCCTGTCCGTACTTTGCAAAAAAACACCGCCTTAACGCCTTATCAAACCACAGATATTCCACATCATGGATGCTATTAGTCACCCAAACATCATACGACCTCAAACAACTTAGATATTATTATAGTCCCTTAACAACTCGTTCAAAGTGTTATACTCCTAAACTCACTTTTTCTTTAATTCGACAATCAAAGAAAGGCCCGCCGCATTCTTTTACTAAAACTCGACACTAAAACTCATCTCCTTAAATTATGTTGTTAATTACTTCGACTTTGTTAGGTCTCGGCATGGTACCTACTACGATTTTTTGCTACAATTCATTAAAACTCTCTAAAAACCTCATATGCTAGTTGTAAAATCTTGACCTGCACAGTTAAAATCCTTAGATATCCCTTAATATATTGTATTTTATAAAAAACCTCAAATATCGTTAGACATCTACTTCATACCTCCAAAGCTAGTTTTAGCCCATAACTAATTTGCCATTTAGCTCCATATAGTTCTCTAGCTATTATTTTATCGTAATACTTCACTAAATTCCCCAATACAAGTAAAAATTATAAAATGATTGAATGAGAGTGTTATAAGTAATACTAAGTAACGTGTCAGAAACAGCAGCAAGAATCGGAATCAGGATCAATGTAAATAAAACGAAAGTCTTTTCGTCTTATGTGCAAGAAGCTGATAAAATGCTTCTTTTTGTAAATTCATTGCCGGTTGAGGAAGTGCCTGATTTCAAATACCTTGGGTCCACTCTAATACCAAATGGACAGGCAAAAGATGATATTATAACTCGGATCACGGCAGCTAGAAATGCGTTCTTCCGGTTGACGAAACCTTTATGCAATCGTCGTGAAATCACCATAAAAACCATAAAACCACAAAAACGAAAGTCCGCATCTATATTGCCGTGATCCGTTCGATCTTATTATATGATTCTGACATGGCCAATGAGAGTGGAGGATATTAACAAGTGATCTGCCTTCGACCACTCTTGTCTAAGGTATATTTTACGAGTTCGCCGAGTGGATAAAATTTCACAAGGTCGCATCCTCCTTCGTTCAAATACCACTTGCATAAATAATGTTATCACAAAGCGCCGCCTTCGCTGGTTAGGGCACATTCTCCGTCGTGCACCACACGAGTTGACGCATATTTCGTTATTTGTATGACGATTGGCGTCAAAAACGAAGTGGACCAATCAAGACCTGGACTGATAAGGTGAGAAAAGATTTTGAACGTATAGGTGGACCAGCAATATATGGACTTAGACGATGGAAAATGGAATGGCTTCCATTACTGTCGACGATAGCATCAGACCGCGCCGCTTGGAAGCGTCTTACCCTTGTAGCCGTTGGAGCCTGACCAGTAATGGTGAGAGCTGTTAGAAGAAGAAGAAGAAGAATGAGAGTGTTAAAGAGACAGGAAAAAATGAAATGGCTAATAGGGTTGGAAAATTAGAAGAGGTGTTAAGGGAATATACTGAGTTTTAAAGAGATCTAATATTGCATACTGCGACTTGATCGTATACTCCTCGTATGACTGATCCCTTTATTATTTGTATACTTTAATACTTTGTACTAATATTTAATAATCTTTGCGGCAATTTCCATAATTAATTGCAGATCTTAAATAGTTCTTTTAATAGCTAAACTAATGTTTTTAAGACAGCTGGAATGCTCACTTGATCAGCATAATATATTTTTTGTTTCGAAATAGTTTTCGCTTTCAAAACACCATCCTCAACTCCACCATCCAGGCATCTAATCACTAACTAAAAAAATTTCACCATTATTTCTTTTTTTGAATTGTTGTTTCTTCATTATCTCAGCATTTGAGAGCAGATTGATAAGAAAAACCTAATGATAATCTAACGATCAAAAAAAAATGGCGAAAAACGGCGATAGACATTTAATTACAAAAAATCTGAGTTTTGGGATGATATTTTACGCCAGTAAGATAATGAATGCAAAATAGTGATGCGGCCTCCAATTTACAATTTAGAAATCACAGAATGATTTATTCATTGCATTTCTTGTTTGTTGCTCTTTTGATGCTTCATGAAGCTAAGAGCTTACACGCACACTGACTGCTATTAGTAAATTACTATTAAAATTTTTTTTTTCGAAAGAGTCCTCACCATTACTGGTTAAACTCGCTCCAATGACTTGTCCCAATCGGGCAATACGCCAAGGAGTCCCTTGCGATAGAAATACAGGTGAGTCGCCAGTATTTCCCGGACTTTTATACAGATTTACTCCTTCAGGGAACTGAAGCTCAGCATCGGCGCTCCCAATTGAGCAACAACCCAATGAGCCATTCTATCCCCTACTGATAAAGTATATAATAAAATAAAAATGAAACAAAAAACCGGTTTCGCAAATTCCTGGTGGAAGTTGTTCCAAATGTCAGTTGGTCCATATGGCCGATTTTGTTGTACCATATAATCACATATTGCCTTTTTTGCTTAAACCATTCACATTTACCGATTATTTCAAGATGGAATCAAAGAAAAATAAACAACCCCTAAGGCAAGTTTACTTAAAATGTTGGTTAAATTAGTGTTCTGCATTCGATTTCCTTGATTCATGCTGCAAATAAACATTTTAGACATTTTTCGTCTTTTCCACCGATATTGTTAAAAAGTGATATTCAATCCTATGGTTCAATTCAAAGAATCAAAAAATGCTTCTTACAGCCCGAAGAATCGTTTTCTTTTTATTTAGTTACTTGCCATCCTTTAGGTTCTCAAAATTTATTCTCTTATCTTTGTGAAAAAGTGGTTCCTATTAAAGGGAACAATTATGAGAATTACTAAAGAGATTAATATTCTTTGAATTGAATAAATTGTCCATCAAGCAGATATATCCATAGAATCATTTAGTATTTTTAAAGCATAAACTTTCTTCTCGAAAAATAAAATTTTGGCGAGTTTTCCAGTTTTCTAGTTGCAAACAGAAAGGCAGAAATAAAGGCACTTAAATATGTAGTAATACTGTGGATACTGGAAGAATACACCGTTAAGTTTTAACTTTCATTGTCTCACTGATTCGTATAATAATCCATTTACGGGCACAATATGGATTTTTAGTTCAATAAAAAAAATTTAAAAAATTTAATCAATTTAAAATAAATGGAAATTAGTTTCGGCAAAATATGGTAGAAAAACTGATTGGATCTCTTTTTCCAAATTATTTTTCTTCAGTTATTCACACTTCAATCAAAGCTTGGTTTCGAATCCGCCAACGAAACACTCGCCTGGTAGCACTGTTGCCTGATGAAGAAAATCAAAAGGAGAGAAGAATGACTCAGTGGGTTATTGCTCAGTTCGAAGATGCTGAAATTCTACTTCTGGCAGAAGTGTCCAAAAATCCATGTGACGACTCAGTCGTATTTCTATCGAGGGTATATTCACTGGCATATTTCTCTAGTCATACAAGCAAGTGGAGCGAGTCTAACCAATAATGATGAGTACTTTTTAAAAAAAAATATCATATCACATATTTACTTAAACCGTCCTAAATACGAAAGGTCCCTTATAAGTTTCGCTAAAACTGGACAAAACTTTTAAGTTACCGGAACTGCGACAAAAATGGATCCTTTGGCTAATTTCTATTCTCTTCTATTCGCTTTAAGTAGAAAATTCTGAGCCCGCATAAGAATCTGCCTCTGCTATATCGATATAATGGCAAGACCTAGACAAAGAGTGGTAGTGAACCCAGTCTAGAGCAACCATGTCTAGCACAACACTTTCTTTTTTTCCTAAAATTTTCATCATATTCCTGGATAAGCTCGCTCCGCTATCTTATCAGACCAGATAAATTTTGCCAAGGAGCCATTTGGCGGTAGAAGTGTACTGCTGGCAGCACTCAGTTTTTGAGAGACACCTCCACTGCAGACTTCGATTCGATCCCAGCATCAGCGCCCCAAAATAAATGCCACAACCCACTGCGCCATTCATGTTGAAAACTGCTAACCCGAACTGTTGCGAAAATAAATCAGCTTAAATCGATGGTGATTTTAAAAGATTGCAAATACAATAAATAGTAAATTTTAATAATTTTTTTAAGATATTTTTTATAAAAATTTTCATAATTAAATTTTTTTGAGTATTAAAATAATTTAATAAAATTTTATTTTCTCGCTCTTCATCACCCATTTATTTTTAATTTTTCTAATTTCAATTTTAATAAATCAATAATTTTGGTAAAAATTAAAAGAACAATTACCTCTTTCTTCCAACTCAGCTTTACTCATATTTTGGCAACGAGCGCTAATAATTTACGGAAAAGTTTACGATAATTGATCACAGAGCGATAACTTGCTAGCACCCGCAATTATTTCATGGCCGTGGCTGAAATTAGCGGATTTGCGGCCACTTTCTGTAAGGGTTGGCTAATACGCATAAATATTACATGGACGTGTGCATCTGTAAATGTGCTGTAGGCGTGGTGAGTGCATGCTGGCAAAAAAGTCCAAGCCCAAGCCTCCATGTCCAACATGCTCTCCTATGCTCCCTTAACATGAATCTGGTCTCTTCTCTATCCTTAAAACTGATAGTCTTTGATATCCCTAAAATTCCTTTTCATCCGTTCACGCTTAAAAGGATGAACCTAACGGTTGATAAATTCATAATAAAAAAGTTGATGAAAAAGCTGATTTTTTTTAAAAAGCTTGTAAATTTCCATAAGCAAATAACTATTTATCGAATAATCAATTATGGCCATCAAACAAATTAAAAATGAGTAAGTAAACCAATTAAAATACTTAACACATGAATTATATATAAATGATTTTATCAATATACAAAGTACAAAAGTACAAATGATAACATTTTATAACGAATACTTATCAGTGAGTATCTCATCCTTAATACTCCCATGAAGCTTTTACATAGCGCTCGTTAATGAAGCATTAATAGGAAAGATAAATTTAGAAAAAATAATAATATTTTAGAAAAATTTTGGAAAATAGCGATTCGAAAAGAATAAAGAATAATAAACAAGAATAATTTCTGGAAAAATTTTTATAACAATATTGATTGATTGATTGAATACTTCAAATTACTTAAGTTAATATTAGTATTGTATCAAAAACTTTCAAAATAATTAAGAATGGAACAATTTTTATGATTACAGCTATAAAATAGCGCAGTTCAATTGATATCAATGATCTTATCAAAATATAGCAAGCGAGTCGATAACTGTCTATAACTGAAAATTGATGGATAGGTAGGTGGGTAATCAAATAATTGATCTATGCCATAATATGCTCTCATTTCAAGTAGATCTTTAGAAGCAGAACCAATCCATAAGTTTTCTCTAATTTCTTCTGATGTTTCACAAAATCCAACTTTCTCAGATAAATTTTTTTTGCAATAAAATAAAAAAAACGGAATGAAAAATAGGCATCTTTTTACTTATCGAGTTCTCACCTATAAATTGGCAAGACACAAAAAATTACTCAAAATTTTTTGAATCTTTTCATTTCAGTCAAATTTGATCTACTCTGAAGATAGCTTATGAACGAATGTCTCACCTCGCTACTGTTCAGCAATAGAGAATAAACTTTTTTGTGTATGCAGGAATGATAATTATAGCATAAATTAAGGTTCATTTAATGGACCGTAGGTTTTTTTACCAGAATGAAATCGTTGTTCTTATAATGAGTCCCATCGAAATTCATCGCCAACTCTTTATACTGTTGCATATCATCTGATAAGCTAAACATATCATTCTTGAATTGATCCTGAAAAAGTGATACGAGATTCGTACTATGTGCCACTGGTCGTTGAAATGGTGCATTTAACATAGCACTTATAGGAATTTTAGATTGAATCTGTGAATGTTGCAGGAATTTCGACTCTTGATCCGAATTCATTCGTTCTTCTTTGATGTCAGCTTCGAAGTCAACCAATGGTGATAATTCTACTTCACGAAAGAATTCATCAAGATCATCTTTTAAGTCGGGCAATGGTCGCCTTCCTCGTAGTACTTCATCTAAATCGGAGTCTTCCAAGCGCACTAACTGATTTAGAACTGCAACATATGATTAGCATTATTTTCTAAACAAACTTTCCGGGATAATTTTTCACCATTTTAAGAATGCCATTAATGATAAATATTATGCCATGAACTAAGTAAGTCAAATTAAGATAAGCAATTAAAGTAAAGCGTCTGTTGAAGGAAACACTGGTACTGGTATTTTTCAGCAGTTATTTGGATGACAGCGGGTTTTAGTTATCGCTGAAAAAATTGGAAGAGAAGAGAAGATCGTCCTTTTTTAGAACTTAAAGCTTTAAGAAATTTCGCATTTCGATTTTACTTCTTATCGGTCTGCAGTTTTATATTTATTCGTTTGCACTCTTGGTGTAAAACGAAATGCGACTACTTTTATTATACTGTTCATTACTAATGAGGCAAAAAACAATTGGCCAGCCCGAAGCTTTATTTACTCAAAAAAAAGGAACTGTAAGACTACATACTTGCAGAAATTTGGTGATTCGATTCAGATGAGATTTCCAATAATGATCGAGTGAAATCATTCGAAAAATTGCTTTTTTTCATTTCACCAATATCCAACTTAAAAAACAGAATTGAATTATTAAAATAAGAATTTACCTATTGAAAAATTCGAGCCTCCCATTTAATAATTGTTAAATATTAAAACTACTAAAAGAATAATGTAATTTTATAAAAAATAATATAAATAAAATTGAATGGCGCAGTGGTGCGACGATAAATCTTCGGCAAGGAGAAACATGCTTTCATCACGAATAGAAAAATAAACTCATATGCGAACATTTAGCTTATTTGATGAAGCAGAAACGCATCGGTTACCATTCACCTCAACTCGCGAATTTCAGATTTGTGATTTGTGATTTACGAGTGCGTAATATATTCTTCTCGAATAAAGTTGAATAAAAATTAAATAAAAATTGCGAGCATAAATGGAAGAAAAAAGGTACTACAGCTGCATCATCTTGATGCCGGTCGTTTATTTCTGGTTCTTTCTTAATCTTGCAAAGCGATGCTCTAAACAATGCTGCTGTAGTTGGCTTAAGATAGGCATTGTCATCTTCGCTTAATGGCGAATCTTTCTTCGCTTTCTCGTTCAACTTTATATCGTTTGAACACAAATGTCGTACATCGTAAAATGAAGAGTTTTTTTGAAGAGTCGTTGCTTCATAATTACTAAAATTTAAAACTTTCAGCAACATTGACCAATAATAATATAAATTGTATGCATTATTACTTCGATATTTTCAATTTCCGCTTAAATTTCCGTTCTAAAACTTTTACTATTTCTGGCTAGGCTCATTTCGATGGTTTGTTGACTCAGATAAATTTTGCCAGGGAGTTGCTTGGTTATCGATATATAAGTGAGTCGCCAGCACCACCCGGATTCTTAAAGAACAGATCTACTTTAGAACATTAACATCAGCGTTGCAAAATGATTATTCAATGGAATCAACTGACATTATTGATGCAAAAGGGTATATAATGTTGAAACCTGAGCAGTTGATAAGTGACATAGATATAATGGCGAAAGTAACGACTATCTTGAGTGCTACTGTAATAATTGCTCCGAATCGAAAAAACTGTATGCGACCACAGCCAACTGCCATTCATAGACTGAAGGCGCAGAAGGCACATTACAGATCCTTCTTTTTCTTGGCATACTGAAATTTTTAATCGACTATTAAATCTTATTTCAAGCATCCACATTTGCATCCATTCAAGCCGAAACCTTGTGTTTTAATAAATGGTAATAATCAATGAATCAACAACAATAATCTTGCTGAATTATTCTTTAAAAAAGTTTTCATGAAATATTTTAAACAGATGCTTTAAATAGATTTTAAGCCAAAAAATTTTCATGCAGGTAAAAATCTGGTTTAATAAAATTATCAAACTTATTATTGTAGGAATTGGCCCTATGTATCTTAAAAGAACAGTTTTAACTTTTAATGGAGTATATCCATCAGTGTTTTCATATATCTCATTTTATTCTCCTTTGAATGATTTATTAAAAGTATTTATTTGATCGACATTCGATAAGTCCGAAGCCGGTCCAAAACATTCGTTATTTATTTATTCTTCAAGCGACTAAATAATATAGAGAAATGAGCAAACTGGATAAAACTTCATAATAAATTGAGTTTCATGCTTACGTAATTTATGTTTGTGAGAAAATTCAGTTAAATGTGATGGATGAACGAACTGATACCATGAAATACCTTCAAGATCTTGGCTTCGATAGCCTAAGTGAAACGTTCCACTGAAATTCGTAGACTTTGATGAGAATTTCTTCAATTTTTTTTAATTTTTTTCCCTATCGCTTTTATCTTATGCAATAATAAATCGAATTATCACTCCAATGAATTATAAATTCAACAAACAAATAATTATAAGAATATGAATTCAGCAAGTTTTATCATTTTTTTTTGGTGATATTTTATTTTTCCCAAAGATACGCTTGAAATTTTAGTTCTTGTTAATTGTAATGCCTTTCATGTGATCCACAATATTGCGAGATCTGCCTGTTTATTCCCAATATTTGATAGGATAAAACTTACATATTATCAAGATGTAAAAACTTCATATCCAATTGGTGTACAGATTTGAACATTGATGTACATCCATAGGATAAAATTTCTGCATTTTCAGGATTAATAAGAGGCTGACAATGTGCAGCAAAGATCGGTTGAATAAAGGATGATGTTGAAGAAAGTGATAAGCAAGCATCATAATATTCAGAAGGATGGATATAGCGGCCCTCAATAATAATTAACTGCAAGAAAACAATACGAGAAAAATAAAAATTGGCTCAAAAATGAGGATATTAGCTTTCATCGAACAAGGTTATTTTCCTGATTATATTGAATAAGCTATTAACAAATCGAAAAAAATTTCATTAGTTATACAAAATTCATGGAAAATTTCAGCTATCGTTGAATAAACCTTAATTTTTTTATCCAAATAGATACACTTTAATTTAATTCAGTGCAAGTAATTTTAAGAATAATCCTGTCTTTTTAGGAGGAACTCTGTTATTGAAGAAATCCGAATATGCCAGCTTATATAACTTGTTCGCAAGTAACTTTCTTTTAGTGACCAAGCAAAATGGTGAGTTGATAAGGTTACCGGGAATATGTAAAATTTTCTCTATCTGCACCTTATGTTTACAAACCTGAATTTCTTGCAGATATGTACCAAAAGGATTACTATTAACTTATTATTAGTTTTTGAGTAAAATGTCTTACCTTTTGATACTGCAATTGTCTTTTTGCTGCACGAGAGATTGTCATCCTACATATAAATATTCGCTCATCAGGGAATGTTTCTGAATCAGTAAGTGAAGGTGGACCAGATAATAATTCATTCTGAACAGTTGAATGGTCTCTTATATCTATTAAATCATATATCGAGTCCCCTTGGCACATTATTTCCTCCTGCAAAAAATGGACACCATAAACATCACAAATCGAGTAACCAATCTATTTTTTCTATATTTAATCATCACTTGCAGTGACAACAAAAACACCATCAGTTGTTCTGTACCGTTTCATTTTTTAAATGAAAAATAGAGCACCACAGAATGTCCAAGATATTCGCTTGCATTTTCCGAGATGTACAATAATTTCCCGTTTTTGGTGAACATTAAAAGAAATCCTCGTAGAGCTTTGCATCCATCATGTTGTTTCACTGCTGATATAACCAAATCGCTGAAGCCATTTGGCCGAATCACTGCAATAAAAGCAATAAACTATTAAATATTTCTTTCTTAATTTTCGATAATTTTTTTTGACACAAAATTATTGTAAATTTTGGATTCTGAAGTTTGAAGTTTAAGCCAAATACATAAATAGGAAATACGAATAAAGTGCGGGATTATGCGAAGAACAACAATCGTTGCAACAAGTTTTAGAACACTTCACAAAAGCTTATTGCGTTCTTTCGCCTTTGACTTCAATTAGCGCCTTATCATTAGGCTATCGTTTTCTTTTTTAATTCGTTAATTATACTGGGTAAATGGATTATGGTATAATTTTTTAAATATAAAATTTGCTCGATTGTTCACCGAAAAATTATTGGACTCATCGGTGAATTCCTTTCATATAATGAAATCGTTTTTAGCTAAAGAAACATTTGGTGCATAAGGGTTTTTGAACGAACCATGTGGTAAATACCGCTCTTTACGAATGAATATACAAGCCAATGACATAATTTGAAGTTGAAAAAGTCGATCTCTGATTGATTCGGAAAGCGGAAGTAGGTCGCGAAGTCTTTGAATTTCTATATTAATTTGATCCCTTCGGTGCTTTGAAGCACCACGAGTCGATCTGTAGAAATTCATCTATGAAAGATCTTCGATGAAACTCGTATTTTATAAAATGATTTCATATGGAGATACTGTAGGCATCTTAAATTTTATTGTAAATAGAGGTTCAATCCGATATTCCAAATACAAATTTCTTAGTCTTGTTTTGAGAAACATTATATTTTTGCATATTTTTATTATTTTTTTATTTTAATAACCATTTCATTTGATAAAGTAATATATGAAGCAGAATAGAATTCATTAGATAGGAAACTAAAACTTTTTTAAGGCAACAAAAATTTTGTGTTATATTTGAGTGATAAACTGATAATTAATGGTGTCTCATGTGCCGTATACGAATTTCAATTAAGGAAATAATTTATCGAAATAATTATCTGATTTAACAAATAGCGTAAATATGGTGAAATAAAGAAGTGGATAATTCAGGAAGAAGAATAAGCATTACCTTGAGTTGATTAGTGGAGTGCTCATGGTGATCTCAACATTTGCACTGAATGCGCCCAAGAAGAATCGTGACCCCGTCTTTTTTACAGTTATGACGTCAGTGATGGTCACTCAAATAACCTCCATATCCGTCCACTCTTGTGTGCTTTTCAACTGACCACTTGTCCATTTCAGTGTTGATTTTTCGACGTAAAACCAGTTCATTCACAAAGTAAACAGTGACGAGATTGATGATTTGTTTAAGCATTTCTGGTGTTCTTCCTTAGAGCACTCTACTGACCTAAGTCGGCAAAACGGTAGTAAAAATTAAGATCCGTTGATCGGACCATTGAATAAATTTACGTAACATCCTATTCACCTTATTATGGGACAATGTACAACAAAATCGATTTGCCGCAAAAATTTCGAACATATTTTAATTCCTTATTTGTTTTTCATGTTTAAATACAAATTTTTTTCGATATTCTTTATGCAGTTAACTGAAATTAACCAACACCACTTACTTTCCCGAAAACCGATTAAGAATTCTCTTAAAATGATTAAGGAAGTAAGAAATCTGCGTTTTCAGTGCTTTGAAATGGTAAAGGAAGTAAGAAATTTAAGGATTTTGAATCTTTATCGCGAGAAACATCATTGAACAAATCTTGTTGGTCCTCTAATATATATATATATATAAATATGTATATAAAGACGGATTTCTACTCAGAAAGAAGAATGAAATATGAAATTAAGAATATTAAATCGAATAATCACCTGCAGAGCATTTCATACTCAAACATTATAGAAATTCATCTTCGCGATTCTAAGAAATTCCTTCCAAAAAAAAGTCGGATCTGTGAATTCACATTACCTTGTAAATTTTTGCGAACAATTCTTGGACTAATTACTGAAATTTATCAAATGAAATTTTTCGGAATCATCTTCAATGACTTTATGACAAACTGATAGACTGATGATCTTTGTTTTTCCAAAAATCCACAAGCTTTCATGTTTATTTTGCTCTCTACTCTCAAGATTCATAGGATAATTCCTATCCTAAATGCTCTCAATGACATCCTTCCACTGAAAAAACTTTCGGTGCATTTAATTAATGCAAATATTGTTTATCAAAATAGCAAAATAACCCAACACTGTTTAAAATGCTATTGTCCTTCTAAACTATCTGAACAGAGTATTTTTATTATCAAATTCTTATTTATTTCTTATGATAAGAACAAAAGCTCTTACGAAAATGCAGCAAGCATAAGAAAATTCCTCATAAAGATATTTTAATTGTTTTTTTAATGAGATTTATGAAATAAATTTTGCAGATAAGTACCCCTGTGTTTTTAGTTCTGTTCTTGACAGGTAATGAAATTGTTTCCACATAGTTCTTTTATTTCTTTCTAAGTGCGATCAGGCTTCCTTCTCTGGCTTGCCAAGTAGATAGAAGCATAGGTCGGTGACCGGCACCATCCGGTGAAATTTAGTTAATAAATGTGAAATTTAGTTAAAAGACAGGTTCGTTCTTGCCGCGAGTAGCGCTTCATTACTTTTCTACATACGATTGTTAATACGATTGTTAAAGATTGAAGGAAAAAATAAAGTAAATTCGCCCACGAATGAATTGAAAAAATAGAAAATTTTAGCATTTCGTAATTTCGCTGCAAATTCTTTTTTTATTCCTTTTTAAATTGAAACTTCCGTTTTTAATTTCATATTTTTCTATTGTTTTTATAGTTTCACAAAATCGAAGGTGAACACAGAAACAACAAACGCTAAATTACAAAAGTGACATAAGCGGTACTCATTTAGTAAACTTATCGTTTACCTATTCTGTAAACTTTTAGTATTATCCCTCCAGGAAATTGTAAGGCTTGCCTGCAGGCAGATATTTGTTGCTTGAGGCCCGCAACATATCCGCATATCTTAACATTATTTCACTGAGTTACTTTTCACGATATGCTTCGTTAAAATTAAGTTCTTTTAATCACTTGGATGGCGCTGATGGCCTATCTGTGCTTCCATCGTCAAGTAAGACCCTCGCAAATATTTCTAATCGTACTAACAACCATCGGAGCTAACATATGGAAAACTGGTGAGCACCGACTTATTTCTTTAGTTCACTATTTTTTTTCCGATTTCCTGAAATTTCGGAAGTTTGGAAGCGCCATAGTCATATGTTTAGTTAATTTATTGCATTTTACATGACTGATATATTTATTACGTAACAGTATGAGTTTATCTAACGTATTTCAATTATTTATGTGAAAACTTCCGCGAGAAATGTCGACATTGACTCACATCAAATATTTTGAGAATGTTTAAGTGCAAACAAACTTCTCATAAACCAATATTTTATCACGAAATTGCGTATAATTTTGAAATATAACGTGGTATATTTACTAGATATTTATATATGTAATATTAATAATCTTAAAAATAATTATATTTTTCAAAAATAAACAAGAGTTCGAAAATAAACAATAATTAAGCAATGACAAGCTTGATAAGCTTTTTGCTTTTCAACTCATTAAACATGGAACTTCTTAAATTTATACTCTTTTATTTATTGTTGCCATCGCTTATCAATTGTATGCTTGGCTTTGCTTGCAAATAAATGAATGAACTTTGGCTGCATATGAATTTTTAACTTTAAGCAAAATTATCTGCCACAATGAGTGTCCGTCTTCTGCCTTCACCGATATTTATATTTGAGGTATTTTTTGCTTCCACGAAAAGTTTTCTAGCAATTCATCTATTCATCTCATCTAAAATTTCGTGTAAATTCGATTAATTCGCATTTGGAGTAGTAAAAATTTCTTATTACTTATATCGATTTGCAGTGACATCGAAAATTTCACACCGTTTCACATCATTATTTTTTAAAATTTCATTGTTTATTTAGAAAATTTTTCTAAATCGGGACTGTTTTTCTTAGCCATAATGGTTTGTTTTTTCTTTGCTGACGAAACCTTTTAATAAGATTTTTCGAAACTGGATTTTAATTGCAATATTTGCACCCATATTTTTTAATTTCGTTAGGACTGCTTACTTTCGTTTTCCTCTCTCCTCTTTCAGTTTCTTTCTGAAATTTTATGTCACAGCAAATTTTCTCCAGTGGTTAATTTCACCTACAAATCCATTGTATTATTCTTTTAAATTTTAATTACTTCAATTTTTTTTTGATAATTGATAAAGTTGTGAAAAAATTTAAATGAAACATTCGAACAGTTCATTTCAATTAAAGAAAAAAAAAGCAATTTTTGATAGCACACAGAAGAAATCCATTGAACATAAATTACAAATGAAAAATTCGCTACCCATCAAAATGATGGGTTATGATATTTATCACGATAAATATATCTCATCTTTTCTTTCTAAGGGCGCTCATCATTTCCGTTTAAGCTTAGTGCGCTCAAACGCTCAGACCAAACAAATTTTATCAGTGAGTCACTTGGCTATATAGTCGCTATGAAACATTTTTTATAGACAGGTTTGTTTTCCCAGCAAAAAATAGTGAAATGGGGACTTTACGGACTCTGTATTGGAACTTGCCAAGAAAGAGACATTCGTATCTGGAATGATATCGCTTTTCACGTTGCTTCTACAAGAAAAAATTTGAAATCATCCATTTTCCTCTTTTTTCACTTCATCGTCTCTGAAAAATTATTATTTGTTTAACTGGCAATTGAGCTTGCTTTACTTTTTATTAAGCTGTTGGTACTTTAAATTTGCCAAATTTATAACGATCTATGCCTCCACTATTGCTTCACCTAACCTTCTTCGAAACAGCTGTTCATTATATGATACAAATTCTTCACAAATGCCTATAGCAAGCAGTTCTAATTCTTAGACCAATCATCCCTAAAACCCCTAAATCTCGTTATTCGACCTATTTTTATGCCCATATTTCTTATTTCCCTTATTTCTTATGGAACGAAATTTAAAAAATTGAAATTAGCCAAAACTATGGAAGAAAGAGATCGGAATAAAATTTCAACAAATAATTTCGAAAAAAATTTTTGTTTCGATTTTCGTAACAAATAAATAATTTGCTACAATTCTAAAAAAAATTTTTTAAAGAAAGCAATTTTGAAAAATTATATGTTCCATTTTTTTTAAAATTACATAAAAACAAGGAAAACACAGTTTTAAAAGAAAATTAAACAATGCCATTGACAACATTTATACAACCATTACATTGGAACGGCTAAAAAGAAGGTCGAAAATAAAGATTTTCGGAGCAACGGCGAGAATTGGATTTAGTGCTTTTTCTTGATGCGTGCAATCTATATTTAGCAAAACCATTCTCCTATTCAGCTTATTACTGTATAATTTTATAATTCGAACCTATGGCTATTAGCCTTTTTGAATAAAAAAACAAATAATTTTACAACAACAATAATAAATGAACAGCAATAAAAAAATAAAAAAATAAAACAGATTAAATAAATATTTAATATCTTTTTACAGCAGAAATTCTTTAAAATATATTTTGTATTGGTATTTTTGCAATTTTTAGTTTATATTTTTTTTATTTTGGTTTTTTTTAAATTTTTGTAAGCTATAATATAATCTTATGTTTTGCAAAATCAATATTATATTTTATTAAATCAATATTATTTCAATATTATTTTATTTTATTATTTCAATATTATTTTACTTTATAATCAATATTATTTTATTTTATTATATTATTAAATCAATATTTTATTTATATTTTTGCAGTTTTTATGTTTTATACACAGTTTGCATTTTTCATATCTTTTTTACTTTTTTTGCTGTATTTTTATAGATACTTTTATAGTAAATTTAAATAATGTAAAATGCATTGATTATCTATATCTATATCTAATATAAAAGTTATAGAAATAAATAAATAGCTAACAAAAAAAAGACAGAAATTCAGGATTTTATTTAGCAAAGCCATGCAAGATTTTTCCGCGGTCGAATTATCATAATCCAATTTTGAGTACTCGTATGTTTCGAGGACATGTTCAACAAGAAAGATGCCTCAATTGCCAATCATGCCAACTTGAATTTATTCGCGGAATTTAGACATGATAGTATGATATGATACTCGACTAAACTAAAGTTGATTATAAAATATTCCAAAAATATGGAAAATAAAAAAATATAAATAAAAACAAGGAAACCTGAATTTAAAAATTTTTCTTCAACTCAACGAATAAAAAAACTATTTAAAAAAATTAATGATTGTAAGTTTTTGAAGAATTACCTTAATTAAAAATTTCACCGTCCACCGAATTCATCGAATCGTTCCTTTTTTTTCTCATTCAATAACATCAATAATTTAATTAAACTAAATATAATAAAAATTAAAAGAAATATTAAAATGGCAAAAAAATGGAAGAAAAAATTCAAAAAGTAATGAAGGAATGGTTCAAAAGAATAAAAAAGGAATTCTTTGGAAATTTCAAATTTTTTATGAATAGTAATATAAAGAAAATGAAGAAATAATCAAAAAGGAAAAATTATTAAAAGAAAAAGTGAAAAGAAAGAAATTCGGAAAAATTGATCAGATTTATCTCAGACTATACTAATTAATGGCGAAAATAGCAAAAAAATCCGTTTAAAACCAAGGTATTGTCCCAAAACATTGGGGGTTTTTCTTTTAAATAGCACAAGCAAAGCACATAACTACAGTAACTAGCAATGCTTTTGTTCTCATAATAATGTTTAAATTTTAGTGATCAGTTATGCAAGTGGACGAATAACTTATAGCCATTGTTATTCAAGCTATGCATCATAATTATAATTATATACAGTATTTATCCACTGAATCACGAAAAAGTTTATTCAAATATTTTGAAAAATTGGCAATTAGTACTACTTGCAGTAAAATTGGAGATTAGAAAGTAAGCGTATTCCAATCCAACTATCATCCACGTGCCGCAGTTGTTCCCACTTCACAACCGACCCCAACATCTTCAATTCCTTATTAAAAAAATACCACCCCCTAAAAATCTCTTTTATAAATGAAGATATCCACGATGTAGTCAAAATATCGTTACTCTTACATAATTCACATAAATTTTAATAGATCCCAGGAAGGCATCAAAGCAATGAAACGATGTCATCCAAATTCTTTTACCAGTTTTCCTTAGTTTCGAATTTACTATAAACTGCCTATGATCTATGAAATTAATAAATATTTATTTATAGATTTTAATAGAATTTTGGTTGATTTTCCATTTGGTCTGAATTTGCTCAGCGAATATATAAAGATTCATTTAACATTAAAATGGTTAATTTATTGGAAATATTTTAGTTTATTATTTACAATTTTTGTCTTCAGAAATATTTACCTATAAATTATAATATTGCGTATTGCGTCGCACTTCTTAGATTAAATTTTATAAACTATATAAAGGCCTGTAATATCGTCGCAAACCGTCTTGGCCAATATTGCCATAGTCTTACATGATTGAGGATCGCAAAGTGTATACTAATTTGCAAGACGTGATAAGATGCAACTAACTTTTAGAAATCTTATAGAAGCGAAAATCTTAAAAGAATTAGTCTGAGGTATAATACGGCTATACTATAACGATTCAAACGATTCATTTATCTAAGCAGACGCTGAGAAATAAAGTTCCTCAACTTCGATAGCGCGAAAAAAAATTTTTGTAATAGATTTTCCAGGTTCTTATTTGATTGAATCTGGTTTTAGTAGAATTAATCAATCATCTAATATTAAAAGCTCGAAAGTTGGAAGCTCTTTGAAGTTAAGAAAAAGCGCGATCTTTCGTTATATTTAACTTTCGGCTAAATGTGCATAACTTGTCTCTTATTAGCCGCAAGGCTTTCGCTTAAAATACTTAATACAACGATTTTTCTTCAAACTTTAAATGCAATTTGTTAAATATCCTAATTTTTTCCCAATTTATAATTCATAATTAAGTTTAGTTTTTTGTCTTTCTGTTTTTCTTCTTTTGATAATAATTTGATAATAACTTCCACAAAATTGTGATTTTAAAGGAAAAATTTTTTTTAAAAAAGAGAGAATTGAATTTGTCTATCTGGAAAGAAACCTTATTTTAGTCTCCAGCGCAATCCTTCAGCAAAAATATAGAATCTTTTCGAATGAAAATGCCATAGAGGTGGATAAAATCTATGGGGGAGAGGGTGGGGGGAGGGAGAGGGGAAAGAAAATATGGGACAAAAAAAGGTTGGGAGCCACTGGTCTACTGGACAGGAAAACGTTCAGCCAAATTGTCCTACTATGTTCGCTGATAATTAAATAGTTTAAAAATCAAAATAAAAATAACTCTGTGTTTTTTCACACAACATTGCATTTTCCTGTATTTTTCTTCATTTCAATACTAATTTTATACAATTCGTTATATCTAAAAGGAAAATAATAAATGGATTGAATATGAATAGATGAATTCAGTGAAGGAATGTGGAGGAACTCTATGAATATTTTTTATGCATACAGCACCACCAGTAATCTATTGTTTTATTCAGATTTACAAGCATTCCAATCGAATTTTTTAAAATATTTATTTTTTCAATAATTTAAATATAAAAAAAATAAATTTTTAATGAAATTTTTAGTGAAAAATGAAATTTTTACAAAAAAAGGAAAAAAATTCTGTAAAATAAGGCGGAAATAGAAGGCGGTTTGCTTATAAACGAAAAATTTTTGTTTTCGAATTTAATTATTATTTCGAATTTCGATTCCTGTTTTCATTTTTATTTTTCTTAAACGATTTTAATTATTTATATATTTTATTATTTCGTTAATTTAATAAATGGTTGAGTTGGTCAAATGGTTGAAAATTCTTTTATTAATATCGCCTAATATAATATTTGCGATCATTTATTTTATTCATTTGATTCGAAATCAGAGATTCATAAATGGCATTTAATTCATCGTCGCTTTTTATATGCCAAATTAAATAATAAAGCATAAATAAAGCATAGTTCAATTGAATTATTTAATTTAAATAAAACATATGAATATTACTGGTGAAAAACCAATAATCAATTGTACGAATAGATCCAGAAATTTCAAAAAGATGCCGGTCGAATCGTGTCAAGGATGTGTACTGTTGTTAGAAAAGCTCGAAATTGAGAATTGCCCAAAGTAGGTCTTTTTAGGCCCTTGAAGTTCTTTAATTTCTAAAACTTCGATGAAGAATTTCTTTGCTCAAATTAAAGCTTAAATTAGAGGTGACATTTGCTCTTGTAGACCCATCTGCACATTTTATCACCAACTGACTCTACGGCGAAGCAACTAGGAACTAAACGGACCAAAAATGGTGAGAGTGATGAGTTAGCAAGAAAAACGAAGGAATTATTTATAAAATTTTCTCGAACAACTTAAAATTTTTTCTATTCATTCATTTATATAAATGATTTGAGAAAATTTTTATGAAATAATGTTACAAAGAATTTGCTGCTGTTGGTTGTTGTTGTTGTTGTTTTTTCGTTAAAGAAATAGCTCAATAGAATAATTACAAAAGAAATATAAAACTTTTATAAAACTTTGCGATATTTTAGGAATTTCGGACGAGTTTCATGTATTTTCTCTGAAAAAAAAAGAAAAATATTCTCGAAAAATTTTTCGAATTGTTAAAATTATTCATCAAAATCGATGATTTTGAAAACTGTAAGTAATTTCTTACATATATTCTTAAATGAAATAAAATTTTCTGGAAAAGAAACAAAAAACCAATATATTGTTATTTTCGAATTTTGAATAATAAATGGGAAACTGCAATAAAAGTTAGAATCGATAGTTTAGTAGTTGGGTTGTCTGAAAAATGGAAATTCGATCAGACTGATTTATATTTAGACAATAAATAATAAATTGAGCTAAATTTCTTAACTTTCCATTTTATCAACTTATCAGTCAACTTTTCTAAGTTACTTTATAAAAAAAGCAATCGCCCACAAAAATGTTTAAAAATAATCCCATTTTGAGGTTTTAGATCACTAAATGGATGTGACGAATAAAGTAGTAAGCGAGCATTGATTTTTAAAAGAATTCATTTCATTTCTTCAATTTTTGTTGGTTTAATTTCTACTCTTTTAAATACTCCTAATTCTTTCACATATTATTATTGTTATGATTATTATTAATTATTTATTATTGTTATGATTATTATTAATTAATTATTATTAATAATATATATTAATTAATTATTGTACATATACATCGCTTGCTTAGAAACAATGAATTTGGCCGAGAAAAGAGGCAAATTAAAAAAATGGAAAAAATTTGAAATCAAATTTTGTAAATTTAAATAAAATTATTCACCAATTCATTTTATTTATATTTTAGTGGTGTGAAATTTTCCAATTCACCTTACGAAAAGTCACAAATGGAGGAAATTTAGGGAAATTAGTAAAAATAATACAAAAATTTTATTAATTGGAACATGAAGAAAGATCCAAAAATGAATGAAAAAAAAAGAATAACTTTTAAATTTTATTCCAGAATATTAATAAAAAATTTCTTATGCTGCATTCTCAATGAATACGAAAAGAAATAAATTATTTCAAATAACAATTGTTTTCTTGTTAATAAGAAATTTAATATTTGCTAAAAAGCTTCGTCATTATTATCATTTAACACTATCAGTTCGTAATCATAATATAACTGATGCTAAATTTTTCCGACTCTATGGTGCCGGTCATACAATTGATTTTAATCTTGCACCTGGAAATATTTTCACAAAGACATATCAGGTAAATTGATTTCAATTTATATATGAATGTTTTTCCACACTGAAAAATTTAACATGTATCTACTCTTCATCTATCCTTTCAAATAACCCTCATTTAAACAAATCCTCGGTGATATCTAAAATCGTTTATTCGGCTAGAAATAAAAAATATTAAAAAATTCTTTTTTATGGGCGGTAAGGATTATCCTCAACCTCGGGTCCTGTACTAGAAGTTTGGGAAATTGAAGGATTGTGAGATGCGCAGCATCTTGGCTGTTCCTAACGTTGAGCCCTTCAAAATCTCTGATGCTGTTCCTGGAATCTGCTGAAGCCACTTTTCTATTTTCTATTTAGAAGTAACAGTTTCAAGTGCTTCAATTGTTACTGAGATTACTTTGGTCTTCACTTTCCCCATCTTCTCATATATATACGTATATGTACCATGCTCTTTATTTATGGCATAAAAAGAGTAAATTTTAATTTTCTTGAATTATTTAAATTAAAATGAAAAATGAGTGAGCGAGTATTAATAACCGAAAGCAAATTTTTATCAAGAGCTTTTTGTTGATTATCAGTTTACTGGAAGAAAATAAACCCACACTCTACCAGAGACTTACGAGATCAAGGGTAGCAAAGTCAGTTCTAAAAAGTGTTGACGCACTCTTTTTGGAAAAGTAGATACTGGCCGGGATTTAAACCGTAATCCAAAGGACATGGCTTGATAAATGATTTAAGAGACCTTTTTTTTCTCGGCAAATTCAACTTTTGATTTTTTTCTCTCTAGTTTTTTATTTACTATCTACTTTTTTCTGAAATGTTTCTTGTTTAGCCATATTTTTCAAATTATTTTCAGATCCAAATTAAAATACTTTCAATATTAAGATTAATTCTAGTAAATTAGACTTCAAAAATCCTTAGACCCTTAAGTTACTGTTTTAATCAGAAAAATTTTAGGGTCCCAGGATTTATCCTGTAAATTCTAGCGGGTAATATGACACATTCAGGGAAAGATCACATGGGTATAGATGCGCAGATAAATTTCCAATGCCATTTGGCTTTTAATATGAAATTGTTTCTTCTCATTAATGTAGAGATTCAAACCTATGTTGAACTCAACCTTAGCCAAATCAGCTTATCAACTTCGATCATCAATTTCCGCAATGTTTTATTTTATCTCACTTGAAGAGTACTTAAAGTTGTATGGTTTTATCAATCAGCGATCATCAATATTTATTTAATAATTTAATAGAAGAAAAAAGAAAGAAAAATTGAATAAATTTTCATAAAATTTATATATTAAAACATATTATATGAATAAAAAAAAGTGTTTTTTCATTTTTCATTCCTAAATTTTCATTTTTTAGGTTTGGAAAAAAGGTTTTTGGACATTAATTGTTGAATTCCCAGGTGATCGATATTCGAAATCACCAAAGAAAATCATTTCACGTGATTCCTATAATCATTGGGTAAACAGAATTTTTCTCAATTCAATTTTAAATTTGATGAAATTCCGAAAAAAAAAAACGATTAACTAACTAAACTTATTTAGTTGATTGATAGCGAAAATTTTTGAAGTACGAATTTCGAGTTAGTGATGTTCGCTTCTTAAAAATCCATCAATTTTATTCATTGTATGAATCAAAAACATTGATGATTGATGGGCATATTGTATAAAATTAATTAAATGAAAACTCTAAGCTCTAAGAAGAAATGGAAAAAAATTATTTAGATGAATAAAGAAGAAGCTTTATAGGACAAATGAAAAGAAATTGATAACAAAAAGTTGATAATAAAATCGATTTGATAACAAATATTTGAGCGCTAAACCTAAGAATGTTTGAAAGTGTTCTTTCAGCACGCACCATTTTCTTATCGTTTAATTTTTAAATAATTGTATATTTGATAATTTATTCATTTTGTGAAACCACAACAACATTTCACAACATTTCGAAATGAATCTAATATTACTTTTATCTTTAATTTTATTTCATAATCGTTTTGCTTCTCATATCTAATTTATCTAAAAGTGGCTCAATTTATTTATGTATCATTCAGATAATGGAAGTTTATTATTATCCGGGCGCTGTCGGCTTTAGTGAATGGCATCGAATTCGAGGAGATTTGACATTTTAATTAATGGAAATTGTACATAATAAGCGAATTATTTAATAAATTTGCAAAGATGAAAATCTAAATTTCAATAATAAAAGATATCAAAATTAATTTTTTATCAAATTTTATCAAAACACTGACAATATATTAAAATTTTCGAAAGAAATATTAAATTTAGATAATCTTTTTTTTTCTTTAAAAAGAATTTATAGAATTTGCTTAAATCAGAAAATATATAATAATTAAATATCAAAAATAAACCAATAAATAAATCAATGTGATGTAAAAAATTTTTTAATTTTTGAGGACGTCAATACGAAAAACTCGTTTCATTTAAAAATCATTGTTGATTAATTCGAATGCATTTTTAGGAAAAATTATTTGAATGTAATTAAGCAATTAATGTACCAAATGAATAAAATCGAAAAAGGTAAATAGCAGTGACAATAAATTTTACAAGAAACTGTTATAATTTATGATAATAAAGAAATAATCGAGCAATGATCGATCTCGCGAGAAGTTCGCGAACTTTCTAAAGACCACAAATATTCAGCACATAGATAGCAATTTTATTGCACATTATTTATGTACATTTTATTATATTCAAAGAATAAATTGGCTTCTAAATGTATCCAAAATCATTTATATGCACAACAGTTCTTATATGTAAAAAAAGAAAAAAATTTGGAATAAAATCCTTATCTTCTTTTTTTAAATAAAAAAATTTTTTTTTTAGCATTTGAGATGGTATTATAATTCGGAGTCAGCAACAAATCCTACGTTAAATAATTTTGTTCCAATATTCATAATTCATTCTTCTTTGGTTCTTTTATTGTTATTCAATATCCTTTATTAAATCCTTAGATATGATTCCAGAAATGTCAAATACTGATTCCATATTGATTCCATAAGAGGAAAAATAAACAATTAATCAACAATTGCACTAAAAATATCTAAAAAGAAGACATAAGCATAATAAAATTATGATAATTCATTTCGTTTTATCATAGTTTTGTTCGAAATTCGTCGAAATAATCAAAAACCATCCAGCGTTTAAAGCAGTAAATAATTTTTCATAGATTTCGTCTCATTTATCAATTGTTTTATAATAAAAGCATCGAATAAGCCTCGTATTAAATTTCTTAAAATAATATTAATTAGTTAAAGATTCGTTACCTTTTGCCTTTTTTTTTCAAATATTTGCAGGATGGAATTCGAAAATTCAATAAAATTTTAATATATTTATATATATAGAAAAAATTTGCCTAAATAAAATAAATGAAAAGCATTGATTAAAAAATGTCGCAAAATTAACAGACTCTGTTATTAAATCAAATAATAAGAGAGATAAGAGGCATTAGGAATTTAAGGCTTATTAAGGCTTAGTACACTTAAAAAAGTTCAAAAAGGATAAAATGAATATTAAAATGGATATTTTATTTTTAATTGTGTGCAAATCACGAAGAATAAAAATTGATAATGAAAATATAATAGAACAAAAGTACAAGAGAAAATTTCCACCTGAAAATGAAATGGCATGAGCGATCTTTGTATATATAACACTTCAAAATCTAATGAAACATTCGTCGAAATTCTTTCAAATTCTCACATAATTCTGAAGCCCGCAAACTTCAATTGAATATTCGTATAAATCCTCACACCTTTTATCCCAATCTTTCATCGTTAATGGTTCCTTTTGGGAACATTCGCTAAAAATTTTAAGAGAATGATTTGCAAAATAAAAAAAGCTTGAAATCAAAATTTTGAAATGAAAATGAAAATATCGATATCACCAATCCTGAAACTATGTTACTACGATGAAGATCATAAAAATCCATAAAAATATTTTAAATCATAAAAAATCATTAATGAAAATGAAAATACACGAAATATTTTCCAGAAACACCAGCAACACGTTTGGACAGTGCCAAGTATAAAGGAGTTTGTGCACCATCTTTAGGAGTCTTTAGGAAGAACCACCTGTAATAAGATCTGCATAAAGTATCACGTGATTTTAGATTACTATAACTGATATTTGATCGACAATAAATCATGTACATCAAAGGTGCAAAAATGAAGTTGAGCGGTTTTCGAGCCAAAGGTGTATGCCGTATAATTCTTGTATATGAAATACCCGGATGACATGAGTTCACTGATATATTAGACTGATTAGATGCACGCAGACGCTTAGTGAGTTCGAAGGAGTACATCACCTAAAGAGTAACTGGATGCATTAAAAATTAGTTGTCGAGTAGTTTATACTCACATAAAGAATATAAATTGCTAATGAATCTTAATTTACTTGGCTCTAATTTTATTTATTATTGTTGGGGATCTTAATCTGCCAAATATTAGAATGATAGAAAAACAACAAGTTACATATTAGCAGAAAAGAAGAAAGTTCTTCAAAATTTTGTTCGTAAATCTCAGGGTTCTCAACCGATAATTTACAATATATTTTTAAATTTCCATAGTCTGTTGACTATGTTAAGGCATTAAAACCATTTCGTAATTAATGAAATTATTTAAAAATAATGGTTTCCAGAAAAAAATTACAAAGGTTAACTTCAATGATATTAATATGAAATAATTTGGTGTTTTGACACTTTTACTTGATACCTGTTTAAATACCTGTTTAATCTTTTTTTTTAACGCCACCGTTACTGGCAAGACTTGCTCCGTGGCTAAACAAATATGACAGGGAGTCTCCCTTGGCAATAGAAATGCAGGTGAATCGCCAACACCAATCGGATTTTTAGATTACCCCTGCGGGGAGACCAGACTAGCATCTGTGTTTCGAATTGAGCAATAACCCAGTGAGCCATTATACTCCCACTTGTTTAATCTACCCTACAATTTCTATCAACCGTTTCTCTTGTTATTAAAAAATCTTGTTATTAAAAAAAAATATATAATAAATTCAAGTTGACAATTGCTACTTTATTGTTCAGATGATATCTTGAAAATTTCAAAACTTGTAAAATTTTGTACCAGAGCCAACTTTGATCGAGCATATGAGCTTCGAGAGTCCCAACCATCACGACGGTCGACCAGATGTAAATCCAGATTATCAGAATAATAGTGTGCGAGAGCAGATACATTGACAATACGAGCAGAAGGTGCTTTACTTAATGATGGTACTAATAGTTCGGTAAGCAAAAAATGACCTATAAGCTATAAGATGATTTAAAGAATCGATAAAAGCAAAGAATTTTAAAGGAACTGACCAAATATGTCAAACAGCAAAAAAAGCGAAAAATTATAAATATTAACTCGAGTAATTTATCAACGATTTCTTGAAAATTAAAACAAATGGCAGTAATAGAAATGTTTCTGCTGATATCAAGCAATTCGAATTGAACTCTCTCGAATATGAATTCGACTCCTATCTTCTGGTAAGAAGTGACAAGAACTTATGCGAGGCTAGGAAGTCCATTTGACTCTCTGGTGAAAAGATCTGTTCTAGCAACCAATGAAATCGGCCAAATGGTGCACAGAGAAGAAAAGAACAGCCAAACAATAAAACAGATTTTGCCTTCTCAAAAGGTGGCTTTATTAGTTATAACAGCAAATCCTATGGTAAACTTTCAAATATGACAATCAGATTTCTTACAAGCAATTAATTATATCTGCAAGTTCGTCATCTATTTATTCACCTATTTGTTTTAAAATCTAAAATCTAAAAATCTAAAATTTTTTTACCACTTATTTTGACCTCTTACTGTTGATAATGTGATAATAAAACAAATGAAGTGTTAAGAAATTCATTTTTTTTCGAGAAAAAGGGATAAAAAGAAAGCAAAAAAATTAAAATAATAAACTGATACCAAGATAATTCGTCTGCCATACTAATTCGTGACCATCATCAGTTAATTTAAATTTTGGATAAAGAAATATGCCTGCATTATTAATGAGCAAATCGATATGATCTTCGACTAAAATATATGAAAAGCATTTATATAAACTTGAAGAGTATTTAGATTTATATTAGAGCAATATTTAAATTTATAAAATTAAAAAAAAATTCAAGTGTGAATATGCGATGCTTTCCTGTCATTTAGATAATCTTTGCCAAATAATTCCTCTTTCCCTTCCTTTTACTCTTGATATTAATCATCATTAACTTCTTAACACTCAAACTCCTGCATAAAATATTTTTTCAAAAATTTTTCGCTAAGAAGCGACCAATGACTTCCACAATGAGAACATTTCTGGAGACATATGAAAAATTCAAAAAATTGGAATGCCAAAAGAAGTGCTAGGAAGCCAGGTAGATAAACAGATGTTAAGTCGAAAAGTGGAGTATAAATATTTGTATTCATTTTAATTCTAAGTGCCATAAAAGCCCTAACTGAAACCCCATGAAAAGAAAAATTACAAATGAGGAAAAAAGGATTTTCTCCACAATATTTGCCATAATTATTTTAAAATTAAATTTATTTTTCCAATTTTTGAAATTTTTTGAGTTAAAATTTTATAAAAATTTATCCAACATCATCGCATTTGTTTCCATTTTTTCTTTTTTATTATGAAAATACGAAAGAAATCAACCTTGTTCGATTTCTCTTGCCACTTGCCAAATAGACGCAAACTTCGCCAAATCCAAACATTTAAAAATAAGACGATCTGGATTACAACCGAGCTATAATAAAAGAAATTGACCAACGAAATATGAAAAGCAAATTTGTAAATCAACAAGTTTTTTTTATTTATATATTAAAATAGGTTATAGATTAAAATATATATTAATATGCAGATTGCGTAAAAACGCCTCAGAAACAGTCCAAGAGATAGTAGCACGATGAAAAATGCAACATACATACATTGAACAACACATGTGAATGGTAAAACAAGTAGATCATCTACAGGAATATATGCTCTGTATATGGCTCCACAGATTCCTCAGAAAATCGTGGAAGGAATAATAAATCGAAGATCCCGCGAGACTTCCCCATCCGAAAAGACAAATAAATACCGATCAACCAGATATCGTGGTAATAAACAAGAATCAGGAAACACCGGTAACTGATATATTAATACCAAGCAAATGGAACGTCAAAATGAAGGAATATAAAAGAATAGAGAAATATCAAGGGCTGAAGGTGGAACCAGAAATGTGGAAAGCCAAAGTAATCCCAGTGATAACTGGAGCACTTGGAACTATGACCCTTAAAATGAAAAAGTGGTTTCAGCAGATTCCAGGAATAACATCAGAGATCTCTATCTAGAAGAGCATATTAATGAGGAACAGCTAAGATATAAAAGATTGAGCAAATATAACTGATGCACCTTTGAAATATACCTTAATTAATTCGCGAATAGCAGTTTGAGTCCGATTTTCATCACGACATAACATATAAACCTTAGCGCCTCGAATATTAAGCTCTCGCACTATTTGCTTTCCAATACCACAATTGCAACCTGTTACAACAGCAACCAAATTTTTTGCCGAAACTCTTTCACTGAATTGTGCACCTTTGAAATATAATCTAAAAAATAAAATTTTAGAAACGATAAATATTATTTTGACAAAAATAGCTGAATGATTTGTAACTCTCATTTCACAGAGCACCAATACTAAGGTTGTATTCCCGGCAACATTAAACTTATTTTCAAAAATCCGAAGGGTGCCGGCGCCTCACTTGTATTCCTATTGTTAACACTCTGGCATAATTTATCTAACAAATCAAGAGAGAGAGAAACTAATCAGAAATGGTGAGCACTTTCAGAAAAAAAAATTTAACCTGAAAAATTAATAAACAAAAATTTTTTGAAGTTTTAATTTACGTATGATTATTACTATATAGCCTTTTTCTTTTTCTACACCATTTTGTAGTTTAGCTTGCTCCACTGATTATCAAATCGTTTCGCTAGTGAATCCAATGGTGAATATGATTAAGGATAGTTTTAATGATAAGGCTTCAATGATAAGTTAACTCTCATCAAGAAACTGAAAGTCATGATGTTTTGCAGTTTAGTTAAAGCAATAGATCACTCGACCGTTGTGTGTGGAACTTTCTTTACGGTATCATCGTTTTATTTATAAAAACTCAATTCAACAAAAAACAACAACCTGATAACGAAAGCGATTACACATAAAAATAACCATTTCCAATCAAAAATTGCAAATGTTTCAACAAATGAACCCTCCATTCTGCAAAATCGTTCAGTAAATTAAATTATCATGATGTAAGCAAAAGTGAAAGAAGAGATTCTCGAAAAATTCATCAGATGAGATGGAACAGTTCAGTGGGTTTTGCAATCGGATACTCCCAATTCCAACCCCCCCCCCCCCCCCCCCCCCCCCTCCCCACCTCTCCTCCGTAGGAATAATCTCACCTTTTAAAGACCTTGGTGGGATGTTGATTATCCATCCGCACTTTATCACCAAATGATTCCATGGCTAAGCCGACAAGCTAAGTGGAAAGAGTTCAATCAAAAATCGCGAAAAAAATCACTAAATTTAACCAGAAAGAAAAATAATAAAAGCTTTTTTGCAGAAATGAAAATAATAATCAAGACGAAATAAAAATAAGCGCTTGCTTTTGTTTATTGTTCACTGACAACATATTTCATTGAATGACAATAGACTGATAATCAACAAATTCGTAATAAATCACATGTTCCTTGCAAGTTTTAAACATTTAAAATATTTTCTTATAAGACAAATGGCATTTCACGTAAGAAAAATGATATAGGTGGATAAACCCTTAGCACTGCTCGCATTTCAAAACTTAAACCTTATCAAGACGGAAGATAAATCTATGCTATTTAATTTTGATAAAGTGCATGATATATTTGGTTATTCATAAAATCAAGCACCATTTCCGAATTAGTCAGAGCAACAAATATATACTAAGAATCATCCAAATACCAACGGACAAAAGCCGAGCCCATGCTCCTTGTCTTGAACTGAAGTAGCGTCAGTGTAGTGCACCGGCTTACCTTCCCTCCGCTGACTATATTCTTATCAGAATTTGCTTTCCAGTAAAATAATACGCAATAATGGACATAAAACTTTCATAAATGCACGAAACATATTTCGACATCCCAGTAGAAATGATACTCAAAATTCTGCAGTTCTTCCAGAGAACTTAGAAGGAATCAACAAAAGACGTTCATTACATGCACATTTATATACGACGAACGTGGCATTCGATTAAATCAATCAACTTTCCTAGGTGAGTATTTCGCCAGGAAATCACTTCGTGAAAAATATACGCGGATCCCGTATATTACCACTGCTCGCTCTATCATAATGAAATTTCGAAATGAATAAATTCGAAGAAAAAGACGACTTCCACATAAAAGCAGTTCTAAAATAATAAAAGATAAATAAATGCATAAACGAGAATATCTATCGGACAATTAGATGAAATGAGAAAATTATTTTAACTTTATTATTCACCGCAGAAATAAATTTAAAACAATAAAACAACAAAAACCAACCATATCATAACTTAAAATTAGATAAAAACAAACTGGTTTATTTAATTTGACAGATGCGTTTACATGGAGAAGTCTACAAAAAAAGGACAAACAGAAGCCGTTCTAACCTTAAACAACCTATTTTGTCTCATTTGAATATGACTGGAATAAAACGAAAAGCTATGATAATACCTTTTGGCAAAAACCGCCATTTGAAGATTTTTTGCTAAATAGTCTAAAATTGTTTGTTAAACGATGGCAACCGTTTTGGAAAAAAAAATTAAACATAAATTAATGCATGAAAAATGTGAAAATTTTACAAAATAGCAAAAATTGGGCCAAATAAACACTGAACAATGTATAAGTAAGTAAATAAATTAAGGCAATAAAACTAAACTACACAAAAATACTCGCTTTTACTTGTTACTAGAACTGTTGTTGCACAACAAAACCTCTTTTGCCATAATCACTTTATATTATCAAATATAAAATGGCTAAAACTGAATAATCCGACCGATTAAAGTAATAGAACGGTATATTAGAATACTTTAAAAAAAAATCACCAAATAAACTATTATTCCATACATTCTCCTAGTTGTAAAAGTGAAGAGTTTGGTCCATCGATTTGGCAAATAGTACCAAAAAAAAAATGAAAAACAAAAAAAAGTCAATAAATATCAGCTATTAAAGATCGATAAAATATATAAAACTACTAGAGGTATTTAAAACCTACCACGTGGTTATAATCAAGTTGCAACAAAAAAAAAATGGTTTGCATAGGGAAGTTTAAAACGATTGTCAATTTTAATGCAAAACAACAGTTCCTCGTTTCATAAGTTGAAAAGAAGGCATTTTTGAAATAAGAAATGTGAGATATGGCATTTCAATTCGTAAATATTTCTCGCCAACTCCATTTCTGTCGCATATCGTTCACATCACATGTTTGTAATTTTAACAAATTGCTTTCTAACGATTCTTCAACGGTTAAACAAATATTTAAATCGGCTAACATTATATGTTTTGTTAGCTGCAACAAAAATACAAATTAAACATAGATATCCGTATAATAACTTAAGCTATACCTAATGCTTATTCAATGGCAAAACAGTGATGAAAGATGTCGACTAGAAACTTTATGAAGACTGGAAAGTTGGAAAATCACGTTCACCACTTAGATAGAAATTCCCTCATATTCTCTAGACAATTATTGACAAAAAACCTTGAATGTCCAATAAATCAAACCTTATCGTATTTAAATGGACCATGAACAGTTCCTTTCCGACAGTGCGAAGCTATTAAACTTTCGTCCTCAGGCATTATGCACCACTCACCTTGTGCTAACTGACCTTTCACATTTAGTCGAATAAGCTGCAAAAAAATGATATGAGGAAAAAAATCTTCTCCAAATTCACCTCTTATTTTTATATGGAAAAATGACGTAAAGAAAAAAAGGAAAAAAATTACTTGTTGACCACCAAATCCATGGCATGGAGATACCCCCACTTTAGCAGGTATACTTCGACCCATTAAGTCAATACATTTGCCTGAATTAATTCAAAATAAATTTTCGATAAGTAAAAGATCTGTAATATTAATACCGTAAATAAATAACTTTATAAAAAGTGAAAATCTCTAATAGAAAAATTGAAATATCTAGCATTAATGAAACCACGCTTATTTCGTCGATTAGAAAATACGTACCAGTCAAAGGGTTTTTGGCTTCTCCCCAAACATGATTTTCCGGCAAAAGTGGATAAGATTTTACAACATCATAAGCAACCTTCTCTAAATACCTAAATCAAAGTTTTGGCTTGGAATATAGTTCAAAAAGCAAAGAAAAATATTTTTCTCAAATTGTTAACAAAAATATCAATAGAAGAAAAAAAATGAAGGATATTTTTTTCTGAGTAGATTGGGAAAAATACAAAAAAAAATATCCAAACTGCAACAAAAAGTATTACCATTTGAAAGATTTGCATTGCAATTGTTTCCTAAGTGCAAGCTGAGAAGAAATATTTCCAGGTGATTGATGAGCAACAGATGGTTCGCGAATGTAATAATATTTTTCATATTCATCCATCCATGTTTTGATAACTCTTATCATATTCTGAGAAAAGAAAAAACACAATTCTAGTAAAAAATCTTTAATGTACTAAATTTCCAAGACAAAAATTTCCCAAATTATTGAACAAATACAACAATTAAAATAATGTCAGCATTTTGGAAAATTTCTATGATATTCAAATTTAGCTAAAGATAAGTAAATGAGTAAAAGAAAATGATTTTTTATTAAAAACGAAAATAAAAGTAAAATCTAACGATAGATATAACGGATTTTCCAGAAAGTTCACCAAAACCATAGGGCATATGAGAACGATAGACATGGCCAACGTGAGAACATGGAACAAAAAGAATTCCACCACCACACTGCCATATCTAAATGTCGGAAAATAATTTATTCCTTATTTTCTATAAACATTCTTTCATTTCTACTCATTAAGTTTAAAGGCTTGAATTGAAATCGAAATAAAAATGTCAAAAATAAATACTTTGAAAGAAAGTTCATATTGTTCGCCACCCCATATCAGTAAACCAGGATCATAAAAACCAAGATTCTTGAACCACAGACGATCGATAGCGAAAAGACCACCGGCATGTGTAGGCGACCTAAATTGGCTCAAATCTGAATATTATCAATAATTTCAACTTAGTCTATAAAAACCTTGAAATGATCTAATAAAGAAAAATCTTTCACTTATAAAATCAATAAAATCATCATATTCAACAAAAAACAAAAAAGAAACCTGAATGGTTCACTCTTGAATTTGCGTCTTGCTATTTCTTCTTCTGTTATTTCTGTTTCTTTATAAAGTAAGCCCCATTCAAATATTCCTCTAAAATAAACATATAGTTGTATATAGTTTAAAAAAAATAAAAAAATAAGAAATTTTGTAAAAATTAGCATGCAGAATTTTTTATAAAGGTCGCTCGATCCTTCTTTGAAATGTTTATTTTTCTTTATCACCCATGCCACTTAAAATCCTTAGATTACATGCTCAAAGCAAAATATGCTTTACAAATATTAAAAAAATATGGTAAAAGGCGCTTATCAGTCAATTTAGGAATTTAACGGACCTGAAATGGTAATCTGCTTTACCATACACGCTCCTGTAGGCCCAAGTGTGCATATCAATTCCATCAATTATAGGAACAGTCATTACTTTCCTGAAATTTACTAAATATAAACCGAAAATATTTTGATTCTAAAGAGGAAAAGGACGGCCACTGCGCAAACACAGACAAAAAGTGCAAAAAAAAGAACAGATAAAAGGAGATGAAAAGTGCAAAAAAAGCTCACAAGATTTTATTTTTTTACCCTAAATTAGCTTAAATAACCAATTTTGGTAGCTTGAAGTAAGCAGACGAATTTTTGCATGTTAGCTTATTAAAAATTGATAAGTGCAAGTTGCTGTTAGCTATTTCCGCTGGACTATTTCCACTTCTCTACTACAGGATTTAGCTATAATTACTGTACAAGTTTTAGGAATCTTTATTGAATCAATCCAGCACTAGACCACCAAAGGGTCTAGTTTTCTTTGAATGAGAATCGAGCTTTGACGTCGATGGAGTTGTTCTTGCTCGATCTTCTCGCTGTCGAACACTTATCATCACAAAGAAAAATCTATCCAAGAAAAGGATCGTTTTGTACCGGATTAGCATCAAACAACACAACTGTGTGAAACATCAAGCTTTTGCGCCAGACCTCTTATCATAGCTTTCAGGCAAATAGTTATAATTTCGAGGCCTATGTCTCTTGACAAGAACTTCAAGAACCATCTTTCTACTGTTCTTTCTTTAAAAGCATAATAAACAATAGCTGTTTGCATTAGAAACTGCCTTTGCACCCAAGTGCCAAAATTTGAAGAATCGAAAATTATGTCAAACTTCATGGAAAAATCATTAAAAACAAATTTTTTTTCTTACAAAGAACGTGAAGTCATGGGCCAGCACAGCAATATATGACTAACCAACTAACTTGGTAAAAACGAAAATATATCCTACATGATGACAAGAGATAAAACTGAGAGGACTTTTTGGATGACCTAATAATATTCACAAAAAGGAAATTAAATAAAAATTAACCTATTATTTTTGATTGGAGCTAACAGTGGTGGTAGCCAATTGACATTTACTTCGCAATGCGCGTCTAAGAAAATAACAACATCACCAACAGCAAATTGAGCACCTATACTGCGAGTACGAATTAATCCTTCACGTTTTGCGTTACGAATCAACCTAACCTTGTCTTTAAACTGTTTTAAGTAGACATCCAAACGTTTCTTTAGATGAGCTAAATACGGAATTTTTAGAAAAAATATAATTTATTTAAATAAATCTGCCTAAGCCTTTCACCACAGAGGCATTTGGGGATAGAAATACAAGTGGAACCTCAAAAGTGAAGTGGAACCTACCAGATTTTAGTATCAAAGATAAAGAAAAACAAAAATGAAAAAATCAAAAAAAAAAATATATCTAACAGTAGAAAAAATTTTTCGTCGGTACCAAAATTAATAAAATGAAACATTTAACGAACTCAAGAGGAATAAGAGCATTAGCCCAATTTAGAAAATATTAATTATCATACATTTATCACTAAAATCATCGACAAGAATAATTTCTAAGAGAATATGACTGGGTGATCGAAGAAGAACTGAATGTACGGTTCTTAATAATGGACTCCAGCCTTCATTGTGGAATGCGATTACAACACTAACTGTCGGTAACGCTTCTGGATAATGCCAATATTTGCACCTAAAAATTCGTCACTTTTCTCTTTTAATTTATGGAAAAATTTAATATAAAATTTTTCTTCAATTATGAAGGATTTACTCAATCATCCTCATATCCGGAATTGTGCGATTGAGTGATATCATATCACTAACATAAGTGTTAAAGCCATAATCCATCATAGCACGAGAAACTTCTGGTAAATTAATATCAACATGAACGGGTTCACCCATTTCGCCTAAAATTTAATTCACATTTATCCTCGAAAAGTTAAGCATTTTTTTAAAACGATTCTCGATGACGATGCCTTTAATTTTTTCATGCATAAAAACGAGTGATTACCTGGATTATTAGAAGGTGTTTCAGGCACTTTCGGTTCATAATTACCCAAAATTCCTTCCCTGAATACTGTAGCTGGATCGGAAGAACCAGGTAAGCTATCCTCACTTTCACCAAGTTTATCATTTCGTAAACTGAATCCACATGATAAAACTTTTTTTTATGTATAAAAAACATTTCGAAAAAAATGAGATTAATACGAAAAATTAAAAAAATTATAAAATACAAAAAAATAAAGAACTAAAGAATAATGATAAAAAAATAAAATATCAGTGAGAAATTAAAGGTAAAAAATTTTCAATTTTAATACTAATATTTAATGCAAAAATGTAAAAAACAAAAAATGAATAAAGTAAAAAACATGAAAAATGAATAAAGACATTTAATATTTTGTTGTAATTAATATATAACTAACATTAATTTCACATATTTTAGCAACTAATTTTCATTAAAAGAAAAAAATTTGACCGAAATTCGTAGAGATCATTGCGATTTCGATAAATATTCTTCCAAATTGATTCATCCATTTTCTCCTTTTATAAATATTTTATTGAATAAAAATATTAAAAAATATTTATTACCTTGTTTATTTATATAAATAAAGAAATTTAGCCAGGGAATTCACACTTTCAAAATGAAATTTAATTAGAATGATATTCACAGTGTAAAAGACAATCATTCAAAAATTGAGTCGCAATTTCTAATTCACCAGCAATCACTCGGATTTCGTAAAAATCAAATTCAACTGTTCAACTGTTGCAATCCAGTCGAAGCAATCTAATATTATTCAGTCTAATTCCATAATATTATAAACGCTTCGAAATAAAAAGAACATACATGAATGTAGTGTTGCTTGTAAGGAATAATAAATATGAATATTAAACACACCGCTGACAATAATAAAATAAGTAAAGCTCTGAAAAAAAAATTGTTATTGTAAAAAATTTTTTTCACTAAAAAAAGTTTTTTAGTAAATTTTTTAAAAAAATTCGAAAATATAACTCAAAAAAAAAAAAAGTAATAAATAAACCTATTATAAAACAATCGACGAATTTGAAAATATTTTCTTTTTAATGACATCTTTTTTCCAAACTTCTAAAAAATTTTTTAAAATTATTAGTACAAAATTACAACTTTAAGAAACAGCACTTAAGCATTTGAATGGTATATATTTTAGCATTCAAATTAAGCCTATGATCTGAGCAGAAGAGAAAAATGTAATTTCGGAGCGCTATGCTACTACCGTCAAATTGCGTTTTAAAGAATCACGTCAATCTAGCGACTCACCACCTGGACTTACCACTGGACTTACCACCTGGACTTCTATCACCAAGTCGCTTAAGGTCATAAAATTCCACTGCTTCAATAAGCCAATAAATTGAGCCTAATCAGTGATAATCGTAGTTAGAAAAAAAATTTTTTTAATTTCTAATCAGTGATAAAAAATTTTTTCCTAAGATCGAAATTTTTTTGTAACTCATATTTCATTTGTGTTTAAGCATAAAAATGCAATAAATATTAACAGTAGAATTAAATTTTTAAATTTAAAGAAATTCAAACGTATTACGAATTAAATGAAAAATTTAAATATTTCGCTAAATACGATTTTTTGTTAAAATTTTGATGCATTAAAAATTATTTAAAAAATATAAAATTAAACAGTTTTTTTTGAATAAAATAGAAATAAAATAGCAATAGAATAGCAATCAAATGAAAAATAAAGAAACGAAAAAAAATAAAAAAGATTTATTTAAAAATTCTATTTAAACAAATAAAACTATATTAAATAACTTTTATATTTAAAAAATTTTTTACAATCTTATATCGTCAAAAATATCCTGCGACAGATTATGGAAATCATTGTGCCAAATTGATGTATGAGAACGAATTTCACTGAGACAACTATTCTCACTTTGTTCGACAGAATTTGGAGGATTTGTTGCTCGATTAATAGCCGATGACGATGAAGACGAGGCCATTGTTGCAGAATTCGATGAGGAAAGATGTACCGCTGGAAATCGCTTTCGTCTATTTCCACTTCTAAAATTTACATAAAATTATACCATTTATTTCTATTAACAATGATAATGCTTTATCATTAAAACTCGAAATTTCGGGTGGCTGTTAGTGATTCATTAATCACTCTGTAACCCCAAATAGTTCTCTCGTTTCACTAATGTTTTCATTTCTGTAGTAATCAATAGAAAGTCTATCAAAACAGAAATTGGTAAAATTTTGTTGCATTTTATATTTCATTTCTACAAAAACAAAAAAATAAACAAATAAAGATGAAAAGATTTACTCGCGATGACCAAGCATATTTCTTTTGTCTTTGAATTGAATATTTTACAGAAAAAAATTTTTTAAATTCGCTGAAACATTCGGAAAAAACAATACACATTCACAGTATTTCGTAAAAAATTAAATTTCCGTTGGAAATTATTAAATAAAAAATAATAAATTTAAATTAAATTATTTTAAAAATCATTAATTATAAATTACTAAAATTACTATAGAAAATTATAAAAATATAAATTATTAAAATTATTATTACTAATTGAATAAAAATTACTAATTGTAAAATTATAAATTAAAAAATTTTAAATTATAAAATATAAATTTAAAAAATATTTCTCTCCGAGCTAATTCACTTAAATGATATAAAACGTGTTCTACAAAAATTTCCATTCCAGAATTTATAATCAAATACAAATACACTCCCCGCTACCGACTTTTAGTAGATTCTAACTGACGGCTTCTAATCCACGACGTTGTCGCTAAATGAAGTGAAAGCTGCTTGTTTATTTAAAGGAGGAGGGGGAGGGTTCGGTGTAGTGTACTTGTTGTTTGTGGTACTAAGTGGAGGGAGGAATAAGAATGGAAACGTGGAGAAGTGTGTGGCGGCTAAAATAAAATAAATTGATGACGAAATAGTAAACATACGTAATTTTCTCTCTTTCACATTAGTGAGAAAAATCGGGTGGAAAAAATAGAGGGTAAAAGTAAGTTGTAGGTGAGAATTTGTATTAATGCTTTGCTAATACTTTGATAAATACTTTTAAAAATTTTTTGTTTGGAGTTTTTCTCCTCATTAGAGTAAACTTTGATCCTGGCACTTCACTTATAATTAATTCTATCATTATGTGACAAAATTAGCAAAATTTGTTTGTTTTTTTAAAAAAATTTTTTATTTTCAGTTTTTTTTATTTATAAATGAAATTCTAATAAAATGAAAAATAGTTTTTTCTTTTTATGGCCAAAAAATTCTTTTAACTTTTGACGAAACTTTTGGCGTTCTCTTTTTCGCCTTTTTCATACGATCAAATAGATTTTAAAATTTTTGATTTTCTTTTTTTAGATTCTAAAATGGCTTTGAAAATTTTCATTGAGTGAATTAAAGCTATTTGTCGATTTCCTTTTTTTTACTTCTTTCATTATGCCTAAGCCTAAGCCTAAGGAAAAATTATTCGGAATATTTCATGCATTGAGAAGGAAGTGAGAAATGCCAATCATTCATGGAAAAAGAATTTTATTGTTTTTATATTTCTGTATAAAAAAAAATTTTCTTTTATTATTTCTCATAAATTTTTACAAAATTTTATCATAAATGTCTAAAATAAGTATCACAAAATTATCGTTTATCGTAAGTGATTATTTATCATAAATCGTTATTTTCGTTTTAATATTTTTATAAAATAATTTTTTGAAAAATTTTGATTGTCATTATTTGAGGAGACATCTTTGTGATTAGAGAATTACGAAATATGTTTCCCTTCTTCTTTGTTCTTGCAAAAGTGGGTATCATTTCTGGTTTGCATGGATACATTATCTAAGACGTTTCTGATACCGTCGATTCGACGCCACACCTGAAATAATCCTTTTTTTCCATCGACTAAACCTGCATTTCATTGGATTGCGTTCAGAACTCTTCATTTGAAGCCATATTACTGGCAATTTTGTCTTCTATTTGGCTCGCTTTATTTATTTAACTATGAAATAAGTAGAGTATAAAAGCCATTGTTTAAATTAGTTTTATATTTTGTGAATGACGCTGAGATTTATTTTAAAACTGGGAACAGATAGAGCAAGAATAATAAAAGAATAAATATTGTATTTGTTTTAGTAGTTAGCAAAATTGTATTACAGAATACTAGTCTTGTAAATAGTCTTATGTTATAGCTTCAGTCCGCTGGTGTTCAGTCTATAATGTTGGAGTTCAAGTTGAAGTCGTAATACTTAGAACAGATGTTGTGCAGATTGATATGGCCGAATATTGTAAGGATTAATCAGATCTTGTTCACCAAGTCTTAGTTGAAGAGATTAAAACTTTCGTTCGAATTTATAAGTAGAAGAAAGGCTAGAATTTTGCAGAAATATGATATCAGTTTCTGTGATTTCAGCTGATATTGAAGACTGCTACATGAAAGGCGATATAATTAATAATACAAATGATGAATGCGATATCGTTGCAACTCAACGAAATTTTTATTTCATACCGCTATTCTTTATTTAAATATATTTTTATAACAAAGGAATATATTATTTAATAATTTTCATTGATTGTTTTTTCATTTTTTTAAAGAATTTCTTTAATTTGATCTTTTTTAATTTCTTGAAATATTCCGTACAAAAAAAAAGTTGGAATTGTTACTGATAACTTTGAAAACGTTATAGAAGCAGAGCGAATGAACACAACACTATACAACTATTACATCGGTCATCATCGCTGTTCAGCGTTTCTCACTCGTTTCACCATTCTTTCATTCATTATTATTATTATTATTACTATTATTATTATTGTTATTATTATTTATATTTATTGAACGTATTCCGACTTTTTTTTAGTAGAAACTATTATTTTTTTTTTTATTTCGGAATATTAAATACAATGAAGTGACTATAAAAAGAAAATCGTTTCATTGCATGATTGATTCCTTTAAGAATCATCATTAAGGGCATTGAGTTATCCTCGATTTTTATTTTGTCGAATTTTGGCATATGGCTTACAGTGAAGTGATTTTGTTGAGTTCGCGGACATAAGAAATTAATTCTTTAATAAATTTTTAAATGGAATATCGTAAATTTAATAAAAAGCATTAAAGATAAAATAATGTATCGTGTATTGGTTACCGGTGCGGCTGGACAAATTGGTTACTCACTCGTCATGCAAATTGCCAAAGGCGATGTCTTTGGTCCAGAAACGGTGAATTTTTATTGTAATTTTCTTTTAGAAAATTAAAGGTAAAAAAGATTTGAATTGGATTTATAAACGTAGAAATTTGATTTATAATTTCATTCGACTTTGGTTTAAAGGAAGATTGTAATAATTGTCTGATGCTATTCATTTATTATAACCATAAATAATTTAGCCGGTTTGTTTAATTCTGTTTGATATACCGATGATGCACGATGCTTTGACAGGTGTACAATATGAATTACAAGATTGCGCTTTGCCCACTCTAAAGGGTATAATTTTTAAATCATTTCATTTCTTTGACTATAAATTCATATTTTCCAAAATATCTACGAAATTTTTCGTTTTAATTTTATTAATAATTTCGAAAGTTTCATTGTTATTTACATAAAATTGTAAATAGAGTAGTTGTTAACTTACTCGATTAACAGAGGTGAAAGTGACAGTCGATGAAAAAGAAGCGTTTGAGGGAATTGATTATGCATTCTTAGTTGGGGCAATGCCACGAAAACAAGGCATGGAAAGAAAAGATTTGCTCGCTGCAAATGTGAAAATTTTCAAGACACAAGGACAAGCACTTGCTCAATATGCAAAGCCTACAACTAAAGTATTTTCATTTATATTTTATTAATTTTTTTTATTAATTTCAAAATGAAATGTTTTTGCAAATAGGTAGAAAAATTTTTTTTCTGGTTCATAAATTTTGCAGTGGTATTTTCTGATAAATTTTCTGATTTTTAGCGACTTTTTATTTTTTTATTTATATTATTTATTTTTATATATATTATTTATTTTTTTAAATATGTTGTATCCTTCCGTAATAAGAAGAAATATTTCTATATAAATATAAATATAAAAAATATTTGTTAAATATTTCGAATTTACGATTTAATTTTATGTGCTCGTCGTCGGTAATCCTGCAAATACGAATGCATTAATCTGTGCTAAATATGCAGCGCCAAAAATTCCCGAACAAAATTTCACTGCAATGACTCGCTTAGATCATAATCGAGCTGCAGCACAAATCGCTATGAAATGTGGAGTTGCTGTAATATTTTTATATTTTTTTGTCGTATTTCTTTTTAGGTTATCAGAAAGGTTATATTGAAAAGGCTATCTTCTATTAGAAAATGCTGAATTCGTTTTTCATTATTTCAGACCGGTGAAGTAAAAAATGTTATAATATGGGGAAATCATTCAGCTACACAAGTCCCTGATGTGGGTCATGCAACTGTCCTTAAAGATGGTCATGCAGTGAAAGCCTATGATGCCGTTAATGACACGGAGTGGCTACATGGGCCATTTATCAGTGTGAGAGAATTTGAAAGAATTTAAAGTTTTTTTTAAAATTTTTTTGTTATGCTTCAGTGATTGGATGGTTCAATCATTTTTATCGATTATAATTTTATATAATTATTGAAATTATTTTTAGATTATTTTTAGATTATTCAAAAGCGTGGTGCAGTTATAATCGAAAAGAGAAAGTTGTCATCAGCTATGTCGGCTGCAAAAGCGGCTTGTGACCATGTTCGCGATTGGCATAAAGGAACTCGCGAGGTAAAATTTATTCAGTGCTTTTGCATTTATAAAAAATATTTATATTCCGATGACAGTAGATCTGCTTAAATTTGCCAAGATATCAATAAATTTAGGTCAGAAATTATATAAATAAATTTGTCAGATATTATTTCTAGCTTATCATTACTGGTAAGATTGGCTGCAATAATTACAAGTTTGAGGTGTTCCGAAACTTAGGATGCTTGATTCAAAAACAACAGAAACTTCTTTTTCCATCGTTAAGCCGATATATCGCTGAGTCGATCGCTTATGTGAATATAAAAACGATTTTCTCTTCATGATCTTATTGTGCTTTACTTTTCACGCCATTCTCCACAAGATTTAGCCTGCAGCGAGATAAATGAAACAAGAAAATGTTAGCGATGAGCGCAGTATTTCCAGGCAAAATAAAATGTGGTATAGGAATGGTCTAACCTTCTTTTTCCATGTTTTGCCACCCTATATTGATGCATATACTGCGGCGAGATTGGTATTTATTACCGTTTTGTTGTTGGTTTTTTAGCAATTCCTAAGAAGGTCCATCCAAGCGGAAGAAATCATTTCTTCCAGTCCTTTTCGAATTTCGAATCTACTGATTGTACGATCAGTATAAGAGTGAATCTACGACATTTAAAAATTGCTACTCTTTAGTCCATGATTTATTTATGGAAATGGATATTTTGCCAATATCAGATGTGCAAAATGAAAATAATTTCATCTCATTCATATTAATCTGGAATGTGGTTTTTCGTTAACTCCTTGCATTACGCTTGATACATGGTTTCGTGCTTATTGTGATCCTTCTGAAATATCAGCAAAAAGGATTATATCATCAGTTTAAGTTCAGTGGTGCTGTGCTTCGAAATGTTCAGAATCTGAGTGCTGGCAATGTGCTGGCAATGTTATCCATAAGCAAACACACAGAGTTTTGTTAATGACTAATAAATAATAACTAATAAATAATCTGCTTTGGATTACCTTCTCATGGTTCATCAGAGAACGTAAGAAACGGTTTAATTTAAAGAGATTTGATTTAAAAAAAAAAGTTTGTTCAATGTAATATAGCAGAATCTTTATATTCAGTCTTATTTAGACGTAATTTCGTTTTTAAGTCAAAAATTATTAATTTTAGGGTGAGTGGGTATCTATGGCCGTGCCTTCTGATGGATCATATGGTATTCCGAAAGGTCTGGTGTTCTCATTTCCTTGTCGCGTTTCTGGAGGTCAGTGGTCTATTGTTCAAGGATTACAGTGGAGTGATTTTATCAAAGGGAAGATCGAAATTACTCGAAAGGTAATTTATCTTTATAATCGAATTATTTATTTCCGACATTGGAAGCAGTAACTGCTTAATTGGAGTCATTTTTCATCAGATCACAAGTATTTGCACTTTTTGAACTTATAGGAACTGGAAGAAGAACGCGATGAAGCCCTGAAAGCATGCGAATAGATGCAAAGCATCAAAATAGAATTTTCTACCTTTACCTTGTTTTATTAGGTTAAACCTAAGTTTTAACTTGTATTATTACAGTTAAGGTATCATTGCAGTTTTTGGGTGAATCGTATAATATTTCTTAAGGACTTAGTATGAAGTAGTTTCATTGAAATTCCCATTTAAATTAAATTTTAAATTGTTAATAAAATATTTTTTTCATTTGTGCATTTTCAATAATAGTGCATATTTTCTTGATTCGTATTTCATGAATGCGCCTTTTTTTTATAATTTTTATGAAAATAATTGTCAATTTGGTTAAATGAGTGATTGAGTTTTTTGGTTTGGAGCTTGAACATTTAAAAGTTTTATAAGTTTTTTAAGGTGATATTTTTAAAATTAGCAACTCTGGAGGAAACGCCATCTTGCAATTGTGGCAAGTTTGTTTATATATATGCTTTAAATATGCGGGTGAAGTTATTTTTGGAATGTTTGTAATTTAAATTCTAAGTGAGAACTGGTTAATAAAAATGGTCTGCATTTCAAGGAATTGTTTTTAATGTATTCATATTTAAGTGAAAAATATGGCAAAAAAAACGATCTACGATTTCAAAGTAAAGAATGCTGAAGGTGAGGAAGTTTCATTGGAAAAGTATCGTGGCAAAGTCGTCATTATCGTTAATGTTGCTTCAAAATGCGGGTTGACGAATTCTAACTATGCTGACTTAAAGGCGTTACTGGACAAATATAAGGGGTCAGGCTTAGAAATCGCTGCTTTCCCCTGCAATCAGTTTGGTGGTCAAGAACCAGCATGTGAAGTCGATATCCGTAATTTCATTAAGGAAAAATTTCTGTTCGAGCCTGATCTTTATGCTAAAGTTGACGTTAATGGCAGCAATGCTGAACCGTTATTCAATTTTCTCAAAACAGAACAAGGCGGTTTTCTTGTTGATGCGATCAAATGGAACTTCACGAAGTTTCTCATTAACAAAGAGGGTAAGCCTGTGAAACGATACGCTCCAACAGTGAAGCCAAGAGATTTTGAGAACGATATCGAGCAACTTCTTCGAGAATAAAGGACGTTAGAACAACGTGTATCAATATATCACTTAAAGCTGAGGTGTTTAGCGTGAGTTACTCAGCTAAAGTTTTTTTCATTTCTTTTATTGGATTTCATTTATGCGTTGAAAGAAAATTCATAATTAGTAGTAATAAATAACCCATATACGAATGAATCCAAATTTTTAATACAAGCGCGCGAATGCAATTAACTTGGCCCATATTGTCGTTGTGCGAGGAGAATTTATTGAATTTTTTTCTTTTGATGGATATTTTTACTTAAATCTTCTTTGGGCTAAAAATGTTGTGGTGGTAATATTTGGCGAGAATGAATTATATTTTGTGAAGTTGTTCATTCATTTTATTCAACAAAGTCAATTATTAAATTCGTCATATGAATAAATATTTTTCTTATGACTTATATGTTTTTGCAAATATTGAGCAGAAAATGGATGATTTAAGGCAGGCATCTCGTAAATTGCTATAAATTTGTGGAATTTTGGTGTAATGAAATAAATGAGCAAGGATGGGAACGTCGCAGAACAAGCCGAATTCGTCCAGCGAACCGCACTATTATTGGTTAGGCTGGGCTCTTCGACTGCGAAGGTTGCCCAAGCTGTTCGATCGGATCTCATCGCTGGCAGAAGCCAACCTTTTCCCATCGCTCAAATCCAGTCATAGCTGCTGGTTGAGTCGAAGTCAATGTTGAAATTGAATTTGATCGGTGCTGGGGGGTGTTTTTTTCGTGTGAGCGATGAAAACTGCATCAATTCCAGAGATGGCCGACGAAGAAAGTGGCCTAAAAAACTCATTGTGACGAAGTTAACGATACCTTTTGAACGATATGTTAGTGTAAAGGCTGTATTTGCGTGAGATTTCTAAGAAAAGCATTATGAAAATAGAATATCTCGCGAATTTTTCACGTACTTCAACCAAACAGATATGAACATTTGAGATTTATTTTGGGCGGTACCACAGAGGTGCTGCAGGTAAAATTTCATCTTTTGCTTGGCTAATAGATAGTAGATTTAAAATGTTTAAAAACTTCTCAAACGGTGGTTTGATTGTAAAAGTTAATATTTTATCAGTATCTGGATAAGACAAAAAAAGTTTCGTCTTGTTTAAATCGATTCGAAGTTCAATTTTGGCTGTTGCTATCGCCATTCGGCAAAGTACCTTAGGCATTAGTAAATCGTATCATTATTATTAGTGAAAAGGATAAAATCGTCAGGAAGAGGATATTTGTCGATAACCCATCGTTAATCCTTGATAAATCCTTGACGGATACTACAGAAAAGGATTGCGTCATTTTCCAATATAAATACAACTGAGCTAATTATCGATAAAAGACCTTTCCTTTTGTTTAATTGTTTGTTATCTTCATTGGAATGCGATCATTCTGTTCATCTGTATGATCTGTCAAAGCACTGCTGTACAGATTGAATCAGAAGCAATGACAAAGTCGAAGTAGCAGTAAGTTGTCGATATTTGAAGTAGTGTCATGATATCCTCAGCATGAATTTCTGTTCAGCATGCTCTGGATTGAATTCGACTTGGTTAGAGCACATCCCGCTGCTACGGTACTTCTATTAGTTAGTAGTTAGTAGAAGGGAGGCGAAGGTCTTCTCAGAAATATCCAGTAAGCTGGTAGTTGCATTGTATCTTATTATTTTTCTTGGGACCTGGGAGAAGAATTAATCCACTCACATATTATTTGTTCTTTATACACTATTTACTGAGAAAGTTATAATTTTATGAGTAGACTGTGAAAGATAAATTTAAAGAGTTCAGCACGAAGATCGCCTTATCCTGGCGTTTAATTGGCCTTAAGCTCCTGTATCACAGATTATTTCATGCCCCACTGATGGTTTACAAGTGTAGGGCTCCGAAATTGCTTCGGTTATATCTGGAACTTAGTTGGTCCATCATAGCCAAATCCAAATTTAAGAAAAATGAAAAATTCTTTGAAAGATGGTTAAACCAGTTTTAGCGTTTAAAAAAACTCATTTTTTCGTTTTTCAGCAGAGATTATGTTGTCTTTGTTTATTCCTTAATGGGTTTGCAAAAAATTTGTATACGTCTTTTCATAGAACCTCAGCAAATAACCCGAAGACAATTTGTCAAAGCACCAAATTTTGTGACGAACAGAATCGGCGATTCATTTTGCGAACTTTGCAAATTATTTACACAGTTGTGAAATATCTGGAAAAAGGTTATTTGTTTCATAAAATTAAGTGACAAACCTGATAAGCAAATCACTTCATTCTGAGAAACGATAAAGAACAATGCCTCTATGATTTTAACTATCTTACAGAATAGGAATGGTGAAAATATTTTCTTACGTCTGATATAAATCTACCCAAAAATCCGGGTAGTTCACTTGTACTTCCGTCACCAAGGGACTCTCTGCCATATTTGTCCAGTGCGACAAGCCAGCCGAGCGGGTTTAACCAGCAGTTATGGTGAGGATTCTTAAAAGGAAAGATGATGATAAGATGATAAGGGAAGATAAGATTTATCAATAACGGTTTCATTTTATAATATCGAAAATTAAAGTTGTTATACCAGAAAATATAGGGGAAAAATATTTAGACGTTCGACAGACAGTACGAATCGCTGACGTGTCATAGCTTCGTGAGCGCAGGACGAAATTCAAGGTCATCTACTCTCTCGGTGTCCTCCCATTTCGTCTTAGTTATACCGTCTTATACCTGCTAATTTCATTTTCTTCCTTTTATCTTTTTTTTTCGAGATTTAAGACTGACATTCGCCCTAACAATTTAGGGTTTGTTTGCTTTTATGTGTTTTTTTTTCTTGATAAGATAATAGGATTTAAGAATTTCGTGAAAATGTCTGCATTACTCTACGTTAAGTGGAAGTGTGTCGTAAGATTCATTTGATTTCGTTTGTCGCATTATCATTTCTTTTCATGATTGGATAAATTTATCATTTTGGGAGTCATTTGGCGATAGAAATTCAAATGAGTTGCCAGCATCACTGCGATTTCTGAAATACATGTTTACGTCTTCAGGGAGTAGAATAGCAACTATTGCACTTTGTATGAGCAATAGCATGAGCAATGAGTTGATTTAATGAGTGCTATTGGTGATTTTTTCACTAATATCTACTACTGACCTGAATGGTACCAATGGATTTCTTCATTTTAAGAAGAGAACGATTCGGAATTTTGTGTCTTCATGGCTTTTAGATCAATCAGCAAATGAGGAATATATTGTATTCTTACCTTGAGGTAAGAAATATCGAATCTTTTTCCCCATATGTGCTCTAAGCCATTTTGTTTCATTTTGGCTTATTAATTATCAATTTGTTAAGAAATATATCAGACACTCATCCATCCATCCATCCATTCATTTATTCCTCAATCCACCTGTCCATCGTTCATCCACTCATCTCCGTTCATACATTATCTACACATCCATTAATCCATCTGTCCGTCTATTTAAAAAACCATTCTTGCCAAAACGTCAAATAATTTTTTCGTTTTTAACTTTTTCCCTATTCACATAAGACATTGTTTGAAGCATCAAAATGGAATCGGAGAAGTTTATGATTTATTGTATTAGATCGATGAAAAAAAAAACAGAATCAAATGGTAGGAAAATAAAAAATACAAATATAATAATAACCGATCTATTATTTAATAATATTACGATAGTTTAAGGGCATAAAATCATAACCAATTTGAGCTATCTCGAGCCGCATGAATTTTCATGAAATCAAATTTCGCTATAAATCTCTATAACGGGCCTGCACATGGTGCATCTACTTTTTCCTTTCAAACGACTTTCATGCAAAAAACGGAGATTTTTCATTGTTCCTTATTCACTAATTGCCCAGATGATTGCAGAATTACCATTTCAACCCTCCAATTAATTTCCCCTTCATACGCTCTCTTTCCAGCGCAGTCGTAAATGATATATCATAACACATTTTGATTTTCATTTATTTCCTGATTTTGATGTTTAAAGATTTCCATTTCCGATCCACCATATATGCAAAAAAAAAAAGCTTCTAATAGTGAAAGAATTTCAGTACCAAAAGTAAGGATTCGTATTAAAGAATGTGTTCTGTCTGTCTTGCGGTTTATTAGAAATGAGACGATCAGGTTTTCCTCTGTTATCTTTCCATTGCGAGATGTGAGGCAACTGAAAATAACCTACCCTACCCTAAAACGTCTAATTTTGTTAAATCTATACGCTCTGCTTTTCTCGCTTCCCATTTCTTCATTTTCGATAGCTTCATATCGCCTAATCTCATAATCGTAATCGTACTGAAACGGTGCAAAGTGTGTATGGTCACCAATCCACTCTCTATGATCATTTAGACATTCCAATGCATCAATGCATCAATGGCTTATCAATGGCATTTTAAGAATGTTCAAATCTCTCATTGATACAAAATATGTATCTATGTATATAACACTAATACGATTAAACATAACACATATAAATATGCAGTAACCAGTATTACGTATGACAGTTGCGGTTTTTATTGTAACTCACCCAATATTAACAAAGAAGATGCGGTTATTCTCATGCTTATCTTAAAATGTTGGTTGGTACTTTATTATGATTGTTGTGCTATAATTTTTTATAATTTTTAGTAAAACAGAGAGGAAATATTAAAACACTGTTTGAATTTTGCTTAACCTTTGTGGAATTTTTAGAGATATAGCAGAAATCGTTCGATTTTAAAATATTTCATAAATAAACGGAAAATAAATGGTTCTAAAGAAGAATTAAGAGTTTATCAAAGGCGCATTTTAATTTAAGATAATTTCAATAATTTATCTGATAATTTTCTTTGGTAGTTCATGCTGTTGCTGGCTTGGCTCGCGTTGACTCCGATTGGCCACTAGGCTGAGATATTTGCTAGTTCGCGCTCTGACACCGCTCCATTCCTAAAACACACTAATGATACTAATTAACTAATTCGATAAAATTTTTCAAAAAATTTAAAATTCGAAAGTATTGTTCGCTTATTTAATGGATTCGTAATGGTATTAATGGTATTTGATTCGTTTTTTTTTTTCATTCGTAATTATTTGGATGAAATGACATATTTTCCTCGAATATATCTATTCAGTTCTTCATTCTTCCATAAATAAATTTTGATTTGATAATCGGAAAAGAAGATTTTGAGGTCTTTTCAAATTAATTCAGTGATTAACAAGATTGGATAATATTTTCCTCAAAAAATATCTGATAACGGTATCGACCGCTTTATTTCATCTTTTTTTACATTTCTTTGTCTAGTAGTACCATCCATTTCCGGTTTGGCTAACTATTTTAGTTATTCGTTATTAAATCTATTTGCTATAAGTCATTCAGGAACAGAGGAGTGGGGCAAGTCCTCAGAGCCATTCGAATTTCATTTAAATGACAGGTTTACGCTGATCAGAAGAAAGGAAGATAAGAGGCCTAATGATGGCTTAACTTTAGTAACATAGCACTCGATCATCCTGTTTTTACCTAGATTATTGTATTTAAAATATTTTGATCGAAGAAGATTTCTTGAAACGATTTCTCGTTATGAAATTCCTTGATCTGGTGCAAAAATGGCTCAGTTGGGAGCGCCGGTGGTGAGATTCTACTTCTCGCAGGAGCAAACTTGTCAAAAAATGCAGGTGGCGCACATGTACTCCAAGGAATTCCCTGGCATATTTGTCTGTGCGACAAGTCAGCGGAGTGAGTCTGATTAGTAATGGTGGGGCTCTTTTTAAAAAAACTCCTTGTTCTGCGAAAAAATCGCTCAGTATCGCTAATACAAGAAAAAACACAATTTTTTTGAGCTTTTAACTATCACTACTGATGCAACTCCAACTAATTTTGTTTCAGATATTTTGAGAATATGAGAAAGCGAAAAGACTTATATGGGGTAACTTGAAGCATATTAGTATGGATGAAGGGCCAACATTCTAAGAGAACTTCGGTGCAATCCAAGGAATGAAAGTTATTTTATTTTGTTGCCTGAAAATGCAATCCAGTGGATTTCGAAAGTGGAGAACTTCACATCTTTAGCAGTGCAAGGAACTGATTGGCCCGAATTATCGCAATTTTTCGTCGCAACCACCTTTTTTTCCAGAAATCATTGGATAAACACATCGCAATTCATGTAGAAACTAAAAAATCACAAATTTAGGAACCAAAAAAAAATTCTTTTCGCTCATTCATAATCTCATCGTATTCAGTGGTAGGCAAAGAAGAAACTATCGAAAGAAGAATCAATAAAAATATGCCCTACGGCGTGCCGAAATCGCAGAACCATTTATCAATAGAACCATATTTATTCGTGATATTTGCCTACCTAAGTGTTTCATTTCTATCGCGAAAATTAAAATTAAGCCAAAAATTCGCGAACTTCAAAGCTCGTTGCCTTTTCTTTCTGCGCGGATTATTGTAAAATATAGTAAAATATTTTAACGTTGATAATTAAACTCCCTATCAAGTTTGTATATGCGATTTGTAATAGTGGCCTTCTAATTCTGTTATCGATTTTTATTAGTGAAACCTAATTTATCCTACGAAAATTATCTTTAACGTAATTGGTATACCACAACAATTCATAGTTCGTCAAAAATTGATCTGTTCTCTTAATATTCCAATCTCTTCGAATCCTTATTTTGCGCGACAAATCTCTCTCATTCCCTTCAAATTTCCGCTATACTCATTTGATAGTCCGCAAACATTTTGATTCTACTTTTGCAGTTTTAAAGTGTTTGCAACTGCCACTGTGTGGGTTTGACGGAGCTTTAAGAGAGTCGGAGGTGCGCGGTATTAAGCTGAATTTGAAAGGGCTGAAAAAAAAGGTTTAAAACCGAATTGGGAAGGTTTTCTGCAGAATATGATAGGCAATAGTGAAATAAGGGGAAAAATAAGGAGATGGTTTTGATAATACGGGCCGAAATTTTATGCCACTAGCCACATTATGGGTTTTTTTTGAAAGTGCTAACGAGTTCTAAAAATTCGGCTAAAGGTTGTAATAGTAGAGGGATATTGGGGTACCAATAAGCGGGGTTTCAAGAAGTAAAGGGATATGTAGTGTAAGAGAATTCGAGATTTGGCGAAAGAATATAGCGGAATTTTATTAGGTATTATAGGTGATTAATGGGGTTTATTAGAAAGGGATATATCGGTTATATTTAGATTTCGAGGGATTTCTCTATGAAGTGACTCTATGCTTAAGAAAAATAAGGAAGTTTTATGGTAATGTAAAACAAATGTGTAGGGATATTTTGCTTAGTAACTCACCGTTCAAAAAGGATTTCATTTTTTAAAAATAAAGATAATTTTTTCTATTACCTACCTATTTTATAATTTTATTGAAGGGAACCTTAAGTGGTTCGCAATATGATAGAATTACTCATCGTTCTTGCCTAACTTCTCGTGTTCGTCATCTTTTTTTTTCATTACCTTTCAAAGGAGGGGGGGGAGGTGGAATAGCTCAAATAGTTGCATTTATTTGGGAGCAGACACTGCTGTTCTATTTTCTTTTTTCAACAAGAGTAAACCTGTTTTTAAAAAATCCGAATGATGCTGAACATTCACCTGTGCTTCTGTCATCGAAATGACTCCCTAGCAAAATATGTCTGGCCAGCAGAACGAGCCTAGCTGGGAACGCTTTCGGAGAGAAGAAAATTAATTTGTATATCCATTTGGTTTGCGCGTTTTTCAAGCACAACGTTATAATTCTTGATGTCACTTTAAAAAACTTTAGTATTTTTTCAAAACAACTTCGAACCCCGTCATATTCTCCTTAATGCTACAACCACACTATTTTCCCTTCAATAGCCTCACATCGTGCTACACTCTTTTGCCATAACTCATTCTAATATCTGCTAAACCAGCTTATGATGTACTGACTTATGATGTATTGGCTCGCTCAAATTGGCCTATGCTCGTTTAACGCAGTTTCCTTATGCTCCTTTAGAGTTTTCCTCTTTTTTTGCATTTCTTTTACATCTCTTAAAGTGGTATCCATTAAAACCTCTTAAACCCAACTGTATTTCCTTAACCGAGATATATTTCACTGTCTGAATGCTGCTCTTCGCTATTCTTCGTAGCGCCTCCGTACCATTCACTTCATTAGGCTCCTTCATAGATCCTTAAAATCACCCCAAATATCGCCATCTTCCTGATCCTATTATTATTACATCCCTTAACTCAACAAATTTTTCTTTTTCGCCTTCGGCTAATTTCTAGAATTCTGTCTTAATCTTAATTTTGTGACAATATATATTTATATATATGGCAAATATAAAGGTAAAGAACATGACAACAGTGAGAAATCTTGAAGGATATCGCAGAAATACAATGAAGGTGCAGAGAATATAGCAACATTTAACGAAATGAAAAGGGGACATACGACGGTGTGGTGGAACATTAAGAGACATACCGGGCCTGCATAGGGTACTAAGCAAGCTGAACAAGGAACAAATGCATTTTCAGTCAGTTGTTGGATTCTTATGGATTCGTCTACCGTTTAAATTAATTCTTCGCTGGCTTTAATTGTAGCCTATCTTGAAATAAAATACTGTGCAAGTCCTTGGATCCACGAAAGACGGCCCAACAAGTGGGACAATTTCGTTGGAATGCCTTAAATTCCTTTCCACTCGCTCGGAATTTTTCCAAATGCTGCTGCTTCCCCTCAGACCTCTTTCACCACCAGTTCACAGTATTTGTAATATTAACAGTACCGCTGGGTAATGCTTATACGCCAGCGCTCTCTAACTGAGATTTGTATGTGATGCATAGAAATTTGTAGCTGCAATCGATGTTTAGTGATGGTCTATGTGAAACATTCTCGAAGTGTTTGGATGACTGGATTTTCGTTTTCGTCTTATTTTAATGCTTTCATTTCTAGTTCCACGTGATACGCTAATTATATTTATTAGGACAGTTGGGGACAGAAGCGCAGGTTGGTCGGCAAAACGTACTTACCCGCACTTTTTCTTCCCATCGGGAAATCGAACCCATATATGGTGTTGGTTGAGTTCGCAAAGCATACCACTGAGGTGTTTGGGCACTGATTTGACCCGACAGATTTGCATTCAAATTGTTAGTTCAAGGAAGCGTCTATTTATAAAACGGTTGTCTTTTGTAAGGATTTTATTCTGTCACGATTCATCGGTTTATCGAGTAGTACCATTATTTTCTGTTATTCGCTTCGCGCATTCAATCACTATTTATCGTTTCGCACAAATTGCGCGACTGTTGAAGGCGACACGTTTTTATTTTAGACCTATAATTTGTCTGTAGAGAGAATTTCAAATTTGCCATTCTAAAATTTATTTTTTAAAAATTTTATTGAATCTATGAAATTATCATTTTTTTTGTCGTCTAAATTTTATTATTGAATTTGACTATTTTGATTTTTTTTTTTAAATTGACAAGACGATTAATTGAAAATTTTAAAAGTAATTCGATTTTGTTTTGTTTTTTTTTTTCAGATGCTCCTTCCAGCAACTCTAATTTTTTTTATAACAATTAATTCATGTTTCGCGAGTTCAAAAAATCTCATAAAATTGAACGAAGAATCATGGCAAGATTTATTAAAAGGCGAATGGATGGTTGAATTGTTAGTTATCGCTTTCTTTGTTAACAATTTAATCAGTGATAATTTATGCTTTTTTATCACCGAAATCGGAGTATACATGCTAATCGAAAATTCGTTTTCCTTAAATTTTTACACAAATTGTTAAATAAAGGTATAATGCATGCTGGATTCTTGGTGAAAACAATTACAGAACAAATCATTGCGTTTCGTATATTTCCTTGGAAAAAAATTGACTTTAAGATTAATGTTATTAAAAAATAAGTCGCTGACACATCATTTTTTTCATGTTCCAATAAATTTTTCGAGCTGAAATTATAAAAGTTGGCATCCTTTCGACTAATAGATTTCCTTTTCGACGATGTAATTTACATTTGCCAATATTCTTCTAATTATTTAATTTAGCAAAATTTTTAAATATGAAAATTTCTACTTAAATTTGCTGTTAGCGATTGTCAATAATTTCTGACACAGTATTTATTTAGTCGGATTTTTTTCTTCTTGCTGCTCTCACCATTACTCGTTAGGCTGTCTGCAGCGGCCACAAGAACAAGACGCTTCCAAGCGGCGCGCTCTGGTGCCATCGTCGACAGTTAAAAAAGGCATTTAGTCTGATTATCGATTATTGATTTATTCGGTTTAAATAAACTACGGTTATTTTTGATCGTATTTTATTCGGCTAAGGACAAACATTAGATCGAGTTCTTCTCCTCTGACAAAGGCAAATCCGTCGTTAAGAATGAAATTCATGCAATTTTGCCTACCCATCTGCACATCTGTCCACAGATATCTCTCTCTCTGGTATTGTCATTTTATTATGTAATCAACAGACAATATGTGGTATATATTAGAAGAGGAAAGGCACTTATGATTTTGAAATCACAGATTTCTTATATTAGTCCATTTAAAAATAATATATAACTTTTTTGACCGATTATATATTAGAAGGTAGTTTCAGATTGATTAGTTATGCATTATAAGGCAAAAATTCAATTATTCTTTATTATTATTCTTTATCATTACTTTTCGTATTTGTTTTGATAAAATTTTTATCAGTGAATCAGGAGAATATTTTTCCTAATTATTTTATGTAAGTTCTGGACGATAATCAGTGCAATAATTTTTTTGGCACTTATTTTTTTTGATCTATCATTGATGGTTTGGTTATAAGGAATGTTAAGAGAAGAGAGGCGATCAAGCAGTTATCGCAATATATGACTGAAGTATGATTGGCACATTTATTTCTTATATGAGTTATATGTATTTATTGCTTGATTACTGGGTTTGTCAGACAAATTCATTTATCATTTTCAGTCCTTTGAGCTTTTATTCATTTTATCGTTCATGAATAGACAATCACTCGTTATATGTTTGCAGTTAGTTGATTTCTCTTTTTCCTTCCTCATTGATGAACTTTTTTTTTGAACATTAAGAAATTATCATATTCAATGATAATTGCTCATTTTTTGCAGAAAGTTTCTACGATATGGTCAGTATTCTGTAAATATTACTGTATTAGATTGGCCTCCGTATTAAATTGGCCCACGTTCACTGATCGACATGAAATTTAGATGAATGATATATTGTTTGATTTTAGCATAATGAAATTTTCAATTCATCATATTTTTAAGGAGGCATAATGTTTCGGCTTGGGGTGAGCAAGTTGGGTTCGATTTCTGACCCTTGAGAGTGCTGGGAATCCATCTTTACTTATGTTGCCACTTATGTCAGGTGAAAGTGACCATTATTTAGAGCCAATAATTATGGTACTTTTAAAAGTATGAGAGAAGTACTTTGTTGAAATTTTCAAATAAAATTTTGTCATTACATTTTTCGTTAAAAAATTTTGTGAGTAGCGCAATTATATTTATTATAATAGGTTCCACATTTCAAAATTGTAAAACTCATAAAATTATGGTTTTAATTATTATTCGCAATGTATTGATTAGGTTTGAAATTTATATAAAAAAATGAATTATTATTATCAATATAATCTTAGTTTTCAGCCATGCACCATGGTGTCCTGCTTGCAAGGATTTGCAAAAAGCTTGGAATTCTTTTGCCGAGTGGAGTAAAGATTTGAATATTAAAGTTGCTGAGGTTGATGTCACCATCAATCCTGGTCTCTCTGGTCGTTTTCTTGTAACTGCTTTACCAACAATTTATCAGTTAACTTTATTTTATTTTATCGAATTATTTGTAAATCCTTTCATTTATTTTTGGCTATATTTTTTTATCTTCATTCGTTATCGTTATGATTTGTAATTTTGCAAATTTTAATTTATTTTTACAGCATAACTTATTTAATAACTTTTTCATTATTAGATCTATCTATCCAGTTTCATTTCTTCAGTACAAAACGAAATTTTCAGTGTAAAAGACGGTGTTTTTCGGCAATATACTGGGGCACGTGATAAAAATGATTTCATTAGCCATATTGAAGAGAAAAAGTGGTCATTGCAGGATCCAATTCCTAATTATAAACATCCTAACTCACCACAGTAAATTTTTGTTTTTGCTTGTCGATTGTTTTGCAGCAACCAATAGGGTTTGCCATATTTTTTTCCAAATATTTTGAATTTTTTTCAGAATCAGAATCTGTTTTGATCAAGAAAATTTTCACTGATATTCAGATCTTTCTGTGTCATTAGAATAGACCACATTGGGGCCTCAGTGAGTTCAGAAGAAAAATTTGTTGAAAAATGATATTGACTTTTTAAGATATTGTTAATCATTTCATACGAGTTTTATAACCAAAATTTTTTTCTGATGAGGCTGTTATTAAATATTTGAAAATTTTAGAAAATTTGAATTTTGATTAATGAATAGTAATACGATTTCAGAATGACTGTTGTGGCTTGGTTCTTTAAATTGTCAATGTATGTACGCGATAAACATAATTATCTTGTTGAAGATGGTACAATTTTTTTTTTTTAAATGCTGACTATTATTCATGCATTTAATTTAATTAATTATTTAAAGATTTTATTTTAATCATGCTTTAGGTAGGTTTAGGCGATGTATTTTTGGTTTTTCATTTATGACAGAGAGAATAGTCTTGAAATCAAAGGTGTTCGTCAAATTCACATATAATTATATACAAATTTAAATTAAAAACATATGAAAGTAAAAAGTAAATGCTCTCAAAAAATGTCTTTCTCTTTATTTCTTTGTTTACTTTAGCCAAATTTCCACCTTGAAAAAAATTTCGAAAAATTTTCAAAGTAATTTTTCAATTTTAGTTGGCATACCAGCTTGGGCATCATATTCGCTCTTTGCTGGAATAACACTGGCGCTTGGCTGTGTTTTGGGCTTCTTTATTGTCTGTATAATTGATCGAGTTTTTCCTACTGCGGTACAACCTGACAAAAAAGTGAAAAAAGATTTTAAAGGAAAAGGTAGAAAGGTATTTGTTTTATATAGTCAGATATAATACTAATATACAAATATCATATGAAAGAAAAACACGTTTCTTGCTCTTGAAGTATTGTTAATTATGGCAGATTTGTGGATGACACTGATTTTTAATTGGGTAGTTATGCTTAAATTCCATCTCATTAAAAAGAAATGCGATTTTATTAATTACGGAATGCTGGTTTTTAATTTTCAATCAAATGAACATTTAATAAAATTTTCTTAATTTTTTTTTTTATAGGACGAGCAGAAGAAGAAAATTATCGATACGGAAAAGGAGGAACATTCGCAAGATGAAAAATCACAAGAAGGTTTTATTTTATTAGTATTTAAAATATGATATTCTATACAAACCTTTAGGAACTTGCGGCTTGCTAGTTACTTCTTTTTTCCTATATATTAGTAATGTTTCTTGGTTAACTTTGATTTAGCAAAAGTTGTCATTTATTGTCAGTTCAAATTAAATCAAATCATCATTTTTTTCTATTGAGGCATTTTGACCAGAAATATTTTTTTTAACTGGGTTATTTGCGGTGCTTTAGAGTTTTCTTTGAATATTTTTTGCTGATTAGAAAAAAAGAAGTAAAATATTGTAGTAAAATAATATTTAGTGTTAATAACAATTTAATAGTACATTTATCATACAGATGAATCGGCCGATGATGGAATGCGGCAACGAAAAGGAAGCGATAAAAGAAATTTACTAAAAACATCACCTAAAAATGAAGAAAAAAAGAAAAAATAAATTATCTAACAGGTCATCATTAGTTTGCATGGAATTTTTGGTTGGTGTATTTCATGGTTTATATTATTGGTATTTATTTTCTGAATCCAAATTTCTTATAAAAAATTTGTTTTTAAATAAATTTTTGTAAATTTGCTCTATATTTTCATTTAATAATTTTTTTTGCATTTAAAGAATTTCGTTTTCTTTTTTATAGATTTTTATTCGAATTGCGAATTTGCTTTTTTTTGCGAATATTTTTCGAAAATTTTTAAGTAATTGTAAGTTTTTAAGGAAGTATTTGCTCACTACTGACTTGGAACATGCTCTATGTCAAGAATAATTTGTTCTAATTTATGATATTATTTATTTTGCCACTTCAATTTTTTTTTATTCATACTGCCTATATTGTTTTTTTTTTTCATTGGACTTTAATTGAGCACATTAAAATTGTTTATTTATAGTTCTCGTCTTCAGAGAAGTCTTCTTATCTGTCTGTTATTGTTTGCTGCGGCTTTGACATAATTTCAATTTGTTTTATCAGATTTATTTTGAAGCAAGAAAATAAGGACATGTATGTTATTGTAATAAATAAAATTTTCTTATCATATCTCAATAAGTTATTTGATATTGTTGATTGCATAAAAAAGATTTACATCATTTCTAATTTTTATAAAGATATAGTAAGTAAATAAGGAAGAATTTTTGTCTGTAGCTCAGTTATATCTCATTTGATAAATTACGATACGACAAATGTTTTGCTAAAATGTATTCATCGATGGCATTGACGATTCGTCGATTCATTTATAAAAGGCGGGAATTCGTTTCTTCTCTAATAATAGGAAAAAAGGTGAAATCCGTATGATTGTTGAGGAGGCGCTCATAATTCTTAGATAATTTTCTTATCAAAGAGAGAATTTATGCTGGGATGATGGAAATCGAGTGTTAGCGATGAGTATAAATGGCAGTAAATTTTTGCTGAACTCTTTCTAAAATTGTTTAATAATTCGCTTCGATATTCCTTTTTTTGCTTCTTTTATCGATTTTACTGCGATGCGATTCTTGTCAAAATGGTTTTTTTCCTGGAGCAATCCTCATGGATATTTCGATCATTCAGATATTATAGGCTTTTTTTTTCACGTCAGAAATTTAATTTTTTCATTTACTTTAGCAAGTGTGTCGTTATTTTCTCCCTTCCTTTTATTTCATTTTTGGTTTGTGATTTTCTCGATTTTAAACGATAAATAATTTTTTAGTTAATTCTGTTTCATATTTTCGTTACATCTGAATTTGAAAATTTTTAAATTAGTCTTTAATTTTTAAATTAATTTTTATCATTTAAGTTATTTTTATCATTCTTATCATTTTTTTTATATTTATCATTTGATTTTTATCAGAAGATAGATGATATAGAATTTTGCGATATTGAAATTATTTTATTTTCGATTAGCTTAATTGATTTGTCGATTTCGATTAATTATTTTTTGATTTAATTCGATTTTTTTGGATAAATAGGAAAAAGAATCGCTATGACACCTTCACTCAAATGGATTCCACTCGAATCGAATCCCGATGTAATAAGCAATGTACGTTTATTTTAGTGGAATATACGAAGAATGTTTGATAGTGTTTATTTCACAATATTTTCTAGAATTAATGAGAAACTGAAATGAGCCGAAAATTTTATAATAAATTTCCTCAAATCTCCTTGTAGAAACGCATTTTTACCGCTCTTCATATGTATCACTCTTTAGCGAAAGGGTGTTCACACCAGTTGGAGATGTGTGTCTTTAGAAAAAAACGAAAACAACGTAAGGAAAAGTTAAGAAAGAAAGAATGTTTTCTTTTTTCATTTTTTATCACTTTATCACTTTTTTTAGCAATTTATATATATTTTTACAGTTAATGCTGAAATTTGGCGTGGAAAAAGATGTAATTTGTGTTGACGTCTATGGATTCGATAAAGAACTCTTAGATATGCTACCAAAGCCGTGTTACGCACTGATACTTTGCTTTCCTGAATGCCAAAAGGTAAATCTAAAGTTCTTTATTTTTTTGAAAAGAAATTTCCAATAAAATTATTGTTCTAAATATGCTGATTCTAATTTTTGATACTTTTTTGATATATCAAAATTTTTAATCTTCATATAAATAATATGGAATTTTTTAGTATTATTTGCAAAGAAACAACGAATCGCATTTTTCTTGTTCTTTTCGTTCTCGATATTTTCTCTTTTTTTCAAATGTTAAAGGTCAAAGAAATGATGGCTGCAGTTTACGACGATCATGTCAAATCTAATGGAAGCATACCGGAAAATGTTTTCTTCATGAAGCAAAAAATATCGAATGCGTGTGGAACATTCGCTCTTATACATGCGCTTGCGAATAATAAAAATAAAATTGATTTGGGTAATGATTCTTGAAATATCTTTTAAAATGTCCAATGAAAATTTTATGTTTTACCTATGTAAGTGAATTTTGCGAATTTATTTGTTTATTTTTATTTGTGATAATTAGTGTTCTTTTTTTCTTATTATTTGGTTTCTTGATACTGCGTGCGAAATCAATTATAAGCGTTTTTTTTTGAACTTTTTGAAAATATTTAAAATCTTCATTTCAAGACGAAAAGCGTAAAACAGTAGTGGGCACTCTTATTTATATTTGGTGTTAACAGTTTTTGGTAGTGAATGCCAAATTTTTGGTAATTTTTGAGGTCGTAAAAATAAGAAGCAAAAATTATTTTTTTTTATTTATTTTGTTGGAAATTGTATTATAATGGAGTTCAAACTGATTTAATAATATATAATTTAATTATATATATTTAATTATAATATATAATTTACAACTATAATATATAATTTACAATTTATTTTATATATATTTAATTATAATATATAATTTACAACTTACCAAATATATGTTGCTGAAAATATTGCGATAAGATTTAATGATCTTCATTTTCGATAAGGTTCTTTTGCAACAATAAGTATTACCAATAACTAACATGATTTTTGTATTCATTTTCAAGATTGGGATATTTTGTTAAATTGCACCAAACATTAAGAATATCTTGATTGGGGGAGCAAGGGGGAGAGAATGTTCTGTTTTCAATGTCAACGTTAATGTTAAATTTATTATTGATGAGTTAAATAATACAGTTTTTATCCACCGCCACTATAATGTATATCATTATGTTCACTTTTCCAATTGTATAAGCAGTTCGCGCTTTTCAGTATGTTTCATTCAAAGAAAAAATACGGTTTTAGGAAATGGACCGTTCAAAAAGTGGTTAGAAAAAGCTGATAGACTTGAAGCCGACTTAAGATCGGATTCACTTCAGGAAAACGCGGAATTAGCTGAAGCACACGAAGTTTGTGCTGTATCGGGTGAGACGAACTCAGAAGTTGAGGAAGTTGAGCATCATTTCATTTCATATGTTAACTGCGATGGAATTCTTTATGAAATGGGTTGGTTACAGTTATAATTATGCTTATAGTAGTCGATCATTAGTTACGTTTCATAGTTTTAACGGAAGTTTTCTTCAGTGATTAAATCATTTTTCTCAATACATCGCCTAGGAAACTTTGTTGCATCAGTTACCAGGTAACTAGAATAATGCTGTAATTAGGGAGTATTAATTTTAGTTTTTTTGAATTTTTTTGAATTTAAATTTTTTTATTTTTCCCTTGCGCCTATTTTTACGCTCATTTAGTCTTGTCTCAAAAAAACCATGGTTACGGTATATTTCTGAGCAGTAAAAAAAGTTAATTTTTATAAATTCTAGAAATGATTAACCAGTACGACATTTGTTAACAATTTTAAATTTGCTAGATGTTGCTATTGTTGCATATAATCGGTAAAAAAAGTGTTGGAGATGCCATCTTAGTTTTCTCTTTTCCTCAAGAATTTTTGAAAATTTTTTGTATTTTTTCAAAATTTTTTAATCTCGCAGCTGTATTCATTGCAAGATATATTCGTAAGAAAACACCAAGTCTTCATGTCTCGAATCTTTCCTTCTACTATATTTTAAAATTTTCCTTTCATTTTCCTTCGTACGAAAAACATTAAATGAGTCCAGTTTAGGCCCTTTGTGATAAATGCATCGTCTTTGGAATAGTTTTTCCCAATCGTTGTAAATCCTTTATTATTTAAGCAGAAGAATTATTTTAGATTCGAGCAGAGATTTTCCTCGAGCATGTGGACCAACCAATGAGGAGAATTTCTTGCAAGATGCTGGTAAAGTCTGCAAGGAGCTTATGTTAATGATGGACAGTATTTCGTTCAGTGCGCTTGCAATCGTTCGGAAATGTTGAAAATAATCGCTAATATATATTTCTTTCCAAGTCTTTGTATTCATTCCTGTGCTTTAAATTCACTATTTTGCCTACTTGATTTCTAGGCTGATTATCTCTGTTAAGTCATTTCGTTCTGTGCTGTTGTTATTATTTATTGCGCATATGCTTTAATTTGATTTTTTTGTCTTGTGGTAATTTATGGTTTCAGTACTAAAAAGCTTACTTCACTCCATGTTTACTTTTTTGAACGCCGCAACGTTCTTTTATTAAGATAAATGGTTCCCTAGGAATGTTGGGAAAAATAGTATTATTAATTATTAATTGCTAATTATAATCAAAACTCAACTTCGACGATGATTCTAATTTATCAGATAATAGAAATATATATTGAATATTTAGATGAAGATTAATAGTTAATCGGGATGATAATTAGTGAGATTTTTAAAATAATGGATTTTTATAAATATAAATGGATTAGAGAGAGAGATTATTTGGTAGTAAAAATGAGGAACAGGAAATTGTTGAGTAACGATCGTCTGTTCCATACAGTGCGCCGATGGTGAGGTTCTATCCGCAGCAGGAGTCCAGAAGTCCGAAGTCCAGGTGGTACTGGCTGCCCACCCGTATTTGTCTAACTCGACAAGTTAGCGAACTGAACCAGAAATTGTGAGCAAAAAACAATGGATCGTTGCGTTGTTGCTCTTACTACAAGTGCGCCGACGTTCAAGTTCCATTCACGACAGAAGGAACTGTACAGCGAAAACCTTAGCGACCCGCTTTCGTCACTAAGTGACTTCTTGGTGAAATTTATTTCTGCGGTCCAAACCAGCGAAGCGAAAAATCTAATCAGAAATCGTGAGTGCTCTTAAGAAACAAAAATAGTAAAAATTAAAAGTAGACGTAATTAAATTTAAACAAAATATTGGTGGACAAGTAATACAAAAATTTTAAAATGATCGATGTTCACGATTGAATTAGAAGAATTCGCTAAAGTACATCGTTATATTTAGTAATTACAAATGATAGTTTTCGAAAATATTTTTCTCCCGAAAGAAAAGAAAATCTCAACGAGTAATTAACAATGGATAACAGGAAAATTTTATCAATAATTTTGAAGATCGGCAAACAATTTCTTTCGGAAATTTGAAATTTATTAATGCTCTGTTAAAATGGAATATGTATTAAAGAATTTATATAATCCAGTTTCTAACTCATTTCTTTTTTTTTCACATTGGAATTAGTCGGAAAGAGAGCGAACATCGATTTGAACTTCTTCTGGTACTCTCAGTCTAATCACCTTTATAGGAGATTTTAAGTGCTCTGAAAAAGTGCCTTTGAAAAAAGCCTTTCAGGTGACTTTAAAAGATCAATGGAGAAAGAAAATAATCGCTTACTAAGGCTAATCGAAGATTTCGAATTGTTCATTTTTCGCATCACTTGATTTTTACGATTTTTGTTATTTTAATAAAAAATAATAAATATTGTGCGAATAATAACTATTAACAGTTAATGAAATGATTCCATGTTTGGGGCGATAATAATCGCATCCGAGAAATAAACGCCATTAGTCATAAAAAATTCAATAAAAGTCTAATGAAAATTAATAGAAACAAATCAAATCCAGAAATAGCAATGAATTTTAATCGCATTTCAAAAGTGATGAAAATTTTTGCGCTTCAAATTTCTTTTATGGCATTTGTTATAAAAGTTTTTTTGTTTCTCAAAATTGCATAAAAAATTTTTATTTAATTAATTTCGAAAACGTTAAATATTAATTTTAATTTTTCATTAAAAAACACTTTTAATAGATAAAAGAAATTTGACTCTGCGGCGGATTTTAGAATGGTTCAGTGGGTTATTACCCTCATTTCTAAGCGCCAATGTTAGAGTTCAGCTTCCCGCAAAACTATCTTTCAAAAATCTGTTAACGTTGGCGATTTACCTATATTTCCAACCATATGAAATTTTTCCGTGGTAAAATTTCCGTTCAAACAAATTCGAACAGGAAATGTTGAACCGAAAAAGAGGAAATTATTCTGGAGTTCTACATGCTAACATAGCACTAGCGATCGATCGGTTAAATTTCAAAATATCGACGACGAAATAATCGTATTATGTTGTTATGTTTAACAAGTAAAACGGCATTCCATTGCTGAAAACAAGGTCACACGATATGGAAGGAAATATATAATAAGGAAACTGAATACATACATCGACTGACGAAATTTTTTCAGTGTATTGTATTTACTTGTAAATCCATAAGCAATGCGTCTAAAGGATTCCCTAATAAACATGCTTGGCGAATTTGTTGGACTCAATAAGACTCCCGACTTCAAATTGCGCCAGCAATCGACACAATTTATTGCAGAAGCTGTGGCTGTCGAATCTCGGCAATTTCTGTTCATGTTTGATCCATCAGCAGTTGGTTTTTTTTCACCATAAACTCATCCTAAATTCTTAATTAAATAATATATCCCAGTAATGTGACTCATAACCTTTTATTTCCACCTAAATTTTTTCTTATTAATAAATTACAATATGAAATATTGTTTTCAACTGAAAGCCATACGTTTTAGTTATTCTTTCATACCGGTATAGCTTCAATAACTTCTACAATATGGTATTTGTCATTTTTGATTACTATTTAAGTACCACTCAAATCTGAGATATGCTGAGATTTGATTTTAGGAATAAATATTGTTTGCGTAGTTTTATGCGTCCGACTCATCTAACACTTCGTCTTCTTACGCTTGTTTTTTATTATGTAAATGGCTAAATCTCTTTTCTGTTTTAGTAATGTACGATTTATTTCGTAAAGCAACGTCGTTTTTGTAGCGTTTCAAATCTTTCTAAGGCCGTGAAGATAGTCTCAAAATATTTCCTTGAAATTTTAATTGCTGAGAGCTTTGGTCATCAATCTTTTCGAAAGTACACCTAATGATCTAAAAGAGTTGAAATGCACAACGATGCAAAAATAGACTAAATTTAATCAAAAAACCTAAAGATTTGTTTGGCCAAGGAGCAATTAGTACAATCGGCAGCAAATTTTTCGTAATTATTCTCAAAAATTTAGAAAACCGTCGGCTCTCGCAATCGAGCATATTCAACAAATAGTGTAGGCGAATCGAGCGGATCGGTTTGTATGGATCCATCGTCTAGAAGGCTTTCCGAACCTAGTGCACATTCGATTATCTTTGGATTCCTCAAGCACAAATCTACAAAATCAAATAGTGAGAATGAGTTTCTCTTTTGATAATTGACGAGCAATAAAAGAAATGAGAAAGACTGAAGAAAATAAAAGTGGATTAAAGGCTTATAACATTTCTGTGCCATTCTGTGCTATTTTTTGCATTCCGCGAGGCCTGGGAATCTTTTAGGAATCTTCATGGAATTTTTTCATTAAATAATGTTTTTTATGTTTAAGATAGCTGTACAAGGGAAAAATAATTTTATTCGAAAAATATTCGCGATTTCTATTTGTAATATTCGCTATCGATACTGTAGTTACAATAGGCCAAACCAATACAAAAAGTCTGCTTATATAGTTTTTCGACACTTTCGCGACAGTCACCGCTAATTCCTACGTAACTGCGGTTTGTTTCCTATAATTGAAGGAAATGATAGATTTCATTCACAGATTAGTGAAAATGAAATTGCAACTTTCGCACACCCAGATTCACGAACCCCTTTCTCCATGCCCTCCCCCCCGCCTCGGGTTTAAGAATCTCTGCTTTCATATTATCATATTATGATATATATCGCATCTTTTTCGTGTTCCAACTTTTTGCATGAAATCCAGAAAAAAGCCGCTTTTCATTTGCTTTCATTTATCTGAATTTTTATTTTTTACCGGCTAAAATTCTTTAAATATTTCAACAATTTTTATTAAGATGATGAAAATCGAAATCAGCACCCAGTTGTATCTGACGTGGAGAGTGAAATCAATAGCATTCTTCGATGGAGATGTCGCCAATATGCTGGTCGCCGCGGCTCACAAACTTTTTGTGGCTCAATTGCAGTCTATTCGAATAATTTTGGAGCAATTAATACTCGACTATAGTTATCAAAAAATAAACATAGATAGGAACTGAAGTTGAAAAAAAAATCGTGCAAATTAAATAAATATTCTAATCGCATGTTCATAGTTTTTTCTTACAGCCTTTACTCGAAAATATTACTCGTATGTGATTCTAAAAATTTCCGAAACACGATTTTTTTAGAAAAAACTATTGGTTTATTAAATATTCGATAGATAACAGTTATCTTATCAATCAAGGCGTTCCTGGTATTTTGATAACAATTTTGTATTACATCGTTTGCCATTCACTTAGTTCTCTGGTGGTTAATCAGTTAATTTTTTTCAAAAGAGCTCTCATCATTTGTGATGGGGCTCACTCTGCTGACTAGGCTAGCAGATTTTGCCAGCGGAATCACTGTTTGATAGTGAATTGATAGTGCAGATGTAGAGTGAGTCGCCAGAACCATCCGAGTGGTGTTACTGTATTCATTGTTATCTCTATTCATTATTGTATATGCTCAGTTGTACTATATAAAATCGTTCACACTCCATATACGCACGTAATGATCTCAAAATATGTGAATTTACAGCACATCATCGTATGAACAGCGAAGCGTTGTTCCATTTGTTCAAAAAAATTTATTCTTTCACGGTTCTCGTTTAACGTTCACCACTGTGTTTTCCTGCCCACTTTCTTTTTCTGTAAATCCTTGTATTATTTTCAAATGTAAGTAGAAAACTGAGAAATATTTCCTGAAAAGCAGAAAAAAAACGATGCTTATCGTTGAACAATGAACAACCATTCACTAATATTCATTCGCAAAATCTATTAAATTCTTCTCGTTTCACCTTTCGCAAATTTACCGAATGAATAGGAAAGCACGCTTCGCTTAGGAATATGTAAAATCCGACATATTTGAGGAACGTCTGAACAAAATTTTGAAGTCTGATTGAAGCCAGAAACTTATTGTTTCTCAAGTGTAGTATGAAAAAGCTAAATCAAAAATGGTCAGTCGTATTTGAAGTTCGCTAATGAAGCCATAGTCGAAAAGCATATACCACTCTTGGTTCCGATAATCCTGCTGAGCAGTAAGATTCTTTCACCAGTGGTTCAACGGGGGATAGATAAACATCCCCAAACCGTGATCCAGCATGTTTTACAAGCTTATCAACCTCAAAAAGCAAAAAAATAAACCCGACCGCAATGTTGTCCTAGCCGAAGCAATAACTTAGACTAAGAAAAACTTAGACTATCTATTATGCAAAAAAAAAAATGAAAAATTATTGAAAAACTTAGTATTATTAGAAATTTACAACAGAACTATTGCAGTTTGACGAATCCGTAAAGATAAATTTTGAGCTTACCTTGGTTTTGGCTTGTCTCATAGAAGACAGCATATTTCCAAATGCTTTGTATAAAATCTCAAATAAAGTGGCCAAAAAATTTTTAGGTAAATTTATAAATTTTATTTATCGTTACAATATTATATATAATTTACACTATATATTATTTCAAACAAATATTTAATAATGTGAACAATATTATTACACACTCGATGGCAACTGAAAAAACGACAAAACTCGAAATAAACGAAATCCCGATTTTTTCCAAGAAAAATTCGATATTTTTCTTTCCTCAGTTGCCATTCAGTAACACAGTAAAGTTTCTGCGATTCTCAAGACCTCAATTTGAAATTACTCCTTCATTCAACATGTTCAAATTCATTTTTGGCAAACACCGATCATTACCAGCATGAACAGTTGATCTACTTATTACAATATTTTCATCTCGAACGAATCAATACTTCCAAGCCTTACTGAGAAATTCAGCAGACTGATAAATTACTGTAAAAATTGAACAGAGCAAAAACAATTCCATTCTAATAAAATAATAAATTATAAATAATAATAATTATAATAAAAAAATTATGAAAAACAGTATAAAAATATAAAGAACTTAATAAAAAAAAAATTTATGTACAACAAATTTATGTACAACAAAAACCTCCGAAAGCTAGTCCTCCTTCATGCTAATAGGAAATGAGCTAGTTGGATGTCGGAAGCAACTGCGCGAAAAAGCTGCCAAAGCATTAATCAAGAGATTTTGGCTATCGGAAGCTTCAAAGAAACACAACGACAGATAGAGAAAGAAATCGCTATTGGAGCCACATGACCTTCGCAAATGAAGACGGCTGATATTTAAGCGATAATAGAAAGCCATTGCGCTTCCATAAGATAAGTAACTCTGGAAGCTGACAGTGAAATGATATGGGGTAGTAAAGGTGTGCCTATCAAGACTATTAAGGATTGCACCATAAGATGGAATTCTTCAAGGCCACACTTAAAACTCAAACTTCAAAGCCAACGACGCACTATCTGTTGTCCTGGATACAACTGAATCGCTCGTCAAACCACATGTTTGTAACTCCAAACAGAAACAATTTTTCATCCAGAAATATCGAGGAATCAGCTTAATAGACGTTTATTTTTACTTTTATTTATTAATTTAAATTTTTTACTTTTTTTACTTCCGTTTTTACTCTTACTTCCGAATTTTTACTTCCCTTTTACCATAAGTCTACTGAGTAATTAAGCTAGATTCAGATCGGAGAGCTGACAAGATATTCACGTCAAGGGTATTGAAACATCGCTTCAAAAATGTTTGCAACGCCCACCGTTACGTCTTTCATCGACTTTACGGCTGCCTCCGATTCAACAGATAGAACGACGTTTTGGAGGACGATGGCAGGTAACGGTAACCATCCAAGATTTACAAAGGCATTTCACCAGCATACATCGACATAGATCTGTATCTACGCATATAAATAAAAACTGGTATCCATAAACGGTGCTTCCTTCTCCCTTCAATATTCAACTATATCATAGATTGGATAATGGATTCACATCGGCATTCAAGAGGTTTATTCAGTCCAGAGTATAGGACCACATACGCTTTGAATGCACTCATGATATAGTCCTTTTTGCTGGCAATTATGAAGAAAATGCTAAACAATGTATAACAACCACAGCGAAAGTCGGATGAACAATATAAATAAAATGAAAATCTTTTTTCTCTGGCTTGTCGCATTAGACAAAAATGTCAACATCATTTCAGCAACAACTCACCGAACCATTCTATTCTCCTTTATTTTTTTCCATTATGCCACGCTCCCGCTGAATAAAGATGGAGTATATGGGAATTTGAACCAAGCCGATTATTTTGCTAACCGATGTATTACGTGTGCTTTTTAAAAAAAATATTGTATATACATATATATATATAAACTTTATTTTCTCATCATCTCGTCAATAAAATTCTTGGCCTTCTTCACTTTGCCGAAGAGCATGAATTTGTTAATATATGCTTTCGGCATCTAATCATGTGGAATTCAAGATTGCTTATATCTTAAGTTGTCGTCAAAAGAGTTCCCAGATAGTCACAGCGCTAAAACTCGTGACTTTTCTGGATCAGATTATAATTTGAACCAAGATCGGGATAAAACTACTCTCACAATGTCTCTCACGATCTCTTAGCTATCTCAAAGTAAAACATTCGTGGAGCTTTTCAAATGAAATTATTAAAAATTAAAGTACCTAAATGATGAAAATATCAGCGACTACGATTTAAAGGCATTTCCGAAAATCTGCCCCTTCCCCACTAGGATTAGCTAGCACTAAATACGCTAGTTGGGTACCAGAAACAACTGTTCGACTATTCGAAAAGACTATCACAAATGTGAAGAACAAATTTCCACAGTGTTTCAGACCCACATTTAAAAATTCTGAATAAATAATTAAAATATCAAATCTTGAAATAGCTCCACCTTAGCTTTAAACAATCTGAGTTTGACAAGAAATAAAAAATGAAAAGGCAGGATCCAAATATTGCAGGAAAAAACTGAAGTTTACTTTCTGAAAAGTATTAGTATTTAGCAAAACTCCAAAATCAAACTCTGAATTGAAAGCAAAACGCGAATCAAGATTAGAAATTCAAGTTTAAAAGAAACACTTTTCATTTCTACTTTTCCTTCTTAACCAATGCAACAACAAAAAGCGTTCTAAAGCTTCAGGATGCCTACAGTGATATTATCTTGACACGTAATTTGATTTCGCAACGAAAGAGTCTGATCAAAACCCAATTAATCACAATTACTCATGCTTAAAAGTTTCGGAACAACAGATTCTACATCAAATGATATATTAAGAATGGTACGAGAAGAACATAGACGTACAGTTTCCTTCCACACATCTGGTATTTGTTCAACACCAAACCGAGCGCCTTTAAATAAAGATACGTTCAGAATTTTAAAAATTATGAATTTTTAAAACAATAATGAAAAAAATGCTTGACTTAATCTTTATATAATCTCATATATATTTGCAGTGCAATAAAAAATTATCTAAAAAATCAAAAATACGATCCATATTCATGGAAGCTAAAAAGTTACCAAGCATAGCTCCAACTATGGCTCCATTTGTATCTGTATCACCACCGCGAGATATTGCATTAACCAGACCACTCGAAAAAGATGATGCATGCAATAGTTCGTAAAAAGCACTCTAAGGATTCAGCTTCGGGATGTTTACTTTGACACAATGGAAACTTTAATTTAAGTAATGAAATTCAAAGAACATTACCTGGAATGCCACACCAAAATAACCCATCGCTTTAGTATCCCCATCAATAAAATCATTGCCTAATTTTACAGGAATTGGTCGATGTTTTGCGTTTTCCAGAATATCTTGAACTATCTCTGTTTCGCTTACATTCACTGCATCGTTATAGGCATCCTAAAAATCTCATTATCATTGTCAAAATTTAAATAACTTTGAATCAATAATTTAGTAAACTATAGATAATTAATATGCATATTTATCCTCTATCTTTAACAGCAATATTCCTCTGAAATACTATTTATATCCTCTCTTCCGAAATGCTATCAATATTTTATTAACAACTAAGCTTAGCATGAATTAACGTGAATTTTATCCATAAAGTTGAGCGATATTTAAACGTAATGGCATATTAAATTTATTTAGAATAACACATACTAGATAGTCAAGTAGATGACACGGTCTAAAGGAATATCTGCTGAGTATATCGCTTAGACCCTCCCAAGACCAGAAATTCTCCAAAAAATAGAAAATAGTAGGGCCAAAATCCTATGAAATTGCTCCAATCAGATCACTTAAACAAATACGGACCAACTAACCAGATAGTATTTAGGAGCCAAAAATCTGCATGGGTGATTGATACCAAGGTAATGCTAAGTGACAGGAATATTAGGGAGAAGAAATATAAGAAACCAGAGAAATGCCAAGAAATGAAAAAAAAACTGGAGAAAACGTTGGAACGACAGAAATAGTCCTATTGGTAATAGTAGGGACTGTGTGCTTAAAAGTTAATGCTGTGAAATACTCTGGGGAAAATTTTTTTTCACTTTATTATTTTTATTTTAGTCACAAAATCATTATAGTCGTATACCATAATTGCATATGATAGTAAAAGCAGCATTTGTTTTATGAAAAAGAAACCGAAAAAAATGTAGAAAATGAATGTAATATTAGAATTAATAAGGGCTAAGGAACAAGGGAAAATGGCTTCAACAAATTTCAGCAGCAACATGAGAGGTCTCTATCCAAAAAAGTCAATAGTCAAGAATAGCCTAGATACTCCTCAAGCTCCAAGGCATATGGTAGAAGAACCAAGGATGATGATGACCCATGCCAACCACAGGAAGAAAGATTTTTTAAATATACCAACAACATTTATTTAATGCAAGAATTGAAAAAATTCACTGAAGAGCTGCCTTGATTCGTCATGCATCGAATAGCAGTAACATAAGCATTTGTAGCATCAATACAGATAGGATCGCAATGAGTAAGCAAACAATCTTTCTCAACCAGAATCTTGGTTCTTTAATATATAACTTCATCAATAAACAATATTGAACAATATTTATTGAATTTCAATAAAGTTAAAAATTTGATTATTAAAAATTGTTTGGCTTTAACCAAATTTTAATTTAAATCTTATAGAATTAGTTGAACAAAAAAAAGAGCGGCCTAGGACAATCTAAATACATTTCATATTTTTCAGATGACAATCATATAAAAACGTTTTGAAATTTACATTTAAGTTATGGCTCAACAACTATTGCAAAAAAAGAAACGACAGAATTTTTAACTGAAAAAAAAGTAAAAGGTAAACTCTTTGGAAACTAACTAACTAACCCCCTCAAAAGCAAAAAACCGATATTTAAATATTTCCTATTTTTTCCAAAAATATATCAAAACTAAATTTTTCTGCCCTTAGATTTTTTAACTATTTTGATTCCAAAAACTACTTTTTTTTCTCAGCATTAAATTCAGACCATTACATAACATTATCAACTAACCATATGATCACCATAAACAGGAATATCCTTTCTTCTTCTAATAGCTCTCATCTTTATTAGTTAGGTTAAGACAACGGTAAGGGTAAAGACTTTCCAAGCCAATCGGCTCAATGCATCGACAATAATAGAAATCATTCCTTTTTTCATCGTCTAAATCCATATATTGCTGATCTACTTATACCTTTTCTAAAAGTATCAATCGAGGTCTTAACTGGCCCACCTCGTTTTTGACGCCACCCATTATATTTTTAGCTTTTAGCGAGTAAAGAAATATGTGTCAATTCTTGTGGTGAAGAATATGTTCAACCAGCGAAGGTCTGGTATTTTTAACGGGAATATTATAAAAAAAAAAATAAAATCAGAATATAAATTACCTCTGGAGAGACTGATTTGCACAAGCAACTGCAAGAGGCGATATACGCATAAGACAACCATTACTTCTGCTAGTAGAATTCTTTTCTTTAACGTTTCTCATAACTCTGTTATAAACTTCCACTTTTTCTTTATAAGTAAGCCTTTCCCTCCAATCGGTCGACAAACGTTCATCTGAAGTGAAAAAAATGGTTGTACCAAAGTAAAATCCTTAACGAACTAGAAGATGTAGATTTTCACTTTCAAGAAAAAAAAAGAAGTGTTGAACTGAAAAACAGATAAGGTTAAAATCTCGAAATCTCAATAATTATAATTAGCGAATTGAGAAAATTCAATTATTCACAATAAAACAAATAACTATTCTGCACAACATGTTGTGATTTGTTCCGGGATAACTAACGATGAAATATTTTTTTAATATACCTATTTGAAGAGCGTTACGAACAGTAACACCAATATCAGGTGGAGAAGATTCATTCCACCTTACATAGGAACAAGCGATATCAACTATATCAAATTTTCCCAGATGGCAAATACTCGATGCCAAAGAAAACGCCATTTCAGAGTCGTCTGTCACCTGGAAATACAAAACATAAGATCAGATATATGCCAAAATAATCAACGAAATTTAAACTATCCATAATTTAAACACGCTATTTCCAGTCATATAATCATATAAATAACCTTTTCTATCCACTATCCACTATCGCAGATGAAATTTGTAAGACTAATAATTACATAAAATTGCATCAAACCAAAAATAATACCTGTCCAGCAACCATATGAAATGGTCCGCCACCAAGGATCGGTAACAACTGCATATTATTGAGATCGTCCTTAATCATTTTTTGCACCACAGGAGCAGTCATAAATTCATATCTACATCCTAATGCATCACCAATCAGCTGACCGTACAAACAACCAACTGCTTTACAAAAATTCATCTGCAATATATAGACAGCTTAGCTGATCCTTATTTTTTTTGTTGAATATATTACGTACTAACTGAATAAAAAAAAGTAATAAAAAGTAATAAAGTAATGAAGTAAAAGTAATAAAAAAGTAACAGAAATCAGTAATAAAAGTTCATTAACCGCCTCATAACAATCTTAAACTTGGGAAAACAAATAACTTTAAGCTAATGTTAAGAAAGCCCGGTGGTACATGCGATAAGTGTACAATCGGCGTAAAGCGATACCAGAGTTGATAAATAAAATGTGTTCACAAGCCATCAAGGGAGCTCTCTGCACGCGCGATGAGGTATTAGCCGTATCACCGTGGAACGATAAAACGCTTATGGACGTTGCAAGTCAAGCGATCACTGTCCACGCCCTTTCTAAACATCGTGTGGATATCGCCAGCTTGTCGGAGGTTCGTCTCCTCACTTAGGATCTCGAATAATTATTAATCCTGGTTCGGAGCAAAGATAATGGCTATATCACTGTGATGTTTCGAATAACTCGGGATGAAATGGCGTAGCGACTGTCATATCTAGCAAAACCCATTTCCGCTTTGATTGAGTGGAAATCGGTAAGACCGTATGGTCTATGCCCGTTTTAAGAGTAAGTTTTGCAATATCTCGGTCATCAGTATCAATGCTCCAACTTTATGAGCAGATGACCGATAAGGATAAGTTCTATGCGGAACTTCAACTGTTAACAACATCCCTACTGAAAGGTGACATAATCATACTCGGGGGAGACTAGAATGCGCGTGTAGGTCATGATGGCGTTTTGATGAACTCGGTGATTGGGAATATGGCATCTGGGCCCAATGCGCCAATAGAGAACGCCTTCTTCGCTTTGCTAAAGAGTGTGAACTCTTTATTACTAATACATGCTTCCGGCATCGGAGGAAATACCTAGTCACATTATCCGTAATCGCCGTTATCCATAAGCTTAAGGAAAATAAGACTCCAGGAGATGGTCTTCGAGCCGAACTCTTCAAATGTTGCCCACCATCATTCACAACTCATCTTCAACAAATGTACTCTCTAGTATGGAAAAAAGAAATATTATTACCAAATATTATCAGATGATTGGAGCAAAGCAATTCTGCTCCCAATTCTCAAGAAAGGTGATAGGACATACTGCGCCAATTATCGAGGAATCAACCTAGACGTTTCAGCGAAAATTTTTACTTCCCTGTTACTAAACAGACTTATAGAAATACGGAACAGCAGGATGCGCCCTATCAAGCTGGATTCAGACCGAGACGCGATTGTGCTGACCAGATATTCACGTTAAGAAAGATGTTGGAATATCGCTTCAGATATTTGCAACCCACTATCACGTTTCATCGACTTTGGCGCTGCCTTTGATTTAATTGATAGAGATTAGAGAGGCGCTTTAGAGGGTGATGGAACGCGACGATGTTCTAGGAAAGATCATTCGACCCATAAATGCATTTTATGAGTGTTAGGCGGGTTTATGTATAGGGACAGACAAACTCCATCGAAATAAGAACTGGTGTCCGTCAATGTCCTTTATGTCCTTTCAATATTCAAGTATGCGATAGACTGGATAATGGACCTTTTTGGCACTCAAGAGGTGTCCAAATCAGACTATCGTATCACAGATCTTGAATACGATGACGATGTTTTTTTGCTGACAGTTATGACAAAATAATGCTAAATAAAGTGTCAGCAACTGCAGCGAGAATCGGACTCTGGGTTAATGTAAATAAAACGAAAGACTTTTCGTCTTATATGCAAAAAGCTGATAAAACGCTTCTTTTTATAAATTCATTGCACCGGTTGAGAAATTGCCTGATTTTAAATACCTTGGGTTCACTCTAACACCCAATGGCCAGGTAAAAAATGATATTACAACCACGGCAGCTAAAAATGGGTTCTTCCGGTTGATAGAGCCGTCATAAATCACCATAAAAACGAAAACCCGCATTTATATAACCATGATTCGTATCCAGCAATATATGGACTTAGACGACGGAAAAAGGAATGGCTTCCATTACTGTCGACGATGGCATCAGACCGCGCCGCTTGGAAGCGTATTACCCTTTTAGCCGTTGGAGCGAGCCTGACCAGCAGTGGTGAGAGCTGTTAGAAGAAATGTTAAAAAAAACTGTACTAGTGATAGCGAACTGAAAATGTGTTTATGCTAAATAAAATTGTGAAAAATTCTTCTCACTGTTAAAACAGATAATCGCGATGTAAGAACCACATCAGTAGGCAATTAATTCCAATAATTAATAAGATAAATGAAGAAATCATCGGTGAAACATTCAAATAAAATTTTTCCACCGAAATTTATCGCCAACGTCCATTATCCAATAAGACGAATTAAATTCTCGACATTCCCTCTCTATTCCCAACCTTATTTTCAAAAGTAATCGTTAGGAAGCTACCGCAATGAATCTCCGCAATTCATCCTCCCCTCTCCCCACAAAGACTTTGCAACAATTGTAGAAAAAATTTAAAAATTTTGGAAAAATTCGTCTTAGGACAATTTTTTCAGCTTTTTCAATTTAATAGCTAAAAATTATTAGGTAATTTTATGCAATAGCGGAATGCAGTTCAGATTATCAGATTCTTTCCCACCGGGAATAGGCCTCCAGAAACCTGCATGGTGCTGGCGAGTCGCCTGTGTCTTTATCGCCAAATGGCTCTTTGGCAAAATTTAGATCCAATCGCGCCAGTTTCTCGTTCGACAGACTTCAGCAGGCGTGAAGACAAGCTTTTTTTCAAAATTGCTTCACATAAATTCTTCAAATTAATCATTCTAAAAGGTTAAAAAGGCAATTAAAATCGTTTCTCGTATACGCAGCACATAAAAATAAGAAATATATTCACCTGGTTGTAACAACTGAATAAAATTCTATAAAAAAAAATAATTGGCCAAAATGGGCCAATTTTAATGCGGTGCAATCTCATCAAAAATTATTGCTAAGAAAAGGGATTCACTAATTCAGCGATTTTCGTCGAATTAGTTTTAAACTTCTCTGGGAATCACCTTTATTATTACTCCTATTGTTATCAGAACAATCACAAAGAATGCTTCGCTGGATTTTAATCCTCCTTTATCTAAGCATCTCAAAAGGTTAGCCGTTGAAAAATTGGCCTTTTTTTCTTTATTCCATCATAGAGCTTGAATAAAATAAAAATATAGACTAATAGAATCAGTTGTGATATGTTATTTCGACTAAGTTCGAAACATTATGGGATTTTAATAAAGGTAAATCCGCATGGTCCTCGTAATTCACCTGTTATCACTTGAATCTCGTGAATAGTGCTCGTAATTCACCCTCGACCACCTGCATTCCTTGGTGAAATTGCCTCAGTATAGTCGTCAGATGAAGCCAGTCAAACGAGGGAAAGAAAGAAACTAACTACTAAAAGAAGTTACAGGCTAAAATAATTTTATACTTTGTATCTTAAAAATCAAAATATTTCAGTCCAAATTAACATAACAATTTCATTACGGTAATAATCAAAGAATTTTTTCTTATCATTTTCAGTAGAAATAAATTTAACGGACGACGAAACGACTTTGAAGAATTTTACGTATTTTATCCATGTTGATTACGATTTCTTCCAAATTAACGATTTTGATAACGATAAAATTCATTTTAAAAAGAAAAATGATAATTATCTATTTTAATTTCACCATGTTTCGACTTATTGTCGTTTATTTCTACGTCTTATATCTGCCTGTGAATTCTTAGAAAAATAAAATTCATTTTTTAAATTGGCTTAGCCGATCCCTAAATGAGATTCACTTGCGCGCAAACGTGGTTCACTGGGATTTGATCATGAATGAGAGTCTCACCAAGGCGCGTAATGTTGAACCTCAGTCACAACTCTATGCAACTCTACCATCGTCACTCCTAACATACTCTAATGGTTACAGTTTTATTCAACTAATTATTCGACTTTTTTTTCGCAAATTATTTTTGGCTGCCAGATTGATATTATGTCATTTTTAATTCAAAGAATCGCTTTTTATTATCATTTAAACAATATTAATGAATAAATGTCACAATGATTAAATCACAATAAATCTTATACAAAGCAAATATAAGGTATATTAAATGGAAATCTACGCGTAAAAGGGCACGTAAGGTTATAGAATGTCCTTTGAAACTATGAAATTTTCATACCTTACTCGGTGTTTGCAAATTAATCACCGTCTTATTTAACTGAAGGGATTGAAAAGTAAGGTTCCATTACAGGCTTCATACGCCTATGTATACACATAGCCTGTACTCACTACCAAATTAATTAAAGAACTGAATGAAATGGAAGTACCAATAATAATATTCGATAAAGAATTTCGTCATATGCAATGTTACATTTCTGTTGAAAATATTAAGCGTTTTAGTCAATCGATCAATTTTAAAATTTAATAGGGCTTCATTTTAAATAATTTTTACTATATAAGCCTTCATTCAATGAAGAAATTTCGTACTTTATTATTTTAAGATTGAAAAAAGTTTGTTAAAATGGAATTGTTGAAATGATTAGATCGAAAAATCTGAAATCAACTTCAACATGAAAATGAATTTATTTGCGATTATTAGAAAAATAATTTTTGAACTGGTTTGACGTAAGAAATCGTTTCTATGAAAGTTAAAAAATATTAAGTATGATTTGATGTGGAAATATCAAGAATTATGTGAAACTATCACCTATATAATTAAAATATGCGATGTTCATCGACCAGTGTCTAGTATCCTTCTTCTAACGCCAACACCATTTCTGATTTGGCCTTTGCGACTAAGTACCAGCGAATCTTCAATGCCATCTGGATTTCATTTTTAATGACTTATTTTCTCCTTCCTTCTCTTAAAACCTTTCACCATTACAAGTTAGGCTGGCTTAGCTGGCTATAAAGGTAAGATGTCTCCAAGCTGTACCGTCCACGCCATCGCTTATCGTTTATTATTCTCTTATCCGAGCGAATCGAATCCATGATGCTTGATATCGGCCGAAACATATCGCTAGACCATTCCACCATTCCTTTCATTATTTCATTCATATTTCATTCGTTAACATTTATGAGTTTAAATTTTAATTTAACTCACTAACTCGTAATTAATAAGAAATATTTGTAGAATTATTGAGAAGTGTTCGATGCTACTCGCCTATCTTTTGTTTTCAGTTTGTATAAACCAAGGTTATTTTGTCATTTTTTCAAGGCTAACTAAATATTTCATTTCATATTTTTTTAGCAGAAAATAGTATCTATTCGATAGCAATGTTACTTTGCTGCAAAAATTTTTAGGACATTTTATTTACATTTCCCATTCAACGACTGAAATCCCTATTTCGACATTTACAATCTCAAAATCCATGCAGCATTTGCAGATATATCCTTCATTCCAAAATAAATCGAATTCTTATATTGGGACAAGCAAAACGAATCCAAAATGGGTATATTTTTGTACGGTTCTTGGTTTCAAACAGTTTTCTTTTCGATTTTGAGTTTTTGATGAAATGTTTTTAGCAAACGGAAAATCATTTTTCGATTAATACACCAAATAGTTCATCTATATTATGGAGACAAAAAAAACCCAAGCAGCAAAGCAACTGGAGACAATTTGGCTATATAAACCATGGAAAACTGGAATCCAACAACCATGGTCATTCCTCAAACATGCTTGATGCAAGTGATGTTTACCGAATAGCAGATGAGGTGAAGAAACGCGGTAAAGAAGAGTATTTAGCCACCAAACGTTTGGTTCAACGAATACTTAACATGATCCAGGTTGATAATATTCCTCACGAAAACTTAAAACTTAATGCAACCATATTTGATTATTGATAATTTCCAACAAATTTAGTACCCTTGTTTCCTGTGGATTTTGCAAAAAGCTTGATATTATAGCAAAGATACTGATAACTGATATACAAGAAAAGCAGTTATATAAATATATTTTATACAAAATTGATTTTTCCAGGAACAATTTCATCGCAAAGTTCCGCGTTTTTTTTCAAAGGATGAACTCCTCTGTTCGTTGGGCTTAAACTTTACAATTGCTCATGGAAACCAATCATATGGCTCTCCAAGTTCATTTTCAAGGTTATATGATTACAGCACCGGATATTTGCAAAATAATGGTCAGAATCAGCGTCAAAACTATAAGCAAAGCCTGGAAGTATTTAGCAATATGCCGAAATCAGATCGAAGATTTTTATATGACAAGGTTTATCATATGCTAGAGGACTTATACCCTAATTTTCGACATCATTTCCGTAACTTGCGCTGATTTCATATATGGCGACATATCGTGGAATAGAAATTTTAACTTTCTATTCGAAGAGAAAGGTGACTTGAACGAAAGTTGGTGATAAATGTTTATAAAATTTAGTCTATTAAACCAAATTTTTTTTATTAGTGAAATATTTAAAATTATATTCATTCGAATCCGATCGGATATATTTCTTTTCTTATTTATTTCCTTATTTCCTTCTTTATTTTGGGTTTTCTTCCGTGATATTTCCATTTTTTGTTCGCATATATTTATTTATTCAAAATGTACCAAATAAAATATAAATTTATGTTAGTAAAATAAGAATTGTTGAATTATTTGAATAAAATTAGCCATTTATTATGAATTATTTTGAAGTAGCTTCTTTGCCTTTTAGAAATGCGAAAATTCGACTGGCGATGAATAAATTGGCAAAATTCACCAGCGGCTGGTTCGAAAAAAATCCTTTTACTAGCTAATATTGCATTAAATTGTTCATACTTTTAAGATTTGAGAAGATATATTAAGATATTAAGTAGTAAATCGTCAACAATTAACATTTACTCGCATTTAAATACTTCATTTCAAGAGGAGAAGGTGAAAGGAGCTAAAAAAAAAGATGTAGCTGAATGTACGGTCTGGTCGAGGATGATAACAATCGGATATGGTTAAAATTTATCAAATGGACAAAAATTTGACCAATTTAAATTGGCCAGAAATCTTCTCGGCTAGAAACGCCTATACTTGAGAATCGTCGTAACATTTCTTGTTTTATTCTTATTACATCTGTAAATTAAATTTCCCCATTCCATTTATAAACAAATGCCGATGAATCTTAAAATTATAATTAATTATAATATTTAAAATTTGATAAATAAGTCTGTTCGAGCTTTGTTGGGAAAAAAGTCTATCGTTCGGCTTTGGCTTTCGTTTTATCGCGTATTAATTGTGAGAGCATCCAGTATGATATAATAAACATGAAACCGCCAAAAACGTAACAAATCGTTGGGCCCATCAGCCAAAAAACTGAAATTTTTCCATTTCTTCTTTTATATGTATGGGTCAATTATTGCGACAATGATTTTCGAAACACTTACTCGAAGAAGAAAAAAGAGGACCCAACGATCTGGCCAGAGCTCCTAGGCACCGAAACACGCCTAATGTTACTCCTTTAGTATTGTCAGATGCCAAGAGTGATACGGATGATGTGGTGGCTGGTACAACGACTGCCGAAGCTTTAATGACAAATAAATAAAGTGAATTTTAAGATTTTTAATAAAACTTGGCATAGGACATTATATGCTTTAAATTGATGTTGTATGTTAACATTTTTTTCAGATTGCATAAATAAATATCCAGAATGACATAAGGTAAAACTAACCCAAAGCATATATAGACAAGCCAATGTAGAAGACAAGGCTGGTCGTACCAAACGCAATGATAAGATAAGCTGGGACCAATAACGCAATGGAAATGAGCGCAGTTTGGAGCTGTTTTTCATTTGAAAGCCTTCTAAGAATCCCACCTAAGCAAACAGTGAAATATTTTTTAAAAAAATAATATAAATTCTAAAAAACTTGAAATTTTTGGTGAAAATCGGTTATTCAGTTATAATATAACTGATAAACTATAAAGTATTTTATGTAAACAAAGAAAGCAATTACCTTGAGATACGATCATAAGAAGGCCAATGTAAAGGAACATTCGACCTTGTTGCATACTGAAACCAAATTTTCGACAACCTTTAATGGTATTTTAAACTTTTCCTGAAGATAAATGCATGGTTTCACTTGCGCAGATAAAACTGAGCTTTGAATGCGATTGAAGCTTAGGAAGCGAAAGAAATTAAATAATTGCAGATTAGACGACACCTGTTATATCCAAATTGCACATGAGTGAAAAATGAAAGTGTAAATTCCAAGCCAGAATGTTGAAACATATAAAAGAAATAAAATCGACCATAACTTCTCATTTTGGCCAAATCTTAAAATTTAAATTAAATTTCTCAGGCGCTTTGTTTATATTAAAATCGTCTGGAAGCCCAATTATCGACAAAATATGATCACTGTCGTATCGGGTAAAATTTCTGGACAAAAACATGGAGTCGGAAAGATTCTTGGAAATTCAAATTTTTCCTTTTCGACCAATCAAAAAAAATTACTAGTTGAAGTCGTTGCAGTTGAAACAGCATGAAAATTAAACAAAGCAAATGGATTGATATACAACAAGCAATTACGGCGGAGATCGACTTTTTCTGAACGCTAAAGATGTATCATATGATATGATTAGATTAGATTAGTCGGATCTCAATTTCAGCTCTTTCATTAATTTAATTTATTTTTAATCATTAGTGATTCCAAAAATAATAATAAAATAATATAATTAATGGTAATTGAATTCGAAGGAAGAATGGGGCTCAGCGAATTATAGCTCATACGGCACCGATATTAGTATCCTACTCCTGGTAGAAGTCTATCAAAATTCTTCTATCTTCTAACGGACGCTGACCACTCACCTATGTTTCAGTCGTTAAATAACTATTCCCTAGCAAAATTTGTCTCGTCCAACAGGTATGCAGAATTTAGCCAGATATGGTGAACGCGTACAGAAAAAAATTGTATGTCTTAAATAGTATCCTGAAATTTTCTTCTTCTAACAGCTCTCGCCGTTACTCCTTAGGCTGGGTTGCCATAAAGTATCCTACATATAACCAGTTAGTCAAATTTTTATATGTTCGAAAAATCTTGACTATAATTGCTGAATTGATTTTTAAAGTATTTTCTATATATCATTTTCAGACTTTCAGTGATTTCATTAATGAACTGCACTAAACTGAAGGGTGAACGAAATTAACTGAGAACATGCATTTTTTCAATTTTGGAGAAATACGTTAATTTGATTAAAAATATAAAAGAAACCCTTTTAGAAGATTCCAAAGTTTCTGACATCAAAAATATCACGAGAAATAATTCAATAATTGTAATATAAATGGCAATTTGTGCTGGTGCTATTCGAAAATAAGTGCTGTTCACGTATCGTATTGAACGAGACGTACTTGAAAAATATGCGCCTAGCATGGGACCGAGAATGAAACCAACTGAGAAAGCAACACCTATTAAGGCCTGAAAATCAGAAATACTAAAAGGTACCAACCTCTATAAAAATTTCAATTTATTTTGAAGATCCATTATATAATATCACCGCTGGAATATGCAAAATTAACAACAAACAAGATTTTAATGGTAATAAAGGTGTTTAGCAATTATCTATAAAAAAAAACGATAGAAGATCAATTCGCATGAAGGAAGCCCGAACTATAGATTTATGACACTTTCACCTAAGGAAGATATCTATACTTAAACTTGTCGATCAAATCAAATTCTGAAGCTATATGAAAAAATTTTTCTGCACAAAAAAAACTATATCTTAAAAAACTGATAATATTATTATCACTAGTAGTATGGAAGCTGTAAAATTATGTTTTCTTAAATGATGGTACTGGTCATAATAAAAATTCGGTGAATTAGTTAGTTTCCTCGTCATTTTCAAACAATATTGATATTTCTGCATTAGACATGTTTAGATGGCGCTTTTATATAATTTATATATGAGACCTGATAATGTTCCACAGATCTTTTATAAAAAATCTACTCTCGCTCTTTGTCTCTTTTAGTTCTATTGTTATAACTCATTTTTTAAATAATATATTCATATAATCTAAGATTGGAAACTTTTCATAGAGAGAGAGAGCATAATTACAGATCAATTTTAATTACTTAATACTGAATCATTAATATGCAACAAATAATCTATCCTGAAGCCACTTGCAAAAGAATCGACTACTCCTCAGCTTTTAGCTAATGACCATAATTGATCTCTTCATCTACTGACCATAATAAATTTGTTTCAATCAGTCATTTATACGGACGTAACAATGGCTTTAGCTGCCCTCCCACATAATAAGCTTTTCACAAGAATTTAATGTTACTGATAATTTATTTGAGTTTTAGATCATTTCATTGGCCCCTATCAGGGCTACACATAGATAATGAACAATACTTTATTACGAATGGTAAATTATCAGATTTTCTTCCAGTTGAGCATGATTTGCCTGAAGGTATTTATTGGTCCTTTGCTCTTCTTAGTATATATTAATGGTGTTACTGATATCTTTTCTATTCAATTAACTATTTATTTATATGCTGATAATTTCAAAATCAGTCTTACACACGGTACGAAAGAGAAATTAGATACTCAGATCTTGGGCTATTAACCGATAAAAATTTAAGCTATGATTTCAATTGAAGCAATATCGCTAAAAAAACCTTGAACTTAGAACCTTCAAAAACCAATCATAATTTTTTTATCAACATTTTCAATCGTCCGAATCTGGAATATGGTATAGTTTTCACCTAGGTACGATGAATCAATTAAACTAGTTGAGAGTTTAATATTTTCTATACCGCCCTAATTCAAATCCGTCATTTGATTAGAAATATAAATATAGATTAAAAATAGAAAAATATAGATTAAAAATAGACAATATCGATTTATATATGGAAAGATGAATTAAAAAACCTGATATTCACTTTAAAATTTTGTAGGTTAATTTCAATAATTAAATTGAATATATTCTATGAATTGTAATACGTACTACGAAATATGCTCGAATTCAAATGGTACCATAGCTATTAGGCTGAAGCCAATTAAATCTACCCATCCTATTCGCACGACCAATGTCCTATCCTACAGTTTCAGATGTATATTACATACTTGAATCTAATGATATTGTTTTTGCTTCCTTAGTTCTAAAATGAGATATGATAATCCAGAACATTACCTAACAAGCTCAATCCTCAATCCTTAGATAACCACAGTTTTTTGTGTTTTATATGGCTTTTAGCTATCATTCTCAATTTTTGTCATTAAAGCCAATACAAGGCCTTCTATTGGTTCCTTTTTTATTTTTTTTTATTTTTTGTTTTAATCAACCGTTTTATTTTATTTACTTTTTTTTTTAAAGGATAACGCATGTGGCGATTTTATCTCTGCTTGGTTGATTTCTAAACAAAGAGCGATTTTAGTATTCTATTGGTTATATCAGCAAGAGAAGGCTAGCAAAAATATGGTGCTAACAGGGAAACAGAATCTGTGATAGAACTGTGACTGACTGGGGAAAAGCCAATTTGTAATAAAACGATTTTAACGAACCATTCCTTTTCCAACAGTATTTTCAGGATAAATATCAGCAATAATAGCAAGTGATATGGAAGTACTTGCTTTGCTTAGGCCAGCGATAATCCGTGAGAGGACGAATATTGAAAAAGTTCTCGCTTGAGCCCACATCTGTTAATATTTGCATGAGAGAAAAAATTATTATGGAAAAATGTTTATAATGTAAAGTTTGCTTGATCTCATATTGCATCATAGTGAGGTGCAAAGACATCACCTAAGGCTTCGTTCAAATTTTTATTCAAAAATATTTTTATTTTATCAATTCAGAAAGTCAAATCAGCTTTGAAAATTTCGTTAAACCATTGCACTACACAAGTTACAATAAGAAATTCCCGTAGGAGCGTGTTACGAGGATAGTCGCGAAAATAGCATGGCTACAAGAGATGATGCAAAAATTAAGATTATGGAAACTGCAACGAACTGATCCTCATCTCGTCAGAAATATTTGATAATTGGCCAAATACGAGGTGAGAAGATGACAAATAGTCCTTTTTTTGTTCTCGAATTTTGCAAATCGCCGAAAAATACGAACAGAATGGAGAAAATGGGAAAAAAAATGAAAGACCACGACTTTTTCATCGCTAAGGGCAAGGTGACAACCAAATACGAATTTCTCAATTAGTGTAATGGCAATAATGATGGGCGATCTGGTTCGATAATTGAACGAATTTCCCACTTTCCTTAGAGCAGTGGTCCCCAACTTTTTTCTTGCACGATCCGTTGCAAAAATATTCTTTTCGATTGACCTCCTTAGAATTTTCACACCATTCCTCAAGATTATACCATGTGGTGTTAACAATCTTTAGCAATCTTCAAAAAGCCCTATTTCTTTTTTTTAAATAATTTCTTTCGAACAATGGACATTTTTCCACCGATGCCCGTTATTTCGGTGTATTTGAAAAATATGATTAGCCATATCTATTATCATGTATATAACAGCTATAAGTTTAATATTATTTGGAATTTAAATAAAATTTTAATTCAATTTAATATGAAATTTTAAAAAAGCACAAGCAGTTGACTTGTCCATCAAACCCACCGGTCCATACTGACCACTCTGGAGACCCTGGCCTAATGATAAAATCTAAAACATTAAAAGGCAAACCATATAAGAGGAAAGTGAACCGAGTATTGATACCACCATAATGGATTTTCGACCATAAACGTCGGAAAAAGCCCCCAATATCGGAGAGGACAGAAACTGTAAGAGACAAAACAGTGAGCCCAGCAAGCCTAAATGTTCATTTTACAAAGAGGATCGTGCGAAATTTGCAATTAATATAAAAAATTTACAAAATATTGCCAACTGAACGACAAATAACTTGAATTTTTAATTCTTTTTAATTTTTTTAAATTTAATTCATTTTTGATTTTTTTAAATTCTTATCTAAAAAAATCACCTCCAAAAATAACATTATTATAGTTTGTTATCATCGGTATTCCAATGAGTTTTTGAAACAGTGAAGCCCATTTTTCCAATGAATTATACAACCAATCCTTTAAAAATATATAAATAAAAATATTTTATAAAGCAAAATAAAATGAAATTCTCATTCGATGAAGACAAAAGAAAATTCTTTTTTAATTTTAAAAAATATTCATAGAAAAATATTGGAAATTATTTAAATTTTATAAATTATCTAAATAAAATTAAATTTAGTTTAATTTAGTTTTAAATTCGCTTAAAAAAAATTCACTAAAAAAAAGCTAAATATTTTAAGAATGATTCGTTAAAAAATTACTAATTATAATTCAATTATATAAAAATGTTTAATTATTACAAATAATAATAAAAATTTATAAAAAAAAGGAAACTTATTTACTCGACGTTCATTTGATCCATAGAAATCGATTAATGTTGGAAATAAGGGTAAAATGCAAGAAAATGCAATAATGTCAAGGATTAATGACGAGATTAGAATGATCACTGTAAGTCGCTTATTTATCGCCATTGCATAACACCTAAAATTTCTTAGAAAAATTTGTTATTTCTTCCTGAAATTTTAGTGGAAAGTGAATTCCATTAGTGAATTGAACGTTAGGGAGTTTATTTTGATTACATTTTAAAATTTTTTAAATAAATTTCGATAATCAATTACCGTTTAGTTTTTTTAAAAAAAAATTTTTTTATGAAATTTTTTTGAAAATCGAGAAAATCCCTTGAAAAATAATCATAAATGATAGAAAAAATTAAATAAAAAATTTAATTTGTGTTTCGAAGGAAGAGGAAAAAAAATTTCAAAATCAATTTCACAGGATTGTAAATTTAAACAAAAAAAACGAAGAAAAAATTTTTTTACAAAATTTCTTGTCGAATCAAATAAGAACTAATTAAAATTTAAGTTAAATTTTCGACTTATTTGTAAAATTTTATAAGAACTTTTATTTGCAATTATAAATATTTGTAAAAAATATTTTTAAATGATAAACTCGTCTTCTATTCCGCAATCGCTTTTTGCGTTCGATACTCTATTATCATAAAATTTTAAATTTTTTGAAAATCAATCTTTGAAATAAAACTAACCAATAATTTGATAAAATTATTTATTATTTGTTTATTATTTATTATTTATTCATTATTTATTGTTTAAAATTCAATTTAACAATTTAAAATTTAATAAAATTATTTATTTTTCAAATAACAACCTTTGCTAGACTTTGTTTAAAATAGTTTTCACCATTACTAGTTAAACTCGATCCGCTGGCTTGTCGCATTGGACATGCCAGAGAAACATCCCTTGGCGATAGAAATACAGGTGAGTCACCCAGATTTTTGGACAGGTTTACTCCTGCTGGGAATAGAACCTTAGTATCGGCGCACCGAACTGAGCAACAACCCACTTAGCTGTCCTACTTCTTTAGGGCATTATTTACTAGACATTATTTAGTATCGTTTTTTTCAAAAAGCAACTTTTTGGTAGAATTCAGATATTTTTTTTTTAAAGCGCTCACCGTTTCTAAATAAACTCTCATCGCTGGCTTATTGGAATTAGAAAAATTTAGAGTCACTTGGCGACAGAATTTAGAATGAAATGCTAGGCTCATCTGCTTGCGATCGGTATCACTCGACTCGTACGTTATTTTAAAGTTAATTAAATGAAGGCAATGAGTGCGAATTGAGATGAGAGAGGAAAATCTCATAAATATTCTCAAAATGATTATTTCTTTAATACAATACGACAATTTCAAGAATATTTACAGAGAAATTAGTCAAATTTTTAGCGAAAGTAAAAATTTTCAGTGAAATTAAGAATATAAAAAAAATAAAAGGAAGCATGGAAAGGAAAATTAAATATATTTTTTCTTTTTTTGTGAAATAAAATTAATTATTATATAAATCAGTAAAGAGCTTTTTACAAAACAGATGTTGCATGACGCGCGCATTGATTTATATGACCTTTGAAGTATGAAGGTAATTGCCATAAAAGTACGACGAAATCAGATTTTATTGAACAAAAAGAGAATAAAATGAAAATAAGCAAGAAATTATGGCGACAGAATAAAGGTCCAGCGGGTTGTTGAACGTCGATACTAGCGTAGAACTATTCCTCGCAATAGTAAACCTGTCTTTCAAAAATCTGGCGACTCACTCTGTGTACTTCGATCGCCAAGTGACTTTCTAGCAAAATTTGCTTTTTTCAATAAGAGACCGGCGGAATAACCAGAAATGGTGAGAGGTGAGAGCTAAAAAAAAACAAGGGAAAAACTATAGTACAACAATGTAAAATATTCATAGTTGAAATAAATCAGAGAATTGTTAAATAATTTAATTCATTTGACAAATAAGTGGAGCAATCGATGAGAGAAAGCAATATTGCTTCGGTATCATTTAATGCCCATTTTTTAAAACACCTTGGGCAATATGAAGGAAGCAACAGACTTAAATTATTTTGTGTAATATTTACAACAACAATATCAGTTATAACTCACGACGACGACCTTTACTACGAAGAAAATACGAGATCTTGGTCAAGTTTGGACACAAAATTTTTTCTAACTACAATAGGTATACGGTGCAAAATATCTCAATGTTTATAGTTTAGAGTAGTAGTTCTCAGGATTTTTTGTTCAGTGGGCAACTTGGGAGACTTGTTTGCCTTCACCCTCTCTACATTTTTCAGACAGAAAAATGAAATATATATGTATATATATGTACTAGAAAATCGATGCAGCTCCATCGTAGCAGGGGATGTGGTTTTTTTAAATGGGAATTTTCATGCGAGTTTTAAAAAATTGACTTATCTTGTACATCTAATTCTTCTAAGCTTTCTTGCAGGGCATCTTTTGTTCATCATTTGAAAACCTCGCAAAATTGAGTAGAAGGGCTTTACTATTCATTAAAACTCAATTTGCTTATAATCATTCGACTAGCTGCTCTTCCATACCACGAGTCATTTCATCTATGCACCGGTTTAACTCTTTTTTTCTTAACTATGTTTCGCCTTACTCAGAATTTATAAGGTGCGCATGGCAATATGAATGCCACCTAGAATCGGGAATGATTCGAATTCGAACCGGCTAACGTATCACATTTTACCGAGTGTTAATGTCGACGAATGGTGAAATCAAGAGAAAATAGAATGGCTCAAGGGGTTGTTGTTCAATTGGAAGCGCCGATGCCGAGGCTCAATTCACCGCAGAAGTAAATCTGTCAAAGAATCCGGGTGATGCTAGCGACTCATCTCTACTTCTATCAGCCAAGTGATTTCATTGCAAAGTTTGTCTGCTCCGACAAACCAGCTGAACCAGCAACGGTGAGCGCTCATAGAAAAAAATTCCAATTTTATTAAATCTCCGATTTTATTAGATTTCTCCGATTTTATTAGATTTTATATTATTACAGATTAATATACAGTAAATTTGTCGATATTAAAAATGGCTATTAAAATAAATTCAGCTTTTAAGAGGATTGGAAACAATAATAAACCTATTCACGCGCAGTGGACAAGTGCAACGGTACAAAATAGGTGCAATCATTGATACGTTAATTGATCTTTCATAATCCATTATTTGTTACAATAAATTATCTAAATTAGACATATTTTAGATATTAGGTTACGGAGGATAGAATGGCTCAGTGGGTTGTTGCTCAATTGAGGGTGTCGATGGTAAGGTTCGATTCTCCGTAGGAGTAAACCTGTACAAAATTAGGGTGATGATGGCGACTCACCTGTATTTCTATCGCCAAGGGATTCCCTGGCATATTACTCAATTGCCACAAGCCAGTGGAGCAAGTTTAACCAGTATTGGTGAGGACTCTTCAAAAAAAAAGATATTAGATTATAAATAAAAATTATCTATAAAATAAAGTATAAAATGAAAAGCAATTACGCATAAAATAAAAATTTGATTTACGCATAAAATAAAAATTTGATAAAATTTGTTGCAATATTAATTTAATTAATTAATTTGTTGCAATATTAATTTAATTAATTAATTTGTTGCAATATTAATAAATTAGATTATGCATATTTTAGACATTAGATTATAAATAAAAATTATTTATAAAGTAAAATAGAAATTATGCATAAAATAAAAATTATAAAAATGAAAATTATCTAAATCCTGATAAAGTACGCTTGACACTCCTCATAGGATTTTCGATTAGGACCTAGAATTTTTTCTAAATAAGCGATAAATTTTTATATCCTACTTTGAAAGTTAGCGTGATCCTCTTATAGCTCCGCGGCCTATCTGGTAGTCCTTAAGAATCCTATTTACTTAAACTTTTTTCTGTGGCCTCCTAGAAATGTTCATTGAGAACCACAAATCAATGACAGTAAGATTAAAAAATTTAGATAATACACACGCGAACGAACCAATGCATATAACCAAACACCACAGCCACACAACATAAGTGCACAAAAAAGAAAAGATGTGGGAAGAAGATTCGGAAAAAAGCACCACATAAGCCTATTAAAAATATTTATAGCGTCTTCAGTGGGAAATGGAAAGCTCCATTCGGCATTCCATCTTTTTCTTGGAAATATTTTCATTGAGATGAATTTTAAATGAGTTTTTTATTTAAAATTTTAAATAAATTTTGTACTAAAAATGAAAATAAAAAAATTTTTTTTTGTGGATAATTCGTACCAATTGCTCAATCATTATTTATCTTCTAAAACCAACAAAGAAATAGTTATTTATAGAATGCAAAAAAAAAGGCAAAGTGTCCGTTGGTGCCGATGAAAGTACAAATACAAATTTTTACGAATTTCTGGTGGCAACAAAAATAAAAAAAAATCCAAAAATTGCCCATTCTAAAATAATATTTGATATATTATTATAAATATTATAAATATATATTCAATTTATGAAATGGGATTTTCCTTTAATATTTATAAACAGTATAAATCAACTTTTAAAATATAAAATATTATAAAAGCTTGCTGCCAAAACAAAATCCACTCTAAGGCTGTTGATTCCACTTGAATATCTAATGATTAAGGAATATTCCAGTCGAATTTCGCGAGAATGAACCTTTGCAAAAACCCGGGTGATGCTAGCGACTCACCTGTATTTCTATTGCCAAGGGGCTCCCTGGCACAGTGCGACAAGCCAGTGGAGGGCAATAGTTTAATTAGCAATGGTGGTGAGGCCTCTTTAAAAAAATTGATAAATTAACGAAATGGACGAAACAATTTGCTTGGGGGTCTGAAAAAAGATTTGCGAAACCACGCATTTAGCCAAAACTGATGAACCTTTTGTTACAATACTAATTAAGCATAAGCGAAATATTTTAATTTGTGAATTCTGCACTTTTTTCTTAATTTTAGAACAAATTAATTAATTTTTAATTAATTTTAGAACAAATTAATTACCGAATTAATTTTGGAACAAATATCTTATTACGAGGAGTAAAATCAAGATTGTCGCTTGAGCTAGTTTCAGAAAAAAAAGCCTAATGTTGCCAAGTGAATAAATTTACGCCCAGTGATATTTAAATATTTATTTGTATCATTTCATCCAATTTTTTTAAAATTTATTTTGTACATTTGAAATTAAAATTATGTCAATCGACCATGTTCGAAATGAAGTGAAGAGGAATGACAATAAGTATAACTGAGTCATGAATATTCCATTGGTCTCCGCCCGTATGTCATGAATTATCCATCGATCCTCTTATTCTTTTATTTCATTTAGTATTATTTTTAAGACGGTAGGTTTATTATCTTATTAAAATGTTTCATCACTAATATTTGGTCATTATTTGGTTATATTCATAATACGGCTCAGTGAGCTGCCATTTCGGAGCGCAGATGCTCAAGTTTCGCTCCTGATGGAAGTAAATTCATATAAAATCCGGATGATGTCGACAAGCCAGCTAGGCTAGAGAGCCCTCTTAGTATCAGTAATAAAGTTCAACAAATATTTTCACAACTTTTCTCCGATTTGCTAACTTATGCGGTGGTTGATACATAAAATGATCCATTTCATTAAAAAAAAATCATTTTCAGAAAAAATTCTATAGCAAAATTCTGCCTCTTTTATTACTTATAATCCGATGTGTAAAATCAGTTCAATTATGATATTTTTTGATTTCATTGTACTACAATTTCCTGTTGTTATTCTTTCCATGAAAAATCGTGATGCCATTATTAACTTATCAAATATCAAGCAAAATATCATGAAGAAATTAGAAAATTCCGACAAATTCACGAATGATAACGAGAGATTTATCAAATCGATAACTGAAAACGATGCGATTATTAATCCAAGCAATGTTAAATTACACGACGATAGAAATGAGAAGCTGTATGACGACTATGCTTTAACTATGTCATCTGAACCAGTTTATAAGTTATCACTGTTGACAAGCAATAGAGATATCGAAACCAAACATGATAGAAAAGGTGATAACGTTCGTAGAAAATCGGAAGGGAAAACTGGCGATAGTGATTTAGAAGAATTTCTTATTCGACAGCGCAGAATTAAATTCTATAAGGTAATTCGTTACATTCAAAGAAGAAATCAATCAACTATATCACTTGAAATAATCTCTAAAATGTCCCCTAATGGTCTTACATTTGTCATAAGCCAGTTGCATAATTTGATTGAAGCTTCAGACCATGCTCACATCTATGCAGTGGAAAAGTAATGTGATATGAAAATATCTGTAAATTCTATTTATAACTGCTAAGTACCATTAATACTCATAAATGAAGGATAATTAGAAAAATTAGAAAAATGAAGGCTTTTCTCCATTCCATCCTAGCTTATGGCTCTTAAGAGATATGTAGGCTGGGAATCACTGGGAAAAAAATCACAAATATAACTGATAGCCGATATAAAAAATAAAATAACATAATTGATAGAGACTTTATCTACTATAGGCATTTAAAAAAATGCGAGATTTTTCGAAAAACTACGAATTAAACCGAAATGAATCGAAAAGAAATGAACAAAGGAATCCAGAGAAATTTTTAAATAATTCGCCGAATTCGACCGATCTGGTTTGCATTAAGCATTTTCATTTCTATTAATTTTACTTCTATTATATGCTCAATTTATATACGAAATTTTCTTCTAAGAGCACTCAGCATTTCTAATTTGGTCGGAACCACTGACTAATTAGGAAAAATTTTTAAATTTTCAGACGACTATTTGATGATAGAAGTAAAGTAGAAGTAATCAAAGAGTTTCTAACATTCATTTTTAAATTCTAAGATAAGAAGAGGAAATAGAAATATCTATGATAAAGCAAAAACTATGAATATAAATGATAACAGTAGCAGATATTTCATTTCTTGGATATTTCATTTCTTGAAAGAAATCATTTTAAATTTTTTAGAAGCATTTTTAACTCATTTATTCATTCTCATTGCATTTTTTCCATACGGCATAGTGCAACATTTAAATTCCGAATTACATTAATTCTTAAACGAATTTTTTTAAGAAATTCTTTCTTAATACATTATGCTATTCGAACTCCTTTTATTTTCATATAGACTGATTTACCAATCGTATTCGCTTGATTTTCATTCAAGAATTTTTAAAAATAAAGTCTTCAAAAATTACAGATTCCTGAAATCGGAAAATTTTCCTTGGCACTCATTTCAGTACATTCAGAAATTTTCCTTGCGTTTTTTGTGAGTCCGTTCAAAGCAGCAACTTCATTTTTGGTTTTGGATTTAGCTTCCTCATCAGATTTCAGCGATTAACCTGAAAATAAGAAAAACTTTAAATTCAGACCATTTGTCTAAGAAATATAGTTTGAATGGCTTATCTTCTTTTACCTGTCCGAGAAAAAGCCTTTGAGAGTTAAAAATGCCGTCATCAATTATTGAGATCATCAATTATGTAGTTGCTTTTGGCTTGGTAGTTTGAAGAATTAGAGATAAATGAATAATAACTTTAACTGAGACCACGATATTAAACACTGATAGCTACAACATGAACAGCAATAACAACGGCCAATTATAGTTGCTGCCTGGAACATTCCAATTAGAAGGAATAGCAATTACAATGGTGGTGAACCCTCTATATAAACGACCATTTATGTAAGTAGCGTCCCATAAAAAGATATAACACAAAGCACATTTAATATAAATAGTATTAAGTATTATTTTTATGTTATCGTTCTGCCTATTTAATTTCTATAATTTAAAACTTTCAGAATCGGAGAAGCGCACCAACAATAGGATCCATTTATAGCAAAGATAACCCTGAACCAAACTACCAATTACTTAAGGATATACAGGCACAAAGGTACCAATTCTACAATTGAAATACCAATGTACGCTAAATATACTATGAATTCATGCGATTAATGGCAGAGTTTGTTCCCATTTTAAAATGGCTTCTTAGAGTAAAAGTCTAGCCTCCAAGTTAAATCAAATTACTACGAAACGAGAAATATTACCACGAGCCTGTCGTCAAATTAGACGAAATTATTCTTTCCCATATTCTCATGATATAAAGAACTGGTTGATTGCATTCTGTTGGGATCCTGAAATCCTTTCTCGATGCATGCTCCCGTTTCTTTTTACAATGGTTCTTACCATGTGGAACTTGCCTAGCAATCGTTCAATTTGTAGTTGGCCATTAAAATAATAAGAGTAAAAGAATATAAAAACAACAATAATAAAACAAAACAGTTAATTTTTAGCGTAATAAATCTCAAACTTGGATAATTAAACCAAATAATGAAATAAAAACTATTTGTAAATATTTATAAAATTATAAAGAACTCATTCCTATAAACGAAACAAAAAGAAGGAACAAATGGAATAAATTATTTATAATCATATAAAATGAATTACTAAGCAATGAATCCCAAATTTATGGACGATGACAATACGCTCGACAATATCCACTAATCACAGTCCAGAATATAATATCTGTGGACGAGATGAGGATCATAAATATCATTAGTTCGAATCCTTAAATCCTTATCACTACACAATTCAACACTATTTTAATCAGTTTGGCAGATAAAATTTATTAGAAGTTCATCAGAGATTATGCGAACAATTTGAAAATAATAAATGTTTGATAAGAAAAGGTTAGGGGCAAGTTTGACCTTTGTAGATAAATTAAAATTCACATGTGCTTTAAAGATAAAGCAAGGAAATTTCAGACTATCCCGCAAAATTATTATTTTGAATATAAGTGAATTTGAATCCTTTAAAATCCTTTAAAATTTATTTTAGAATACCATCATTCCCCTCAGCTCCTCAGAACTATGACACTCAGGAAATTATTCTTTCTGACTACCAACAGCAACGATCAGTTCAAACAAATGCATATGGTAAAAGATTGCCACCTCCACCAGTTTTTCATAATAGGGAAGCATCTGTGCACATGGTCCAAGTTATGCCAAAATTAGCAACTACACAACTTCATCCAAACAATCAGTCGAATAGTTTGGATCTCAACCAATTCAAGTTTTATCAACCAAGTATTGCATCGATTGATTCTTCATATTCAAAAAATACTGTTGGTTTCCAGCCAATCACCGGTGATATCCTGGAATTGACATCGACAGACGATAGAGAATATGATTCAGCGTTAAATGTATTATAACAAATTTTATAACAAATTTTTTGGATTTCAGGCAGATGCATATGAAAACATTCATAAATCGGAAAATTAGAAAGTTATGTTGTCAGGAAAATTTTCTTTACAGATTACAAATAAAGTGTTATTTTGTAAAAATTAATAATAATTTTGTTCTTTACCCTTCGTCTTTTCATATGCAAAATGGAATGAAATTATAGGACTCATGTTTTCCAGAGGGGGCGGACTGCACCCCACAAACGATGGGCACTATCACCTACGACCAGCAACCATTTAATCTAGATCGATGTAACAGCAAACGCCTATACCAAATCGTTATCGATGTAAAAAGGCCTTTTTTGACATTTATTTTTCAATCAGGAAGTCAATTTTATCCGCTTGCTGTTTGCAGCTTTTATTTGACTAATCCAGATTAGCAACATCTTAAAATTATTTTTCTATTTATAATTAAAATTCACATGCACTTTAGATTTGTTTTGATTTAACAAGGAAACACAAATCAATTCAATTGAAAATTTCTTCATTTTATTCCAATTAGTTTCGCAGTGAATCAATGTAAAAAATTTAAGGAGCCTTTGCAGAGATGAAATACCATAAGGTGAAAAAATGCTGTTGGCCTCTGTCGCCCTTCCTATTTTTCGCGTTCCCAGCCCTTAAGAAAAAAAGCAGAATTTCAAATTGAATTCTTAAATATTGCGTAAAACATTCTAGTTTCAATTTCGAATATAACCCTAACAGTATTCTTGCACATTTCTCGCAAGTAGAGTTGAAATCCTCGGCAATTCTGCACAACATGCAAGTGCATTCACGATACTCACTCTATACAGTAGTATTACTGTATATGTTAGAACGAATATTTCCGAGGAAATTCCGAAGGTTTAATTAATTTTGATTTACAAATGAAAAAATACAATAACTTCATCAGACTTATCTTTTAGAATATTGTACAAAATGATATTGAATCAACGAAACGCAAAATCCAGATTTTAAGTCAACAAGCATTCGGCAACCTATATAACGTGATTTGTGGAACGGGCTTTTTTAGTTACATCGTTCATACCGATGAATATTGCTTGATATCCTTCAACCACATCAATTGTTACGTCTTTTCATTGCTTTGCAGCTCATCTGATGTTATGAAAAAAAAGAACTACTCGAAAAGCCAATAAAAGCGTTATTATCAGCGAATTAAACGTGAAAATGGAATACAAGCAAAAGAACATCATTAACGGCAAATTAATGTGCATTAGCGATGATATAGCTTCAGCACCTTAGATGACTTCAAAAATTCAGATGGCTTCAAACTATAATAAAGAAATAAAGAAAGACACAAAACTGCAAAAAAAAATTTTGCTATTGAAAAAATAAAAAATTTAAAAAAAATTAAAAAATTAAAAAATCAAAAAAATTAAAAAAAATTTAAAAAATTAAAAAATTAAAAAAAATAAATTTAAAAAATTAAAGAATTAAAAAAAATTAAAAAGTTAAAAAATATAAAAATTTAAAAATTTAAAAAATTAAAAAAATCAAAAAAATATATTAAAAAATTTAATAAATTAAAAATTTAAAAATTTAAAAAAAAATAAAAAAATTAAAAAATTAAAAAAATAAAAAAAATAAAAAAAATTTAAAAAAGAATTTAAAAAAATTTAAAAAAAATAAATTTTAAAAAAATAAAAAGTTAAAATTAAAAAAATTAAAAAATTTAAAAAAATAAAAAATTTAAAAAATTTAAAAAATTAAAAAATTTAAAAAATTTTTAAAAAAATAAAAAATTAAAAATTAAAAAATTGAAAAATTAAAAAAATTAAAAAATTGAAAAATTAAAAAAATTTAAAAAATAAAAAATTTAAAAAATTTAATAAATTAAAAAATTTAAAAAAATAAAAAATTTAAAAAATTTAAAAAATAAATAAAAAATTTTAAAAAATTTAAAAAAAAAATTTAAAAATTTAAAAAACTTCAAAAAATTTTTGCTATTGAAAAATTACAATGAAAGTGGTAACAGCCAGAATATATTTTCCTTCTCTATAATTGGCCAAACTAGGCGATTCCATAGCAAATATTTCCGACTTATTTTAATTCTATTCCACTCCATTATCGGAGAATGCGAAAACGATTTTTTCCAAAATAAAAAAACTAAATAAAAACTGATTCTTTCTCAACTCCCTAAGGGCAAATATAGAATTTAAAATGTGAATAAATAAATAAAAATAAAATTTATAAAATTTAAAAAATAAGAAAATTTATCAAAGGAAAATTAAGGAAATAAATAGTATCAAATAAATAAGATGGAAACAAGAAATAAATATGTAACAATTTATGAAAACTTTCAGTACGTAAGAAATCCTCTATCGACTCCTCAATTATTCCCTATTATTCCAATATTAATAATTAATTAAAGCTGAAATCTTGCGAATTTACAACTGATTATTTACTGATTAAGTGGCGTAGCAAAGGAAAATGCTAAAAAATTATAAACACCTTATTGGCTTAGACGGATTAATGTTGATATTGCCTTTTACAATTTTCTTTAGGTTTCACTAACCATTGACAAATTACTGAATCAAAAAATCAATGGCCAGTTGAAATAATCAGTGAAAATCATAAAATATCCGTAAAATTATTTAATTTCTCAATGAAGTTTATACGAAATCTATGCATCCACATTCATTTGCATTTTACTATTTGCATTTTTATGATTCTTTTTCAAAAAATAGTTTTATAACAAATTAAAAAAATTTTATTAAGGAAAGGAAAACTAATTTAAGTGATTATAAATGATAAAATTTTAGTTCGCAAATTTTTTAGTTTTTTTTGCTTATAAGGATTATTTGATTAAAGAGAGATGCAATTTAAAATAGTGCAATTTTTTTAAAATGCAATTTAAAATCAATGAAAGAATATAAAGATTTGTCGATTTTACACCTCTTAAAAAAATTTAAAATACTACAAATTGTGAAAATAAATTCACTGAACCATAAATGAACTTTTTCTTAAATGTTTTTAAACGCAAAATAAACATAGTGGTGCGCAACACTACGTAATTTTTGTTGATGAATTGCCACTGCTAGTGTGGTTAACCTTCATAACTGAAGAGAATGCTAAAAGGTTCAGTTATACGGCAAAAGTTCAGTTAACGCCTAATACAACATAAGAATATATAAGCTATGGACCACGAATAACTCTCCTTATGAGACGCAAACCGATTAAACCAAATAATATTATTTCTGAGGAACGAGAAAAATGGTAATGTTTAAAAACAATTTATTGAAATGAAAATTGAAAATTAAACAATTAAAAATAGATGAAGAAAAAAGAAATAAATGGAACGAAATAAAAAAAATTGAAATTTTATGCAATAATTTAAAAGTGAATTTCGATTTTTTCAATATCTTATCTTATCAATCAATTCTTAAATTTTTTAGTTTTTTTAAATTATTATAAAAAGATTAATCGATTAAATGAGATTTCTAAAAAAGCGAGATATAATTTAAAATAATTAGGCTATGAATCAATAAAAGAATGCAAAGATTTGTACATATTACAGTTCTCAAAAAATTTAAAGTAATCTTCAATGCACCAACTATAATTCCATCCTTTCCTAGCAGTGGAAGAAATCGCATTTCATTTACAAACAGGAACAATGCCGGCTTATCGCTCAATTATAGCCTCACACTCATGATGGATTTCCAAATGTCCTACTAGCCAACAATAATATCTATTTCGCCATTATTTTTTTCCTACTGGTTTAACTAAAATTATTAGAATCATAGATAAATCAGACAGAAGTCATTATATCATTTTGCCATTCGTTATTATGGGTTGGAAACATTTTCAACATCTTCAGTTTGGTAGTGACTTTTTCGCATTGATTTTACGCCAGCGAAATGCTATCCTCTTCGCTTTTTAAGCCTTCCATCATTGGTTTTGTCAAGCAGTACGAAATGATTCTCTTCCTTGAATGGGAGTTAACATTTAGAAGTGAAATTTTGGTGGCTGCAAACCACCATGTAGTTCCTCTATCTTTATAGTCGCTTTCTGCGTGAAATGTTTTTGAGAAAGTGGAACCAGCCAAAGCAGAAATATTGCAAAGATAATACATCCCCTCGTGGTGAATGGTGTATAAAATATAATTTCTCGATGTGGTTGATGTCGTTCTTTTATATTGGTTGAGAGATCTTAATCATGTTCATATTCATTAATCGAATTTTATGCTCCAAAATAAATAATTATATCCATCAAAATGTATCGAAATTAAAAGAAACGATTAAACACAGTTTTTGGCAATGCTAATAATAAGTGGGGTAACTCATTTCAGCTAATCACCAATTACGAACCTCAATTTCTTTTAAAAAGAGAATGCTTCAGCCTTTTGTTCCATTACACCCAGTCGCCTATCTATGATTCTCACACCTCTAAAAAAAGGAAGTCTTTTTCGAATTCACATCAGATGGGGTTCGTCAAGAGTTTTGCCAACTCCAATTTGAGAAATATGATATGAATTATCAAAACTAGAAGACGATGCTACGATGTAATGGACAAGCACATTAAAGGCGACGTAAACACATTCTATTTCTACAAATAAATAATAAATAATGTATAATCAAATAAAAACGAGTTTGTAGATGTATTTTTAAACCCGATTTTAACCAAAAGAAATATTTTTATTATAAAATACTACGAATGTGACGAAAAAACACCACGATCAGGCGAGATTTCAAATCGAAAAGAAAACAAATTCGAGGAAAATTTGAACCTAAATCTAAAGGAAATGAATAACTCAACGTACAACAATTCATGTTGAATTAAAATTGAATATTTAAAACAATTAATTGCGTGAAGTTTGAAATTTTAAAAAATTTTTAAAAATTAAGTGAATAAATAGAAAAAAATAAAAAAAACTTTATGGAATAATTACAAAATGACTTTCGATTTCTTCAATTTCTTTGCATTGTTTTTAGTTGTTATGAAATGATTATTCGATTAAATGAGATTTCTAAAAAAATAGAGATAATTTGAAATAATGGGGATACGAATCATAAAAGAATACAAAGATTTGTTCGTTTTGAAGTTCTCAAAAAATTTTAACGTACCACAAATTATGCCTGCCTAACTTTGGACACTGAAGGTCCGCTGCTTTCCACAGTTATATTCCTTTAACATCTTATCCACCCAAATCCACTGTTTTCTCTTAACACCTTCCCTTTATTCTACAGCCATAAAAACAAGAGTGCTTGCAATCAATTAAAAGAAAACATGTAGTCAGCCAAACAATGAAACATCGACCCTAAATTTTTTTCAAAAAGTATTAAAAATATTTTAAAAAATTAAAACAAATTTTAAAAATCATTTTTAAAACATTTAAATAGCGTTTGAACTGAATTCATCTTAAAGTTGTGTTGTTTATTTACTTATTCAGCACTAAAAATTGCCTCAGGGCTACTTCACTATAAAGGAGAGAAAAGATTGCCATCCATATTCTTCGCATATCAAATCAAAAAAAATTGTGTAGTTATAAATGAAAAATAATTTTTTCCGCAAATTAATTGTTTAATCAAATCAAAAAATATTGTTTAATTATAATTGCAATAAACTTACAAAAAATGCAAAAATAAACTGTATAATTTTAAAGGTATTATTTATGGATATTAAAATTGTTAATCTGGATTACCGCAAATATTAACGGCATATTTTAATTCTATTCATGCTCATTTTCTCAAACAATGATCATTTTTTACAAAACAAAGCAAAAAAACTAAGTAAAAGCAATTTCATTTTTAACTGAAGCAGATTTAAAATGTAAATAAAAAGAAAATTCTAAGGAAAATTAAGGAAATAAATAAAATAAAAAATGAGAATAAAAATTGGTGAAACAAAACTGAAAATATGAAAATTTTATGAAAACTTTCAGCCCCCAAGAAAAATTCTATAGACTTATTCCCGCATTAATTAATCCAACTGATAATTATTTAATAAAGTTGAAACCACTTAATCACCCGCTTATCACCGAAATCACTTTTTTAATTTTATAAATCTATTTATAATTGATGAAACAAATATGAAAGGAAAGTGCCTGAAAACCATGAACATCATTTATTGGTATAAGCTGACTGATATTGATATGAGGTTTCACTTATCATTAACAAATTACTTAAACAAAAATGCAATGGCCAGTCCAAATATTTCGTGAAATGTAACAGCAAATGCCCGCAAATTACTTAATTCCTCAAGCGACATCGACGAATCCGCATTCGTTTCATTATTTGCATTTTTATCATTTCTTTTTCAAAAATATATTTTAATAATAAACAAGTTGAAAAAACGATTTTTTTTTGAAGAAATGCTGAGTTAACTGAAAATTATTAATAAAATTCTTGCATTTCTTAAATTTTTTAGTTTTCTTAATTATTAAAAAAGATTAACCGATTAAATGATATTTCAAAAAAAGAGAGATAAAATAAATAATTTTTAAAATAATGAGGCAATGAATCGATAAAAGAATACAAAGATTTGTTCATATTACAGTTCTCAAAAAATTTGAGATGCAACAAATTATGCTTAATCCAAACAACATTAAACTTTTTCTGTAATTGAAATGATATGAACTGAAATGAAAACATATTTTTTAACTAAAAAGAAAAGAAATGCAACAAAAAGAATGAAGAGAATAACGGCGAAAGAAGGGCTCATTCTAGATTTTTGTCTACAAGGCGTTAGCTGTTAAGAACTGATAATGGTGTGAACTTTGTTGCTGAATAGTACCTAAAAGGTCGCTTGAAGACCTATATAAAACGTGAAAAAGACCGTTGTGTTTGTAATTCAAAATGAATGTATTATAAAGTTTTATGTGTTTTCTTGTCATTTATAACTCAAATCAAAGTAAAAACCAATTTATTGAAATAAGAAAGCTAAAAATATTAAAAAATAGAAGAAAAGAACGATTTCAACATTCAGACTATTTTAAAATTTATGCTTGCGGATTTTAGCGCAGAAAAATAGGAATTTTTGAGGCTTTGTTTCCTTCGAGAAAATGAACAAATCTTTGCATTCTTTAATTGATTCATAGCCTAATTATTTTAAATTATATCTCTCTTTTTTAAAAATCTCATTTGATCGAATAATCTTTTTATAATAACTAAAAAATTTAAGAATCCAAAGCAATTGAAGAAATCGAAATTCATTTTATAATTATTCCATAAGGTTTCTAATAATTTTTTTTTCATTCTATTAATTTATTTTATTTCTTCAATTGTTTTTAACTTTTATTTTTCATTAAACATGAATTTTACGTTCATTTAAATAGAATAGATTGTAAAATCCTTGGATCCACTGCAATAGTGAATGACCAGGCAAAAGATGCTATTACAATCCGGATTACGACAGTTCTAGAAATGTGTTTTTCCCGTTGACAAAACATTTATGGAGCCGTTGTGAAATCACCATAAAAGCGAAAGTATGCATCTATATAGCTGTGATTCGTTCGATCTTGCTATATGGCTCTGAGACATGGCCAATGAGAGTGAAGGATATTAAAAAGTTATCTGCCTCTGACCATCCATATCTAAGATACATTTTACTGGTTCGCCCAGTGAAAAAAATCTCACATGATTACATCCAAATACTGCGTTTCTACGTTAATACTACCAACACACCGCGTCATCTTCGCTGGTTAGGGCACGTTTTTCATCACCCGCTACAGGAGTTCACACAAATTTCCTCGTTTGCTAAACTTTGGTGATGGGTGACGCCAAAAGCGAGATGGACCAATTAAGACCTGGGTTGATATAATATAGTCAGAAAAGATTCTGAACATATAGGTGGACCAGCAATATATGGACTTAGACGATGGAAAAAGGAACGGCTTCTGTCGACGATGGCATCAGACCGCGCCGCTTGGAAACGCCTTATCCTTGTAGCCGTTGGATCCAGCCTAACCAGTAATGGTGAGAGCCATTAGAAGAAGAAGATAAGTTCATTTATTCCCCTTAAATTTAAGATTCAAGTCATCCTTAAATCTGTTTTTTTAATTTAAATCTCGCCTGATCATAGTATTCTTTCTTCACATTGTTGTAATATAATGCAAATATTTCCTTTGGCTAAAATTAGGTATAAAATTACATCCATACATAATTATTTTTGTTTGATTTTACTCAGCCTTAAGCGCGATCTTTCAGCTTATTCCATATTTCATAATATGGCGATATTTCATAATATGCACTTGCAAAATTTTATAATTTTATATTTATTGTGGAAATAAGTGTGTTTTGGTCGCCTTTAGTATATTTGTCCATTACAAATAGTATCGTTTTCCATTTGTGATATATGTTATATTAAGTGGTTTTGAAAGATGCCTTCTCTTTTGAGAAATGCAAGCAACATAGGCTACCAGATAAAATGAAAAGACTGAAGCATTCTTCTTTTAAAAGAAATTGAGGTTCGTAATTGGTGATTAGCTGAAATGAGTTACCCCACTTATTATTAGCATTGCCAAAAACTGTGTTTAATCGTTTCTTTTAATTTCGACACATTTTGATGGATATAATTATTTATTTTGGAGCATAAAATTCGATTAATGAATATGAACATGATTAAGATCTCTCAACCAATATAAAAGAACGACATCAACCACATCGAGAAATTATATTTTATACACCATTCACCACGAGGGGATGTATTATCTTTGCAATATTTCTGCTTTGGCTGGTTCCACTTTCTCAAAAACATTTCACGCAGAAAGCGACTATAAAGATAGAGGAACTACATGGTGGTTTGCAGCCACCAAAATTTCACTTCTAAATATTAATTTCCATTCAAGGAAGAGAAACATTTCGTACTGCTTGACAACTCAGTTGCATATTTCGCAATTTGCTAAGACCAATAATGGATGGCATCAAAAACGATAAGCTAACTTATTTATTTTTTAAACTTTTTTAAAGATGTTTCATTAATGAAATGCCAATTTATTGGATATTTTGGTTGCTACCCATTTTGCTATATTTGATTCAGTCGTTTCGTAGTATTCGAATCATATGGATAGCAGTAATCGCAGCGAATCACCGATGTACTCCACTACGCATATTAAACAGAAATATGATTTCTCTTTTCTGCAATGATGAAACAAGTCCTCAGAACCTATTTTCAATACTTTTTCGATGTTTTTTATTGTTCTTTTAAAATTTATAACAAATTATTTTGATGAAAAATTGCCGATTATTGTGATTAGAATGAAGAAATAAGTTAAAAAATTTCCTTCCAAATATCAAGCAAAGCCAAAAAACCAAATTTGCATTTGACATATAATTAAATAATTAAGAAAATTTTAACAAATTTTTTTCGAAGAGAATTTACAGTAATTCTTTATAATCAAACTTTTTGCAAAATTTACAGTTTTACATTTTCCATTAATTTAAAAATGAAGAAAATATTATGAATAGGTTTTTATCGTCGGCCATTAGTTGAACACAGTAAAATAGGCAAACCCCAAATGTTTTAAACCATCTCGGATTAGTGCAGCATTATTTGAGCAATACTCGTTGCGCCATTCACATTCCTTTTGTTTTAGATTAACTATGAGCTGATTTACAACCAAAATAACAGAAAAGATCATATTTTTAAAAATCCTGGGACCTCGAATAGTCTCAAAAATGCATGGACTGCCCCGCGATAAACGGGATTAGATAGTGGAAAAAGAAATGGTTTCAATTGATTTGCTTCTAGGAATAATATCGGATGGGAGGATTTTCTAAGAATTCTTGAATTTATCTCCCTCGACTGTATTAGTTAATAATTTATTTTTATAATTTTTTAATTTAATTAACGAAGCAAGACGATTTGCAGGTAAATGTTGCTGTAGTGGATCACGAAGTCGTTCAAGGTCCTTCAATACTGTCGAAGAAAGTTCGCACAGTTCATTATATCTAAATCTTTTCTCGTCACATCAAAAAATTAGGAACGAAAAAAATTTTTTTAAAATTTGTCTATAATCGAGAAATCTATGTGAAATGAAAATAAGATTAGGACAAATCAAATGGTTATAAGTAAAACATTGAAAGATACAATAATCTCTAAAATAATATCGCATAAAATCTTATAAAAACTTCGCAGAATTTAGAAACACTTTTAAGAAATCTATTTAAATTATGAACTGTTTAAGAAATCCAGAAATATCTGACGTTTGAACCCTTATCATTTTATTACCTATTAGTGCAACCTTCATACTATTTCTGATTAGGCTCGCCTCGCTGGCCATATGAATGTGAACGAAACCAGCAGAATTTTGATCCTTTAATTTCGATATGAATAAAGAATTTATTTTGTTTTAGTTTATTAGTTTTATCATTTATTTTAATTTTTTAATATATATACATAAAAGTAAACAATATTGAACAATATTTATGTATATCAGATCTTGTTTTTCTAATTTTAATTTTCTAATTTTTATGGAATCTAAATTATGTAGTTTTTGTTCACATCCACATGGTCAGCGAGGCCAGTCTTACCAGTAATGGAATAAAGAAGTTTACATTATAAGATAACGTAGAATTTAAACGTCAAGTATTTCTATAGACCTTCAACTTATAGGACATTGAACATTTAGAAAACAGCAAAAGAGTGTTCCAAATGCTGAGAAAAGCTTCAGATTTAAGTTTTAAATCTCAATTCGTCACAATAGAAAATTTGGCATTTTAAAAGATTTCTCAGCTACTGGCTTACTATGGATATTAAAATCTAAATTCTCTCAGTATTTGTACCCAGATCTAAAATATAATTTATGCATCTTAAGGGAATATATGATGAGAGTTGAAATTCTTTGAACTGACATAGTTCTATAAAGATAATAGCTTAATCTGATAGAAATCCATTCGATTATTTTGATTAGATCACTTCGTAATAACTTGATAGATCTTATCAGTCATCAGCAAATATATCAGAATTAAATAAAATGTCACTGATGCACAGTATAAAAACATGGAAACATATAATAATCTTGAGGCGCCAGCGATGTATTGTAAACGCGGCTATCTATGTGATACGCTTGATAACGACCACTGAAATTTCTAAAGTTCGCTCGAATTCCCCAATAATTCCTATTTTATTAAGCGCATCCAACAATTTAACATATCAAAGGCCTAAGTTAAATTAAAGTGAACGACAACATTAACAACCAATAGACTAGTCTGCACTGAAAATTGGCAATTAAATCATATGTTTCAAGAGAATCCTATTTTAAAAATGAATCTTTTCAATATCCCACTACTTATCTATAAGTAATATGCAGTTCAGCGTCTGCAATGTAACTATAAGATAAAAGATAAGATAATAACCAAATCTTAGGATCCCGACTGTGACGGTAAGACGTTCTTGAACATTAAATAAGATTAGAGTACATTTTTCATAAAAAGTTAGAGAAACATTGTCTGATCCTATACATAATGGAGATCTTTGATATGATAAAGTGGCCCATCAATTAATACAATCAAGATAATATATGTCGAAATCGACAATAAACGAGCCCATATTAAAACCAATGTTACTTTTAAGAAAAATACTAGATGAATATCTAGAAATTTGGGCTGATTTCGGCATTTCCCAAGTTTATTCCCAACAAATTCTAAAATAAAAGACGTATTAGCAAAATTCAAAATTCCAATCTCCTTATTTCAAAAATTATAAACCTCAGATTCAAGATCTCCCCTATTCATGCATACCTTTGATAGAGTTAATGTCCCAATCCGTAAAAATGGATCGGAAAAAAATGAAATAAAATGGAAAGTGAAACGAGTAGAACTGAATAACAATCGTACAATATTTTTTCAATTTTTTTTTGTGAATTTCAATTTTTGAAACAAATTTTGAACTATAATAACTGACAAGTATAATAAAATACATAATATAATACAATACATAATCATAAAGGCTGATAAGGGAATAAGAAATATATATGTAGAAAATGATCAATTCTGGCTAACTTCAGTGCCTCAAATATAAATATATAAAGAGGAAATATAAAGGTTTTATTATAACTTTATATATAACTTTGCATAATATAATATAACTTAATATAATATAACTTTGAATATAACTTTTAAGGATAGAAAAAGCGAATAAAAAACACTATAAATATTTTTTTCTGTTACCAAAAAATGATTTTCAAGTTTTCAAATAAATTTTTTTTAATCAAAAAATAAAATAAATTTAAACTAGAATAGTACTTGACGATATCAAAATTCTTTTTTACAGCTAACTTGTGAAACCGAATTATATAGTAGCGATTTTTCATATCGGAAATTTCGGACGACTAAAATAGATAAATTCAGTGAAAAAATTCTAAAAAAGATATTTTTCGACAATAATAAAAATAAGAACAAACCTGTTTAGTATAAAGATAATAAGCAAAAGAAGCAATAGCAGTAGCAAATGTGGCAAAATATGTGATAGGTTCCATTATATCCCAACTATATTCCCACCATGTTAAACGAGCGAAAAACCCCGCTTGCAAACACATAAAAATTAGCGCCGTCCACATAATCCGTTCAGAATGTGCCTTACATTCGATTTCAATTTCCAATTTCACCTAAAATTGCTATTTAATAAAGAATAAAATATTTCAATATTTTTTTTTAGATTTTAAATTCAAAAAACAAAACTTTTAGAATTTTAGAATAACCTTTTCCAAAATTTTTAATTCATCATTAATTTCTTCTAATTTTTGTAATAAAATTCGCTCACGTTCCAATTTAAATTCGTTTATATTCAACGATGCATGAAGTGAAGCAATCATCGCTCGAAGATCATCAATGCATTGCAATTTATCGTTGCTTAATTCTATCGACTGAAATTTTTAAAAAATTTTAAAAATAATATTTTTAAAAAAATTCCAATCTTCTACTTTTTTCTATAATTAAATTAAAAATGCGATCAAATCTGAAAAATTCCAATAAAATTAACATTTTTACCGAAGTTAAATCATTCTCATATATTGATGGTACACGAACAACGTAAAATTCATCATTGATGCGGATTTTAAAATCACCCAAAAGAATGAGATTTTCGATTGATGTGCTTCCAGCGATACGATTTCCTTCTGCAATTCCTCCATGAACAAATTAAAATACGATGAGATAATGAAAAGATAATTAATGATAAGAAAATAAAGATGAAAATAAAATTGCATTAGGTACCAAAATATTTTCCCCAAACAAAATTCAATTACGCTGTAGACTGGATTATGGACGTCGATTAGCGGCATTCAAGAGGTGTGCAAGCCGACCTCAGAATTTAAATATGCGAAAGCTACATTGCACTTCAGAATCTATTAATCCGCGATGCGCACAATCTTGCTATGCAGCTGCGAAACATGGCCAGAGTTGTCCCCTTTTGACCGCTTAAGGCGCATTTTACGTACCGCCGATTGGACAGAATCTCACTTAATTGGATGGATACGTCTTAGCTCAATACTTGCTGCATTAATAGCCACTCAGCTTCGCCTATGCTCATTAAGCCATATTCTTCGCCATCTATGAGGATCAATTAAGATTTGTACTGATAAGGATAGATTTTGAACGCAGAGATGGTTTAGCGTTACTCAGAAGGTGGAAAAGAGAGGGAGAATATTTTCGGTAACTTTTTCGGAGATAACTTTTCGTTGCAGCCAACTGAATTAGCCCAACCATTTATTAACCGTTAAAAGCAAACATACCAATGAATTTAAAGAATTTTTAAAGACTTTGAATAAATGAAAAAATTTTTTTCAATTTAGTTTTTCTTCAGCTATTTATTTAAAGGAATTTTTTTAATAGAAAAACTCAAAAAAAATTAATGTTTAAAATTTAAGCAAATTTAAAAAGAAAAATAAATAACTAAAACTGTTTTAGCTTAAATTTTTATATTAAAGATTTTTATAAAAAAATAATAAAAAATAAAAAAACCTAATGTATATAAAGCAAGAAAGTCAATTCCTTTATCCTCGCTGGCAATATTTCGACAAAAATCATTTACATTTTCGTTTATTGGTTTTAGAAAAAAGCAACAAAAAATTTTTCTTGAAGGCAATGGTATATTTATAATAGGCAAACCATTCTTATAATTCATTATAATATCGTTATTTATAATTTTTTCACAAAAAGAACGCTGAAAATAATAATAAATTTGAAATGAAAAAAAGAAAAATAAATAAAATCAAAAATTAAAATAATTTTGAAGGAACATTTTTAAAAATTCTTTTTTTTCTAATAAGATAAAGCGATTTAAAAAAGAAACTTTAAAAATCAAAAATTTTTCAGATTTTCCAAACGCTTTTCCAATAAGTTTTGATAATTTATAAAGAATAATTATGTTTTTTTTCGAGAAATTCATTCCAATTATTTAAATTTTCTGAAAAATTTTATAAAATTTATTAAAAAATGTTTATTAACAAAATTTTTTGAGTCGAAAAAATTAAATTTTTTGTAAAATTTTTGTTAATTTTTTAAATAAATAATTTTTTTAAATAATTTAGCGTACTTTTGTGTGTATTTGGAAAAAAAACCAATTAGTTTTCTCTAGGAATGGCCAAATTTTTTGAAAATCCTCAGTGCGTATGGAATAACTAACACTACAAATCAAGTGAAAATACAGAACACATAGTTTAAATGAGAGACTATCATTTTATCATAACCAGTTAGTCCTTGTCCTTATCCCAATTGTCTTTTTAGATCTAATGTAACACCCGCTTTATCTCCATATCCCTTTCCTTGGAGCCTTTTGTAACCTTTCACGCTCAAAGCTAAGATGAACAAGCACACTGTGATGCAAAAACCCAAAACCCACTGGGTAACCCAGCGCTCCTTTAAAAGCCGCTAAATGCTTTCAAAATATCGGCCCACTATGTTGAAAACTGCTTTTTTCAGAAAATTTACCATCCTGTTTGAAAAGTCTTTCCAAACCCCTTCATATAATTCGAAACAACGTTGCTGCTTATTCTTCCTAAACCCATCTATAGCCTTTTAATATTGCCGCTTCCACTTCCTCAACTCGCTAATAAACTAATAATCCGACCACAGTTAATAAAAGCAGTGCTGCATGGGATATTAGAGGAAAATTTTGGAAATGAGGGAGAGGATAAGGGAGGATTAGAAGAGCTCCGCGCAGGAATAAATTCTGAACAATAGCCTTTTGCCTGGCTTTCCTAAAACTGTACATTTGTAAATTTTCAACTTCTAAAATTTGTCAACGAAATGAAATTAACTTGTCGAAACTATATCGCTGAATCTCAGAACTCGAATAATTAAATCTTTATTTAAAAAGATACACTAATAAATAAAGAAACGCAAAAGGCTGATGGCAAACAAATTGTGACAAAAATATGACAAAATTTTATAGATTTTTTTATAAAATTACGGAGTTTTTAAAGGTTTAAAGACAATTTTTCGAAAAATTTAATTTTAATTTATAAAATTAATATAACGAATATATAATAAAGAAATTACTAGAAAAAAATTTTCATACAATTAAAATTTAAAACTATTTTATTTATTTAACTAAAAAATGGTAAAAAAAACAAAATTTTTCAAAACTTCAATTTTTCAAAATTCTTTTTCCAGTCCATGTAAACATTGTGACGATGATGGAAAAGTTCGATGGATTCATTTCGGAATGAGTTAAATATTTTCATGGAATCGAATCAACACTGAAAAAATGATTTAACAAACAATAACTGATACAACAATAGTAATAATAATAGAGCGCTCAATAGTTCTGCATAGACCCACTCCGCTGGTTTATCGGATCGATAGCCAAATTTTGCTATGGAATTTCTTAGCAATAGAAATAAAGGTGAGTCGCGAGCATCATTTGGACTTATCCAAAGATAGATTTACAAGAAATAAAACTCCAATGTCGGCGATCCAGAAGGAGAGCAATAACTCATTCTATTCCTTAGTTATTACTAAGCATTTAAAACATAAAAATTAATAGATTTAAATGTGCTTGAAATTTTCAAGAAAAAAAATTAGAAAAATAAAGATTTTAAAAAAAAAGTATTTTTTGCTAATATTTAGAATTTTTTGATAACTTTTTAGCTTATATAATGCATTGATAAATGATAAAATAATGATAAAAAACATTTAAAAAATTTGTAATTGAGAATGCGTGCTGCGATTAGCAAAACCTTACAAATCCTTTTCCTTGATCAAATTATCATTAATCATCTATATGCTAAGATAATGCTGATTCAATGAACTGGAAATTCAACGAAACGCTTCTCGTACTCATTCAATTCCAGGCTTAGCTTCAAGACCTGTGGAACTCGGATGCAAGTGCATAATGCTGCATTTCACTACACATCCTTTCAAATGAAAATAATCATATTGTTTAAAAAAAAGCGGATAAATAAATAAAAATCAACAAAAATTTACTCCAAAATTTCTGAAAATTATATTAAATTAAAAAGAAAAAATTGGAGAAAAAAAATTTATTTACTTAAGTGAAGTGCGAAATTTTAATATTGGAAAAAAGATTTGAATAAAAATTTTTTTCAAACAATTTTATTCATAATAAATAAAAATAACCGTGAGAATCAATATGGATTTTGGAAAAAAAAGGAAATAAAAAATGATTTTTATGAAATAATACGAAAGGCCATGATGACAAATACGGCCCATTTGGGTATAAATTGCGGCCCACTGAGAAAATTTTTCGTTGTTGTCAAAGGCAGGGAGATAACTGTTTATTTTTTGGAAGTGTTGCATTTAGGTGCCACTGTCTTAGCATCCCGTCAACCACTACAAATTCCATTGCTTCTCTTTGGCGCTTCTTTCACCATTGAGACTCTAGTAATTATCTTTAAGCGATCTGTTGGCGTCCAATATTTCAATTTATTATGAATCTTCAGTAAATTTATCGTAGAACCAGCATAAATACTTTTGCGACCCCGCTAAGGTTTCCCAATAACTTTCTTGGAATCTGCCGCAGTTGCTTAACTCTCTTCAACTTTTTCCTTCCAAACCACTGTGGTTCCTTGGCAGCTTCTTCAGAATCTGTTGCAATCATCCATATCTCCAAGGCCCACTGAAGAACTTCCCTAAACACTCCATTTATAATCCTAAAGCCGCGCTATACTCCTTTCCTTTTTGTTACCATTTTGACTCTTTAACTCCTTACCTACTCTCACTTTGTCCCCTGTAGTCCTGCAGTTATGCAGCTCGGGCATGGGCATGCAGTGAGCTTTGATCAGACGTTAAAGTCTGGGGCTTGTAGACAAGAGGTCGTCTCAAAGCCAACACAAGCCATAAGCTGTGAAGGCAGTAAATTTATTGAAAGTGTATTCTATCAATATCACACTAAAAATCTCCATACTAATGCGAAGCAAATAATTTAATTCCTGGTTTACTTTTTCTCGCACCACTATTGATTAGTCTAGCACGGTCGCCTATAAGTCGCTTTCCAACCAGTTGGGCTCTGTACATATTTACTTACTGAAATATATATATCTTTGCTTAGTTTTTCTCCTTTCATCGTATTGTATTTTCAGTAATTTGCTTAATCAGAGAAGGATCTCTGCTTCATCTTTAATCCTTTAATTCTTCTTCCTTATTCTTTTTCTGGTTAATGAGTCCATATAACCGAAAAGTTCCACAATATTTTTAACATTTAAAAGTTTAGGAAATGGTTTTATTAATCGTACAATCTTGCAATAAAAGATTCAATTTGATTTTACGAGCATTTTTCTCAACTTCATTAAAATACAATGGAATAAAATCGGTCGAACAATTAGAAAACGAATTAGCCACTAAAAATAATGAAGAAGATCCGCTCAGTTATAATATTTTTGGTTATTTTTTCTTTTATCATTATTATTTCTTATTTATTTGTTGTGTTGTTATTTATAATTTATTTTTATTTTATTTTAATTGCAATATTATTTTATTATTGCTGTTATTATTGAATTTGTTTTTATTACAAATTTTTTTAGCAAAGAATTTTATTCTTTTCTCTTTCAAAAATTTTTTTAATTTAAATTTTAAATTTAAATTTAATTTAATTTAATTTTTAATTTAAATTTTTAAATTTTTCTTTAAAATTTTTAGTTTTAACTTTTTCAAAAATTTTTTCGTTTTTATATTTTATTTTTTTTAGGTTATTCATATAGAAACTTTGATTTGAACTTGAAATGCTTTTGAACTTTCTTTTTTTTGCATCTTTTTTGCTTTAAACACTTTTTTTCAAATTGTTATATTGTTTCGAATATTTTAGGCAATAAAAGAGTGAGCGTTTTTCACTATACGGATCGAAAATCCGGTCGTGGTTATTCAAATTTTGCCTCTACAATTTATCCAAATCGACCATATATATGGCCTCCATTTCGAAAACTTTATCGTTGGAATTTTATCTTTGCTTTTATTCTCGTCTTTGCCAGTTGTTTTAATTATGAATGGTTCGTTGAAAATTTTGGAATTTCAGTTCAATTAAAATTCCAATTAAAATTTTATTTAATGAAGCCAATGAAAAATTACTCGTTATCATTGAAAATATTGAAAATGTTTTTTAATTATATTATTATATTAAATAATATTCAAATATTTAAATTGATTTTGGTGGAAATTTAAAAAAACTATATTTTTCCAAAAATGGCAATATTTTTTAGCCATGAGATTTTTCTGACAGCGATTATCTTTCACTGGTTAGGCTATCTCCACTGGCTAAGAACAAAAAAATTAAATTAACATTTTTTTTCTATTTTTCTTTTTTATGAAATTATGAAATTATGAAATTTTGAATTATGAAGTTTCGCGAAAATGTAAAAAAAAGGATTAATCAATATTAATAATTATTGCTGAAAAAAACACCATTATTTGATTTGATTTTTTTAATAGGTTCCTGGATGAAGCTAATAAATTTTTGAAAAAATTCAAACCTGAAGCGGCAACGATTAATGAAGACGAAAGCAAATTTTATGGTCATTCTGAACCAAACATTGGTGAGAATGATCGAGAAAAAAAGAAAAAAAAGAAAAGAAAAGTTGGATTTCGTGAACGGCGAATTATAGAATACGAGAATCGCTTAAGATGCTATTCATCAATTGATAAAATATTTCGTTATTTCGCTTCTATAAAGGTTTTATTTTTATTTTTTACATATTTTAGTTGTCTTCATCGAACACCATTTTTGGTTTCCTACAATGTTTATTACTGATGAAAGAGTAGATGGAAACGTATGAGGACGTGGGTCTTTATCATTGGTGCCATATTTACGTATTTATATTTTTAATCTTAGGTCTTTCCCTTAGAAGAAAGGAATGGAACCCACGCTAATTCTTCACAGCCAAAGCAATACATAACTCGATTTAGTTTAATCATGGTTCATATTCATCTTCAGATTTTAAAGAAAGATAGTCCATCGCGACCATACGAAATTTTTATGACACCCGAAGATTTTGTTAGATCTATCACTCCTGGAATCATGCAGCCTCGTAACTTGGGTTTGGATCAGTACAAAACGTATGAAGCAAATGTTAGCCGATCTCATTGTAATAGATCGTTTCAATGTTAGCCGATCTCATTGTAATAGATCGTTACTTACTTTTTTTTGTTTTGTAAGTATTCAGAGATTTCTCCCATTATTTTGTGATAGCTTTGAAATTATTGAATTTAATTATTTTTTTGATTCAGATTTGTATTTTTTATTATTATTCATTTGTGAAGATTAGTATTTTCTTTATTTTGCAGGAATATAAACGTGAACTTGTTACTTCAAAAGGTGTTTTTGCTAAACTCGGTGAATATGGCTTAATTAATTACAATGACTACCTGTTTCTAATGACTTTGCTGTCAGGTCCGATGTCACTATGGTTCTTTTATCATCATCAATTTCAATTTATCAATTTATTTATTTATTTATCAATTTATTTATCAATTTCATTACTTTTCGATGAATATGGTTTATCTGTTGTGTTTATGTTTTTTTCATTTTTATCTTATTAAAGCAAATATTTTTCTAGCTTCTGCAAAAGATTTTAAATTAGCTTTCAAGTTGTTTGATGTGAATGGAAATGGTGAACTAGACAAAGCGGAATTCGAATATGTACAGGTAATTACTTTGAAGAAAGTTTTTAAGTTGATAATTTAATGCGATATCCGATAAATCAGGATGTAATTTTTAACTGATGTCGAATCAATAAAAATTTATTCAGGAACTTATTATGATGCAAACAATGATTGGTCAGAAACATCATGAACGTGCAGGCCTATATAATAAACAGAATTTAAATTCTACTTTAAAATCTTATTTTTTTGGTGAAGATGGCTCAAAGAAATTATCTATCGATGAATTTCTTATATTTCAGGCAAATTCACATTTATATATAAAATGATTATCGCCTCAGTACTAAACATTATACCCATAAAAACAGGAATCGACCTCACCAGACAGGACCCAAGGTGTGGATTGTACATTGGCCTAAATGGCATCGTCTACAATAACATTTGCGCTATGGGCTAGACCCTGCCAAGATTGGAAAATTCTACAGAAAAATATGGAAAAAACTATGATCTTTTGGGATTCTAGATGGACTAGCAGGTGCTGGCCAAACGTTTTGGTACTGGCTGGCGAGGAAATCGGGTGCCCAGTAACAGAAAGGATAAAGAGTCTGAAAATTTAGGGAAGTTTCACGACCTGAAAGGGGACCTAGAAAGGATGCGAAAAATGAAGTCCAAAGTGGTCTCATTGGTCATAGAAGCAATCGGGGATATGAGTGCTGACTTGAGAAAGTAGCTTCAACAGAAACAACATCTCCAAGAATGCATTAGCAGAAACATCTAAGATGCTGGGCTAAAACTTCAAAGGTCTTGAGGTTGAGGAAGACCCATATAATACATGGGTTAAGGGTTGAGAAGAGAAAAAAGTCATATATAATATATAAATATTTAAAATTTTCTTAGATTCATTTTTTGCTTCATTCTTTTCTTAGATTCATTCATTTATATTCATAATTTATTTTAGGCGCATTTGCATCGCGATATATTAAAAATAGAATGTGAACGTCGTGATGCTGAATTTTCAGGAAAGGGAAAAATTTCGGAAGTTTCATTTGCTGAAATATTATTACTTCACTCATGTTTAACTGATGTTAAAAAACGAGTAATGTTAAAACGAGTTAAAAAAAAATTTGGAAATAATTCGAATGAAAAAACGGTTTCTTATCTTTATCTGTTGAAAATTTTTGAATTTTTTATATAAATAATGAAAATATTCACTTCTTATGGGTGATATAGGTCTTCCTCAACCTCGGGTTTACTACCAAAATGCTAACTCGTGAGGGATTTTTTTCTATTTTGTTTTATAATTAAAAATTCATTTGCTGAATATTGTTACTTCACTCATGTTTAATGCTTTATTTTTTCAATTTTTTAGATGTTTTTCAATTGAAAATTTTTTTTTAGGGTGTTACTTTGGATGAAATCTATTCTTTTTTTTGCTTTCTTTATTATATTGAAGATGTTGATTTGGCCCTAAATTTTTACAACATAGCTGGTGCAGCGATCGATGCTGAGCTGTTGAAAAGAGTTGCAAGGAAAGTCACTGGCTGTCATATTTCAGACCACGTTGTTGATATCGTCATTACATTATTTGATGATAATCAAGTAATATTTATTCTAAATAATGTTTATTATCACATGTTTATTATTATTATTATGAACAGATAAATGAAATTATTGAATGAATGAGCTCCTTCAGCCTCACATATATTAATTAGATGAAAGAAATTTATTCACTTGTGAAAGGCGATATAAGACTACCAAAAATAATGTCAAATTCAAAGGTCTGAATGGTGGATTTATAGGACGGCCGATTATCTCAAAAGGAATTTATTTCAATTATGAAAAAACGAATGAATAAAGGCCTAAGACGATCTAGAGATACACGTTTGATGAAACTTATTGGTGCAACGAATCATTGTGTTGTGGAGCAACTGAAAAATAGTTTTTATTATCATTAGTTTCATTTACATTGAAGGGTATCGAATTTATGTCGCCCATTTTTTTAATAGCATGTAAATTTTTAATTGATTTAATGCCTTCATTATTCGTGTTTTATTTTATAGAAAATCTTCATTCCTATAGTCCATGAAACCATTATTGTCATAAATTTTGATCAAGATCATAGAAAAGTTTATTATTTATTATTTGATTAGGTTGAAAATTCTTATCGAATCGTAACATTGTTGTGATAGTCATAAATACGATTTTTGGACGTGGATTACGAATTATAAATTTCGCATTATTTGTTTATTCTTTAGGATAATTCGTTTCGTTTCTCTTGCTAATTGATTTATCTACTAGCCTATTCAATATAGTTGTATTCATCATCATGAAATAGTACCTAAAGCGATTTTGAGATATTCCTAACTGAATATATTTGTGATATAAACAGTGATAAATACAAAAATAGTAATAAAAGTTCCGCTGAAGGCAATACTTTGTTAACTCATTAGCGCAACTTACAATTGTAAAAACATTCTTAAAACATAAGCAGCAAAACATTTGCTGCATAGTAAAACACAAATCTGATATGGCGTTATTTTGATAACTTATATAAGTTCTGCTTTCCTTAATAACGTTTTTAAAATAACTAAAACAATTTTAAAATGATAATTTCATAATGAATTGAAACAAGGTTGCGCACCTTTAGAAAATTTTAGAAAATCAAACGTGCATAATTTGTTAAGCGGTGGGCGCAGGATAGTTGTTGGTTTATTGCTTTCAGGCTCTGTTTCCAATAGGAGTAAACCGAGGCGGTTTTTTGAAGAGTACTTACCATTACTGGTTAAATTCACATCTTTGGCTCGTCGCACTTGACAGGAAGTTTATTGGCGATGGATGCAAGTGGTTCGCCACCCGATTCTTGGATAGGCTCCTTCCAGAAGTAGGAGGGGTTTCAGTATCAGCGCTCCGAATTGAGCAACAATCCAATGAGCCATGCTAAACTTCTTGTTTTTTCTCCGTTAGGTGACACTGCCGCCCAACGGTGGTGTGTCGGCGAATTGAACCCTCGATTCTCGGTGACATTGAGAATTATCTTGCCACTGAGCCACTGACGCATAAGTCCAGTTGATGCTAGTAATTCACCTGCACTTTTGTTGCTATCACTTCCTGCAAAAATCGAAACTTTATTTGAAGAAAGGAACAGCCAAAACCAAGAAATTAATTTGCCAATGTTATGGAAAAGTTCAAACTTGAACATAACCTTCAGAAGCCGAAAAACATACAGTTTATATTAATATCATTCAATCATTACTATCATTACTAATAACAATCATTACTAATACTGACAATCTAACAGCTTTAGGTGCTTAAAATTTTAATGAAGTTAAAAATTTTAAAGCGAAATAGAAGCGAAATGTAATAGAAGTTTGTTTTAATTTTCAACAAAACCCCATTTTTACAGCAATCTTAGTAGGCATGAAAATAAACATAAATAAATAAAGCAAGTCAGAATAGTGATAAAAAATTATCAATTATCAAAAGTTGTTTATTCAGTTAACGCAAATTACACGTTTGTGCGGTCCACTGTGCCATTTCACTTATCACAGTTTTCTTTGCTTGTTCGTAAAAATTTCATACTCCTTTATTCATACGGTGCAAATCTATTGAGTTCAGGGGCGAATTCTCGAATTATTTTCGAGTTTTCATTGCGATGACTCTGTTTATATGATTAGGAAAGATTTTGAGCGCATATGCGCCCCAATGACAGTATATTCTTAGATAGTAGAAAAAAGTGGCTCAATTACTATCAGATACGATATCAGATCGATAGGCTTGGGAACACTCCAGTGCAACTCGCCGTAGTAATATTAAAAGTTGGATAAAAACTTTTTTACAGCTTATGACAGCAAAACTTCTTACTGCAAAAAAAAATTCGTTTCAACAGGGTTATACGTATGCCAGTTGCGTACCTTTTAATCTCCACCATATTACTTTTAATAGGATATTGGAATGATCACAGTTTAAGGTTTCCCCTAAATCAGATAAGCCAAAGGAGAGATCCGCATAATAAAGCACAATCCCTCTCCTTTTAATATTTTCACTCTTTCCCTAGTTTTAAAAACACTAGCGATCTTCCTTTTCTTTTCATTGAGTAAATCATACAACTTGGCAATCTTTTTCATCGTAATGTAGTAACCTCCTTCTCTTTCCCTTATTTTTCAAGACATTTCCAAGACTCTTAAGGGCAAGTTTCTGCATATTAAGCTGTTTAAAAAAAAAAAGGATAGAACCTTAGGGTAGAACATTGGATAGAACCTTAGAAATCTCAAGAGGTGTAGAAATCTCAAACCAGAACATAATATTACGGATCTTGTGCTGGTAAGAAAGATGATGGTGTGTGGTTCTTTTCTGCTGATAGCTACGAGAAACTATAGGCGTTAGACCGGATGTCGGAAACGGAAAATTGGCCTTCAAATCAATGTAAATAAGATGAAACTCTTTTCATCTTATATACTAGACGCTGATAAGATCGCAATCTATATAAATTCATCAACAGCTCAAGAAGTGTCTTGAAATATCTCGGATACAGACTAATTAATCATCAGACTATAAATGAAATTCCAATTCGAAGCTGAAGCCAGGGGTGCATACTGGTGAATCCCTCTGGAATCGCTAGCCTCAAAATGAAAATTCGCATCTATCTGGTATAATACGCACAATCTTAGCTTCTCATAACCATTCTAGCCCAAGATACATACCCATCATGGGAACAGAGTTTCATATGGTTGCATACATCTTCGTTTGAATATCATTTCCATTAAGAATATTGTTAAAGCTTTACCTTCGCTAATTTAACTATATTCTTCGTAGTCCACTAAAAAAACTAATGCACATCGTGCCATTTGCTAAACCCTATGACGAAGGCGTCAAAAGCACAGATGGCCCAGCGAGTGGCCTTAGACAACAGAAAAAGAAGTGGCCTCATTTACTCATTTACTTCCTGGAATTGCATCGGTAACATTTTAGCTAAATCGTCAGTGAAAGTAATCAAACCAACAACACTGCGATTTATTAGGAGGTGGAATTTAAAGTTCTGCCGCAAGGATAGGTGTTTCACAAAATTCACTTACCTAAAACTTCAAGAGATATACAAATTTCTGAGATACACAAATTTAGCTAAATTTAGATAAAATTGGTTGATGGGAATAGTTTAAAGAAATTTTATGGTAGTATCAGACAGAAACGGCTCAGTAGGTTGCTGTTCTAATTTCTAAGCCGTTCTAAAAAATGATGAAAAGTGCAAGGAATGAATTCACGCAAATAATTTCCCTCAGCAAGGGTTTACAACTGATAATTTTTTATATTGGCAATTTTATTTTTCGACATAATATTTATTATTTCAGTTCATACGAAATTTTGTTCGACTAACATGAGACCTAGCAAATTTCGATTGCAAACTGTTTTCATGTAAAATGTGCTTTTGTTTTTAATAAAATAATAAAAAATAGAAGTTTTTGTAGGCGAAAAATTTAAATGATAACCATTTGTACAATTTTTTTTGCAACAATGAACTAAGAAAGAAATATCTGATCGTCGTGTCGACTTTTTTCAATGTTATTGACCTCGGCTTCTTTCTTCAAAATTTCTCATTTCATTTCACTTTTCTTAATTTACGGTGAAATTTTCGATTAATGTGAAAGTTTTTTTTTCCTTCGATTTTCTCAAAATAAATTATCTATCTATTTAATATGAAATTATCAATAATTTTTTTGAAGATTTATGAATGATTTTTGAGAATTTATTAACAAATTTTGAGGATTTCCCAGGATTTATAAACCATCCTTACACATTTTTTAGGATTTATGAATGTCTTTTGAGAATTTATTAACAAATTTTGAGGATTTCCCAGGATTTATAAACGATCTTCGAAGATTTTTTGGGATTTATGAATGACTTTTGAGAATTTATAAGCAATTTTTGAAAACTTTGAGCATTGATGGAAAATCATTTATTTGCAAATTTTTCGTTTCTTTTTTTGCTAATTTCAACTAATTTTTCAGAAATTATTTCTTTAGCACCATTCTTCGCTTCTCGAATATCACGTTATTCTTTACATCTCTTACATCTCTTTTTTATTCTTCTGGATGTGGCGAAAAAAAAGGAAATAATCCTGCATTTCATAAATTATCGATATTATCGATCTTTTTTTGTTCAAAAAATTTTGTCTAAGTAAATGTTCGTTTCTAATAATCGAAAAACACATTCGCAAAATTTTAAGCTTCCTTAGTTAAAATCAAATAAAATTCGAAATCAAACACAAAAAAAGCAGTGAGCGAAGGAAAATCCTTCCGGTAAACGTTTGTTTTACTATAACAATGAGAATATTTATATCGAATAATTCAAGGTAATAAAACTTATCTTCTGACCTATCGATTGAATGCTCTTATTTGAACTTTCAAATATTTTATTTTGCTTCGCTAATTTAGGACGTTCAGTTCATTTTTCGTAATTTCGAAATGTAGGGTACGATTTTATTCAATTATATCCCTATCTGCTTACGTGAAAAAAGCAAATTGCTGAAAATTGCACTATAGTTAATTTGAATGAATGAATATTTGACTTAGAATGATTCCACAAGATGCGTGGTACAAAAAGATACAACAATTTTCCGGTGATCGCAATATATATAATGGTATAATGACTAAACAACAAGAATATGAAGATCCCGATTCATATTACTACTCAAAACCACCGGAAAACGCTATGGTCGGCTTTTCAAAGTACTCATTTGAACAAATTAAGTGATTTTTCTTAGAAGTCTAAGTAAAAAATGATTTTCAAATTTTCAGTTAAAAGAATAGAAATCGAAAAAAAAATTAGCAAAAAATTAATTACAATATGGAACTTTGATAGCTTAAAAATAAGGCAAACTAAGATGATGTTTTTAATGATAATGTTTACTTGTTTTTCTTTTCTAAACTTTATAGAAGTTGCTTCATTTATTGCACTCTGCAGGATTACGGCTAGAGTAGCATAAGATAATGAGATTTATTTTTTAAGGCACCTTAAAAGATTCTAATAATAGCTAGTTTTTCAGCAGAAAAAACTGCCAACTTTACCAACATCACTAATTCAGAATTCGATTCGGAACCAACCGTATCGAACAAAACCGCTTGAATCGGTTAACACTTTTTGATTATTCTTTATCATCAAAAACTGAACTAAGCTGGATATAATGAATGAATGAGGATAAAGGTTTTATACCGAACTGCTTTATTTTCGCTTCGTATCGTAGTGACTGAACAAACTAATATATTAGCTGCGACGCGAAAGACAAAAGGCAAAAAATTTTATTCCAGCAAATAAACGGAGTTCGAAGAATAATCGTTTTGAGCCTCACATTAGTGTTGGTTTTCGTAACCCTTATTTGTTCCATTCTGCTTTTCATAATTCTGGTACCAAGGAATAATTCGTATCAAAATGGGCAATCCAATGGCGAGGTTCATTTTTTGTTAATTTTTTTCAGTTTTTCTGAGTCTTTTCACTTCGATATCGTAGTTTCTTCTTTCTTCAGTTTCGCGTAAATTATGCTTTAAAAAATTGTCATCCTAATGAACCATCCGTACTTCCATCGCCTAATGACTCCTGACACAATTTCTTTGACCCGGCACTTCTTCATTTCTTCTTCTTTCTCCATTTTTTTTCTAATGGTATTTATTTGGTTAGATGGCTTCATTAATTGCATCTTACAAAAATATTGGGTCTCCAACACTATTCTTAGTTGAAATCATTGTAGAACGCGGTAGAACGGCGTAATTTTGTTGACGCCGAAATGAAGAACCTAAATTGTTTTCGCTTCAAATTCAAAATACAACTTCAAAAAATATAACTTTTAGTTGGCGCCAGAAGAACAGTTAGAACCAAAAGGAGTGGAAAAAAGTACACTTTCACATAATTTAATCTCTGTTACTAAAGGAAATGTCAGTATTGAGATCTCACCCAGTTTTCTCTTGACTATGCTAATTACAAAAAGAAAAATATGCGTTTTCGAAGTTAGCACTGATAATCTTAATGATAGCAGGTAAATGCATATTATTAATTATAATTTTTTTATATTATTGTATTATTTTATATTATTCATTCACAAATGAATTTGCACTTACAAATTAACAATGGCAGTCATGATCATTTCCTTTTTATGATTTCCTACGATCACTGTGTAATCTAAATCAACGAATGAACGAAGTATTGTCGCAGTGCTGTGCTTCTATTCTAATTCCTGTTGTTAATTTCTGTTGCAAAAAAAATGAAGAAACTTTAATAAAACCTCAAACTATACCTTAAAGTCTTATAATTAACAGAAGCCGAAATTTCACCGTACAAAGTGAAAGCAATCTTTCTGATCCCCGTTAATTTCATTTTTCAGTCGCATTATTTGCTTAAATTCGACTCATTAATTTGCATATTATATTACATTAAGACACTTCATAAACAGGTTTTTTATGAAAAAAAAACAAGTCGAAGAATAATAATTTCTGACTGAGTCTTTCTAGGTTTAATTTTTAACATTTGGTGAATAATATATACAAAAAAAAAACGAATTCGTTTGCATATTCAATGAGAAATATAGCCGTCAAAGTGGTCCTTCCATAGACTCTTAACAGCAGATGAACAGTGATTAATTTGCCAAAATTTCTAATGGTGAACTGTGGTTGCTATGAATACTAATAAAGTTCTTTTTAAAAAATTTTTCTTTATTTATTATGTCCATCCTTCTATATTTTAAATTAACATTTCTATAAATTTTTATTTAAATTAATCGAAATAAAATCGAATTTAAACAAAAATTTTATTAATAAACTTTATTAAATGAATTAGGAATCTTTTTCCTTTTTTTATCATTAATTATTAATATTTATTATTTTACTTATTGTTATTAATACAAGCACATGGTGTTGCCTCCCTGCTTGGCTGGTTTTTAATTTATTTAAAGATCGTTTGTTAATGATCACCGAAAAATACTTAACATATATATTTATATTTAAAAATAATAAAATTCGATGCCTTTGCAAAAAAAAAAAATTTTATAGGCGATATTATCGAGAGGAGCACATTGAATCAGCTAAACTGTTGGAATGGCCAAGCCTAAGTCATAGTGGTGTTCCAATTCATCCACTTCAGTTTCAGAGATTACTTCGCAATCTTGGTGTTGATTCTGATTGTCATGTCATTCTTTATGATCGGGGAGAAGTTATCTGGTCAACATATGCTTTCTGGATCTTCCAAGTATTGTTAATTGTTTATGCAAAACTTCAAAACAATTTTTTGCAAGATTAAAATCGCACTTATAAATCACACTATCACACTTGATTTATCACTTACGAAGATCTAAAGGAAAAATGAAGCGAAATTATTATTTGCTGATCGACTTAACTGACCATTTTGTATTTTACACTCAAAATGTTTCCATGGAACTGCTTTTTTTTAAGAGTCTCCACTGTTACTGTTTAGACTTGTCGTGCAAGACAAATATTCCAGGGTGTCTCTTGGCGATAGAAATACAGGTGAATCACCAGTATCATCGGGATCTTTGGACAGGTCTACTCCTCTGGACGGAAGAACCTCAGCCTTGGCACTCTGACTTAAATAACAGCCCACTGAGCCATTCCACTGCATTTTGTATTTTACGCGCAAAATATATTTCTATGAAATTATTATGACATTGCAACCTCTAAATTGAAAAAATTTAAGTTTTTATCAGTTGAATCACTTAAGCAGATTTCCATGTGAAAATCGTTATCATATTTCTATTTTCTACTTCCTTCAGTCATTTTATTTTTGGGCACTCTTTTGGATGATAGGGTACTCTCGGTGCTTATTAATTGTTATAAATTAATCGACAATCAAGCTGTTAGCGTTCTCATTAGAGAATATTTTAATTGAATATTTTTTTGCTGGTACTGCTTTCACCTAAGGCTTTTTAGGACTGCATTTGTTCCTTTGGATCTGGTTTGATGCCGAGTAATCAGTTTCATATTTTGAAAAGTAGAAGTTTTTTTTTTAGATCATCGTCATTAAACACCAATTCTGGCCATGAGATGAAATTCTTCTCTTTGGGATAGAAGTACAAGTGGATCCCAAACGGCATCCACATTTAATTTTTAATAGCATGTTCAGCCTCGTCATGGAATAGGAATCGAACCTATGATAATTTTATTAGCTCAAAGCAGCACATTACTCAGCCAGCTTACTCTTTATCTTTAGTTGAAATGAAGCTTTCATCATGGGCACATTAGCTACATGTTTTTTCAAAGTAGTAATCCTATTATTAAGTTATCAACATTGTATAATAATGTAGAATAGCACAAAAGCCTATAAAGGATTATCGAAAGAATGTCGAGGGTCTCATGCTTGTTTCACAATTGTGAACTTTGTGATTTATTACTACCTCAGCTGGATGATTGGAAAGTGTGGTGGTAATTGCATGAGTTGAGAATTCTTCAGGAAAAGAAATTTTTTGGCTTTTAACTTCTTTGCTTTACTGGATAAATTTGTTCGGCTTTCTTTCATTATATCTTGTTCTATCATAATGTTTCAGTTATTCGGCCACGCTAAAATATCACTTCTAGCAGGTGGGCTTTTGGAATGGAAACGCCTTCAATCTAATTCTACTCAATACAGAATTGAAAGCGGAGCTGGTGATTTTGTTAGTCGGATCGGCAACTTTCGATCCCAGTGGAACTCTAATGTAAACCATTTTTCCCTTGCATAACATTATATAACATATTGATAGCAGAAAAATCCGTCGTAACGACGAGTAATAGCATGAAAAAGAAGGCATTATAATTAGCATAGCTGTTTAACGAATTGTTTAAAAACCCTACCTCAAAGCTTTTTCACATTCATATTAAAAAGAGAAAGGCGGTGCTATTCTGGTTTGGTATAATAGATTTGTTACCGTCAAGGGACTTGGCAAATATTGAGGAGTAAAAGGCGGATGATCGAACATCAAGGGTGTTAATGGAATATAATAAGGTAGTGCAGCTGGAGCGCAACATCTTAGGAGGAATAACGATGATTTATTTATAAGAATTAACAGTGATTAATACGGTGCCAAGCGAGTGTATTCATGGTTTCAGGAACAGCTCGAGGCAATTTTTTGGGCACGTGACTAATTGTCATTTGGAAATTCCATGCAAGTATAGATTAGTTAATGCAGAACTGACTGTCTGACGATTTATTTTTCATTCTTTTTCTATACTGAAGGTGCTTGAATTTATAATTTTAGATTATTTACACATTCGACGATGTGATGAATATTGTTGAACTAAAAAATCACGATCTAATTGATGCTCAAGATAAAGAGGTTATTTTTTTTATTTATTGGTAGCTTTTCCTTTAATATCTTCAGCTTGCGTCACAAAGCTCATCAGACCATTTTTTCAACAAATCACTTTAGATAACTGGAAAAATTGCAAATGGATTTCCACTGGCAACTAAATTTTGCTTTCAGTGAAAGGTTTATTCTTGCCTGGAGGGCATAAATATTTACTAGTCTGACAGCAACTACTTTTAGCAGTTTTTTAGTTAAGGATAAATATACTGTATACGAAAGGACATATAGATGGATTATATTAGATATAATTTTTTATAAAGCTGAATTTTTCTGGTAAAGATTTTTCGCATTTAATAAATTTGATAAATTTTTAGCACTATAGTGGTATTGGAAAAGAGGCAGTATATGGACATATCCGTACAGCACTGAATATACCTATTGATGATGTATATGACTGGCATAAACGAAAGTGGCTTGATGCTAATAAACTTTTCGAAATTTTCATTAAAAAAGGCCTTTCTCGGTCGCGACGAGTGGTTATTTATTGTGCCACTTCATTGAAAGCTAGCATGATATTTTATGCGTTGCAAAAATGTGATTATGATTGCGCAATATATTTTGGATCATGGTCTGAATGGCTTATTAGAGCTCCAGATTTTTTAAAAGTCGTTCCTGAAAAAAACGTCTAATTGACAAAATCATGAAGTGAGCATTATTTTTTATAGAATAAAATGAAAAGCATTTCCGGTGCATTTCTTCGAAAAAAAATTTGCAATCATGAGCCTGAATTTTTTGTTAGTCTTTTTATGTTTTATGCGTTAATTCTGAAAATAATTATTGTCTCATTGGATTTTTTTTCCAAATTAAACTACATTGAAAAATTTGCAAGAAAATATGTATTTAGAAAAATAAAAAAAAAGAAAATTCGAAATAATGAAATAGGAAAAAATTGCTTTATTTTAACTCTAAATTTTCGACTAAATTACTGAAATTTTATGCAAAATTAAAATCGCCATTTCGCTTTTGATTAATAATTTTAATTTAACATTGTTTAATAACTGATTTGACATCGCTGTTTTCTTGTTTCTTAAAAATGAATAAAAACAAAATGAAAAAAAATCAAATTTTAAGAAGTGAAAAAACTGTACGTCGAACTTTATCATTCCCTTTCTTCTTCTTTTATCAGTTTTTAGCCCAGGCGATTTTCCTTATTACTGCAGCAATGTGCTTAGATGACGCTTTTGCTAGATTTAATCACTTGGGGATAAATGCTTCTTAGGCTGACGGTAAAAAATTGGAGCGGACTAATTCAGATAATTGCATATTTTTTTTCGCCACATCAAATTTAACTTAAATATGATTTTTAGAAAACTGAAGAAAACATGTGCAACTTTATTATAATCCGACTCTTAACTCTTAGCTCATGAGCAGTCGCTTAATTGATTTCACGCAGTTTTCATTTGTGAATATATGGGAATTCTGAGGTTCAGTTAAAAAATTGGAAACGACTTCATGCTTGTATTCTTTTTAAATCCCCAAGTTTAGTTTAGAATATTAAGTAGCAAAAAAGGTTGAATTCATTTGATTAAAGAAGAAATTTTTCATTCAGATCATTTTTACAGAAGTATATCCAGGGAAGTAAAAGTTAGTCGCCAGCACCATTTAGACAGGTTTATTCTTGTCCGGAGTAGAACACCAACACTAGCGCTCCGAAATAAGAGCAACCCACTAAGCCCTCAAATAGAATATTGCTGGCGAATTCTAAATAAAGTGAAGGCGGCTTAGCATTTATTATTAATATAGTCATGATATTTTGAAAAAATTATTCATTATTTTACCAAAATAAAATTCTAGATCGTCGAAAAGCTATTAAGCTATTAATAAAATAAATTCTCCAAATCAGCCAGTATTTAGCTTTTAAAGCAACAGTACTTTTTTTTAACTATCTGTAAAACCATAGATTATAGCCAGCGATGTCGTTATTCAGCAAGGGAGGTACCAGGATTTTCACCTATTGTTTCGTTGGCTGAAGTATTATTTACGAGCCTTATCATAATTTATAAAACACTTCAATCAAACCGAAATTAGAAATTAAAGTGGACTTAAATATTAATTAAATAACTCATTATTTCTTTTAAAAATCGTAGAGTTTCTGTTTGAAAAAAATTTTTCTATAAAATTATAATTGGTCGAATTACTGTATAATTCAAATTTCTTGGTGGAGAGACTCAACTATAAAAATCGAGTTAAATATGGATAAAATATGGATAAAAAATTTTTACAAAAGTGTCTATTCGAACGTGGAGAATATTAAAATATTTATTTTTGTGAAAAATTTGTATTAATTAATTATTTTGATTAATTCTATTTTTAATTGATAGTTTGTTGTTATTATTGCTTTTTATTAGTTTTATTAAATATATTATTATTATTAAATATTTATTAATTATTGTTATTAAATATAATTATTAATTCTTTGTTTTATTGTAAAATTTTTTATTGAGCTGATTTTTTAGAAAATTTTTTGAATAGTTTACGATTGATTTCGTTCGTCACTGAATTTATTTTTTGTGCCATTTTAACGAAATATCAATTATCGAGATTATTATGAATTTTGAATGAATAAAGTTAAACGAGTTTTCAATTTTGATTCAAATTCAAAAGATATGCAAAAATATATCAACTTTCGCTGGCAAAATTTAGATCAGTAAATATAAATTGATTCAAATTCGCGAAATGTTACTAATATTATTGCCACTAAAACAATATTTTGAATAGAAAATAGACATAAACTTTCTTGTTTGTTTCTATATTATTCTACAAAATGGATTTCAAATGTATGTAAGGGAGGTTTCACATGAAAATATTTATCATTGCCTATAACTTAAAACCAAAATAATTAATCATTTTTCTTCAAAAATATTAAGATAATCATAATAAAAATAGTGATTTTCACGTGAATTTAACAAATTTGCATCCATCGATTGTAAAAGAAATTATTCATTACATATTGCAAGTTCCATTGTAAAACTCGTTGGTATGATTTCCTGACCCTTGACGGGAGTAAGCTAGTCATAAGGAATTAATTCCGTACGTTGCCGGGGACATCACCTGTAACTGTATTTCCAAGAGATTCTCTAGCAGTTATCAATAGAATCAGCCCAAAAGGTCGATGAAAAGCAAACAATTGACAGTGGAAAATTTATACTAGAAAGTTCTGTAAAAATTTGTCCTGCTAGAGCGTCCTTCAATTCGCCTAAGGATTGTCGGCTTTTCTCTTGCTTAACTTAACGACATTTTTCAGTGTTATCATTTATAAATAATTACATCTTTAATATATTTCAGGCATTTCCTTCATTTTAATTTTACATTAAATGCTTTAAAAGTTAATCAATTTAACAAATTTTTTTCTCCTCTTTTTTTTTTAAACGAAATTAAACGATTCTTTCTAGTCGCAAATAATTTTTGAGCATATTCGGCTTATTCAAGCACATGGTGGAAGATTTCTTTGAGTGAGCAGGAATCCTATAAAATTGTTGGAAATATTCCTGAAAATATCGAAATTTGTGGAAAGATAAGTAAATATTATGTAAATAAAAATTGTTTAATTTCAAATAAAAATTATTAAGCAACATAATGACAGCAACATACTGATAAATTTATCATAGACAGAGTAATAACAGCCAAAAAGATATCGAAAAATAGCGAGCATCATTAGCATTTAGGACAATTTCATTGGCCATGAGGCAAGGTTTTCGATTTCTATTCATATTCATTCATTTGAAATTAATATTGGCCCTCATATTCATTTTTTCATCTATTCTCTAAGATATATTGATATTATATAAGATATAATATATTGTTGTGCCTTCAAAACCTTTCCCAATTGTACCAACTTAAATCTGGACTAGGCTTCTACACTTTCAATTCTACTCTTCGTAAGTATATGGTTAACTTCTGTGATGGAAGAACATAGTCTAGCGCAGACGATATGGAATGATACTGTTATTGCTGAACTATCGAGAAAAAGTGGACAAAGTCATATCTGCTCGGCTGGCTGGAGCAGATAAATGGAAGATAGTTAGCTTTCTCATATCTTCCACTCTATGACCACTTTTTCGCTGAAATATGATTGCAGTAAGTTAGATAATTTTCACTGATTTCACGGCGATTCCACGAAGGACTATCAACACAGAAGAAAGCATTTTTAACTTTTAACTACAGTTACCTGAGTTAGATTTTCGACCACTATTGGCTCGTTTGGTTTAAGATCGGACTCAAGTTATTTGAAAAACTATCAATACACCAATCGGTGATGAATTTTTGAATATAGGTATTTTCCTAATGCCCACATCTAAGGTGAGAAAAGAGTTTTGCCTTAACGGAAGGTCGGATTTCAGCTGTAGCTATCGATTTGTCTTCTACCAGACTTTGAGATTTTGTCTTCTGCCTGTTTTTACGGCATTCTTACTAAAACGACAATCTAAGGAGTTATCCTATCAAAAAAAGAATTTTTTTGATTCAAAAGTAGGCAAAGTCTAATTTTCATAAAACCAAACAATATACGAAAGGTAATTAAAGAAAAAACTGAAAAAGTTATATTCACCTGGGAATCAGCAATATTCATCTTAACTGGAGGTAAAGAATATTTTGGATGGAGATAATCGTTGACAGGTGATAAATGAACACTTCTTAGGCAATATTGTTTTTCCATTGCATCATATAAATCGAAATTTCGATGAAAATATTCAAGTGAAATTCTGCAAATTTTAATAAAATTAATTTATTTTCTATAATTTTATAGAAAATAATATTAAATAAATAATGCAAAAACTAAATTAAATTTTTTATCAAAAGTGATTCCCTTTCATATAAAATGCTTAAAAATAATTTTATTATTTTGCAAATCACTTTTTAATATTATTGCTATAACAATAACATAATGCTATAACAATAACATAACATAATATCATTACTAGACGTCTACTCATAGAACTTATAAAATAAATATAATTGCAATAAATTTCGCCTATCCTGCAAGAATCGTTAAAAACAAGAGATTACGAGTCTGATAATAAGTTGAATTCATGAAATCTAGTATTGCGACGTGGCGATTTTATAGAACAAAATGGTATCTCCTTGCGTGGATGGAACATCGTCGGAAGTAAGGTACACCATCCCATAAAAAAACCGATTAATAATATAGTATAAATAAAAAGCACCGATATGGTTAAAACAAGTAACATGCGATTATCATGGTTGGCCAGAACTGTAATCTTCTTTATCAACTGCAAAAAATCTATTCAGATGTCTCTTCATCGATAAAATCAGGAAAATATACGATAATCAAAACCGATTAATTTTTATTAGGGAAAAAAATATTTATTTTTCAAATAATCTTTTAAGCAAAAATAATAATAAAATAATTCAATGAGAATAATTTTCCGAAAAAAATTCGGAGATGCGGTAATAATTTTTAATAATACATATATACACTCTAAAAGCTCACCGTTTCTGGTCGGGCTGACTCGGTTAGCTAATCGGATTAGACAAATTTTGCTAGGGAGTTGCTTGGCGATAGAAATACAGGTGAGTCGTCAGCATCACTCAGCGTTAGATTTTTGTTTTATTCTTTGTTGTGATGAAAGAAAATTAATAAAATTTTACGATTTTCAGCATTGATCAGCAATAAAAATTTACTCAAAACAATCTTAATGATATAACTAATTAAAGGATATTTCGTTCCAAATATTATGGTATTTATTTTTATTTATTTATGTTATCAATTTTAGTTATCAATAGATTTACGATAAGTGAATCGATAAAATTTAAGCATCTCCTAATTTCTAGTTCGCTTGTAGTAGGATTTCTTGCTTGGCTAATTCTAACGACTGCTCAGCTGAAACGAAGTCACTTGAAGACCGAGCAGCAGCAAATCGGCCCTCAGCAACCACACATATTTCACTTTTAATTGCATTGTTTACTCTGCTCGGCAATATGGCTTACTTTCGGCCGAAACAATACTTTAGATAATTCTAAATATTTTCTTCGGGAGTTTTACTCAGCTAAATAAAACATTTTTATGAAAAATATGTCAATTTTTCAAAAAACAATAAAACAATATATTCACATAGGCGCCGTCCACAAATTTCAGAAATTCAATGAATGTTTCAAATATTTTTTTTTGTCTTATAAAATAATAATTTGACACATCCCCACTATAAATTCATTATTGTTGGGTTATTTGAAAATGTGTAAGTAAATCTATAAAATGCATAAATTAGCTTATAGTAAAATACTAAATTCTCTCTTTACCAAACTTATTGCTTAAAACTTTCAGTGACATTTATTTTATGCGTAAATTGTTAGCGAAACATGGAATATCGCAGAAGTAACTGGAAAAGTGAATAAAACACGATGACCGCAAAAATTTAACATAAATTTGGTGTAATAAAAGTCAATAGAAATGATTAATGCTTAACTTAGATTTCTCACTGATCTTTTTATGTAAAATTCTGAAGTATTCTCGAATTACAAACCTGAAAAATAAGAAAGTTCAACTTAATTATCTTTTATTTCCATTAATTATAACTTTAATAAAAAATATAAAATTATTAATTAATAATTAATAACGCAAATCGACATGGAAATATTTAATTATTCAAATTAAAATAAAATTCATGGCATTTTTAAATAATTTTACTAAAATAATTAGAATAAGCGTTCTGACGTTCCACGCTGATACGGCTAGTACCTCGCCGCGCTTGCAGAGGGGAGAAGAAGAAAGAAAGGAAGGAAGAAAAAGAAAGTAATTAGAATATTGAACAGTGATGTTGTACTTTTTTGCTGAGACTGATGAGGTTCTTTTAACAGACTCTTCTAGATCGAGTGCCGACAAAAGCAGCGAAAATTAGCCTTTAAATTAGATAAGCCGATAAAGCCGTAGCCTTTATGAATTTCGAGAATTGTGGAACTGAAATATCTTTAGTCCATTCCCTTATCTGATAGCCAGACAAAGTGTGAAATTTCAGCTCCTATAACATTCTTTCGTTCAGCCAAGCCTCTCCAAAATCGCCGCAAAATTAGTCTTCTGTACGCATAGTCTTAATATAAGACTTTGAAATATGTCCACTGAAGATGGAAAATATCAGGAAAAATCTGCCTTTGACAATCCTTTACTAAAAGCATATTACTTGCCAAGCTGACACAGTTCCACCCACTCAGATACCATTTGCGTTAATATCCTCGACTGCTCCGAGTAAATCATATTCTTCATTTCCCGTCCAAGGAACTGACCCACATCTTGCCCTATGACCGATGATATCAAAGGCGAGAAGAGTCGAGATCTAGACCGATAATGCGAGAGATTTTGAACGTGTAGTCAGAAAAAGGCGGAAAGAGGACTGGTCTTCAATCACTTTGGGACATAGCACCACACTGCTAGGCTCGTGCCTCCAGTTGTTGGTGGAGTCAGCCAAATTAGCAGTGGCGAAGACAATTGAAAGAAAAAAAAAGAATTAAAATAATTAATGATGCACATAATTTAGATTCGCACTTAGATGTTACCATTTGGAATAAACATAACAATATTTGGAACTAAAAATATAGAAAAAAACAGGTCGGGCAAATTTGAACCTCTCGATAATCTCTATAGAAAAATTTTTAAACAACGTAGAAACATTATAGAATATAACTTTGCCTACTCTATGAGAAAAAGTTAACGCTGGTGCAATTATAGGCAGAAACTAAAAAGTGACCGCATTTGGAAGACCTAACGATGGGAGACGAGCGTTATTATGCGGCGATCTGGAACGGACGAAGAAGTCGTGTATAAAGAATTCAACTCTAGATGAGTCTGTGGAAATATACTCCTTTAGAGTATAACAATCGCATTGCTTTTGGGAATTTAAGACAACATATTTCGATTTATTTTCAGCACTCCTTTATTTTTGCAGAACTAAATACATCATTTGCCATTTGCCATTTGCCATTTGCCATTTGCTATTTGCCATTTCCTTCGCATACAATAAGTATTTTAAATGATTATAAAACAACGCTTTAACGCTTACACCGCATATTCAAGCGATTTACATTTTTGCATAAAAATGTATTTTGTATAAAAATATAAAATATAAAAATGTATAAAGCGATTTTGTATAAAATAAACAAAATCTTTTAACGAATTTTTAATTATTATTACTCGAGAGATTTACTCGACGATAAATGAATAGTTCAGCGTTCAGTAACCCTGTAAATTTCATTTTCAATGAACCATTTAGTCCCTCAAAAAACGATACTCAAATCTAACAATATTTTTTTCATAATTTTACAAAAATTGTAATTGTAATTTTTATAAAAATTTAAAATCAGTGAATTTAGCAGAATATAAATCTTATACACGTTGCGATGCTAAAAAAACGGTAAAAGCAGCGAATGATAAGATTATCGAATTCCCACCTCAGTAACAAAGGCAATTAATTAAATTAAATATTGCTAGCAAATGTTGCAGCAGTTCTCAACATATCGATCGAATGAGAAGGAAACTGACTGGTACTTCACCAATGCCGAAAACTTTTAGCTGGCGTTTGCCTTTCTTCTACTTTCAATCTTATTGAAAACACATACGGAACAGTTAGTCAAGTAAAAAGAGAAGGAATGAGGATGCTTATTAATACCATTCTGCCGGACACAGCCAGTTACTTTTATCGCTAGCTTTACAGCACTAATAATTCCAGTATACAGCATCACAGCATCAAAGAGAAGTTTTGGTACATCCACATCAGAGCCATCATCTTATTTCCCTATCGCATTTATTTTATAAATTTATAACCAATATTTATCTGTATTTGTAGTTTACTAACAGCGATAGTACTAAAGTATTCGCTTCACTTATTTCATATTTTATTTAAATGATGGGAATAGAACAGAATTAAACGAATAAATATATGAAGATCACCGCTTTTTAAAATTTTCTTACTTCAAATATTGCATACCGGTGAGTTTTAAAAACAACAAATAACCCGAAGTTATTATTATTTTTATATTATTTTTTGACTTTATTTAGAATAAAAACAGGGAACCAAATTTAATTAGAGAAGATAAGCATAAGATAAACACTTTAAAAATTTTTCATTGAAATCTTGTTTTAAAATCGAAATTAAAAACAAATAAATGCGTTTTACAGCAGTGATAGTCATAACAATTATCTGCAACAGGCTTTCTTAATTTGTTTTATCGATGTTTCCATTGTCGAAACCAATGATCATTAATAACTGTTCAGGACTAAGAGATTCAGATGCGCTTAGCTTCGGCATATCGTCCAGTAATGAAGATCTACTACTTTCCGATCGCAAAAAACGATCCTGAAGTAGAATAAATAATAAAAATGAAAATTTGGCAAATTTGAAAAAAGAAACCTTGAAGAAACAAAAATATTCATACCACAGTTAGATTTGAATGTTTATTACGAAATGAGATCGCACTATCATAAACAGGCCAGTCATAATCTCCAAAAAATGGATGAGATCTCATTCCATCATCAGATATCCGTTCCAGCGGGTTGATTACCAATAATCTGAAATAAAAATAGTGCCACACAATCGCTTATTTACATCGTTCCAAATCTATCTATACTCTCCGGCGCAAATTGTTAGCAAAAGTAGGAATCATAAGTAATATGCTCCAGTAAATATAGGATTACCTAAAGAATCATTATCAAATAATATGTGCAAATAATTCAACATCGGATGTTGCCTGAGCTAAACCTGGCGTGCCTCAAGGTAGTTTACTGGTTCTTTGTGCTTCTTAATATACATTTATGATATTAATTGTCATGTTCCAAAATTTTGTGTATTAATGACTTATTTATTTTTTACTATCAAATTACGCAAGATCTAATGAGTTGAAATTACTGAAGAAATTATTAAATTATTGAAGCCTGTCTGTAGGATCCAATTAAGAAGCTATAATTTTCTTGTTCGCACCATTTATTATTGTAATAAATTAGCGAAAAATATACGTTACTTAAGTTTAAAAAGGCAGCGATATTCTTTATAAAATTCTTTAAATATAAAATAATAGGTTAACTAAAGATTTATAATCATTTCACTGATCTCATATTCTGCCATTCTACTATTTTGCCATTATTTTATTTTTTGCTTTTATTTTTGAATTCTCTTTTTATTTACATATTTGTTTATTTATTTATTTATTTTGTTGTCTCCAGCTGTTACCATTGCTATGCTTGTTTTTTATTGGTTCAGTACAAGCAAACAACACACTGCCTGGCTTTTTCGCAAATACAAACAAAAAAAAAATAAAAAAAGATGGCCTGAATTTGTTTCTAGAATCAAAAATGATCGAAGGCTTCCATATAAGTCTTACAATTTTCAAGTTTAACCTTATTTTCAAGGATGAGCGTCTCATTTCACCATCCATTTAGTTAAATTATAAATTAAACCTGTGATTTCATCAATTTTGTCCGAATATTATGATGAAACATTTTAAAAAAATTTAGCTGATGATCATAAAGCAATGGCTAAAATACCGTGAAAGAAGATCTCGGGCAACAAAATTAATTTCCACATAATCAAGTATAGGCAATTCAAGAGCAGTTTCGAGTCCATGGAAACAAAGACTACTTAAGCTTTGACCGCAGAGAAGTTCGAAAAAAATTATGCCGACTGACCATCGATCGGCTGCATCTGTTGCAACGTTGGTTAATGATCGTAATTCTGCAAGAATTTATTGATAATTGTGGATTTTCTCTCAAAAATGGAAATGCTGACGAAAAATGAGCTCCAAAATTCGTTGAAGTGAAACAAACTATTTATTTACTTATTTTACTTCATTTATTTACTTTTTACACCACTCTCCGATGGTCCTTTTTGGTATTTTTAAAGTTATCATTTAGCCACTTCCATTCTGATAAAAAAAATTGCTCAATTTACAGCTAAGACAATATGGAAATATCTTGAGATAAATTGTAGGTGTGAAAATTCATGCAAAGGTTGGCAACTTATTCAGTCATTCACTTATTTATTAACCCATATCGAAGCATATTAGATGAAAAATCGCCGATCCAATCAGAATTTCCTGAAGAATCACTCATCTAAATCCAATAATTTTCAGAAAATAAACTTATGCTTATGATTTAGATTCCATAAAGTTATGACACATTCTATTCGAATAAAGTTTTAATAATATAATAATAAATTCATTACAATTACACAAGAAGTTCACCTGGAGCAACATAATGATTATCTATTGCACTTTCGTCGATTCTTTTATCGATATTGCTCCACTGCCCACAATAAGTTAGTTTTAAATTACCATAGTCATCGATTAATAAATTTTTAGGCTGCAGATCGCTGGAAAAGAATTTTAAATAATGATTTAAAAATTCTATATATAAATGTTCCTTAATTTACGCCATTATTCGAAGGATATTTAACGAATGACAAAACAAACAAAGGAAAAAATCATCCGAAAACTTCAAAAAAAATCTAGGAATTAGAGGAGTAAAACGTTTAATACAGCAATACCAAACAATGATTCCTTGGGAATGCAATAAGTAAAGAGCACTTGTGAGTTGAGCAAGCCAGTGACCAATAAGAACTTCTGGTAACTGTTTCGTACTGTCCCATGTTTCACCATCTTTCAATCGCTCATTTACCATTAAAAGAGCTTCGTTAATGCTCAAGGAATTATATGCTGCAAGAAATATATAAATAAATAATTAACAAGTTATATTCAGCTATGTATGAACCTGTGTATGAACCAGTTTCACTGGTTACTAGGTTGACACCATATAACGAATTTTACAGTGGTACTTTTTATCCTAATAAGATCACCAATATTCATGGGAAAAATAGATTCAACAAATACCATGACTGGCAAAGCTGGGTGAACTGCGACAACTCCTTCTTGGGAGAAGGACCGGCGCTGGTGCTTCCTCATTTACCTCACCAGCGATATTATGGCAACCAACTGTGGATAAACTTAAGGTTTGATTATTTGATTTTTCAGCATATTTTTCAATATTTTCAACAGGCCGGCAACCGGAGATTTTTTCTTTGATGCGTACAGCATCTAGACCAACTTGGCAAATATCCGAACTATTACATTCGTTTGAAAAATTCACTCCAACCTGGAATGTTTTTTTCGAAAGCAAAAAATAATAAGGAAATTTATGACATCAAAAAATATCATTGCAGATTAAAAAATACAGTAGCAAAATGGTCGGTACGAAAATCTCCCAACTAGAATGCACTAATGGAATAAAAAAATGAATGGTTCTCTTTCCATCTTAGACATCTATTTTATTTTTCCAAACATATACTGCAAAGAAAAACTAACTAACGCACTCTAATAGCACAGTCGCAGCTACGGAAAGCAGAAGACGAAGTAGAGTCGCTAATTTTCATAAAATCATCTTCAGAATTAACAGCAAAACGAACATGCTTCCCTAAAAAAAGAGACCTAAAAAAAATGATAAGACACTTACATTAGCAAGAGAAAATCATTCACAATATAACCTTTGTATACGTTGACCGAAGATTGTACACTTGATCTACTTGAATCAGCATAATTGCTATTTTTTCCATTCTAATAAACAATAAGAAACATTAGTAATAATATTAATAATTATTAAAAATAATTTAAATATAACAATTTAAATATGACAAAAAATAAAAATAATAAAAGCATTCAATAATAGTAGTGATAATAATAAATAGAATAAATAAGTAGAGATAAAAATAAATAGCAATATTATAATAACAAATATAACAATATTTAATTTAATATGAAAAGAATGGTAATAAATAAAAATAAAAAAAAAATATAAAACAAAAATAAAAAAACATAAATAAAAACTGAAATTTGATACAAATAAAATATTTAATTAGTAATGCATAATTTAAAAAAAGTAAAACAAGTTTAGAGTAGTAATAGTAATAAAATAATTAAAATTATTGCTTATTGCTTTATTAAATTTATTACTTTTAGTTCATTATTTATATATTCGTTATTATTATTCTGTTCGCTCACTGTTGTTCATTAGCAATTTTCAGTTATTCATTATTTAGGGGGATAAAATGGCTCAGTGGGTTGTTGCTAAATTGGGAGCTCCAATTCTGAGGTGCGATTCCCCGCAGGAGTGAACCTGTACAAAAATCTGAGGATGCTGGCGATTCATCATTATTTCTAGCGCCAAAGGACTCTCTGGCATATCTATCCAATGCGACAAGCCAGTGGAGCGATTTTTACCAGTAATAGTGAAGACAATCATTATTTAATTTTCAGTTAATCATTATCATTTAGCAGTAACGACTATAACAATTTTGAAGATAATGATAACTAATAGCACTTACAAAAAAAAAAACTTACATTGCTATCCATCTCTTCAACACTGAAAAGAAAATTTCCTTTTGCAGAAGTCATTTCCTGCCTGCATCTTTGGAAATGGTTATTCTAAAATAAAAATCAATCAAAAACAATTGTAATGTTTGCAAAAGGAAAAAGAACGGATGAGCAAATATCTCACCAAAAAATCAAATAACAATCCATGGCTAATATATTCAAGTACTAGAACAATAAAGTTATCGATGTCGAAGAATTTAAATAGTTGCACCATGTTTGCGACACCAATTGGTACGATTGTAAAATGTTTTTGGGCATCACCGTACTCAGATTTTTCTAATAATTTAAGAACATATTTAGTTGAACCAGCTGAAAAAACATCTCAGTTAAATTAAAAACAAAAATGCGATAAAAAAATTTCCATATTCGACTTTCTTAAAAATTATGCTCTATTCGAGAATATAATAGAATAAAAATATTCGAAAATGGGAAAATTTACGCATGCGACGATCGACAGCCAAATAAACACGTGATTTAGCATTTACTGTTGGTAATATATCCACAATATTGTAGAATTTAAGGCCAGCATTAGAACTTTGAAAGGCTATTAAAGTTGGATCCTGAAATAACTGTTGTGACTAATTGCTAGAAAGGGAAATGACTGGAAACCAGAACTGAAATTCCCAACCTGAACTGAATAACCAATCCAAGAGTCTGGATCAAACTTTGATCCGTCAAACGACAAATATGATCGATATAATTCTTCAGCTTTCAGCAAATATTTTGCTGTTTTTTTCCGAACCGCATTACGCTTCGGTAAATCACATTCACACTGAACACCCTTAATTAATAATAATAATTATTATATACAAAATTCGTCGAATAATGCTCAAATAGAATATACATATTTAACCAAAAAATAACGGTAAGTAAAATGAAATGAATAACCTCCAAGTACATTAATAAAACGTTACGTTAACTTAATTATGTAACATTTTTGCCCAATTATTAATGAATTAATTATTAATGAATAAATAATTCTTATTACGAAATATTTTTGCAGTTATTCGCCAAGGTAATGACTTCAGTAAAATCCATTTACCTGTAATAAAGCATTGACAGCACTTTTATAATAATAAAAGGCCAATTCAAATGCTTTTTCCAATTCAGCTTTCTGAGCAACCGATATAAGTTGTGCCGCTTGAATTAAGTAATCCGTTCGATAACTCGTCGCAACTTTCCTCGGTCTGGATACGGTGGGAGAAAAAGCTGAATGCAATATAAAATACGAACAGAAACATTTGTTGAAATCCTATAGTAAGAAAACCTTTGAAATTTTTTAAAAAGTTATAATGAATCAGTGGTTGCAAAACTGAAATATTAAAGTTGAAATCGTAAAAGGATGAAAAAATCAGGAAAAAAATTTGAGCTCAATAAATAGTTAAACATCTAATTAATAGCACAAAAAAATTGTCAGCAAAATAACGACAGAATAAAAGGGAACTGAAATACAGGTAGTCTGCACCAGTGATTCTTAGCCTTTTTTATTACCTCAGGAATCGCTCATTCAGAAAGTTATATTTGAATTTATAACCGAAAAATGATAAAAAAGCATATTGATTTTAATAACGCCTATTTTTAAATCATGTGATTTTCAAGTAAGTTTTGTGTGTCGACACTTGGAATTGGTTTTTTCAAAGCAGAAAATAAAATTTTATAATTTACTTTGCAACTCAGCATCATTTCCTTATTTTCTTATAACTCTGGTGGCTCTCCTGGCAATTTTCCTATTTTTGTAATTTTCTCTGGCCCCCAAAAATGTCCGACAGCCCCCGTTGAGAACCATTGACTTAAACTGTCCATCAAAAATTCATTGGTATTCAATAAATTCAAATGATTTTGTACCTGATAGTGTCCCAGCACCAAATAAAGAATAAAAACTTCCATTTCTTTGTTCCTTAAATATTTAATAAATATTTAAAATATTAAATACTGATTTAGAACCAATTAAATAAGTTTCAAATTTTTTATAAAAGGACGAAAACTTAAACGATTATAACTAAAAATTGGCTTTATTTTCCCTATGGCTTACCTCATGTGAACACCCAGTTTGAGAATATACTGTAGAAGCGGATGATAAGATCTTTGGTAGCATTCGTTTCACAACCGATGGACGACGAATAGTATTCTGTTCAGAACATGAAGCTCGATCCACGTTAAATGTTGCATTGTAATAATTAATATCATCCGAATGTAACAAAGAAGACTAAAAAGAAAAATTTCAGATTCTTTAACGAATCAAAGAGTTATTTGTCCTCAAAAAACCAATATTTTGCCTAGAATTAAAAAAAATTTGATGTACCAAATGCAGTAAAGTGATTAATGATAACGAAAGCTTATTGAAAATGAACACTTAATATTAAACCTGCATAGAAATATCAGGGAAGTCGAATATTATGGAAGGCGAATTCAACTGATTCGTAGCCGTGACGCTCTTTGGTAAATTCGACTCCACTGATGGAATGTCATTATGACCACGAGCTTTCTACAACAATGCTTTATTAAAATCTGCCATTAGAAAACAAAAAGTAATTCAAAATTCGCTGTGGGTTTTTTCATAGCCCATATTAAATAGTTCCATTATTCTAGCAGTGGGAAGGGACATAAGAAAAGAATTTTATTGTGAGAAATAAAATGATACAATAATAAAATGATACTGACTAAAAAATAAAAGAAAACAAAACAACAGGATAATAGCGATTCTTTTAAAATGCTTCTAATCTTTGATAAACCTAACAATTACCATGAAAGCAAAAATATATAGTAACCGATTATAAAGGAATTAAACAAATATCACAAGGAGAAAAGATTATCTGTCTTCAAAATATCGTAAAAAAATCAAAATTCACTTTTGCTTACTATAAGAGACAAGAGTGATAAAATGATAACTCTCAAACTGGAATGACTGACTTGGAAAAAGAAAAACCGCGAGTCAATAACCACTCCAAAGAAAAAGATACAGCTACAGAATGGAAAATATATGTGAAAACAATAAGAAACCCAAATATGAAAATAATTAACACGTTAGGAGAGTCGACCCCAAGCTAGATGAAGATAAAAAACACAGAAAAATAAATTTTATCAAACGAAAAAATGCCAGTATAATAAAAATATATAACTAAGACATATTAATAGAATAGAGAGTTCAGATAAAAAAATTGATAAAGTTTACTTCACTCAGCAATTCATGAGAACCGCCATCTAGTCTTTGCTTTACTATATCACTTTCATTTGAAGTTCCTGCTTTTTCTCCAGCTGCAGCATTTGTTTCTTTAGTCGTTTTAGTTAATATATCGACAAGAAAATCTGACTGTTTCTCGAAACTCGAATTTCTGTAAGAAACAATGATTAGAAAAAAATATAAGTTAATATTGACAATTTGCCAAAATTTTTTAAATAAAATAAGAGCCTCAAAAGTAGCATATTTCAATTGTAATGCAGTTTCCATATGAGATTCAGGAAACAAAATCACGTATTTAGAATCAAAATCATGTAAAAAATATTTCATAAAAACCTTTGAGGACGACAAATGACTATTTCTAACGGTCGTGTTGGATCATCAGGTAAATCAATCTCAACTGCAGCCTGAAAATTTATCGGCTAAATCAATGGAACAAGCGACGCCTTTTGTTTTTTCAAAAAATCAAAATAAAAGGAAGACGGGAATAGAATCACACAGGGCCAATTGAGTATTGTTAAGCTCAATCTGAATTCTAGCAAAGCAGCCAAGCGTCTCAAATAACCTCGAATACTACAAATTAAACAAACAATGCCAGAAATCAAACAATTACTTCTAAAAACTGATGAAGAATCTTTGTTTTCCTCAATACTTCATTTTTTAAAATAAAGTTCAAAAAACGTTTCGATGCTTCAATTCGTTCATTAATCACCGTCGGCCCAGTGTTACCAAACAATTTGGCTGGCGCAAATGATGGAAAAACTTCACGCAAATGAAGCTGGAAATTTCAAAAATATAATAATATTATAATATATAATAATAATATATAATGTATTATAATATATAATGTAAAAAAAAGATATAATATAAAATATAATATAATGTATTATAATAGCTATAACAGTTACACACTGTTAGACAAAGAATCGCTAGAATCATAAGCAGAAGATAAGAAATGTACTTGATGATGTATTTTTGAGAGCTGATTCCATAAATGAAGCAAATCCTTAAAACGAGTCCATAAGGTGAATTTCCTCGAATCTAAATCAATACTGTTTCGAGGTGTAGCCTAAAATAATTGTATTTCATAAATGTACAAATATCCTCCCTTAAAGATGCATCATTTTGATGAAAAACAAATAGCTGAAGTCTAAACCTCCAACTTTCAAAAAAACTGACTGTGGATGACGAAACATAAAAAGACTCACAGTAATCAAGAGTTGATATTCAGTATGCTGACTGATCAACGTGCCAGCTGTAGTAGTATTTGTAATATCTGCATGAAAATCCCACAGAACACGTGACTGGAAAAGAAGCCTTCCCAAATCTGTCGTACAAAATGCTTGATCAAGAAGTACCGCCATTACTTACAAACATCTAAAGCCAATATAGTACTTTAAACCAAAGGTAATAAAAACCAAAGCATAAATATTTAAATCTTCCTTGTCATATTTTACAGATAAAATATTTTAAGTGATACGATTTCTGAGCATTGGATATTGGCAAATTCAACAGTTCATCATTCATTTATTGGCATATATATCAATGACAATCAAAATAGTACCACAAGTTGACTATTATTACTGAAATCTCATGTTTGTTCAGGTTACATATTCAGATACAACCAATCAAAAAAATACCACCGATAACATAGCAAATTAACTTCACATTAACTATGCAAGTTCTTATATCTGTGGAGATAAAATATTTACCTGCACTTTTATCGCCAAGCCACTTTCTGAAAAAATTTGATTCGACAATCTAGTGAAAAGAACCTAACTAACAAAGCCTCTAGAAAAAAAAGACAGATGTTTATATTGCATTTAACGCACTATTTGAATATAAGGCAGAAAAAATGAGGTTTAAAAACGATATTTCAAGGCACTTTTGAACTAAAAAAGAAATGATTAAAACTTACCAAAAACTTACCAACAAGATAAAGCAAAATGAATAAAAAACCTGCTTCAACCCGCTACAGAGAACATACACCGAGAGAATATACTATGAACCATACACCGAATCAAGAAAAACGATAAAATAAGAAAAAAAAGCCAAAACCGCCGCAATTATAACATACTAAATGATGAAAAGAAACAAAAAAGATTAAAAATCTAAGAATAAAAGAAACTTTCGAATATAACCAAATAATATGATAAATTTAAGAAGATAAAAATCAGCAAACATATAAAATAAGCTTCAAACTATCAAATCTTTTCTAAAATATACAGAATCACAAAAATCCGTTGAAAAATGTGAATCAACGATCCACTTCACCGAAAACGAGATCAAGTGTCCCAATAACAGCGACCACATCAGCAAGCAAAGCCATGTAGCATATTTCATGAATAGCAGCGATATGTGGAAAACTAAAACCAAAAAAAAATCGTTGAAAAGATGTGCAGTCACAAAAAAAAGTTGTATTATTTATTTCATCGTGAGATTTTTCATTAAAATTTTAAAGATGTGGAAGTGCCACTGATATTTGTAAACACATGGAACCAAACCGTACTAAAAAAGCCAATCAAGATTATTCTTCCTTTGATTTTCTAAAAAAACCGACAGTTAAATTATATAAGAAAAAAATCAGAATTACCCTGGCGCACGGATGTAACATCGATAGGGTTTTGAAGACCCATCAGACACCAAATAGACACCAAATTCTCCCTTCGGTGCTTCAACAGAAGTATAAGTTGCACCGGGAGGAACTTGAAAACCTTCGCTGAAAAGCTTGAAATGGTGGATTAACGACTCCATACTTTCCTGAAATCGCCACCGGTATAGCAACTTCCGAGCCAGGATATCTGTTAAAGCTTGTTTATCCCTTTTTTGATTAAACGATTTTATAAAACCAGTAACTGTTAACAAATGATATGACTAATCAAACATTATAATGGTATTCGAATTTTTATAAGACAAAATTTTTCTTGTGTAATATTTTGCACGATTTTAAACACAAAGATTTTAATTTTATTGGTTTGTCGTCATTACTTTCTTATCAGAAGAAAAACACGGTATACGAACCTTCATTTCGGCTCGTTTAGGAGGAACAATTTTCTGATCATCAATTTTGATTTCACCCGTAGGCATTTTATTCAAACATTGGTGAACAATTTTGAGGCTCTGCCGCATCTCTTCAACGCGACAAAGATACCTATAAAATATAGTAATAGGTAATCATATAGGTAATCATCAATAATATAGGAGGGATATAAAAAATTTCTCTCATAACAAATTAAATGTTATTATTTGGCCCTATGAAATGATACAGCAATAAAGTTATGCGAGCAAAATTACAGATCTTTTCATAAAGAATAAACTGGAAATAAATCAAGTAATAATAGAAAACTATCCCTGATCTGAAAATGAAATTTGGTTATGTCTGGTTAGAGTTCAGTTTTTAGTACTAGAAAATTAAAGTGTAAAAATGTAATAATCAGAAGCGAATATAACAAAACTTAACCTATCATAGCAATCCCCTTTAGTACCAACAGGAACATCAAATTCAACTTCATCATAAGCATCATAAGGCTGGGCCTTACGTACATCCCACTTGATACCCGATCCACGAAGCATTACGCCCGAAAAACCCCAGTTCAGTGCATCACTAGCAGAAACCAAGCCTATATCAATTGTCCGAGCCTAAAAATTCCTATAAGTCAAAGGAGAAGGAAGCATTTACGAATTATTAAATTCTGTGATTCAATCTTCACAATAGTGAAGCAACATAATATGTAATGAATATATCTTATCAAAAAAGTGTTCTTTCATTTTCTTTTCTTCTTCATTCTGTCTCGAACCTCTATGATGACGCTGCTAAAGGTAGAATCGTGGAATCATACGAGATGCTATGCGCTCTGCATGCATGTACATTAGACATGAGTGACTAAAGATAGACACTTCTTGATGCTTTCAATTCTCATTGATCATGTCACACCTAGTGCATATTAATCAGAGAGACGAGAAATTTCCTTTCGTTAGTGATTTCGCACCATTTTCAAACAGGTTTTACCATGTCAGATTTCTTTCACTTGGCTAAAATTTCATCTTTCGCTCGACTCTTTGGTGTGAAAGTGGTATAAGATATTTAAAACCTGGCACTTCCTCAAAGCAATGAATTTAAAAAGAAGATATTTTCAAGTACCTCTAAAAGATGAAAAGAACTCGTCTTATTTATGATATACAAAGTCGGATCTTCGCTGTAGTTATATTTTAATTCATCGTAATTATCAGAAGAAATATGGATCAAAACTCACCTTCCATATTCGATTTTCTGTCAACATATCCTCCAATTCATCGATTCGCTGTGGAAATTTAACACACCAATCATAAATGTCGTCCATCAAACCAAGAGGCAAATCCCATGCCACACCACCAGGACGAACATAATTTGCATGCATTCGTGCTCCAGATGCGCGCTCTCTAAAAAAGAGACAAAAAATACAAGAATCATCTCAAACGACCCAATCTAATTTATTTAAGAACTTAAGCGAATATACCATCTCATTATCTCTCAGATCTTCTATTGAATCCACACTTAAATATGCATGCTCACCACTCAAATGCGCCTGAACCTCATAGAAAATTCATTAAATAAATCCCTTTATTATATCATGGATAAAATAACTTAGATAAAATAACTAAAATTAAAAAGAGTAATTTTTTAAAGAAATAAGGAAGCGATTGATAAGTATCCATGGAAGAAAGTACGAAAATCTACTTTTTTTTAGCAGACAAACAATCATAAGACGATCTTACACTAGCTCGAAAAGTTTTTCCCTCTCCTCGAACAACCAAAATAGTGGTGTCATTGCACCAATATCAAGCGCATGAGTGGTAATTCCCATAATATGATTTTGAAGTCGAGTGATTTCACTCATCATAGCTGAAAAATAATCGTGCAGGCTTTTATAAACCTAAAAAAAAATCTTAATGCTTTATTATTTACTTGCAAATATAACGAATAAATAAATATCATCCTCACTTCGAATGTATTTTGCACGTGGAGGAATATTGATACCGAGTAATTTTTCCACAGCCAGTGAGAATGCATTCTCATTACACATCATCGACACGTAATCAAGCCGATCGAAATATGGTAGTGCTTGAGCATATGTTTTATGTTCAATTAGCTTTTCAGTTGCACGATGTAATAAGCCAATGTGAGGAGTAGCCTTGATAATAACCTAAAAGAAAATGAAAATTTTAAACTAAATAATTCATATTCGTGTGTTTCATCTCTTATTTAATCTTTTCAAGTTAGAATGAATGGGTCACGTCTGAATTCCCACAATGGAATCGGCATATAGAGTCAATCAACCAAACTGCCTAAGTTTGGCTAACCTTTACCCAATAATCAAGAAATAGTAGTTCAAATAAAATGTACATTAGGCTATTTGAAAGGATCAGTAATTACAAGGAACAAGCTGAAAGGACATTCATTACTTTCTAAAAACTTTCTAATATGAATACACAATAGAAAAGGTCTAAAGTTCAGGATCATTGCTCCTCATGAAAAATACACCAACTACATACTAAACTTTAAATTCCGAATAAGCAAACTTCAGCTACTTGATTTTAAATAATTCAAGAACTTACTGAGTTCCTCATTTGCAAAAAAAAATACCAACCTCACCTTCGAGTTGCAAAACTAATCTTAGTACACCATGCGCTGCTGGATGTTGTGGTCCAAAATTTAGCGTCATATTTTCAATGTTCTTTTCACGCAGTGGTCCCATATGATTATCACCCAAACGCTGATGATTTTCTAAGATATTGCTCAATTTTTTATCACCAATTGCCTCAGCGAATTCAGGATCATTCACTTTGAAATTGCCTTTTCCAATCGAATAGCCGCAATTCTTAAAATCGTAAAAATAAATCGTAAAGTTGCTTATATTCCTTATTGAATGAGATATGTAATTATGGACAGAAAATTAGTGGGAAATGTGTTTCCAAGACGATTATATTTTATATCAATGATATCCACCAGCATGCAGCATTAACCAGTATTAAGCACTGGAACAAAATGCCTACTGGTGTTATTTCTGTACTATCAGTATTTAAAATTAAATTAAATTAAATTAGATTAAATTAAATTAAATTAAATTGAACAGAATTATCCACGATAAAGTTTGCATAAACAAGTAATCAATCGATTTTCACTATGTAACAGTTTCAACATTTTCTTTTCTTAATTTTTTATTATGCAAACTTATGTGTACTCCTATGTTTTACACAATTAAGTTTACTGTTACCGCTATTTCACAAGCAAACCGCTTTTGCTTTTGCCCTGTTTGATCATGTGAAAAATTCTAAAAATTTCATGCCGAAGATACTGAATTACAAACCTTAAATTGCCGATAAAATTCAGCGTCTGGATACCATATCGATGCACTGCGACGGCTTCCTTGAAATATTGAAACGTTAACTGATGAACGAAATAACATTGAAAGTAGAAATGAATTTCCAGGCAAAAAAGCAGCCATGACTTATATTAGGAATAGCAACAAAAACTATTAGCTGAAAAAATAGATAATTAAGCAAGCATATTCAATAAAAAATTGTAATTTCGCTTGGTCTGATATAAAAAACAGCTCGAAGCAATTACGCTTCAACTGTCTCACTCGCAAAATGTGGCTGATAAAGAGTTATCCCACAGGAGATTTTTTTAATCGCACGAATAATCAATCGAGTTAGACTAATCGGAAATGGTGACAGTTAATCACTTTTCATGATAAATGATAATATAATTGTACTGAGTAGCCACAAAAAACGGCAAAATCACCGAAGAAAAAGTTTCAGATAAAAGTAAACAAATAAAATTAGCATTATTGTATTAAAATCTGGCAAAATATTTCTTAATAAACCATCAAAACCCGATTTACAAAATTATTTTTTCAAAGAAAACAATTAATCCAACCAGAAACTGAAGATGACCGACGGCCAATCGACAAGTAGCTGTTCGGCCGTACCACTATTAGTCAGTTCCCTCATCAATTTAAACCGAGGATGATCTGACGACTCAAATATTTGGCAAACGAATTCGGTGATTGCTAATATTCTTGTTGGTTCCTAGTGGAACGAATTAAGAAGTGCATTGCTCGTGCTTTTTTTCATTTTTACCTATCTTCCTTCCAAGACGAATATACAATTATAATTTAATTAATTCGATTGCTTAATGGAACATGCAAAATTGTTTAAGGTTGTTCGCAGCTAAAATATTTTATTGGTCGATTAAACGAAACGTACGGTTCCTGGTGAATAGCTGCATTAATTACTGTTAGAATGAAGTTTTTTCGTCGAAGGAAAAGATGCACATAGTAGTAAATACGATTCTAAGCAGTAATACAGTTCACCAGTCACCTATTAATCTAGAACCGATAAAAATTAAGAATTTTAATCAAAATTCTCCACAATGTGAGAACGAAGATCCGTTGGTCGGATAGCAAAAGAGAAGTCGGCCGACAAATAGCGGATAGTTTTGTTGCATTGCGGCAGTTTTATATTTTGAAGGTATCCGGTAAGTATATTACAACTTCAAGACTTGCTACTTGTTTCTAATGGCAGTCGATCATTGTGGCTTATTATATTGATCTGTAGTTTCTAAAGTTTCCCCCCTCTTGCTCTTTGGAACGTTGTGCTCGCATCGAGGTCAAAGGTCATACATTCATCGGAATTTTAAGTGGAAACTTTAGGAAAGGGTAATTCGTCCCGTTCAAAATCCTCGGGGTCGTCAGAAAGCGAAAGGTAAAGTTAGTATGACGAAGATGCAACAGTGATTTGGTAGGTTTTGGTAGAAAATAGGTGAATTTGTTAAGTGGTAGGGTTTCCGCCTGAATATGAGGGATATAAGGCTTCAACATATAAGCGTAGATTTGATGCTTCGAACAGGATTTTTATCTCGGAATTTTTAGCTTAAGTGGCTGCTAGCGTTAGTCGGAATATGTGCTAGACGATTTTTTGAAGATCATTACCAGAGTTGACTCTTGAGAAAAGGAAATGGTATTGCCTCTTTCCTTCTTATTGTTCTGATATCGTTTTTAAGGCCTAAGGCTCTTTTCTGCAAAGAACTCGCTTATCGACAGCAATTATCATAATCTCAACGTATAGCAGTTAATATCTGGCGTGCACATTATATGTCGCTCATCTTTATGGTTCGCGATTTTTTTTAAACTGAATTTGCTCGATTTTGATAATAGATTTTGTTAATGAAGAGCTGCGGTGACCAGGTGATGTTGGCGGTTCACCTATATCTCTTTCGGCAGCAAGTAATTTGCTGGCAGAATTTATTTGGTCGTGCCAGTAGAGCGAGTTTAACCAAAAATGTTGAACGCTGTTAGAAAAATGAAAAAATAAATACGGTGGCATGAATGAGTTCGGTTTATTATTTATTTTTTTTTATTTTTTTATTGTGGTTTTTATCTTGGTTAGTGGTGATCTATTGTGCATATTGAGTTCGGAATTACATAGAATTGTAACCGATAGCATTGCATATAAAATATAAATATGAATAGTCGGCGATTGGAATCAACGATTGGTTTTAATAGGATGGAATCTTATTTTAGAGAATATTTAAAATTTAAAGGCCATAGTAGGTCAACAGATTTGTGTCTAATCTTATGAGGATTATTTTTTTAATATTGGATTTGATTTTTCGAAATCAGTATGACGTGATTTTCGTTGTAATTTTTAGCGCGTAGTTTCTGACGTGTTATTGGAAGAAAATTTTGGATTTTAGAAGAACAAGAAATAAAGAGAAGGTATATTTTGAAATATAACGTGTATTTAAAAATATTTTAAAATGGAAATACCTCGTCGTAATGCGCGAAGTACTCGAAAAGTCCTCAATTATGCTCTGCTTGCCAAAGGGAAATGTAAGTCTTTTTTTTTGAATTTGATATATGAAATGAGCTATTCTGTCGTTAATCAGACGCCCTCAGGCATTAGCAGATCTGCAGTTACCTTTATTATTATTTATTTTGCAGCCAATACAAGGCCGAATCACGAAGAAGAAAAAATTTTCTCCAGTTGCTCAAGGAGTAGTGTTGCCGATCGTTATTGTAATGCTTCCATCATCAATAGGAAGCGAAGACGTAATTCAGTGGGCAATTTTGTCTTTCAACGAGCAAATAATAATATTGATGAAAGAAGGCATTCCATGACGACTGTTAATCGTTGTCTTCAGAATTCCCTGGGTGATGAAAAGCTGACTTGTTTTCGCTTCCATAATGTAAAAGAGGCAACCTCAGGTAGTCGAGCTGGTCACAATACTACTTTCCAATCAAAATTATTCAGCTTACCTTTTGAATATTTTAAAGAAGTTCGCCAATTCCGTAAACAACGGCAGAATGAAACGGATCTTGTCAAAGCGATTTTCGCAGAGTATAAAGCTTTAAAGGTGTTAGACAAAGCTTTAAAACTGGCTCAAATTCAATATCCTGGGTCATATTCGAAATATTTTGGATACTTGAAAGAAAATATTGATGAAATCAATGAAACTCTCACCAACTCGACATTTCAAGAAAATGAAAATTTTCCTGATTGTTCATCGAGTTCCAAACATTCCATATCGTCAGATAAAGTACAACTTCCCTCATTCATTTCTGCTTGTGCTGCTGGCTCAAAGGATACCTCTAACAGAGTTGATGGATCGAATTTAAATCAGAGAAAAAGTGAAGATGATATAATCTCTGGTGATTTATATGTAGGCACGAAGGTTGTCTCTAAAGCTATTCCTGCTAAAACTTCAGCTGAAAAATTCAAGGCAAACAGAAATTCTTCAACCACTAATACTTTAAGACATATTCGACCTTCTAGCTTTAACAACAGCGATGCTCGCTTGTTCGGCCATCCCCCAACTAAAATCAATCTTCCTCAGGCAGTGAAGGCCTCAATGAAAGCAACCAAATGTATCTAATACGAATATCTAAATATAAATCAGTTGGTTTTTCATCCAAAGAAATCATTTGTAAGTTTGTTTCGAAAACTCATCCGTATCTTTTAAAAACATCAAGAAATCAACCGCTTCATCTAATTGATATGAAAAAAGCATTGTTTAGGTCAATTTTTTTCATTGTAATTTCCATTTTTTTTTTATAGATAAACTAGTGCTTTTTATTTAGGTGGTTAATTTGCAGCTTGAAATTTATGAGATGACAATTTTAGAAAAATTTGCAAAAATTTAGAAAAATTATTGATATACCAGTTTATTTCATATTTTCAAAGGACTGTGAAATAACTGAGATATTTATCGCAAAAATGAAGCCAGAGACTTGTGAAAAGTATAATTTATTGTATTAATATATACCTTTAGACATAAACTATTTTTTTTTCTCTAAAATGTCCAGTAAATTCCGATACTCCTATAGATCCGTCGTACTAATCTCAGCTCATTGGAATTCTTTATTATTGGAATCCTTTGATAACCTCCAAAAAATTTTACTTCTCGAAAAACCTTAAAGAGCCCAGTCAAATACCTCCTTTCGGAATTTCTGTTTATATCTATTTCACTTCCATATACCTACCAGGGAAGAAGTAATCCTGTTGAGTATTGTTGGTTTCAATTTTTTATGTTTAGCGGAGTTTTTATTCCTGTTTTATCAAAAAAATAAATTCCTTTTTGTCTGATTTTAATACGGTTGGATTTTTGCTTAAATTGTGAATTGATTTGAATGAGTATTTGCATTTTATTTATTTAAATAAATAAAGACCGAGGATACATGTTAAACGAAGCACAAAAATTAAGAAAAACATAAAAAAGCAACGAATTGGCAATGTTTATGAGAAAAAGCTTTATTTCAATCCATCGTTAACCCCCAAAAGTTTATGGTACTATCATTAATACTGTTTGAAACTATGCTCCGATTGCTCACGTCATAAGGTGACCAGTAGTGCAAACGAAGAATTCATGGTTTTTGCTATTACTCAATTCTTTTTAATAACTTAAGACTATTAGATCCAATAGCATTAGAACTCAGGTGTGGTACTTGGTGCAGTCTAGTTCAATGTAGTCATGGAAAATTTAGCATAATTCAGAATTAGGCAAAAATCTTCAGTAGAATTGAATGAAGAAGAGTGCAGAGTGAAAGCAAAGGTTTAAGAATTATATGTGGTCCAGCGTAAGTGCCAGCACATAACTGTTATAATCATATTTGATGCATCCTTTCATCTGCAATATTTTATACAGAAAGGAAATAAGGTATTGACACTGCAATACATTTTCATATTTAAAATAACTAGGAACAAATTTCTTTTGTTAAAAAAGCTATTAAAGCCTAACCAGTTACCAGTTCGAAATCATAATGCAAGGAAAAGAATATATTCAGGCATATTTAATATTTAATAGCACGAATTAAAGTTATTAAATTATCATTCCATTTACTCGCTGATCATCGATACATTTCCTGACGACTAAACGAACATACAATTTGTAGGCACAGCAAAGGTAAGGAAATGTGTGAAATAATGCGCAAAATGCTGATGACGAATGAACAAACAATTTGCAATGTGTTAAAGCACTCGGATATCCAGATATGGCACCGTCGGAAAGTCCTTCAACCTTATTTTGATAATATTCCTTCATTTAGACATAAAAATGTAGGGCAATAGTATTGCGCATGTTAGTACCAGATTCAGCTCTATTATAATAGATGTTATATTCAGAATAATTCTATAACAGCGGCGACAGTATCATTCGTGTATGAGGCTAAAACATTTTGCTAAGTCTAATAAATTCTTTAGGAATTATCGAAATGAGTAATTAATTATTGCAGAAATGAACTGAGATTGGCAATTTTATCGAATTTGTTGACCAAAATTTTCTTAACAAAACCTATATTAAACCTCATATAGGGCAAAATGGCGTAGTGATTGTCAGATCTAAAAAGGCTCGATCCGCTGTGATTGTATGAAAGCCAGTAAATGACCGTATGGCCCATGCGTGTTTCAAGGGAAATTTCTGCAATATTTCGGTCATATATGTCCCAACTTCATGCGCAGATGACCGCGATAAGCACAAGTTCTATGCTGAGCTTCAACTGAAGAACATGAACTCTTTGTTACTAATACATGCTTTCGGTATCGGAAGAAACATCTAGTCATGTTGCCGAATGGCAAAAAAAGCTGCAGATATGGTCATCCGGATCGCATCTGCTATACACAGCAAAAAATTAATGAAATAAGGGAGAGAAGAGTTGGAGAAGGTATTAGAAAATATCCCATAATAACAGTAGAGTACCTCACAAGTGACAGGTACAATGTAGCTTTTATTATGAGAAAATAAAAAACCATAAATCTTCCCCCCATTTTAAATTAAGTATAAGCTCCCAAAAGATCATTTTTGGTCATTTTATACTTCTATTAGGGAAACGAATAGAGAGCGATGGGTGAGCTGGAATTTATACTTTATGTTTAATTTTATTTATATTATTTCTTTGTAGTTGGACAGTAGTTTCACTTTACTCTCTTGTATACATTTTGTGTCATCACTAATAAAGGTTTAATTACCCAAGTTTGAGGGGTTCGTAACGAGAAAAGTAAGAGAAGAGAACGCTGGCTGCGGAGTTCTACAATATTGCTAAAAAATAAAAGTCCCGCGTGGTAAAGTTATTAAATAAAAAACACAGTGGAGCGTATCGCCTGCTCGAATGAACGTCTTTCTCACTTCGTGTCTCGAATAATTACTAATCCTAGCAGAAGTAGTACTGGCTACATCACTATGGTGCTTCGTATAACGAAATTGCATAGCGATTACCATGTCTGATAAAGCCCATTCCGCTTTTAATGAATGGAATTCGGTTAGCGACCGTATGGCCTATACCCGAAGGAATTTTAATAGAGATTGGAAGTGGGAATCGCCGTGCTCCCAACGGAAATTTCGTAGTGCTAAGAGTACACTCTTTTTTCTGTACAGAAGTCTCCGAAACCAATATTCCAATCAGATTGACTATATATTGGTCAATCACCGCTGGAAGAGTTCTATACTTGAAAGTCGTTCTTATCGGGGAACTGCAACTGGTAACCGCCATGAATCAGATCGTGTTATGGTTCGAGCCAAGATTCGTATAAAACTGACAAGTTGCAAGAAACAACGTATCTTTCAAATATCTCAAATTAAAAGAGCTGAGAACAATAAGCGCATTTCAAATCGTATTATTAAAATTCAGTAAAATGAACGTCAGTGATCTATGGAAAGTCGAATGAACACTGGTCCCAACTAAAGATATGCCGACAAAAATTAGCCACTTCTACGCTAGGGTACACTAATAGACATGGTATACTAATAGGAAGTGTACTAGTTGGGTATCGGAAGCAACTGTCCAACTGCCTGAAAAAGCTGCCAAAGCACGAATGTCAGGTGATCCTGAATACCGGATGCTTCGAAGATTTGCAACGAAAGCAGCACGACGAGACAGAAATCACTATTGGAGTGATATGGCCTCAAGAATCGTAATAATAAGAAACTTTCGCCTTCTCCGCAAAGCAAATATAACTCGAGAAATGATACGGGATATTAATGGGGTGTCTATTTAAAGCTGTTAAGGATCGCCTCAGAAGATGAAAGAATTTTTTGAGACAAACTTAACCATTATGCGCCATCTGTTGTCCCGATTTGCCCGTCGAGTCTTACGTTTGCAACCCCAACAAAAGAGAAAACAATTTCTGTAAGCATAACATAAACTTAAAACCAATAAAACTCCCGGAGAAGATGGTCTTCGTGCAGAACTTTTCAAATGTTGCCCATCATAACTCACCTTCAACAAAATGTATTTATGGCAATAGGAAATAATACCAGAAGGGAGCATCAAAGCAATTCTGCTTCCAGTTCTTAAGAAAGGTGACAGGACATACTGCGACAATTACTGAGGAGTCAGCCTTCTGGACATCTCCGGAAAAATTTTCGCTCTCCTTCTCCTAAATAGACTCATCGCCGCAACATGAGATAGTATGTGTCCTAACCAAGCTGGATTCAGATTGGGAAGCAATTATGCTGACCAGATAGTTACGCTAAGAAGAGTGCTGGAACATCGCTTCAAATACCAATAACCCACTGTCACTTGCTTTATCGATTTTGCAGCTGCCTTCGATTCGCTTGATAGAACAGCGCTCTGAAAAGTGAAGTGATGCGACGGAAGGTGTCCCAGATATCATTCGGCTCATAAAGGCATATCAGCATATCCCGACGCAAGTCCGAAAATACTTTCGTATACGAGGACAGAAATAAGAACTGGTGTCTGTCAGGTTTGGTCCATTCCTCCACAATATTCAACTATGCGATAATAGGCAACGCTTGTCAGCTCTCAAGGGGTGTGCAAATCAGCCCAGAGCTCAGATCTTGAATACGTTGATGATTTAGTCCTTTTTATTGACAGTTATGAGGAAATGCAAATAATGTTAAATAATGTGTCAACAACTGCAGCTAGAATTGGACTCAAAATCATTGTAAATAAAACGAAATTTGTCTTATATGCGAGATGAGAAAAATACCTATTTTTTTCAATTCATCACCGATTGTGGAAATGCTTGATTTTTAAGCACCTTGGATCCACTCTAATCCCAAATAGCCAGGCAAAGGATGAAATTGTAACCCGGATTATGACAGCTAGAAATGTGCTTTCCGATTGATGAAATTTTTATGGAGCTGTCGTGAAATCACCATAAAAACGAAAATCCGCATCCATATAGCTGCGAATCGTTCAATCTTGCAATATGGTTGCGAAACATGGCCAATGAGAATGGAAGATATTAAGAAGCAATTAGCCTTTGACTACTCATATCTAAGATACATTTTGCAGATCCATAGAGCTGATAAAATCGCACATGATTATATCCATCTTCGCTCAAATACCACCTGTATTAATGTTATCACACAGCTGGTTAGGGTACGTTCTCCGTCGTCCACCAAAAGAGTTGTCGCATATTTCGTTACTTGCTAAACCCTGTGATAGTTGGCGTCAAAAGCGAGGAAAGACCTGGACTGATACAGTCAGGAAAGATTTTGAATATAGGGGGACCAGCGATATGTGGACTTAGACGATGGAAAAATGAATGGCTTCTATTACTAATAGCGATGGTGTCGGACCGAGCAGCTCAGAGATATCTTAGATCCCTTTTTAGCCAGTGGAGCCTAACCAGTGATGGTGAGAGCTGTTAGAAGAAGGCTTTCCCTCTGTACTAACTGTAGTGATTAGGCTCTGCCAGATTCGTCAGCTAATCATTCGTGTGATAAAAGTAGAAGCCCATCATTCGCCCGGACTTCAATAAACATCCAACTTTTAATAAACATCCAAGCAACAGCCAACAATGACTATTTTATTCGAATTTTAAGTTAAAATAGCCAGTCTGGTAACGCTGCCACCAACATTACAAAAATATTTGTGGTCGATCCTTGGCAGTTCTTTTGCAATTCGTTAATTACTCCTGAGCAACTTTGCTGTAGACATGAAGGTTCTTTTAATCCATAAAGGCTTACAGAAGCCTTACAAGCGTTGAGCAGAACTTCTGTTTTATCAGAAATCCCCAAATTTTTTATCAGTCACATTTCCCTAGCGTTGAGCAGAACTTCTGTTTTATCAGAAATCCCTAAATTTTTTATCAGTCACATTTCCCTATCGCCATTTCAAATTTCTTTTCTCTCAGTTCTATGTTGCTTAATCGTCTTTTTTCATAAATTACATAAAAAATTTTATCAGTCGTTTTTTATTTATTATCAATCACTCTACAGTGTTCCACATTATCCATAAATTCTTTTAATGCTCTTTTAAATATAACGATAAAAGCGAAATAATGATTAAAATTATAATCAGTAATTGTACAATCAATAAAGATATTTAACAAATCGGTTAGAACGAGAAAAGAACATTTACAATGAGTTAAAAATGAACAGAAGATTTCTGATAATTATAATGGAATTTATGGTTATTTTCTTCGTGGATAACGAATTAATAAATGATTATTTCATCTACAATAATATTAAATATTTTATTTTTTAATCCGTCAAATAGTGCATATCGCCTAAGATAAATTCTTAAATTTTCCTAAATCAAAATTTTTGAAAATTTAATTTTTTATTCGCTGCAAATAACCATTCAAACCATTTTTTAAAATCAAACAATTCTTAATTTCATAAAGTTTTTTCACAATTAAAAATTCTTTACAAAATAATTTTTAAACAAAAGGAAAACGGCAAGAAAAAAAACGATTTAAAATGCATTGAATGGAATTATTAAAGTATTCGATTGAAGGAAAATTTTTTCTCGAGAAAAAAATTTTTTTACCAATTCACCAATATACTTTCGAAAAAAGTTTCAAAAAAACACCTTATTTCCATCAATTAAAATAAACTGATATCGGGAAATATATACAAATCGCAAGTTAAATAATATTTTTCTTATTTGTTTTTTAAAGAAACGAAACTATAAAAATTCATAAACAATTAAGGAAAATTTAGTGAACGCATAATTCTCTTTTTTTCCATTCTTTACATTGAAAAAATCTTTTTTTTGCAATATCCTTTCATAGAATTTATCTAAAAACTAGTCACATAAAGAAATTAACAATAAAATATTTGGAAATAATTTTTCCTTCCATCGAGTTTCAGATGAAATTTTCGGAAAAAAAATCGCAGAGAATTATTTCCCTAAATAATATTTCTTTAAAAAAATAATAATGTCATGAAATTAGCAATAGAATAGAATGTTTCTGCCAATAAACACAATTGGTTAGGCTGAACTGGAAAAATTTCGTTAAAAAATGTCATTTAACATTGCTGACAACTAAGAATGGTGCGAATCAAACGTTTTGCAAACATAATTTATATACAACAGATATAAATTATAGTAAACAGTATGATTGCTCTTATGGACAAAATAATAGAAAAGTCAAATGCAAAATTTCCTTATCCATTGCGAGGGTTCAAGAATTTTGGTAAAAATTTTTGTTGTATTCTTTCTCTGAATACTATATGGGAAAAAACAACCAAAGCAAAAAAGAACTATATAAAAGGTAGAATTTCAAAGAACATCATTATGTCGAAACATAAATATAACATGACCGTAAATTCACGACGATTTATTAATTTTAATAAAAGAAAAATTATTCGTTAAAATTAATCGTTAAAATATCATACGAACATAAACAACGACAACAATGTGAGGAAATCACGACGCGAAACCAAATGAAAAAATTTTAAATGAAATTCTGTTTATTTAAAAAAAAGACGACGAAGCAAGAAAAACCAAACGATTTTGAAGAAATCGCCCAATATAAACGAAACTAAGCGAGATGGCCAAAAAATTATAAATTTCCGCACGAAAGTGATTAAACTGATAGCAAAAGTCGGTCAAAAGTTAGCAAAAACTTTGTGAATCATTAAACAGAATCACATTACATAAAAAACTGAATACAAATGAAATAAAATAAATAAATTGACAAGTGGTCTGTGCTTCCCATCCATATCTAACAATTAGCGTCAGTGAGAATATTTTAAAAAATCAATTTATAAGCATTTTTTTAAAAAAATACCAGTGAAAAATCAAAGTTAGTTATGGAGGAGCACAATTTTTGAGCAAATCGACTTCGTGATATCCTTTATTAGCACATTGTAAAGTAAAAGTGATCAATAAAATGATTTTAATGGTCAATAAAACATTTAGAAATTTAGAAATTTAGAAATTTAGAAATTTTAACTTTAAATGAGAAGTTCATTATTAAGGATTAATACGAATTATATTACCAATGTAACTTTTCAAAAATTTCTCGGCGGTAAATAACGAGAAAAATCAAAAGACGGAAAAAATTCCCTTAAATGAAAAAAATTTATCTTAAAAAATTTAAAGAAATTAAAGCATTGAATCTGTTGCACTATCGCCCTCATTAATGCGAAATTTACAGCCCAACTGCTGACAACAAGATGAACGAAACTGAATGTTTGTTGTGGATGATGAATTGCAAGATGACAAGCAACATGAGGTAGACGATGGCGATACAACTGCCCAATCATTCTTTAAATTTTTTCTTGACAAAAAATTTAGAAAAAACATGCTCAGAATCTTAAAGCGGATTGCATAAAATGGTTAAATGTGTGATCCATTCTATGCACTTAACATACAAACATGTGAGGAAAACTTGATGAAAATAATCAAAAATAAATTCAGCTAAATTAAAATTATTTGTCGTTATGAAAAACATTTTTATCTTCAAGTTTTCTATAAATATAAATTGTAAAACTGACCAGCAAAATAAGCGAGAATGTTTAATCATAGGTAAATATCTTAACAGTATAATTTTTTTAAATGAATTTATCAAAAGCAATTACTGAATACCTTTCGTTTTTCGATATCATGGTCAGTAACTGTTGACGATTCAAGGAACTCTACAGATCCAATACAGTATGTTGTATTCATTAACATACGCTGCAAAACAGAAAATCTTACGCGTTTTAAAAATAAATGTTAAAAGCAAAACAAATAAAATGGAAAATATTTTCATATATTTGAGCAATAAGATAAGAGAAAATTAACAAACAACAAAAAAAGATTCAGCACACATTCTTAAATATTTCGAAGCGTAGATAGTAGGGTTCTATTCCCGAGCCAAACCTATCTCCTATTTTTCATAAATTCAGATAGTTCTAGTGATCCTGTAATTCTATAAGCGCAGAGAGTCTAACGAGACAAACTGGAAAAAAAATTAAAAAATGACGCATCACATCAATTTCATTTATCCTACTGCTTTCCACTTTTTACCTTTGAAAATTATAAATAGGATAAAGATATATGCTAAATATATTTTAAAATGTTATTTTTGTGCCCCTACTTAATTTGAACTGTAAATAAAAAAATGAAAGAAAATTAACTTGTCTCATTTTTTCGAAATTTAGAGAAGGTCTGATATCAACTGGATTTAATCGGCCCTTCTTTACTGGACAGTAATCATTCTGTTCATAAACATTCGTATTTTTTGCTCTATTTTCCACATTGACTGAATTATAAATAATTAATTTGACTGGTTGGCGGCGAGCGGCAATTAACGTCTCACGATCTTTTTCCTGACCTCCTATAAAATTTCACAGTATAGTAAGTACTGCCACAAAATCGGTCGTCTACAACTAGAATCAACTCGTACCTGTTGGTACCATGAAATTTTTAAAAGATTCTTCATTTAACTTATAGATATATCAAAACTACTAAAATATGCTACTAAATAAAACGCAAAATTAGCCAACTTTTTTAAAAAACACATGAAAATAAGACTCAAAAACAAAATTTCTATGTAGAATAGGTTATAAACCAAAATATACTAAAACAGTATACTATACTAAATATACTAAATATACTGAGATATTTCTGACCAATGTAATAACAAATTTAACAAATAAGAACTTTCTTTTATAAAAGTGAATAAAAGTTAAAAAAGCCGACAATAAACAACGAACCGTTAGAATTACGAACTGGTAGGACAAATGAAGACGACTGTCCATTCTCGTTATCAACATTGCCATAACATCGCTTTTCTCCAACAATGCCATGATTTGTTGTTGAAACAGTTGTTGTTATACCTGATGAATTTTTCTCGCCCTTAAACCAATAAAATAAATGATAGTAGCGAATATAAATTTGATAAAAAATGTAGCTGAGTGTCATATAATATGGTGAATTTCTCTAACGAAAATTCCAGCAAACAAATTGATGCAGCATTTCGATTTAAAAAATGAGCAGTTTTTTGATTGCTTCTTATTTTAACAATTAAAATCATTTCGATAATCATTGAACGGTCAGTTTGTTTTTCAAACGATTATTTGAAAATAGCAGGGTACACAATGGTACAAAGATATGTAATAAAAAGCCAAATAATTATAAACATATTGATGAAAAATGTGATAAAGATTAAAAGTAAAAGGCGGGAATGAAATTTTTCTTACATAAAAAGAATGGCATTTTCTTTACTGCTGTTAAAGATGTTATTAAAGACATCTTTAACAAACGAGTGGAAGAATAAAAAATTATCAACATAACACAGATAAGCTGCAAAATACTAAGATCCTATTTAAAAAACCCTTATGCGACTTCAAAATTTCTCATTAAATGGATTGCTTAATCATCTGATCGACTGAGCTTAATCGACTGATTATAAACGATGATAAGAGCATTCATCAGTGAATATTTAACTTAAAGAGATAGACATTCGTCCCTACAGAATAATCAAGAAGATATCACGATATCGCAGCCTGCTACTGGACAGAAAAACAAAACATAAAAAAGCAAATTAAAAACAACCACTTTTTTACCATAAATAAAAGAAATATCACATATCCTCATCTCCTTAGAAAAAAAAGATAAACCTTAATGTCTGACTGATTATACATCTTATTCACTGGACGAAATGCGCCTCTCTTTTCAGGTTTAGAGGGATTTGTAAAATTTCGACCGCCGGCGGCCCCATTAGTATTGAGCTCCCCGCACTGACTCACTGATAATCTATAATCCATATCCAAAATGATAAAAAATCAGAGAAGCTCGCAACGAATAATTAATTAACGAGTGAGCAAGAAAAAAAAGTCAACAATCTTCTTTAACGCTAATGGACTTGTAAGAATATGAACAGTCGCTAGAGGAAATTAATGATAGAAAGCAAAACCAACCCATTTACATCTTGTTTCTCCTCGAATAAATAGAAACTATCCAGCAATAAATCATCAAAATCATTATTTTTATCACCAAAAACTACACCAGATTCACAGTCAGAACTATTCCAACTGAAATTTAATGTTAAGAAAAAAATGCAACAAATATTATAAATAATATACAGCAATAAGAAACTAAATGATTTCAACATTTACCTAATCGTATCAAAATCTGCAACAACTGGAGGCGAGCTAGTTAACTTTGGTGGACTACGATCAATTGCATTCACATCAGCCATACCATTTGACACTAAAATATTTTTAAATCGAAAAGGATTTCTGAAAGATTAATTTCTGTTAATAGTCCAATTATATAACCAGAATTTTATAAATTAAAGATCTCGCGATCGCAACAGCAAACAAAAAAAATTTCATTTAATGAATAATCTAAAAATAAAATAAATAACAGCAATAAAAGGCAAAATAATGCCAGAAATATGTATGAAATCATTAAGAACTGGAAAAATTTCTGAGATTAATAAATAAGCCGGAAATGCGGATAAAATCAGTAAAATTTCTAGGATTAGTAAGTAATAATTAGAATATATCTTTGAGAATATATATTAAGCTTTGCAATCCAACAGTCTATAATTTTAATATAAATGATTCTGCCATTGCTTCCTTCTCATAAACTAATTGACTTTATATAATGCTATTGCTTTTTAAAGTTATTTCGTTCTTAAAACAAGAAAAGCAGAAAAATCAGCCATTAGCCATAAAATTTATAGAACTTAAACAGATGAAATTTGCAATTTTGCAAAATAAGAAATCATGAATAATTTCAACTGAACGAAATATAAAACGAACTTGAATCCAATTGTTCTAATTCATCAACATCTGACTCAGTTCCTGAATCGTTCAGCATTATTATTTTGCCCTAAAAATTCAAAAACTAAATAGCTTTAAATTTTTTATATTTTTCACCAAAAAATGAATAATTCTAGATAGTAATAAAAATAATTAAAAAGATAATTTCAGCTTAGGCTTAATGCCTGATGTAGTTTTAAATACGAAACAACTACACGTAAAATATTGGTTTAAATAAATAAATATAACAAATCTGCACAAGTAAAAACAGGTTTTTGTTCTTCAATTTTTTTTCATTTTTTACTCGTTCTTATAAATGATTTACAAATGGTTTTGGCTGTAAAATTGATTATTCATATAATATTCCTAATATTACAAATATAAATGCCCCATTATTAGAATAAAAAACATCCTACTGAATTGATTGGAGGACTTTGACGAGATATTGATTGTTGCTTTTCATCATGTTCGTTGCCCATACCTTTTCACCCAATGCTAGCTTCTCGAATTTATTAACTAAAGCAATTAGCACACTTTTCATTAAAATATCTGAGATTTTAAAATTTTATTTAACGCTTTACAACGGATATACGCAAATAGAAATTCAGATAATATGTCAGTTTTGCACAATACGATGAATATAGAATAAATGAACAGGAGAAAAACTGACAAGATCGATAATTATTTTCTTTCCTGAACAGATGCAAATATATTCCACATCAGAATAAATCAGTAGGAGAATGTCCTTTGGTTTACATAGTTGCAAAAAATAAAAAATTTTATCCTATTATTGAAACAAAAAATCTTAAAAGAAAATCACAAGCAAAATAAATTAAAACAAAATAATTAAAACAAAAATTAAGAAAATTAAAATGAATAAAAATAGAAAATTTGAGAAAAACCACGCGAATCGAACCACCGTTGAAGCTGCAAAATAGAAATAATGCCAAAATTTTACTTTGCAGGTAGAAGAAAGCGTGGTACTTTAAAAGCTAGTCGAGAGAAGGATTAGAAAGAGTTGAAAAAAATTCTTAAAGATGTTATTGCATATTACTTTCAAAGTGCAAATGTTCTATATTTACGAAAAAAATTTTAAAAATGAAAGAAAAGCAAATCTAACCGACTGTGAAAATCTTTTTAAAGGCTTGCAGCATATGAATTGCTCGTTTCGTTAATCGAATTATTCCACAGTAATAATTCGCGATAATTATTTCTTATTTGCAAAAAGAAAAAAGTTTAAATTTCTGATTTACAACGAAAGTACATATTCTATCAATGATGAAAACCAAAAAAAAACGCATTATTGCATGTAAATGCACATAAATGTCGAACATTTTTCACAAAGAAATATGTTTTATAAATCAAAAAAAAGGCTTCTGAAAAAGTAAGGAAATTCTAAAGAAGTGATTTAGAACAACTAACCACTGTTTACCTTAAAGGAATAATTTCTACAAGACATCCATCAAATCGCCTAACGATATTTGCTGTAGGCGTTAAATTTAACAGCGACACTTCCTTGCGTGAACGATACGTGAAAGATGGACGATTGTGCAAGCAGAAAGGAGTATTGTTTAATAATTACTAAACGATTATAAAATTTTACCATAATCAAAACTGAAGAAGATTCTGACTGATGAAAGAATTCTTTTCAATGATAACAAACAAACTATGTAGGAATAAAAAGCAAAGAAAGCAAAGACATAATTTTCTTTAATCATCGAATTTCTTTTCTTTTCATCGATAGAGAAATTTTTCAAATGAAAGAAAAAGGCGAGTATAAATGATTCCTTCTATATTTATCAAACATCTTCTTATCATTACCAGTAAAAAAAAATCAAATTTGTAGCCCAAAAAATAAAAAACTGAAATTTTTCCATAAAATTAATATTTAATATTCATAACTGAGCAAAAAAATATTCGATATATATTATATAATAAAGGAGTTTTGAACTTACACTGGCGTACATATGTAAGGGAACCCACATATCTGAATTAAGCATAGAATGAATCCTAGACTTTTACTTCAGTTATGCTATGGAAGAATCATGGACACCGCCCAAACTCAAAGAATGTACAAGTCAGTCGAGAGCATTAGCACTGGTATCTAAAATCTTGCGCACTAATGACTTATTAGATTAGAGGACGGAAAAGATGCTACCATCAACTTCAGTCAGATTCGCCATCGGATCGCCGCGACTCTCGCAAATTTATTATGTTAGTAGCCAGTGAAGCCATCCAAACCAATAATAGAGCAAACTTTTTTCAAAAAATAAAAGTAGTATAAAAATCATAACAAAAACGGTAATAATAATAATAATAATTAATAACAATAATAATAAATAACTAATGGTGATAAGAATATTAACGATAATGATAAAAATATTAATAATACTATTAATAGCAAAAAATATTGAAAAAAATAAAGAAAAAAAACCAAAACAATAAATAACAATAATGACAAGAAATCAATAAAAATATTTATATAGTAAGGGATGTTATTTTGAACAGAAAGCAAATAATGGTTTGGCAAGGTGCCAAACGTGGAATTCCTCCTAGAAATGTTTCTCAACTGAAATGTTTATCAAATTTTTTACAATATAATAAAAATAAACAAAAATGATTTTAAACAAAAATATTTTTCTACTTTTTAAATAAAAATAAAAATGAAATTTGCTAAAAATTCAATATTGAATCGCTATTTTTTATCAATTCAACTAAATTTTTTTTTTCAAAATATTTTCTAAATATTTCAAAATAATTTATTACTTACAGTAATTTTAATAGAAAAAAATGGAAAGAGGAAAAAAAATAAAAAATTAAATTCAAAAATTTTTCAAAAAATTACAATAAAATCATATTAAAATAATAATAATATTAAAATCATTAATATTAAAATAATATTAAAATCATTTTGAAATTTTGATAAAATCCATAAACGAAGCAGTAAAAATAAATAAATGAATATTAAGAAAATTATTAAGTGGTAAGCGCTCATTACTGCTCGTTAGGCTCGCTCTGTAGGCAGACTATTAGCGCGACGAGAAATTTTTATCGGAATTACTTAGCCGGGGAAGTACAAGTGGAGATATCACCCAGATTTTTTAAATCCATACAGGTTTACTTTATCGAATCGTCATCGCCTCCCTGACTCTATAAAAAAGATAAATGAATTAATAAAAAATCGAAATACTAAAAAGGCATCCATCTTAGTAAAATCTCGCCTTAATAAAAAATCCCTTGTCACTGCCTTTAACCCTCCCAGATTCAGCTGTACACAAATATTCTCACTTCCACTTTATTTCCCTAACACTGCCAAACCAGCTCATTTTTGCAATGAGCAGTGATTATAAAATAACAAAACCCACGATGTATGCGGCATCCGAGGAGTATTACGAGAATGAGACAAGGAAAATTATAAGGCTTCGAAGAGGTGTTAAAGGAATATATAATGGATTTTAAGTAAATTTTAAAGAGAAGAGTATTATGCCCCAATGTTGAAGAATTTCTTGTGCATTTTAAGCGAAAATCATCTATTGCCTCCTATCTGCCTAATTTTATCAAAAAACCCTTCCCAACATCAGTTAACGTGTTTGCTTTTAATGTCTTCACTGTTCCCGCAAATCCGGCTATTTCCTTTTAGAATCTACTTCAATCGCAGAGTTCTTTTCTAACGTAGTCCATAAATAATACCCCTTCCGCCTTTCAAACTTCACCAAATTTAACACCCATACCTGTTATACCTCTGCACAACCGAGTGGTTGTTGCGCAAATTATCATTTACAACAGGATTCAACAAGATTCTAATTCTACCTTGGATTGGAATAAACCTGTCAACAAAAATCATGGTGATAGTGAGGACCTACTTCTACCTCTTAGGCAAAAGCTCCTCAGCCAAAAAAGTAAGAGCCAAAAGGACTAGTCTAATCAAAAATTCTGAGTGCTAACCGCTTACATGCTAATATCTCCTAAATACTTACCCCTCACCACTATTCGCTTCTGACTATTTAGCTACCACTAAGATCGCTTAACCAACAAAACTTCTTTAAGGCGCCCTTTCGCTGGAATCTGCTAGTACCCTCTAAAACCCTGCAGAAAAGTTTTCTCTGCCCGTTGCGAAAAACTTTTTACCAAGTAAAAACTCGAAATGCCAAAAGTGATCTTTGAGGCGCAAATATTTAGCCTTTACAAACTCAAATTCAGCGATTTTGAAAAACTTTTGAATGTGTTCGCGTATAAAAATATCTCAGACGTAACGCTCAACTTGACGGCCTAAATATTCAGTTTTAAGTCCAAAATATAAAAATTTAAGGCATAATAAATCAAAAAATTTTCAATAAATCAACAGCAAAATTATTCTTAACAAAATTCTTCGAAAAGAATGTGATAACGAACAAAAAAAAATTTCTTCTAAAAAATTTTCCATTCGTTTTTGCAAAAAATCAATTCAATAAATAAAAAAATATAAAAAGTAAAAATTTTTAAAAAAAAAAAAATATTTTGAAATTTATTTTGTAACAAAAATTTCATGCAATTAAATTTATATTATTTTTTATATGGAAAAATAAAATATAAATTTACACAAAATTCGATTCATAAAAAAAATTGTTCTCTTAAGAATTTTTTTAAATATAAAATATTATTCACAAGGAAAAATTAAAAATTTATATAAATTAAATTAATTTTTTAAAATTTCTTAGAGTGAAAATTTGAATTAACGTTTGTCAATAATCATTTGATTGCAAATATTACATGGGAAATAAATTTTATTATAAATATAAATACAGGAAATTTAAAAGATTTTGATTCTGTCACTGTTTATCACCAAGTTTTGAAAATAGCTTCAGATTAATGTAAAGTCAAATTAATACTACTAGCTCTACCCTAGTTCCGCCCAGAACCAACTTCGCCCCGAGTCCAGCCTAGGCCTCATGCAAGAAAGCCGCCAACACTACGCATAATCACTCCACACATTCAATAAGTCCAGAATCGTCTTTAAAAATTGAACATGTTGGCATTTTACCAATGGATAACCTTGGACCTTTGCCAAATTTTGGTGCATCATTTTCATCTTTGATCAGCGAATTTATTGCGTTTCACAAAGTGGAATGTTATTACACAGTTTTATTATTTGAAATTTCATGAGTATTTGTAGATTAAACAAACTTGAAATGCTCATTTTTGTGTTTCATCTCTTAGATGCCAAGCCTTATGACGATTTGGCCCAAGCAAAAAGCCTAGTCAGAAGGCCAAGTCAAAAGCCGATCAGAAGAGATTTTTGGCACCCCTACATTGTCCGGGAAAAAGGAGACGGTGGAAAAAACAGTGAATTTCAGATATGGCGTATAGGCGACGAAACTTTGAAACGAGCCAAACCTTATAATCATGCGAGGCAAACAAAGCAGTGCGATTTGAAAAAATATTATTTTATATCATAAATATAAAATATAATATAAATATTATAAGAAATATTATAAGTATT